ATCTTGGCCGTATACACAAATAATGAGGATGCCATTTTCACTCTCGGACCTTGACTTTAGTCGGTTTGGTTGGATATTAAGCACACAAATCGGATACTATGGAGGAAAAGTTAAGATATAGGATCCAAACCCGTAAATAAGGGGGCATCTACTGAGAACCACAAAGTTGGGTTCCACTAAAGGGGAACCTACAAATCATGCCTACCTAGGCAGGTAGAAATATTTGTTGGGAGAGGCTTCATGCGATCAACCTCTCTGGGCATGTAAGCAGCGAAAAACGGCCTATGGATAAGATCTAAAGAGAAAAGGTTGTCGCTATGATTCAATCCCTTTTAGCAAATGAAATTAGGTAAGGAGGCATTTTTACACAAAAAGGATCTTAAAGTACGCCGCAGTTCGTTCTTGTGTCGATTAAACGCCCACCAGGTGTGATATCTATAGTTGTAAAACGCGTTACTCCCCTTGCTCATTACTAGTTCATTACAGGATCAGACTTTCGTAGGCTAGAGCTCCAGTAAACGTCGATGAAACGAGTGGGTAATCACATTACCATTAACAAGTTCGGTGTCTATTAAGTTAAACGCAATGATCTCGAGCGAGCCATGCCATTGATTTGTTATCAACATGCCGGAGTTAAACAAACCGGAGGGACTACAACCTCCATTGCTTGCTTCGTTACTCTTGGAGGTCCATTACCGACGAAGACAGGTACTTGCTTGACATCGAATATCAGAATCAATGGCCATATACGAAGTACAATTGTTTCATGTTATTAGATGAAATCAACCCATTTTTAAAATCTCGTGAATACTAAAGTCTAATGTATCCATGCTTGAATTGGCAGACAAGTGATTGGCTTTGACGACTTGATGAGCTTAGCTACCTTGGATCTTCGGTGGAAGAGTGAACTAACAGTGACACGAAAAAGAGGTATAGAACCAAATACTTTTATTATAATGCTGAGAATGAGGAGGTTATTCCAGGTGTTTTCCATGAAACAACCTCACGGAGAATCTCATCTTAGAAACGTAGGGCGTCGTATATTCCTAGGAGCCCGAATATACTAGGTATCTTGCGTTTTTGCAGATATTCTAGCTCCGATAAAACCACAAGGCACGGCTTAGGGTCACTGCCTCTCATTAAAACGCCTGCATTCCGGTTTGAGAAACATCCATACTATCGTAATAGTCTACCCTCACTGTCAATATCTAACTATCTACACCCTGTGCTTACCTATTCAAATAAAGATGATGTTCTCATATAATAAGGTCCATACAAGCGAGAAAAATATTGTCAAAATAAATACGAACTTCAGATGATTTAGTACCTAATAATAATACATTTTGAATTCTGTGATCAACTATCTACCTACCTAGGTATGTACATTCTTTGTCACTGAGAGTTGGAAATATTTACATAAATACCTACCTACCTATGTATCCATTTAACTGGAAGTTGTCTACAGCCAGGGATTAGAAGGCATGAAACAGCTTCACACGACCTGGTAGACCAGACCCAGAATGTACAGCATGAATGGTACTTGCTTTTACATATATTGTCTTGTGTCATGTGTACCGACAGTGCCCTGAACCGAGATTTGGTGGGTGCTTAGGTAGATAGATGTATCTTGCCTCCTAACCCCTGGCTGCAGACAACTGCCAGTTAAATGGATGTTAATTAAAACTTCAAGCCTGTATGGCTGTAATGACTTTCTGCACATAGAAGGGCATATGGACGAATGTTGAAGCATAAAGCCATAATATTTTTACTACATAGAATAACAGACACTGGAATCTCCCTGTGGATTTATATGTCTGGTTATTTTCTACTTATATTTGAGAAGTAATTCGTACCAAATAACATTAAATACTGGTCTTATGGCACGGTTAAGCTAAGCGTAGAATAAAATAATATATTGGCATTATATACTTGAGTAGTTAAGGTTTTATTAATTGTTACACATTTACTTATCTGGAAAATAATTACGCTAAGTTGATATAATATAAGCTACGAATTTTTTTTATATAGAAGAAACTTATTAGGGGAAACCAAATATTGATCAAGCTGAAACAATTTCATGAGCAAGGTTTGAATTATCTTGAATTAGGAATCTTATTACCATCACTTAAGTATGAAATAATTATTAATTTTATGTTAAGGTATTTAGGTGAGTTGATAACTTTGTACCGACAATGATGGCCCTCTGACGTATGAAACATGTTATGATGGCTTCATTTATTTAATTATGGATGTTATACCTAGGTATTTCAAGGCTTAGATGATAATCTTTTCATTCTGTACATTATACCGGTTGGTTGTAGCTGAATGTTCACATTGAGATATGATGAATAGGTAAATAGCCCTATTGTTATCAGTCGAACTTAAGAGGCTATATGTCAATAAAATTATTTCTATGAAGTTCGAAGCCGTTGAATCATTCGACTCTTCATATGTTATCAAGACTTGACCTATTTCGTCGAAGTGAGCCCCTTGACTCTGTTTGTTATCGGGATGGTGGATCAGCTGGGAGCTATTTCAGTGAGGATGTGATACGATGATGAAGTCAGGCGATCTATTTCCAAGCACGGGAAGACATGAATGCTGCAGATCAATTGAAGAATGCAACCACTTGATCTTTTCAGGTCTCAAAATCCACCCAGCCTTAAAATGCCGCTATCTCATCATCTCACTCCGTATCGCGTCTTTTTACAAGACATACCTAGCCTTGGTTCATCATAAATACACCTCGACATTTTATACCTTGCGCAAGTATTAGAACCTAAAATGTGCAAATTCGATGTGAAGATAAGAAGACTCGAAGAGTAAAGCATCCTTATTAAATATCTTGTCCCCTCTTTTTCGGAGATGCGGGGAATCCTTGATGAACTCGAAGAGTTTTAGGTGATCGACAAATGCCAAGAAGAGCAGATACAAATTTCAAAATCAAACAATATGGGCTCAACCAAAAGTAAACTCCGTAGATGCTCTCCCAAATTGTACGACGCCTAGGGTCCGACAAAAAAGAAACTTTAGCTTTGGTAGATAAAGTGTCCAAAAGCCTGATAGTTTGTGTCACACGATGACTCTATGATGGCGTTCTCAACATGGAAAAGATGGTGTGTGGACCCTTAAATGCAGCTGTACGAAGGGACCATTGGTTCTTTTCTCGGCTGCAACTTACTGCAGGTTAGCAAATAGCGGCATCGTCTGTGGGTAATGTCCTAAAACATCCACGCGAAAAGATCATGTCTAGAACGGAGATGGTGAGGGAATGTCAGCCGTAAGATTCGCAACAATGAATGGTCGGGAAGGCGGCAGAGCGGCTCGAACCCAGCTGGTTGGTTGGGCTTGTGGAGCCACGTAGACAGTCCCCTGAGAAGTACGAGAAAGAACAACCTAGTAGACCCCTAGCATATAGGTACGAGGAAAGGTCCGAATTTAGAGCTGGTTCTCTTTAGACTAGGTAAGCTTAGAGTGTTGCTAGTATTCGGGTCCGAGAAGCCGTGTAGGCTGAGGGTATGAAGAAACAAACTTCTAGCAAAAAAAGTAAATGGCAGGTCTGAAGCGTTGGATGCGACATCATGGTTTGGAGGGCTTTGGGAGTTGTGCCACGAGGACCGTGATCGCCTTTCTTGCGGGTGTTTGGTCCAATGGGGGAGATACACCATGCTGACCATTTCAATAGAAATATCAAAATAGGAGTGGACTGTGTCGATTTTGTAGATGGAATCGGAAATCTCAGGGGCCAGGGGTCGGGGTTAGACGAAGAAGCTGCGGGGCTCTTTGTAGGGAGGGCAAGGAAGGCTTTAGAGGGGTTCGACCACTAGGGACAACTAACGGCCAGAGCGGGCTAGAAATAACCTTACCATGCAGAAATAATCACCCCACGTTTTCCTTTGTTTTTGATAATGCGGCCGTTTCTTTCACGATAACAGCGAGACCCTGATTAAATATGGAGTCTCACATGGGCAAGTCAGCTAAGACTTCGCGAGGGTCAGCGTAACCTTCTTTTGTTCCCCTTCTCCCATCAATCCATGCAATATCGAGACCGTCTGTTGCATGTGGTGTTTTTGTTATCTTCCCACTAATACCTATCTAATCGAGGCAGTCGAGGTTGCCTTTCTCTGGGTAAATTAAAGTTTTTGAGGTTTGGTGAACGTTAGATGTTGAACGTTAAATGTGGAAGGTTTGGCTTAGTCGAGCTAGATTTCTGAATCTTTCCTCTTCCCTTTTTTCCATCGCCCGTCTTCTTTGATAACCAACAGCCAACCAACTTGAAGCCCGCCGTCAAGTCAGACCAACTAAGCACTAAATACCTCGTACTTCACCAACTTGACACGGACGCATTAGGAAGTCCGGTCGCCACTTTGAATAAGTCTATCCCGCTGATCGTTGGGGCGGATCTGGAACCGATTTCTTCCTCTCCTTTCCCTTCCGCTATCCGAACAATTGATTATTGTGTTGCCCTCTTCTCCAACCTCCTATCCCTCCTCACCTTCTTTTAAGCTCACAAAGCTCACAATAGGGCTGGCTAGTCCTACACTCGTTTATCTAAGTATTCTATTGTTCTAACGTCCAAGGCCCCAGGTCGAAAGGAGCACGACGGGAACACTACTAGAAGAAAGTGAACTAAAAATAATGTTGGTTTGACGATTGTGAGGAAGACACATACATCCCTGGTTGGGTTGCAGTTCAATGTGTTGCCTTTTCTGGCCATCTTAATCGATTTAGTGACGATTCGAAGCCCCCGCATTCGCAATAGACGGTTTTGGTACTTAGCAAACAATAACGCCTCAACGCGGCAGTGGAACACACGACGTCTATCATCTCGGTCAATTTATCTTGTCATTCATTATTCACGCAACAGTATTGTCTTCGACGGCACCTTTTCAATTGTGTTTAATATCCAAGCTATTTTCATTAAAGCTTCGCAGAATACAACAACGTCCACCATGTCCGATATCACCCCACCTGATCCAATTGACGAGGAGTCGCCAGCCATGACGCCACTGGAAACCCGACCAAAAGAGAAGCGTCGGCAGAGGTTGCTTCAAGGCATCCAGCGAATGTCTTCTTCGCCCTCTTTACAGCAGATTGGTCGTGCTAGATCCTCCAGCTCTCCCTATGGCACCAAGGGCAGCTTATCATGTGTTAGCCTCGCAGCGACTTCGCCATTTGGACAATATCCTTCCGGCAGCGTCACGCCAGGGTATTTCTCAAATGGCCAGTCTTCTATACCTGGTAGCCCGACGGCCGAGCTCCCTGCGTTCGATGGGATTGAAACCCGTATAGCACGTAAAGTTGCCAATGTGTCTACAACACATTTAAATCCGACTACCTCCTCCCTGCCAGTCGAATTTGCGGCTACGAGGTCTAGATCCGGTACGGTCCGAAAGCCCCCCTTTGACTTCTGGGCTAAGATGCCCGACGAAATTCGAGTCCATATCTTGTCGTATCTCCGACCGAAGGAGCTCGTTCGCATCTCACGCCTGAGCAAGGACTTTCACAAATTCTGTTTCGACGGCCAGTTGTGGACCCATTTCGATGCTACCGAATTCTACATGGAAATACCTGCAGAAGCTCTGGCTAAGATTATACTCTCGGCTGGTCCTTTTGTGAAAGAGTTGAATATTCGCGGATGCCTCCAAATCGAGCATTACGAACGGGCCGAGGTCATTGCCACGTCTTGCAAGAATCTAATTAATGCAACATTGGAGGGATGTCGAAATTTCCAGCGAAACACCTTGCACAACCTTATTCGAACTAACGAGAAACTTGCCAATCTAAATCTTACAAGCATGTCAGCTGTGACAAACAGCACTTGCAAGATCATTTCGCAACATTGCCCGCAACTCGAGACACTCAATGTATCGTGGTGTAAGCATATGGACGCACGAGGAGTTAAGATGGTAGTCCTTGGGTGTCCAAGGCTACGGGAAGTAAGAGCCGGAGAAGTCAAGGGGTTTAACAATATAAGCGTAGCGGAAGCCATCTTCACGACGAACAACCTTGAAAGGCTCGTATTGAGCGGTTGCACGGATCTTGATGACGAGGCTTTCAAGACCATGATCCATGGCAGCCAACCTGAAATCGATATTCTTACAGATCGACCAATCGTCCCACCAAGGAGGCTCAAACATCTGGACCTTAGCCGATGCTCACAATTAACAAGTCCAGCAGTGGCTGTATTGGGTCATCTCGTTCCTGACCTACAAGGATTGCAACTGAGCGGATGTACCTCATTAACTGACGCAGCCCTCCAACCAATTCTTGCTTCAACTCCTCGTCTCACTCACCTAGAATTAGAGGAGCTCTCGGAGTTGACCAATGACATTCTCTCCCAACATTTGGCTAAGGCCCCATGTGCACCGAAGCTCGAGCATCTTTCCGTGAGTTACTGCGAAAATATCAGTGACACCGGCATGTTGCCCATCATGAAAAATTGTGTCAGCCTCAAGAGTGTGGATATGGACAATACACGAATCGGTGACTTAGTACTCACAGAGGCCGCTGCTATGGTTAGGTCTCGGTCAAACCGAACATCGACGCGTAGTTCGCGTCCTCACATCGGACTGAAACTAATCGTGTACGATTGTCAAATGGTCACGTGGACAGGCATCCGGGAGATTCTGTCTTGGAATGCTGAAATTCGGCAACCACATGAGAGTTCGGCAACATACCCAACCGAGATTATCGGTCTCAAATGCTTTTATGGGTGGCAACAGACGGTAGAGCAGCATACGCAACGGGTCCTGAAGGGCGACTTCGCCGCCGCTGCGAGATTAGAGAGGAAGTGGGCAGATTATATGCAAGCTGTCGAGGAGGCAGGAGCAGCCGGTGCCGGATCTAGACGACGGAGACGACGGGCTCGAGAGGCGCAAATGCTACACGAAGACGAGCAAGGAGGGGCTGGTCGCCGCCGAGCACGGACCGTGGCGGCTGCTTGCGCCGTCATGTAAGGACGACGTCATTTCACGGAGTATCGGTGCATCATAAACATACATTAACGGAGTTGGAGACTTTACTCAGGCTGGATTCGGTCATTTTTGCTTTGCGGGAATTTGCCTAAATGCATGAGCTGCATAGGAGTTATCGACGGCGTCTTCTTAGTGCCACACAGAACAGTGCGCCTGTCTTTTGGCGAATATTGCGTGGTGTATATATCACCATCGGAGGTTACCTAGATGGGCCAATAATCATTTCTCATTTTTGTGCAGATGTTGATGGAATTGAGCGTTTTTTTGCCCCTTTCCTCCTCGACTCTTCTTCGAGTCCGTCGTTTACTAGAGATAGGGATCTTCATCCTAGAAAGTCGGGGCCTATGTATATCACAGTATGCCGAATCCAATGCTGCCAATTAGTAGCTTTGCTTTATATAAGATCTTCGATGCCTGTGATCCGAAGGTGGTGCGATTTGCCAATATCAAAGGGAAGGAGAACTTTTGAACGTACACGTGTAGCTTCTACTTGGGCTTACCAGAATCTACGAATGGGTGAGTGCAGATCAACTTTCCTTCCTATAAATTTACCGAATTCACAAGACTACCAAGGGACAGCGTCAAGTCATAGCATTCGACGAGTTTATTACTGCAACATGACCCTATTTGTGGGTTTATTCTGAAACTCGGCGGTAAAAACCAGGGCATTACGTTTGTCCCTGGACTGTGTGGTGAGGGGGGAATTGCAATCGAGCAAGTACATAGCAAGAAGTAACCCATCCATCCTATCAGCATTCCTCAACCTATCGTCAACCATACCAACTCCTTTGACCATTTACTTCAATTGACGAGTGACGGTAACGTCGTTCAGACGAATAATAACCATTTGCGTGATCTCGGAAGTGGAGGGTAGAACGTCCACAATTGATGTTCGTGACTGTTGACGGTAGCGCAAAGCAATGGAAAATTGGTGAAGTCAACGGGACTTGTTGGCTGGCTGGCGCGCCATCAAACTTCATGAGTTACGTGTAGTCCATCATCCCCAAATCGACTCTTCCAAACTTCATCGTGTTGCAACCCGGCATTTAAGAATCGGAGTCTAACGGGCGGCATCGGTGTCGGAAGGTAATCCTGTCGCGCCAGGTATTACCCAACTTGTACAGAGCGACGTCGTGGGATACAAGGCTCATCTGGAAATACTTCTTGAGATAATCGGAGATCCACTTGTATTCCAGCTCAGCCTCGGCGTGCGGCTGGTCATATCTGCTCTCAACAATGGCTTCGATGTCAACGTTGTTCCACTGCCCAGGGTTGTGTTCTGGCTTCATAAATCTATGATCATTGCTGGGGTTAACAACCTGATAACCTAAGCGGGGCTTGTAATTGATTGAACAGCAGTACAAGATGGCATCAAGCATTGCTGAACAGATGTTAAGACGTCGGTAGTCCTGGTGCACGATGACAATCAACTTGCCGGCCCCTTCAGCACGTGTCTGGTGCGAGCCTGTGATTCCTTTGATAGCTGTATCCATCAAAGCGAACCCAACTATCTGACCATCACCCTTCTTAGGATTGTACCAACCATTCACGGCAACGATGAAAGGCAAGTTATACTTGAGGGCATTGCCGTAGAGACTGAGGAACTCAGTGGCCTTGACTGGATGTTTATCAGGGATTACCATAAATTCCCTGTTGTAGATTTCCGCGATTTGCGGCAAGTCTTCTGGCACCGTTGGTCGGAGATGGATCGGTGCTCTGATTTCTCGCGGATTCACAGTTTCCTGTGGGCTCGCCTCCTCCTGTTGACCTACTGCCTCCTGTTGGTCTAGTGTGTCCTCTTGGCTTGCCTTGTCTGGTTGACTTGTCATCTCCTGTTGGCTGGCCGTCTCCTGTGGAATGACGGTCTTCTGTACTGAATAGAAAGGATATCCAGGGAGCCCCTTTGCCTTCAATTGGTCATTCTCTATCTCAGCTTCTAGGATCTTCATGGCAGCCTGGCGCTGAGCTCGCTTGTGTGCATCACGGCGCATCCGGATAATGTTATCCTCGGTATTCTGGTCAACCCCTTTAATTCTTTCCTCCACTACATCAAGTTTGTTAATAGTGCAATTTGGCATATCAAGTTCGAGTGGGCACCTACATTTCAGTTCAACAGGGTGCTCAATTGGATTCATTAATGTGCCAGTTTCAGGGTTAACGCCCCATGACTCGGGCTCCTTGATACCCTGGGGATGGAGGTCGGTGGTAATGTCGTTGGTAACCTCATGAGTTGTCTGGACCCAATCCTTGATGTTTCCTGCAAGATGTTCAGATATCTTTGTGTGGTGTCCATCGATAGAATTGAATTCGTCGTCAAAATCACCACCATAATAAGGCTCATAAGCAGCGCGGTCGCACCAAGTTGCGTCCCAGTCCTCGTTCTCGTTCCCCTTCAGAGCAAGGGATCTGAATCCCTGCTCAGCGCCTCCCTCCTGGAAATCAAGCGGACTAGGACTAACGGGATTAACGCTGGTGTGGTCGGGCATCGTGGCCTGCTGGGTAGATTCTGTAGCACGGCTATCGCGTACCAGGGCTGCTAGCAAGGAGACACGGGGAGATAAATCTTTGACTAGATCTGCCAACATGGGGCCTTGGGGAGCACAACCTTTGGTTTGATCTTGTGAACATGGTTCGTCCTGCTCATGAATGGTCGAGGTCACAGGATCTGGGACATCTCGTGGATGACTTGGCTCCTCCTCTTCAGAAGTTCTTTCCCATGCATTGCTTATATGGGATGAATTCTTTTCTTCATGGATACTTGCTGAGCCTTCACTAGGATTTTTGATAGACGTGGCGTTTGAATCCACGTTTCCTCTAGTTGATCCTGAGATGGGAGACGAGCCATGATCGATTGTCTGCTCGTCAGTCTGCTCATTGGTCTCTTCATTGGTGGCCTCTTCATTGGTGGCCTCTTCATTGGCCTCTTCAATTGTCTGTTCATTCGTTGGTTCCTTGGTGGTCTCTTCACTCTCCAGCTCCTTTGTGATGTCTTCATTAATTGATTTGCCTAAGGCCTGGCTCGTTGACTTCAAGACGGGGGACTTCTCATCTTGTATGAGTTGTGGTATGTAGGTGCCGCTCTCTTCGTCATAGACGTCAAGCCACTTCTGACGCTTTGGCTTCTCCATTTTCGCTATGATGACTAGTTAGCCTCGAATGTTCCTTGCAGGCATAATATGAAGTCGTCACAGCATACATGATTAAGATGCACCAAATTTTGACCATGTGGCATCATCTACGAGATTTTGCAAGGTAATTTTGAGACGACGTCGCCCTGATATAATGAAAAAAAAAACCCCGACAGAGATTTCATGGATACTTCCTTTCTTTTTTTGAAGAACGGAAAACTTACCAGAGGAGTTGCTGATATCGTCGAGTGATGATGGGGTTATAAAATCCTTGGCTTGCGTTAAATGCGGCAGTGGTAGACCGTGACTTAAGACTTGAGAAAGAAGCTGGGCTGATCTTCCTAAATGGTACGATAAAGTAAGGTTGATGATTCAAGGTAGGATTGATGGAAAGTGTGCAAAATGGTGGGTGTGGGAAAGATGTTCTTGTAGACGGTAACGAAGGGTGACGTTGAGCTCAAGATCCACTCCAGTTTTTTGTGATGCGGGTATGTCTTGCTACTTCCAAAGGAGAATGGGAAAATTAGAGAGGGAATGATAATGATAGGAATTCGTGTTTGGCGTGTTTAGGGTTGGTAGTTGCTAAGTGAAAGGAGTCGTGCTTACCTCGTTACGTTTGAAGATTTGGACGTGTACACTGATGAACGAACTACCTAGGTACGATGCAGTCGAAGGACTGCGAGCTTTTGCAAACCGTACCTACGTAGGTAAATACCTAAGCTTGAGAGGATGCTTGGTGGGGGGATCTAGTTGTATCGCCCGTCGACCCGGCCTGATAACTTGGAAATGTTTGCACGAGAAATGTAACTGATGGTGAAGATGAAATAAACTGGGAGGTGACGAAGGGAATGTAAATGAATGTGTGTGATAAAACACGATAGAATCTCCAATATTAAGGGAAGAGGATTCGATTGATGTTCTAGATCTGTGCACAAAAAAAGTGTAGGGGGAGGTTTGGAGTGACTGCCAACTGTACAGTCCGAGAGACCTGCGGCGGAAGGGGCAATGACGACCTAGTGAATGAAGGCTGTCAATAGGGGGGCAACAGCAGTGGAAGGGTGACTTCGGTGAACAAGGACGCTATTTCCCTAACGGTACTAGGAACTTGACAACGTTGAAATAAAACTTCATGCATGAATCATCCGGACGGCCTTGCTATTGTGGAAAGAGCATTTGTTGGTAAGTGCACCACCAAAAATCCATCACGGACGTTGTTGGCGTGCATCCATGATGAGTCATCATCAGGGATTCCGGAGCGACCGTTCAATACCTAATACAAGCTGCAAGTGTCAACACTCCTCAGCTACTGCGAATGTTGAGTCTCCCAGGTGCACGACAATATTTAATCACCTAGTGAACCCTATATTCTTTTCTTTCGCGTCAAGCTTGCGATTGGTCTTAAATTTCAATTTCCCACTCACACTTCTCTCGAGAACAACACTCTCGAGAACAACATATCCCTACTTCCTGAGTACGACAAATACCCATCTCTACAACTGCATACACTGCACAGTCTTTCAAAGCCTCTTTATCACGACAAAGCCATAAATCTTCTGCTTATTAGCAACCTCCTCTTTCGCTTATCATCGACGTCGTCCGACATAACACCAACCTTCAATTCGTCCTTCACACACAATGTACAAAAAACAAAAGCTCATGTTCTACCCGGCCACTAACCCTAATCGCCGAGGCGTTCTGCTCCCCGGCGGCGGCTACGAGAAGATAAACTACAAGAAGGAGGGCGAAGAGCCTGCATACTGGCTCAATGCCCACGGATTCGACGCGTGGGTGTTCTCCTAACCCGTTACCTGCGCCAAGTGCCCTCCCACTCTTGGATATAAACACTACGACGCAGCGACCGACGCCGTCAGCGAGATCTGCGCCACGGGCCGCGTCGAAACACTCGGCGTATGGGGATTCGGCGCTGGCGGCCATCTCGCCGCGATGCTCGCTACGAGGTGCATGAGATTGAACTTCGCGATCCTGGCTTACCCGGTCATCAGGATGAAGAAGAGAATCGCGATCAAGCGAGTGCGATGGGACTTACTCGGTAGTGGCGACTTTGATAATGACGCTGCCATGGACTATTTCTCCGTCAACAAGTCTATCCACGTCGACACACCACCTACATTCCTGTTTCATACCTCGAATGGCAAGAGCGTACCCGTCCGGAACTCGCTGGATTACGCCTCGGCTATGGCCAAATACAACAGGCCATTCCATATCTAGTCTGCTCGAAGGCCCGCATGGCGCGGGCCTTGCGTTTGGGCGCAAGTGGGAGTGGATACCAGAACTCGAGAAATGGCTTTACAACTTCCTATAGACGACCAGGTTGTTCGGCCTTGCTGGATTCGGCGGGTATGATGCCGGCCGAAAGATACGAGTCTTGGATAGGACTCAATGATACCTACAAATTTGGCGATATTAATGCTGCTACTCCCTGACCTTTGCGTGATGAAGTAACTGTGTGTAGGAATTCTGCCAAGATCATCGTCAACTACTTGTTAAAATTGTAGAAAGTCTACGGGTATGTCGATCTAAGCATTGAGTTGATAGGGGATACCATTTCCATCTATGTTGTATATTCTATGCTGTGTATGGAATTTATTGGTGTCATTGTCGTGGACCCTGTGATGTTCAAGAACATAGCTGATAGGTAGTCTAGATAGTGAAAAGCGCCGAGATCGACGTAAATACTAAGAGGTTTGAACTATATATGCTTTGTAGAGCGTAAAGGAAGACCATAAAACAAGAAAATTCATGTGAGGATGGCGGTAGATAGTGGCCTTTGAGTTTTCGAAAGTTTACTGAGGCAGCCCTTGCGTTTTCCAAAGGCTCTCGACGTCGCATGTAACACGTATGACCTTCAAGACTTCTAAGCCATTAATCGAAATCGTCGAGGGTGCAGATCCCTACGTGGTCAGAAAGGATTCTGCCTTAGCTGAAAGTTCCTAGGAGAGACCGGCAGACTTCGGAAAACCGGGTGACGGCTTAGCATTGTCATAGAAAATGGGAACGAAGACGGATGGAATAACTTATCTCATGTGAATGTAGAGCCAAGGTCTCGACCAACCTAATCACATATACTACATTGTGGATATAACGCGGATATGGAGTCCATACTTGTCGTTAAACTATATTTTCGAATACCGTTACCCTACGGCGAGGGCATTGGACCGAACAGAAGCTCTGGGCCGGGCCAGACGGAGCCTGGTGATAACGAAGAGCTATATTTAGCGGAGGGAATGAGAGCCCACGATGCACTTTCTCCTCGTGTATTGTATACACCGACTACCTGACAGGGGAGGAAATTAACTATCAACCGCCGTGACCGCGAATGATGCCAGGCAGACTCACGGGTAGACGGCAGAGTTGCAGCTCCCTATACGGTCTTCAGGCCTGCGGAATGGCCGAACGGTGTAGTGACATTTGTATGGCAATCGTACTGCTCGAATTGGACGATACCGAGAATTGTGCCTTTGGATTCGTAATATAGGTTCATAATATAGCATCACCAATCAACCAAGTGAATAGAATGTCACATGTTGAAAGTATTATAGATATGGGCTATTGGGATATGTGAGGTCTTGGGGAACTTAATCAAAAAGTACAGCAACGGTGGTCCAAGATCGTGGATGGTGTTCCGGCTATCAGCAGTGCCCTGCCATGAGGTGCTGAGTGTCTCGGAACTGCGCGTCTCTCCTATTAATAACCTTCTATTCAAATGCAATACCAGCAAGGTTCATGATCCCAATTGGGGATTTGAACGTCGCCCTCGTCCGGGCTTGCGATTTTATGAGCATCGATATATTGGTAGCTGAAGTGTGGAATGGTTGCAAGGTCGGTACAAGACTCGCAAAACGCGGCCCGGCCAGTGTCGTGTTTCGTGATGGTGACTACGTGGAGGATGTCATCTCTCGCAATGGTGATTGTTAAGCGCCGAGCTGAGAGCAGCCACGTGCTAAGCTGTAATGGGAACGGAAACATGCCAGTGTAGCGTAGATCTCTGATTCGGTTCAAACCCTATCCTAAGGTTTAGCACGGCCTTCCCGAGATATTCGCAGTAGGTATCTTGATAATCCAGAGAATGCTGAGCCAAGTTTTCAAGAGCTGCAACGATATATGCGCAGGATCAGGTTCGACGAAGGATCAGGATACTTGATACCAGGGTTGCATGCAGCCAATCTCTTCGAGCGCCATACCGATGGAACGACTTGTGATTGGCTACTTTCAACCAACAGAGTATCAAATTCTGCAACCCCTTAAGACCGTTTTTGTAAACCTTTAGAACGGACTTGAACAGTAAGTTCGGCGGCTAGATTCATGAGAACGATGCTCGCTCCATATTCCTGTCCAGGAAGTTCATCTCGTCGATAACGTGGTCATAACCTAACGTTCAACTTGCCGAACGACATCTATAACCCGATACTAATATCACCCGATAAGTATATACAACCAAGTTGGTTGAAGTGGTTGCATACCTGGTGCTGGGATACTGTAGTATACCTAGCTACTCCGCCCATAAGTTATGCATTGACGTACCACCTAGAGACCCAAGCCCCTGAAGTACTTTTCAAAGGTCTAGTGTTCTAGGTAGGTAGCATCCAGTATCCTCAGCCTTTGTAAGTACGATGTACCTATACAGGCCGCAGTAGGTATCTATAGAGCTGAATGCCTATCTCGTGAGGGAGCCAATTGCACGGGTGAGTATAAGAAGGTGGCGTTTTCCACGTCGTCGAAACATAGCTAGAATCAAGAGATATTCTCAATCCAGTCTTATAGTTTGAATTTAACCCTCCCAATCCTAGGAATTTGTTAGTATTTATCTCAACATGCATTTTAACTGTGGCATGCCGTTCAACCATTCACACGACTCACCAAACTCTCAGATATGGAACCCAGATTCCGTCCTAGGGCTTACCAATAAGAATATCAACAATTATTCTTGTCTTGGTTGGGCAAAAACCCGTGGCCGAAGATGTGAGAGATGGATTGCCCAGCATAAGACCTCGTATGGACACAACATACTCCATAAACTGGCGTGTGATAGCCCCTCTAAGGCGGCGGAATCGCCGAGACTTCATGATGCAGCAGATATCTTGTTGTGCTGGCAGCATGCCGGCCAGATATCAGATATACTGGGGCAGTGGAAGCGAAAGCTCGAGAAGTGTGCCGATGATATTGAGTCTGAGAACAAATCCCATGTCAAGGCGGAAGCATTCGAAGATGGATGGTTAAAACAGCTGCAGGAGGATCTAGCTCGAGGGTACGCTGCGGGGAAAACTGTACCGCCTCGGAATATCAAGCGAGAAGAGGAAGAACGCCGAGCTCAAGAGAAGAAGCAAAGGGAGCAGGAAAAGAGAAGACAAGAGGAGAAGGAAAGACAAAGGAAGGAAGAGGAGAGGAAGCGAGAGCAGAAGGCTCGCGAAGAAGCATCCCGCCAGCGGGCACAGCGTGCAAAGAAGAGAGAGCGAGAAGCTCGAGAGAAGGCGGAAAAGGAAGCAGCATCATGGCGCACTGCTTGGGAACGATATTGCAACGCATGGAGTAAACCCGCCGATGTCTCGGTAACGAACATTCCATGGCCTGTTAAATCAGGGCTGCAGTCAGACGTCAATGAAGCCAATGTGAAGTTGTTCTTCGCGAAGGCGCCGCCAGCGGACTCGGTAGACTCAGGTGACAAACGTTTTAAGCTTATCAGTGAGGAAAATATGAGGTGGCACACGGACAAAATGATGCAACGGTTTGGCCCAGACGTTGTGAATGGTGCTGCAAAGGGTCCGTTGGGTATTATCGCAAAAGTTGTGATCGAGTTGAGACAAGAGGCGAGAAGGGGGAGAGGTAGGCAAGGGCGCTGAGATATGCCAACATGATGGCCTTCCCGAGATCCTATTATTAACCTAGGACATGTTTATATGAGGGCATACGTATGTATTATTAGTGATATTTTGATACCCTGCCGGAACTGTTTGCTTGAACCGCGGCGCAGGATTCAGGCTGATCGGGCGAGTTTGAAGTAGCTTAACAAACCATTTCCTACTGATTTCGTAACATGAGCCTCAAAACTCTAAACACCTAGAGACCTGAATATGTATCAATCTGTGTTGTTTGCTAGCATTGCCCGAGCGATTGCTTGCGAGTTCTTGAGTTTGTAGTTGTTCTAAGCCATTCATGTGGGCTGTGTGGGTGCTAAGAATATTGACAACTTCACCTACATAGATACCTAGATAAATGCATATTCCATATTGCTTACCTAGGTATGCAACTATCAAATTAGCGATAGAGCGAATCTCCCAAATTCCAACCTAAAAAGCTTATGTACCTAACCTACATGCTAATACTTTCAAACATCGAACATCTTGACACCCTCATAATACCCAATTCGTCTACTAATCTATGATAGCCCAGCATGTTTCGGTTTTGGTTCGACCAACAACCAATCTCTTGCTTGTCAATTAATCCACGTGCTCCCCTATCGAGCGCGGATCAATCCGGATCCAAACTCGTACAGCGAAAAAAAGAAGTCACGGTAATAACTGGCCGGGATGACGATTCAGTGACAAAGAATAATAATTGCTATTTTAAACCAACACCTAGTCCAATTGCCAAATACCCGAAATAATAGATGCAGTGGCATGTCCTTAATCGGACGAGTGGCACAATATCACAGAATAGAACCATTCGACTGCGCAGTGCGACCATGATCCTGACGACCAGAAAGAGGCCCAACTAATGAAACACCACCGATTGAAACAATCCTCGCAACCTCGTGTTGAACGTTGCCTTGTTACCCGGCCTCGTGGTGTTACCCGTGACCGTCTCACGGTTGAGGTTGTAGAAAACCAGATTGCCGGTAACTTACCGTTCAGTCGGAAGCTCAGATGCTCCCCAGATGTTCTCTTAGACTTCGCCGACGCAGAGACGGGAATGCAACAAAGAAGTCCAAGGCGGCAATGCAGTTATGCGAGTTTGCAATCGTTGCACCGGGACCTACAGGACGCCATTCCGAAAGCAGTATGCAGCTAGCTGACTTGCTTGCTAGCTTACTCCAGGAAGATGGCAGAGCGACTTAGGCGTTTGGGTGTTTGGCTTAAGTCGATGGTTGGAGAAAAACAATGGGCTGACTACTGCAAAGCAAGTTTTGTTGATTCCACCACCATTGCGTGCCCTGCGTGCCGTCACAACTTGACCCGACTTCTTACTGGATGCCTACAAACACAGCACGCAGATCCTTCCATGCTAGCTGACCTAGTTGCCCGGACACGAGCTTACCTGCCTACCTGCTGGCTCTATTAACCACTGGCGATGCAGCTAAAAGCCTCGGCAACTGCTCAATGACGACCACACACTTTTTAACTCAGCACACGATCTCGATCTTGCAAAACCAGGATATGGAAATATTGCGGCCGTTACCGCAATATCGCGCTCCTCTGAAGTATCCCTAGAGGGATAGTAATGAGCAGCGCTGGCTATTATTATCGCTTTCCGCTTGCTTTGCCTCGCCTAACATAAGGCTGCCAAGAGGTGTGTTACCAGACAAGTAGGCTTCGCGACTGGCTACCCCATGCCGGAGCAAGATGAAGGTGGCTAATTTAAAGTGTTGTGGAACACATACATACATATTCCTCCTCGCCATGCAGCGTGTAGCGGTGACAGATGGAAATCCCTTTTCTGCACAAACGCATGTTACTCATGAGGGGTTGGTGTGTTGTCAGGCCAGTGCCACTCCACGATCTCAGCCTCGACTACATCACTGTTACCAGTAGACATGGATAACCCCTGAAGCAAATCGAGCTGTAAACATCCTGGCATGGCAACCAACCTTTCCCTTGCATCTGCGATATCGTCTTAGCTTGCATTAGGTACCTAGGTAGACAGCACGACTTAGGTACGCCGTTGTTCTAGCCTTGGAACCTTACAACTACCAATATCTCCACCGCCGTCAATAGATCTCGAGGGATTAATGACTTGATTATCAGAGAGTGGAAAGACAGTCTTGATCGGCAAGCCGTCCACTAGGATCACCTACCTCCTCCTAAGATGAGTTGTTTCCGGTAACGTTAGTGGGCGCTTCTTCAGCAATATCCTCTTGCATGTATTCCCTGGGCTCGCCTAGACACCACCTTTACCAACATCGTTACGAGGAGGCTTAGTCCACATGTATCTCTGTTCCACAAAGCCGGCTCAAAAGCAAGGCCACCATGTGCCCGTAGACAGACCGATCACCTAAAGCCAAGGACAGGAAATATGTCATCGTAAGCCACTAGGCGACGCTGCAGCTCTATTGCATATGCGGTAGGACGAAGATATAAGAATCCTTTGCCATCCCATCTTTATATCTCTACATCTGCATTACCAACCTCCCCAGCCTACTGCTTTCTTAAAGCTTCACTGACAAGTAGCTCGTTCGCTAAGGTTACTTAAGACTCTCGTTGGATCGTGCTATTCCACGTCGTAGTCCTCCGCGTAGCTTCAACTCACATTCGCTCTACCGGCGCAACATAAACCAAAATGAAGACAATTCTCGCTTTCTTAGGTTTGGCCGCTTCGGTCCTGGCCGGCAACGACCAAGAGACAACTGTCACCGCCACAACTTACGAGACTACTACGGTTTGCCCCATCACGAACACCGTTACCAACGGAGGATCGTAAGTTATTCAAGCATTAAGCAACCAAGACCGGCAACTCACAAATATCTTAGAACCTACGTTGAGACTACCTCTACTACCTCAACCATCACCGTTACTTCGTGCCCAGGAGGTAGCTGTGGAGGAGGAGAGGCAACTGTGACTGCCCCTGATACTACTGTCGGCACCACAACTGCAGTCGAAGTCACTTATACGACAACATGCCCTATCACGGAAACAGTGACGGCTCCTGGCAACACTTACGTTACAACGTACACGACGACAAGTGTAGCAGTCACTTACATCGAAACCACTCTCGTTGAAACTGTATCAGGGCCTGGCGCTACCCAGACCACAGAAGATGTAGCATACACCACTCTTACCTCACTGTGCCCTGTTACCGAGACCAAGACGTTGGAAGGCTCTACCGTCGTGGTTACTTGGACGTCTACCTCGACTATCAAGACAGAAATACCTGTTACTGCTACCGAGTACACTTCATACGCCGTGACCGAACACGTATCCACCGAAGTCTACCAGACTGTCACCTGCCCGGAGACAGTCCACACCACTGTCTCTGAAGGTAGCACTATCTACATTACTGAGACCGGTACCGAGACACTCTACCAGACCCAGGAATACACCATCGTTGAGACCATCCCTGTTACTGCTACCGAGTACACTTCGTACGCCGTAACTGAACATGTATCTACTGAAGTCTACCAGACTGTCACCTGCCCGGAGACAGTCCACACCACCGTCTCTGAGGGTAGCACTATCTACGTTACCGAGACCGGCACCGAGACACTCTACCAGACCCAGGAATACACCGTTGTTGAGACCATCCCCGTCACGAAGACTAAGGAGATCGAGGTGACCATTACCTCGGAAGCCAGTGCTGGCGAGACCGTTACCGCGAGCCCAACTGTCTGGGTTACTTACAGTGACACTACCATCCTCACCAAGTCAAAGCCTGGAACGGTTGTACCTTACCCTACTACCGTCTCGGTGTCTGCTCCTCCTTCTTATTCTCCTTCTTCGTCGGTCGGCACGACCTACGTCCCCTCGTCGTCCACCGGCATCCCTCAAGTTTCCAGCGGTTTGGCACCTCAGGCTACCCCAGCTGCGGCCATCTTGGCCTTGGCTGGCTTTGCTGCCTTGTTTTAGATGAATTTTTTTACTGCAAGGGAATCCCATAATTACGGTACGGGTTCGACGATAGTCACGACAAGGCATGATGAGATTCACGGCGGCACACATTGGAAAGGGGTAGGGTTATGATGATTTGGTTTACGGGCAACGGCCGTTCTATTAATGTTTGATGTCATGAAAGGAATAACGAGGATTGGTTGATCTCCTGATTATATTGATCCGCAAAGTTTATTATTCGTGTATATACATTTTTCAACGCTTCTTACCAAGGCTAATTAGGTAATTTAGAATTCAGAATTTTCCGCCAGAATCATCATCTTCCCTGAATATTGAGAGTGCTTAGCATGTTTATTTGTTATTGTTACCAGCTCATTGTTGCCCCTCCTCTCCTGTGGCTAGAGGGTACATGACAACACAAGCAAGCCTATCTTGTGATCTAACCCCTGACATATACGATCTGCTTTTTTAGTCGAAGCTAGCGCCCTGCAGAAAGTCTTGAACTTAAACTGTGGTGCATAGAACATGCGTTGGCTCCACGCACACTAGTCCTATCTCCCGGTCTCAGCTGAACGCCCTCTTGCTCCTCGCTCCCCACTTGCTATATTCCACACCTCCACAAACACATTTACGTCATTGATAGCTACCGACTCTCAAGAATACGAAGTTTCCCTAGTCGAGAACTATAATGTTGGCTAATATATAGCCCTCTAACAACGTGCAATTTTTAGCGATCCCTTAGGATTTCTCTCTCCCTACGGCTTGAAACCTGTTCCTGTTGGTGTGAGGGACGGCGTGTTGGTAGCAAAAAAGCCGCTCGAACCAGCGCATAAGCCTCGGCAAGCCTTACCACTTAGACTACTTATTAACGCGGAATTCTGAACCATAGTATCGGGAAGTTCTCTCCGGAATCAGAAAGGCGTTAGGGCTGAGATATGTCTCACCAGGATAAACAACTTGCAACAGCAAGACAATGACAAAAGAAAGAAAAAAAGGGCAAGACGTTTAAATTCAAGTCTAAGACATTTCGAGGCTCTTCCCTCGAAATCTGGGCATCTCCCTCTGCAGTGATTCGGATACGCTATAGTAGCCCACCCAGGTCCCCAGGTACCTACCTAAGTATCGGCTAGCTCTCGTGGCTTGCGGGATCTACGGGCAAGCAGGCGAGCTACGCAGTTAGCGCCTCTTCAAGCTCAGTTACCGGGTTTTCCTACTCTAAATTAGCTTAGAACCACTTGAGTACAGATCCAGTTAAATTCTAAAGTACCTACCTATGCATCTAGAAGATAGTTCGCGGTTGCTTCGTTCGTTAGCGAAACAGCAGGCTCTACGTCAGACTTACATATTGGGCTTGTATCCACCGCAACGGCCGTGAGCGGTGACACCCATCCGAAACCGACGATCACTTCGGATATTTCGAGAGACATATATTTGCCAGATAGCCGAAATTGCAATATGCAATAATATATTGACCCTCATTCGGATAGACACATGCATCAAAAACATAAACTCCGGGCGTCTCGGAGTTAGCATGAGGAGTCGAAGGGGCGCATGTATGTAGGTAAGAAGCCATCTCATCTCCACACCAACGATCGGATCGTCTCAGGCAAAGAACTGCAGTTTGTATGTAAGCAAATATTCATTCAATAAGGCCTATCTTATGCAGAAAACATTGCTTACCCCGTCAGCAAGCCACTCAGGCCAAGAAGCTGACATGCAGAATTCCCCAGCCTCCTACATCACCACAAGCTAAGGATGAGTTTGAAGGTGTGTGATACCTATCGTTCGATCTGGACTCAAGCTCAAACAAAAATCCCGCCGAAGTAAGATGACGAGGCTGCTGACGGTGATCGCCTTCCTTTCCGGTCAAATATTGCGAACTTCGCGGGATCAAAACAAGATTTGTTGATTTGAGCAAGTTGACACGCGTGCCTAGGTCTGTTGAGTCAGCCGATAAGTTCGGCCGGATACTAGGTTTAAAGGAAGACACCATAACAACCTTCAAGCAATGTCCTAGGAAGGAAAGAAATTTTATCCCTGCTAGAAATACGTCTGGAGAAAGCCATTATAATCGCGAAATTATATTCGGTAAACGTACTGGCATGATATTTACGTAACAGCTTTAGAGCAAGACGTATTTCCCCATACTTTCATGATAGAGCCATTTCTCTGTGGCTTGAGCTAGGTAGAGGCCAAGTGAACACCAATATCGTCAGGGTTGAATGACATTATTTTATCGACATCAATCTTACTTAGTCATCCCGTCGTGAGATCTAACAAAACAGAGGCCACACTTGAATCAAGGTTCGTGGTGACAGCAACAACCAATTACGCCGCCTAGATTATGCATGCGTAAAAACGCGCCTTCCTAACACCATCCCCTCCGTGACTCGGCCAGTACACCCTATTTGATACACGAATCGAAGAGTTGTATATGCTCACGGAGCATATGCGACAAGAAGCTTTTCGTCCGCCATCCACAAAACAGCCCTGGCTATTCTTATATCGGGCCGATCGTCCCACGCTGCTGTCCCGACCACTTCGCCTATAAAGAGGTCCTAGTTATTATTTCAAGGCTGAGTGAGATGACTCCTAATCATCTAGCGCTTGCAGTGCTTGGTTGAGTGGCACGACTCGTAAACTACGACCTCTCTTAAGACCTGTGCTCGCGTTTGTAACCGTTGGACTGTCGACATCACGCCACTTGCGGAACACGCTTTTCATATCCCGAGGAATACCTTCAAGTACGACCGTCGAGAAAGGAACGAATGGTCGGTCCTCCATTCCCGCCGCGAGAATCCCGTATTCTTGAGCGAACTCCAACGCATTATGAAACGAGGAGTACTGGGATTGGGCTCTGGATCCTACAATGATATACAACTCAAAAAAGGCATCGAGTACGTAAATGCTCTTAGGTTGTAGGTCTCTCTGTGAGAAAGGAGATACCTCAACGATCTGCGGGGTAGCATATATTAGTACCTATCTTCGTAATAAAGGAGTCAGTGTGTGAAACTTACTTGCTGCTTGGAGTCTGCGTCCGATCGGAATAGCCTGCAGCAGTATTTATCGTAGCTCGGCTTGAGACGCCAATGGTCAGCTGACACAGCCGTGGAGTTGGATTTAAAGAGATTCCAGAAAGCTTCTGGTTCGCGACCGTCTTCCATTTCTTCCATTTCGCCTGATAACGCATAGTCCATCCCTATGAGACGTGCGCAACTTAGCTCGTCAACCCCGCTCCCCTTGCCCTTCCACAAGTAACATTTACCAGCCGTCGTCACAACATAAGGAAACCCAGAACAGAGAACTGCAGGAGTAAAGTCAACCTCGTCGAATACAACATGCCCATGATACCGTCGTCCGCATAGCATGTGCGGAGCTAGAGAATCAAATTTATTCCCCGAGCCACGCTGAACGATTACTATACCGCCCAACGCTTGGAGAAACTCGGGTGCTTCTTTACCCTGTTGAAGCTTTACTAGCTTCCCGCCCAAAGCCTTTGCTTCCCGAGCGAGAAATGTCGATGCGTCCTCGACGGTGGAATGAGGAACATCGTCTCCCGCCCAAAAGTAGACTTCCGTGAACTTCTTTCCCGATTCATCCTTGAAAGTATGAGAACACAGATACATCTCACGCTCGAATAGCGTTCGCTCGTGATGGGTGGGAACCGGTAGTTTTTTGCCGTCGGCCGAGAACTGGTACAGTTGGGCGCTTAGTGTTTGAACTCTAGTTGATGCTATATTTGGTCGACGCATTAGTAACTCAGCAGCGTCTACGTTATAGGTCTTTCGGGTGCGTTCAGGGCCGAAAAAATCACCAAGGAGAATGGAAGCATCATGAGATTGTTTGGTGGGTGAGCGTACAGGCGACGATGTCTCGGGAGGCGGTGATTTTGGTCTGGATATTGATAAAGGCCGAGGGACTTGTTTAGGCTCTGCGGGTAATGGGCGACTAGATGACGATGGTGCTTCTGGGTTAGTAGCCGCTGGGACAGTAGGTAGAGGTCGTGCACCCAAGGGCTTGACAGGGATCGGATCGGGCAGCGGCTTCTTGGGCTTGTTCAGTATAGGCGATTGAGGCTGGGATCCTGGTATATCTGAATTAGCAGGTCCGTCAGTGGTTAAATTTGGCTTTGTTACCGGAGGCGTCTCGGTGTCCCTCTTCGTATCCTTCGCTTGCTGGGACTCACCAGTATTCCCAGCATCCTGGTTAGATTCGTCAATGAAGCGTGACATTCGTTTCATATCTAGTTTTCTTGGAGATGGCGGTTGCGAAGTGGGCTCTCTGGTCTCATCAGACGTTTTTGTGGGCGATCGTTGTCTTCTCTGAGCAGCGAACGCAGCTACTTGTTCATGAACTTTGCTCGGTGAGTCTGGCGCCTTGCTAGAAACTTCCCCCGACGTAAACTCGAACGATTTTGTCGAAGAGCCTACGAGAGAAATAGGTTGCGGCTTTGGCGTAGTCGGTTCGTCACGTTCCGGCTTTGAAGAGTCAACCAATTCAGACACTTCAGGCCTTGGCGTAAGACTAGGGGTCCGTTCTGGTAGGGTGATTGAAGAAGGGCGAGCGACTGAGGTCACACTATACGGCTTTTCCTCTGGCTGATTTGAAGCTGTGGTAAGCGCTGAAGTCGGCGCCTTTCTTTTTGGCCCTCTGGCACGGCCCTTAGTCATGTGTGTTAGTCTGGGGCCGGAGCCGGCCTCATTGTCATTTACGTCGGAAGTAGCACTAGACTGCGAATTTGATATTGACGTGTTGTTGGGAGAAGACGCCGGTGGTCCCCTAGCAATGAGACCAGCAAGAGCAGGGTTGAATCGATTTGCCAACCCGCCAGGCTTCCCCTGTAGCCGTCCGGGTATAACCGTCTCCTTCTGCGCTGCAGACGGAGGATCGACATTCTTGAAAGTAGAAACTGCCTGAGCCGATCCTCGTCTAGGAATACTTGGAAGATCCGCCCTGGATGGATTATTTCCTAGGACAGGTTCTCGGTTCTCGACACCACCGAACCGCTGTGCTTTACTAAACGATGAGTCTTGTGCGAAATCAGGTTTTGGTGCCGTACTTGACTTTTCCAAATCCGCCGCTATCGCATCCGAGGCTGCACTGTCCAGCTTTATTGTATTAGATCGTCCAAGTTGACCCCGTCTAAGCAGACCCTCGGGGATTGGCTCCTCGCTTGCTGTGCTTTCCTTCCTTGCGACGTTGACGCCACGGCCTTCCGATTGTGCTTTCTGGAAATCTTTCCTCCTTGACAGAATGGCTTCCTTGAACTCATCGACGCGTTCCGTCTTCTTAGGACCTCCAGTGATATTAAGAGCAGCCTTTCCTTTCAGAATGTTACCCTTGAGCTCATCCGGAGCAACGTAATTCTGTGTAGTTGTCTTCCTTAATTTACTGAAAACATTCTGCAACTCATTTTCCGGGTTAGCATCAGAATTGGCAGGTGCCTGTCGAGGCTTTAAGCCAGCTCGAAAATCTTTTGTGGATGGCACGTCGGCCTTTGGCTTAGCGTTGGGAAGGGACACGTTTGAAAGCTTGCGGTCCGAGTCGGGGCTCTTAACGTCCGGCGTGGTTGGGCTCTGTAAGTCATTCGGAGCAGCGCTACTATCAGAACGAGCATTGATGTTCGTTGGGATGCTGGGGCTAGGAAGACCGCCTAGACCAACTGGCTTTATAATAGCACCAGGAGCCAAGCCAGGAGCAGAAGACCTCATAAGTCCACCGATACTGACTTGGTGTTTATGTGTGTGCGAAACAGTTGGCGATCGACCTCTCTCGGCACTAGGGTTAGATGCTTTTTCAGCTTTCGCTTTCTGAAGTTCTGCCATCCAAGCCGGTTGACTAGCGGAAGGCGCGTGTCTTGGTTTGGGAGATTCAGGCTTGTTTAGGGCAGATTCGAGCCAGCTGGATTTCGTAGGGCTCCATCTCCTAGAATCCATGGTTTTCGAGGGACTAACAGGAATGGAAGGCGTGTCTTTGCCCGACTCTTGATCTTGAGATTCCGGCGATGGCTTGGTATCGATCTTGAGTGAATCGCTAGGCTTCTCTACGTCAGACACATCATCTCCAGGGCGCTCTCCCTCTCGACTCGGCGGGGCTCTTGGTAAAAACTCCGCCGAAGGATCACGAATGATACTTGCTGGTCTTGATCTTGATCTAGATCCACCGGTTGCTCGGTTTGACGAATCGTGCCCAGTACGGTGCGAGACAATAGGGTCTACGCGCTGCGCCCCAGAAGGAGACTGAACACTCCATCTCTTGATGCTGTCCGAGCGCTTCATCATGGCACTCTGTACAAACCCGCCCATCCCCTTGGTTGGTGAGCCTGATCTATCCAATTTGGATGGCGAGGTACGCCCTGAAGGGGGCGACATGAGTTGTGTCCGTTCTTGACTAAATTCAGTGTCTAGCTGGGCATCATTGGCTGGTGGATCTAACTTTGGCGTGCGAGACAAGGGTAAGGGTGAGGCCAGCCTATTGGACATGTCAGGAGAAGTTGGTGGTGGACTAATATCTCCTTTCGGAGCTTCGCCGGACGACACACGCGACATGCCTGGGAGTTGAGCGGGCATCGGAGAAATATCAGCGGTTTCGTCGTCCTCGACCTGATTCTTTCTATAAGCGGCGGAATTAGCACCCCTGTCCGCAGTTTGGCGGAACCAAGAGGGGTCCTTGGAAGACAAAGCTGAAGCAATTTGGTCCCTAGATATAGTTTCCGTTGCCGAGGTAGGTTCAGCAGGAGTATTCCGTGCCAAATTCTCGGCTGCAACAACAGATAGCGGGCGACTTCGTGAACGATCAGAAGCTTGGGAAGTGGGCCGTCTTTGCCACGATAGCCCTCTCGTTGTTCGGGTGGGAGAAACTTGGCCAGTTTGCTTGCGGTCCAAGTCGGTGGGCGATTCGTTCTCTTTCGATGGTGACGTGGACAATTCACCCGGGGAGGCCATTTCTTCGGTCTTTGGAGAATGAAGGCTTGCGGGAGGCTCAAAGATAGGAGAAGAGTCCAAGTTTAGGCGGCCGGTCGGAACGTGAGTATCAATGCGGTGTGATGAAGGAGGTGGGGTATTCGCTGGTGAGGATTTTTGAGGTGATATAGACCTAGCTCGTTCTAGAAGGGAAAAAAAGGTCAGAAATGAGTCACCAAAATCACGATTAACAGCTAATTCGAGGAAATAAACGAAGTATTAATCAATCGAAATTATTCCGTACCTGCGCGGCGAGCCTCCCGTTCTTTTCTCTCTCGTAATATCCTCTCTTCAAGTTCTCGTGAACGGGCCTCATCCTCTTCGATTCGTCGATCGCCCAATTCCTTAACTTGGAGAAGAAATTTGGATACGTCTTCGGACATTTTTTATATTTACCGATAGGACCAAAATATAAACGAGGAGCGTGTTCAATTTACAACACAGAAACGCGTTTAAGGGGGTGGGATAGACGAGGTTTTTCTTCTTGTTTATGCACTTTTCTTCAAACGCACACACAAGATTCGGGTAGAAATCGAGATAGAAAAAAACAACTGTTTCGCCTTGCTCGTGTTTGTGATGCTGGACCTAATTCGAATTTAGGCATGTACCTAGGCAGGCAGTCTAAACCATCTAATTCGTGTTCGAAGATTCTAAAAGAGAATTAATATTTAAAAAAAGAAAATCTACGGTAAACAAGGTTACATATATGTTGGTGCAGCAGCTGCGGGAGACGTAGTCGGAAGTGGGCTCTTGTTTCTTCGTTTATTCGGCTGTCATCGTCTTAAGCCCCCTGCATGGTTGTACTGTCCTTGTCAGCTTGTGCGATTTGGATACTATGGTACACAAACCATCGGCCAATGAAACTTAACGCCTGATGCCTTGGCTGTGAACCCCGTGCCTGGCTGTTGACCCCGAAAAGCTTAATAAAGCAGTCCTATCCTGGTTAGCGTTAACGCCTAAAACCCGACACTCTGCGTCTAGATAAATGTGGGGGGTTTACAATTGAACCTCTAATATTTTCCAAAGTTCCATTCGTTGTCCATTTTGTTTATTGTTGGGCTTTGCACATATAATTGTTATGCTATGATATCATGCTATTATACCTTAGTATACGCCAGCACAACATCCTGTGCTGAAGATTTATCTTCGCATTAAAGGTACATAGGACCATCAGTACAAAAACAATCTCGCCTTAGCATCCTCGACTACCCACGCCAGACCCTCTTTAAGATTCTGTCCCGTCATAGCGCTGCATCGCAAGATATGCCACCGGTGTGTCCGAATAGCCTCGAGCTGTAGTCCTTCAAGAATCTCAGTCTCGTCCATGCATCCTTGCACGTCTGTCTTGTTAGCGAATACCAGCAAACTTGCACCTGAGAGACGCTATACCATTGTCCGGTTAGTGCTGAGTTCGTTGACAAAGAAGTAGATCATTCTATGAAACAGCAACAGTAAGCAAGCAAACAAACCTCTTCTTGTAGCAGTCCATGAAGCTCTTCCCTGCAATCGTCGATTCTCAACCGATCCGTCGCATCGACAACCCAGATGAGAGCATCTGTCTTCTCGAAATAGTTGCGCCAGTATGAACGAAGTGTCTTCTGTCCGCCAACATCCCCTATTCCCACGCAGCCCCTCAATTCATTAGTCTCCGCTCCCGAATCGTTCTCACCACCATTCTGGTTGCCGGTTGCTGGTTGATGGGTGAGAGGTCCTAACTCACATATGTTTAATTTATATCTGCGTGTTATTGTCAACAATTTCAGTTACTGTGTGGAATCGGTAATATCACAGACTCACTCACCCCTCATAATCAATCGTCTTGATGATAAAGCCCAAGGTCGGACTGACGGTGTTGACGTCCTCGTTCATCACCTTCTTGACGATCGTCGTTTTACCTGCATTATCCAAGCCCCTGTTCCCTTATTATCAGCCCAGTTCCAAACTAAGCTTCAATTTTCGACAGCAGCAAACACAACTTAACATAAATGGGTATGAAACCGCATTAAGAAAAGCGGAACTTACAGCATCAGGATTCTCATCTCCTTATCCTTCAGCCGGGCTTTTCGAAGAATGGACAACATCTTTACCAACCCCTTCAGGTGGCGCAGGACTAAGAAACACCCGAAATCGATTTTTATGCCCTGACAAAAACAACGGCCGATAAAGTGTCAACTCGAAAAGCGACGTTGGCAAAATTTGATACAGACTTATTGATGAGGTATGTATAACATTAAGCCTCAAGCTAAGTCCTAATTCGATTCGCGGTCAGTTTTCATATCCGTTGCCTAAGATGTTTTCACGTGATGTACCCAACCATCGCACATAACCCCCCTTTTACCCATATCAATTGCTCCGGAAGCTACCTAACTGGTATGCTTCTGCGCTTCTTGATAGTTCACTTGGGTACCTTCAATTGGAATTTCATACAATTCGGAGTTATGCTACTTATGGTTCAAATGCAATGAAACATTGCCTGCAAAGAAACAAAATACTATTATTAATACTTACGCAGCAATGGCAATTCTTTCCTTCATCCCCGATCCTATTTCTTTGACTTCGACTTCTTCAATAATTTCTTAGTGTTGAGGATCCTGAACTTGCTGACTTCCCGGGCCTCTGCATAGTCGTATACTTTCACCTTGCCGGTGGCTAATGTCAACAAGTGTCTCTCCCATGGCCCCATAGTCTCTTCTACCAAAGTCCGGGTATATGGAGCATTCTTGTCGGGGCCTATATATTCCCAGACCCAACGTAGCCCCTGAGAAGGGTTATCCGCTCTCGCGACTGCATTCTTTCCGTTTTTACCCGGCTCATGAATGACTGTGCTGGAAGTGCCGCCGCGATCGATGGCGTCTTCTACGGTGGCGTTGGTAATATCAGCCGAACCCCTTGCGCTTCCTCCACCACTTTTTGGCCCCCAGTTGGCATCCTGCCGGACGGGGTTGAAGGTATCGGGTACGCGCCGAGGACGCCACGACCGCAGCAACGCGGGACATTCCCAGAGGTTCGAGTCGTCAAGGCCTAAGCCCTCGCAAGCCAGGCGCACGCGAACCGAGCTATGGATGCGCTCGTTCGTATCCTTAAGAAAGGCTCGCCTAGGGCTTCCGTTATCCGGATTGGCCTTTTTGTACAAGCCCGGCGAACGAGTGACGCTCCCAGTAAGGTTGTAGATGGGACTAGAGACTGAACGAATGCTGTGTAGAGACCATGGGCGGATGGGCTTGCTCGTATCGAAGATGTCTTTTGTTGCCCAAAGAAGAGGTTCTTTGGCATTTGAACGGCAGGGCCTACAGCAGACTTTGGCACATCTCTCGCGCTTCGTCTCTTCTGGCTTCAAACTGTGGTAAAATTGCACGTTGCGATCGTGAAACCGTTCAAGAGCATCAGGTACGAACTCGCAGCCGATGGAGGAAAGTTGATCCATCATCCCTATCCAGGTGTTAAATTTAGGAAGAACCACATTGAAAAGAGAAACTAACAGGCAAGGGTTATATTAGCAACCCCTTGGTCTTTCCAGCCTCCACCGACATTGCCGTGGCTTCCGGGAAACCAAACTTGTCGAAGATCTGAAGTGTCACGATACTCCGGCTGCCGTTCCCATAGAGTCGGACTGAATGGGCCGCGCGTCTCATCTAGCGCGAGCGCGTGGAACCCATGTTCGATCTTGTTAGACAATCTAGTATTGTAGAATCGGTATGTAGGTTATTGTTAGTCTCAAAAGTTTAGTTCTTTGGAATTAGGTAGACTTATTCGTGATTGCGCATTTTAATACCAAGTCGAGCAAGTATTTCTCTTGGCTTTCCCTGAGGAATACCCAGCGCGCCAACTGTATCCCATACGCCTATCATACGTCAGCATTTACCGACATCCAACTTGCCGGCCGTATCTAATAACTTGCCGATGGCTTTGACCTTAATCAAGTCCCCTTCGCCTTTCTCCTGGTGTAAACGGGTGTACCCTTTCTGTCTCCAGTTAACAGCCATGAAACATCCAGAAACGTGGCCAACAAAATACCTCAACCAGCCTTTTTCTATATTCGTCCCCCGCATGTGGCCCTTTCGGTTTGTCAGGGAATGGAATCTGAGGAAACTGATCTTTATAATCCGGATTCATCCAATTCTGCATATCCTTGAAGATAGGGTAGAAGAATTCCATGCCTTCACGGGTGAGCAGGCCTAGATCGGATATCATACCACCAATGGACCTTGCGGTGAAAGCTCCGCGACTAAAGCCGACGAGGACGATCTCATCTCCGTCGACGTAGTTCGCGCAGATATAAGCGTATGCTTCACGAATGTTCTATTCTCATGTGAGCCTCTCAAGCCGGTTATAGATGAATTGCTTCAGTTCCGAACCTCTGCTATACCAATTCCAAATGCGCCACCAAGGACTCTGTCGATTGGGCCCGATCTAGAACCAACACCGGATTGGTAGTAGACGATTTGGAAGGTGTCGTCAGAACAGGTCCTCTTGAAAATTCTCGAGATACGTGTCACGTTTGAGGGGATCTGGAGGGTCGGGATGGGGTTAGAGGAGGTCGGCTGAACATAGCCATTGTCACTGAGACTTGTCAACTATCACCGTGATTAGATTTACTATACGTGAATTACTTACGAATTCTGCCAAGTGCCATCACAACAAACCACGATCCTTTTTTTCATCGCGGAAAAGAGTCGTACGACGATAAGTTGATACGAATTTCTGATTAAGGGGTCGATCTAGTGTATACAAGAATGATAATTCGAGAAAAAGGATACTAAATATAAATGCTCACACTAGAAACGAAAAGCCGAGCCTCGTCGTAATCTGGCATGTCTCGACATATATAAGACTTGCTACATTACTGTTGGACAAAGTCTGTAGGGCAAAGTAGCGAAGTTCGATAACCAAGCCTCCTCCAACCAATTTCGGAAGAATCTCACATGTGATGAAGGAAGGTCGCACTTGACGAACGAAGCCATTTCCACAGTGATATAAGTAGAAACGGGAACCCTATCCGAGGTAAGTTTCAGGACTTGAGCTCGTTCTTACCAACAGACTACCCACCTAGGGTTACTCAGGCAGGCATGAATAGTTGTTGGATCGCAGTCATGCGGAATATTGAAGTTTTGCAAGAGCCTCGTAACAGTAACCTAACTAGTTATCCATCTGTCATCTGCGGCAGTAAACCGGAATCCTTGATTTTTACGCCATTGTACTTCGAAAATAGATCGGTGACAATATCTGATCCGATGGCGTTTGAGGCGGCGGCTCATTATCAATGCCGAGACCTACAATTGGATAGTGTCGTACCACATATGTAACTGCACTTACATGTGGTTACCTTTTCTGCAAGGAGCCATCTACTAATAGAGGCATCTCTCCTTCTAGGTAGGTATTTGGAGATCGAAAATGGCCTCGTTTATTGCATACGCGTTGCCAGAGTACATGCATATGTAGTTCCCTTTAATTGAAAAATACCAATAATCCATTATCCAATTATGTTATACTGGGTAACGTTGATAATATTAGCTAACCTTAATCTCTTCAAATCATTTCGTTGACAAACATCAACTTTAACTATTGCCATAAAGATGATTCGGAAATCTGCAGCGTTTCTGTTGAACGTCAGATAATAATCAGCACAATTCTAGGCACTGATATTTACCTAGGTACGAAAATTCGGCAGTTAGGTCAAACAAGCATCCACCCAAACATCCATTGTAGAAGCGGTTGTCACGGTACTTAGGCCATCTGACCCCGATGAATTGAAAGATTGCGGCCCAGCTCGACTCAGCTCACCTCAGCTAGCAGCCTCATCCTAAGGGAACATCACGAGTTTATTAGTGAGTTATTCCTAACTATCCCTAGCTATAACCCCACTCACCTGACTTGAGATGAAAAGAGTATCAAGCAACCCGGGGAACATCGGTCAACTGCGTCCTGCAGTATCTCACAAACGCCGCAGGTTTGCAGTTCTAAAGTTCCTGGTTCACCTACATGCATAGCCGCCGTGATATGCATGTGGTCTTATTAGCCTAGCCAATCGTCCTGAGCCTCGTCCTGAGCCTCAAACCATACCTAGCAGGCGATGGCGCGATCCTTTAGCATGCTCTGCATATGCGGCACGTGGGGGGCCTCACCGGGCTTCCCATTTTAAGCATCTCCAACCCCCTTACATAATGATCGCAGGGAAGGTTGCGTGGCTGGATGGGCTTATCAGCTAACCTGACGCTACCCCTCATCCAGCTATTCTTCCACATGGTGCGGCTAACCCTGGAGCTGGCTGTCTAGCTTTCTAGCATTCATATAAGTTTGAGCTGAGGGATATCTGATCCCACAGCTTCATCCGTAGCTAGTTACACTATGATAAACTTACTCTGATGAGACCCAGCCGATGAACAGCACGATGGCCAATGAACCGAAAGATTCCGGCGTCTCCTTCGCTCAATTCTTCGATCGGTGCAAATTACCCCCAAGCGTCAAAGATGACTGCGATGCGTTCGTAAGATCAAGGTATTCCGAGCAGATCCGGCCAGCTCCATTCCAGGGTTACTGTTCTTATACAGTATTTGTCGGGGAGGAGTCTGTCGTTCAATTCAGACCACTAGCCCACAAACTTGATATTGGGATCACAAGCACTGCCTGTAAAATATTTGGTCCCTTGGCTCCCGAAACGGAACTACTTGGGGAGCTAGAAGGTACTGGCCTCTATGTCTTTTCTATGAGGCGGATACCGGGCGTCTCACTTATGGATCTTCGTACCGAAACCAAGCTCGCACTGGGAAGGTCACAACGAGTACAGGTGGTGAGAGACTTCGCTCACCTACAGGCAGCGACTTGGGCTTATGCGCAAAACAATGAGAGTATCCAAGAGAAAAAGACGGTCGGTTCGTCAATCCGGTGGCGATTAGAGCTCATGGCGAAGAAGCTCCCTTCTCGCTTCCGCGGTATCGCAAAATCGATCCTTCTCGATCTATCGGAAATCGAGGCTCTACCTTGGGTTCTGAGTCATGGTGATTTCCTACCTTCGAACATCATGGTAGATCCAAAATCTGGAAAACTTACGGGTTTGGTCGATTGGACGGAGGGCGAGTTTCTTCCGTTTGGAATTGGCATGTATGGCTTACAGGAACTTCTAGGAGAAGATAGAGATGGGCATTTCGTATATTACCCCGAAGCGAAACATCTTCGAAAGCTTTTCTGGGCTGAGCTTTTTTCAAGCATTCCAAAACTGCCTCGGGATGCCCGACGCGTTGCGCTAATTCGAAAGGCGCAGCTTCTAGGCATATTCTTGTGGCACGGGATAGCGTTTGACAACGGTAAATTAGATCGAGTTGTTGAAGAAGGGAAGGACGGCGGAGAAATTGAAAGGCTCGACGCTTTTATATTATCTCGTACGAGGCCAGGGTCTCGAAAGTTGCGGCTTATGCGGCCGTTCATGGATTCGCCTGTTGGATGTATACGCGGGCTTCTATCTGGGAAGGGATAATGATGTTGACGATACCTCTTATTTCCGCACTGATTTACCAGACTGACTTGTAAATTACCTAGGTATGTAATTGAATGTAATGATATTTATCATACGTAAGTGTTATCGTATTCCTATTAGTACTGGTATTCACACAGGACCTAATTACTAGGACACACAAGTTATATCTACCAACTTCGGGAACAAGCGACAGACGTTTAATTATATCCGATTCATGGTTAGATTATCCAACAACTTTAGCATACTTGCTCATAGAAATAAGTTATCATTCACGAAGGCCTGAGGGGCTCCTTCCTACGAAGATCGGTTAGTCCCATCGCCATTCGTCGTGCCGTTCAAGGCGCTATTTTGACGATCGCCAACACCATTCGCCGCAAGAGCCTTCTGCCAAGGCAGCGGTTCCTTAGCCGGCTGGACCGGCCCCAAGTCGCCAGCCCTCCGTTCCTGCCAGGCCTCGATATCTCTATGATCAACGAAATTCCCATGGAACCCGAGCCGGAGCCTCAGCGGCAGATGCAAAGTCGCCAGCGGGCCCTTCGCCAGGTTCAAGGCATCCCAGATGACCACGTCGTTGCGCAGCTCGTCCAGGTTGTTCTTGAGCGCGGCCAGGTACCCCTCGCCTTCGGCGCCGCCGTCCTTGGGGATGAAGACCGGCTCCTGGAAGGTCGCGGTCGGGCCCGCGAAGCACACGTCCTCTTTGCCGGCCTTGCGCGGGTCCGACGCGTCCCAGGTGTAGTGCGCCATGCAGTTGAAGAGCCCGCCGGCGGGCGGGCCGCAGCGCGCGAAGTCGTACGGCCGCGACGGGTCCACGCGCAGCTGCCAGAAGTGCGAGTACTGCTTCGTCACGTACCGGTCGTCGATGCGCGAGAACTCGCCCGACGTCGTCCACTCGACCGTCGGCGCGACGCGCGTTCCTGATTTGGCGGACGGGTCGAATACCCACCGGCACGTCGGGCTGCTGAGGCGCTGGCGTCCGGCCAGATCGGGTTCTTCGCCGTCTGGTGGGAACCAGAAGAATACGTTGCCGTCGGCGACGGTCAGGTCGAAGATTATGTGTCCGTCTTCGTTTTCGTAGCATCCTGCTACGTGGCCGTGGAAACCTGTGGTGCTTCGTTAGAAACATTGCGCCAACTTTGCTTAGTCTGCCGGATATATAAGTAGACTTACCATTGTCAGCCCGGAACCATTTTACGTCCTCGGGTTTGCCGCCGCGTCTCGGCACTATGCCGTAGACCTGGTCTTCGTTAGGGTCCCAAGCGAACTTATTCCCACCAGCCTTGAGCCGCTCGAGCGACATCTTCAGCGGCGTCAGGGGGAGCACGAGGTAATTCTTCGAGATACCGCAGTCGTGAATCATGCCCGCGAACGGCGCCTTGAACCAAAGCTCCTCGGTCTTGCGGCCGTCGGCGTCGATCGTCCAGCTCACGACGTCGACCCCGCAGTCGGAGCCGTCGGTCCCGGCCTCGTACGCGAAACACAGCATCTCGCCGGTATCCGGGTCGAACTTGGGGTGCGCGGTGAACGTCGGGGCCGTGATCTGGCCCTCGAAGTCGTAGCGCCCGATCGTCTCCAGGGTCACGGGGTCCATGGCGTACGGCGGGCCGTCCTCCTTGCTCGCTAGGAGCATGCCCCGCCAGAAGGTGATGTTGGTGTTGCTGACGGTGCGGATGACGCCCTTGACGCTCTCGTTGTCCGTGTACGGGTTTCGGTACCGGCCGAATAGAGCTTGCTTCGCCTCTTCTTCTTTGAGGAACTTGTCCGTTCGCACGTACCGCTGCTTGAAGTTGGCGTGTCCGTCTTTGATCTGGATTGCCGTCACGGCGCCTAGTTTACGCAGTTGCTTGTTAACAGACTTGTTCTCTTTCCAAGTATACAGCATCTCTCGACGTACCGTCTCCGTTCTATTAGCTCGGATGTCAGTGGCAGTCCATTGTCATATACAGGCTTTCAAGTCGATAGCCAACTTACGAAGTGAATATCATCCTCGAACATTGGTGGAAACCGATGGTCCTAAACACCTTTTAGCAACCTATCTCATGAACCGTTCGAAGCCGAGGTTTTTTTTCTTACGGGTTGCACGCGGTAGAAAGTCCCATTGATGTCGCGAGGGATCTCCCCCGTAACCTCAAGGTCGACGATATCTCCCTCGAAGCGCGCAGGCTTGTTCATCCCCGAGAAAGCAAGCGTATCTGGGAACTTAACCCGACTTCCCGTCCTCTTCCCATTGCTATACGGATATAGCGATACCTCGGGGGCGAGAGCTTCAAGATGCGCCATGGTTACGCCTGCTTAGTTAGTAATTGCAAGTAGACGATTGGATTGCGAGACCTCTCTCTCGGGAACGTTATCGTTCTCATGTGAAATACCACGTCGGATCATCTTGCTGCAGTCGGGGCCGACTCAACATCCCGACGGCGTACGATAACATGACTACCGCATAGTATAACTCGACTCACTAGAACTATTTAAGGTGTGGAGAAGCGGACACGATCTTCACGCGGTCGGCAGTTATCTACGGGGACACGACAGGGATTGGACCATACGATTCGACAGAGCCTTTCACCTACATACTCTAGAATCAAGTCTGCTACGAGATGACAGAAGCTAGACATTGGGGAAGTGGGGTCGATTCATGCGAAAACATGGTCTCTTTACCCCGGATTCTAGGCATGTTCTCCCCTATTCCCCTTTAGGCTATATGTATGCAACCCTCCACCACCCATTCTACGCGTGCTCAACCAGATCAGGCAGAACCCTCACTGAGCCCTCGCTCTCCCAGGTCTTCCCCGCTCCAGGTCGGCTCTGGCCTTCCGGCAGTGCCAGCGTGAGCGGTGCCTCGGCGGTGCTCGCGTCCTTGCCATAGAGCGGCGCGCGCAGGTCGTCGTCGGCGGTCTTCTTTCCCGTCACCGGGTGCGGGTAATGGAAGGGCACGACGCGCGTATCGGGCCAGAGCATCTTCTGCTCGATGATCTCGTCGGGTCCGAGGGGGTCCTCGGGATACGTCTTGGTTGGCCACGGGACGTAGTTCTCCTTCGTCAGGGACCAGCCCTTCTCGTGCTCGGCATGCCAGAACGGGAAGTATCGGTACCGGAACAGCTTCCAGACGCCGTTCTCCTTGATGTACTCGTTCTCGTAGAGCCCGCCTTCCCACCATTGAACGTGCCCGCGCGGGTGGATGTCGATGACGGACTTGTGCGTCCCGGCTTGCATGAGAGCGCGCATCCGGCACCAGGCGTGCGTTCCGCTGGGGTCGACGTCGACGATATCTTGCATCATGATATGGTCGAGTAGAAAACCACGAACGGGTCCGTTGCGGCCGTTGACGAAGGTTTGCTGGAAGCGTCCGTTATAGAGCCGTTTCACGCCTTCCTTTCCTCGATACCGTGATCCAAGGAACTCGACATAAGTGTCTGGATGATCTGCGTACATGTCCACAACCTGAAATCACATTGATTAATAGGGACAGGCTGGGTAATGGCATTGCTTCGCCCACCTCGTTGTATAGACACTTGTCAAGATAGTAGCCATATTTGAAGTGGACTTTCCGCACTTCAGCTTCGTCTGAGATACGCGAGACCTCCTTTCGGAGGAGGGAGACTTGCTCCTTCAGTTCATCTAGCTCGGACGTCATAGTGATTCGGGACAAGTTATAATAATTAATGTGGTCAAACGCGAGTTTCCAAAGACTCCCGTATATATTCGTATACGACTGTCAGCCTGATAGCTAGCTAACTTAGAATATATATGAGCTCTGTTCCGAGCTTATGAGTAGCCTTGTCTCCGCTGCCATCTTTGTAACGGCTATGTCATGGGACTAAGCTGTATAGAGTCCCTGAACCTTGGCTCGGCAGATATATCCAGGTCATCAAATACCCAAAGGAGCATCGTCTAGGTGCGGGGAGCTTGTTGACCCTGCGGGGAGATTCTGGTGGCCATCCGCCCTGTTATGGGATTTGGAGACTCCAAATGAAGCAATAAAAAAACAAGGTGGGTACTACGTAGGTAATGAAACAGGTGTTAAGAAGTGCTCGTCATTGCTCTCTCTCGGGAAAGCATTGGCGAATCATGATGGGTGATGGTTGGTTCGGGGAAGAATAGAAGGCACCGAAAGGATATATACCCGAGTCTTAAGGCCAATAGAAGAGTCCTTATCAGAAACTTGATCTCGCGTACCTCTTAGCAAACTTTTGCATTGGATAGGTACGTTCAGAGACACCCAGGTGTAGGCACAACGTAAAGGAGAGGTTGGTTGGGAAGTTCGACGTCGTACACCAATCTTAGCCGCTCGGCTATGCAGATATGCAGATAATAAGATATAAGAATTTGCAACTAATGCGATAGCTTATATTGGATTATTGCACAAAGCCGTTGGCTCGCTTCTGAAATTTGCTTTTTCAAAATGGATCTCATCCCGCTTGATCATCTTTTCAGCAATACCGAATCCACCCTTCTATGACTAGTAGGTAATGGGAGAAGATTTAGTCGACTTTTGTGAAAGAGGTCTTCACATTGTGTTGTTCGAGCAGATTATCTTGCCCCAGTCAATCTTGAGTGACTTTTTCCAGCAGTTGCGGATTATGAATTAAACGTCTGGTCTTAGGATATGCCAATGGAAGGCATCGAACGCTTCCAACCATGACTTCCTTTGAAACTAGAGGAGTTAGTTCTGGATTGCGACACTCCTAGTTTTCCTCCAAGTTTTCTAGCTTCGTATGAGCCTTCCTTGATTTACTAAGTTAAGGGGTTAGGAGGAAAGAGCTTCGATACTTAGTTAGTAGCTAACCAGGATGCTATATCTCCCATCTTCCCATTTTCAGTCTATATTATTCTCTTGCCAATCCCGTCTACATTTTCGACGATGTGAACCTCAGACGACTACAAGCTCCACTCATCAAATCCCACTATAGCGTTATATGATAGGTCTATTGTCAAACACAATCTACTATATTCAGCATTATATCCAGTTCCCTTTCCATCCCTAACTTCGCTATACCTCGAAACGCTCACCCTGTTCCCCGGAGCAGTATTCAGCTTGACTCCACAATCCCTTTCAGGATGGTATCAGCTAAAACGTTGTGCGCCTTCGTAGCTGCGGCTTTTCTAGCATTTCCCCGAGCAGGATGGGCTCTCGAAGACCCTTGCACGGGGGTTCTGATTTCAGATGTGCGGTTCTAGCTAACTAAAATGAGATGAAGCTGACAAGATGTCACAGGCACTTCCTGTTCTTATCGAGCAAGACAATATTCGCAGGCATCTACAACGTCTGCAAGACATCGCTGACGCAAGCAATGGGAGTAGAATGGCTGGTTCCGTTGGCCATAATCGAACAATCGAGGTACAGTTTGATAAATGAGCACGCATACGAACCTCTTCGGTAGCTAATTGGATTTTGAAGTACATCAAAGACGAACTTCGCAACCTAGGGTACTACGTCGAAACTCAGAAAGTCGAAGCAATGATGCCAGTCAACAGCGATGCCGTTCTGAGTGTGAATGGCGACCATTTCCCAGCCGATCCAATCGGATGGTCTCCTTCTGTAACGCTAATCCAACATCGTCTCGTCGTAGTTGCAGAGGATGGATGTAATCTTGTGAGTAGTCCAGTGGCCAGTTTTAATCATGATCGCTGATATGACTAGTGGGACTATCCTTTCGAATCCATGGGGGCGATTGTGTTGGTTAATGGAGATGGATGTTCTTTCTCTCTCAAATCTAGATATGCCCAAGTCGTCGGGGCAGATGCCCTTATAATTTACGAGGACGCGCAGCTCATTCCAAATCTAGGTCAACAGAGTCGCTTTAATGTCCCGTCAGTCAGGATATCACAAACGGCTCTGCGCGACATAATGAACCTGGAACCTCCGTTATACGTTGATCTTTTTAGGGTTTCCTCGGAACTTCAATGGGTCTCCAGGTTAGTAATATCAAATAGTGAGATATTTCCATCGCTAATTTCAAAAGCCACAACGTATTCGCAAGTTAGGAATGTGGCGACGACGAAAAGACGTTGTTGGTTGGGACACATACCGATTCGGTTGATGAGAGCGCAGGCATGAATGACAATGCGGGCGGTATTGCCAGTCTTCTCGAGGTAGCCGCCCAGGTCACGAAGTTCAAAACCAAGTCAAGAGTCAAGTTTGCGTTTTGGACTGCGGCCGAACCCTGCTTAATAGGCTCGAAGTATTTTGTCCAGAACGCCTATCCAGAAGAACTTCGGAAAATTCGACTTTACCTCGATGCCAATATGCTCGGCTCGCCAAACGGTGCGCTGAAGATCTACGATGGAAGCGGCACCTCCTTCCGGCACGAGAGCGTTGCGCCCCTCGGCTCTAAGGACGCCCAGGCGACCCTAGTGAACGGGTTTGAGGCTCAGGGTGCGGAATCGATCATGAGCACTAGAATCACCAACCGTAGTGACTATGCCACATTCTTCGACGCTCATATACCTTTTGCGGGTCTATTTAGCGGTGCCGATGGACTCAAAACCGAAAAAGAGGAAGAATTATTCGGAGGCAGAGCCGGGTATCCATATGACGAAAACTACCATCAGCCGGAGGACGATATAACAAACATCAACATGACAACTTTATTCCTGAACACCAAGGCCTTAGCTCACGCTGTCGGGACATACGGAAGGAGTTTCGATGAATTTACTGCATTGACAATGTCGGCAGCCTGGCGGTATACGACAACGGCAAGATACTCGACCCTAATAACTCAGGCATGGGTGACTTACAGCTTTCTTGCATACGCCTTGTAGGCTAGTTATGTCGGTTTCCGCGTTGTCATATCTCCATTGTTATGGAGCTTCGAAGAGGGTATGCTGAGAACGAATAGTGTTAATTAGAATACCTAAAGCAAGCTGCGCGATAACCCCTAAGCTTAGCTATTCTCTGTAGTCAATAATCATTTCTTAGTAAGCGTAATATCCACATAGCAAGTGAGAGTAGAGACAATTGGTCAATACCCACTCCTTTCTGCTCTCCTTTCCTTGGTACCTACATAGAATTTCGTCTTTTCCAAGCCGCATCAGCGTCTGGGTGAATCTGAGGCACCTCGATATCCTTCCTCAACTCCTTCTTCCGCTTCCAATCGCTGCCGAACCTCTTATCGCGATCCGCCACCGCCTTCTCGAAGTCGAACTGACCATCGGCCGTGAAACTCGTCATGAGCTTAGGCTCGCCAAACGGCAAGGCGTTGCCGCGGTCCGTCTGCCATAAGTGATACACCTTGCCGTACAGCCCGATGACGTGCTTCATCTCCTGCGTCTCGGCGGCCTCCCACGCCTGCTGCGCCCCGGGGACGGTGGTGGGGCCCGGCATGATGAGCATCCCGGATTTCACCTCGTACACGTGCGAGTGCCAGAGCTTCCGCTCCTCCGGGTCCAGCGTGGCGTAGAATTTGGGGGTGATCATATACTCGATCCCGATTAGCCGCGCGTTGGGGCCCGGGCTGTCGTAGAGGATGCATTGGCGGACGTCTGTGAGCTGTGTAAATACTTACATATTCGGTTTGATAGAAAGGATGAAAGGGAATGAGATGGGATTACCTTCGGTTAGGTGAGCGCAGTAGTGGTTCGCCTCGACGTACCGGCCGGGCTCGTCGGCGTACGTGTGGAAGGCGTTCAGGTGGGCGCAGAGCTGCTTCACGGGCTGAAAGTCTTGGATCATGGAGGCGCCGGTCTCGAGGACTTTGTCTTCGGCTGTAAGTGGGCCTCCGGGAACGTGATGGGGGTGTTGATGGGTTGTCATGGCTGTGTATGGGTTTGATGGGAATAGGGGCTAAGATAGGGGTTGGGGATGGGGTTTATGGTTCATGTATTCGAGTTAGATAAACCGTATTATAGTGTTTAGCTTTGCATATGAAGATGAGATATAGAGTGTTTAGTCTAAAAGAGACTTAAGACGGCCAAGGCCACGAAATGATGTATATTTATACAAATTGTATCTTGGGGCGAATATACGTCGGTATGACCTACCTAGTCATTTCTGTGGCCTATCCTATAGAAATGTATTTAGTCATCAATTTACATTCATGTTTACTATAAGTAAACCACATTGAATCACCACAATCGATAATAGCAATGACAATTCTGATGTCATAGATGCGTTGTTCCCCGCCAGGTTATTCATTTCAGGTCGTTCTTGGACCACCTCGGAGGTACTTAGAGTCTTAGGTAACGGCAATCGACTTAGAAAATGAACAGCGAATTGATTGTTCTTTCTAGTGTACGTTTATAACAGGTTCCAAGTGGACTGAAACGTCTGTAGGAAACTTTAAGGCATAGAAAGTTAAGTTGTTACTAGATTCTAACTTAACAGGGAGGCCACGTGATATCCCTTGGCGTCACATCACAATGATGTACCCCACACGGCCCACGGTGTTTCTGGCCATAGCGTCATCTATCAGCGAACGAAACGAAGGAGACGGGCCGAGGCCGTTGCACCTAACTCAACTCACCAACCGGCGCGACGAGACCGTTTCATCCCATCCACCCAACCCAACACCACATATCCAATTGTGCAACGCCAATTAACGATGCTGTTGTGGATGTCGACCATAAATTGACAATCGTAGTTCAGAGCAAATCCGGGAGTCTATTCCCAACCAAAGCTATGGCGGCATCCCGCCGCGGCCAGCCCGAGCTGCAAGTCCGGCTTCCTTCCACCTCCAACGTCGCGACACCCGTTACCTTGCCCGATCTGCCTCCCATATCCGCCCTCTTCCTGATCAATTTCGACGTGAAGGCCGGCTATACCATCTCGTGGAAGGCTGCACAACCCGGGGTCGAGCTAGAGGGCGTCGTGGAGTACAAGTCCCTTCCGTCCGGGCTACATACTGTCTCTGAGGATCTGATATATTTCGTGCATGACGGGTATGCGGGGTTGAGCGCGTTCGTTAATGCGCCCGTTGAGGATAGCGAGGTGCGCAATGCCAGGATGCTCGCCGTGGGAGTGCTGGTGCCGTTGAGCTATGGTCGATTAGGAAGAGCTTGGAGACATGCCGAGCGTTTGAAAGCGATAGCATCGGCGCTTGCTATGGATAACAAAGATATCAGCTTGTTGGAAGATTATTGGCAAAAGTGTCAGGCTGATCAAGAGTCGGCTATTCCAAGTGAATCCATCGAATCTCCCACAGTCACTTTCCAAACGCCCTCGAAGTTGTCCAAGGGCCACCTTAGGAATCGTTCGGCCTCTGATGGAGCAGCTTTGCTTGCGCCTGGCCATAGACTATCGCCATTCCATCCTGCTTGGAGCCTAACAAAGTTGTTAGACACATTCGGTCCGCTAATATTTCCAATACATCGTGCTGCATTGCTGCGCAAGCGCATTCTAATATCGTGCCACGCACCCGTACAGGAAGCCTGCAATTTCGGTTTGTTACAATTAATCTCACACTGCCAATTATAACATCACTAACGACAAAGCTAGTTTACGACATATCTATTCTATCCAATATCCCCCAACCAACCTTTGACATCCTATCTTCCAGCTCACCCCCACATCGCCTACGACCACTCTTCTCCATCGGCGTCCACGACATCCCCTTCCTAATCGAAGACTCTAAGTCCAAACCCAACACCAATGACCCCTCAGATAATGAGGCCGAGGTGGAGACCGGCTGGATAGCCTGTACGACCGACAGCATCCTCGCCAAGAAAGATACACTTTGGGACGTCCTCGTCACCATGCCGGCTCCTTTCTCCTCCAACGCGAAACGCCACGTCTGGCCCAAGATCGAGGCTCCGCAAGGCGTTTCCATCAAAGCGACCCAGCGCGACTTACGCCGCTTCCGCTCCCTCAAAGCCGGGCTCGCCCGCCTACAGGCTACCAGTCCCGGCACCTCGCCCACGACTCCAGGGACCGTGGCTCAAGAGGTAGACGACCCGTTCCTCGACGAGGCCGAGGAGAGGGAGGTCGTCGAGCCCCTGAGCTGGACCGCGCTCGCGTATAACGGGTTCATGTGGTGGGCCTCGGCCGGCGAGCAGGCGCGCGCGGAAAGAGCCGAGGAGAGCGCTCGCGAGGCAGAGCTCCTGGCCGACTTGTCCTCGACGCGGATGGAGGGCCCGCGCGCTTCGGCGGACCTCTCGACGTCTATCGCCTCGTTGGCTCTGCGCCGCGCTTCCTCCGCACACGCCGATCCGGACGAGGCGCGCGCGGAACTCACGCTCATCACATACTTCCACAGGCTCACGACGCAGATCCTGGGGACCTTGGCTGATATAGTCGAGAGCACTAGCGACGAAGACGACGATGACGTAGCGGAGGAAGGGGAAGAGGACAGCGACGACGCGGCGCTGCTCCCCGATTCCGGAGAGGAAGAGATGGACGCCCGAGGTATCCGCATCGAGAGCGATGCCGTAGCGCGCATGGGTCTCGATGTCTGGAGCGCGGCGGACGCGGAGTTCGTGAGGGCGGCGGTGAAGATCTATTTTGGCCGCAGGGCGTACGTCGAGGGGAAGGGGGTTGAGGTTTGCGGGGTCAGGGTCTGCTGAGTAGATCTATATCAAGCTGGCATGCGCTAGTGACGACGAGAACGGGGCCGAGGAGTGAGGAGTCGAGGGAAGGGGAAGTTCTATTTATTGTATAATTACAGGCTTTGGCTTACCACTGGTGAGAGAAGGCCGGGAGTGCGGTAAGGTTAATGGAGAGGGTTAATCAGTGCAGATGGGAAGGCGAACGTGGCGCTTTTCTCCCACGTATTTAAGTGTATACCGCATCAAGTATCCTCGTATAAAAACCAGAAACTTACATGAATACATTATTCAAATATTTAGGAAGACGCTCGTGGCTTTTTCTGCTTTCAGGGATGGCCTTAGGGGGGCGTCGGATGGAAAGTCTATGCCTTGTTTCTAATTATATAGAACGACAATAGGATCGAATGAATGTAGATGATCAGATGTAGATGAAGAATGGAACTCAAATATATTCGAAGTGGATAGACCTTGATCGACATGTTGTTAGGTATTAAGACAACTTACATAGGTCTAAATCCATAACAATCTCCTTTTACCTAGGTACCTACCATATTGCCATGATACCAGAAAGCAGAAAGCAGAAAACTACGTGAAGTAAACACGACCCTCACAAAAACACAAGGCACAGGTTGAACATCAGAATTAAACTTATAATCTGCGCAAAGCGTGGACTTGCTATAGTCTATACGCCTATCGCAAATACCCTCCCAACGCCACGACGCCAATTCCATGCTGCTGTAGCGTTCGTACGCGTTTTCTTTTTGTTTTTCGCACAATACTAACTTTACACTTGTACCATCCATCATCGGGGAGAAGGTGACTTCGCAGTCAACATTCGAGAGAGAAGATAGGAACTGAGATGCTCCTGTCAAACACCACAGTCTAGTCAAGGGGAGTAAGGGTAGGGGTAGGTTTTATTAAGAGTCCCGATTCATGATACGATCCATTAGGGTATTTGTATCCTAGGACTCGGGTTCGGTGTCGGTGTTCGTCTCACTAGTATCATCTTCTTCCTCCTCGGTACCGCTCTCGTCGTCATCATCATCCGAGTCGTCGTCATCTTTTCGTCTCTTAGGCTTTGTCGTGCCTGCAACACTACCGCCCTTGAGAGCGCTCATCTGTCCGGCAAGAGAGTCTGTATATCGATGTTAGAGTAGGTCAGATCATTAATCTCGGATAGCGGAGAGCTTACCTTCTTCCGGCTCGCTAATTTCATCCTCGCCAGCCATTGCTGCCGCTTTGCTAGCATCCTCTACAACAAGGCTAACTTCCATCTTGGTGTCGAATCCAACGTAGCTATCGCAGATGACATGCATGATGAATGTATAGGTACCTGCTTGTGGGGGTGCAGCAAATTGAGCTTTAAAGGTCTGCATGTTAAAAGTCGGCTTTCCATCGTCAGTGAAGAGAGGCTGGTCAAAAGTAGTAAAGGTAAACGGAGGTACTGCCATCTTCCCCTGTTTGCTGTCTGAGAGGAAGACGTGCCATCGTGGTGATTGTTCGCGAGCGTAATAAGGAGCAAATGCGAGCGGTGGTGGTACGGGTTTAGACTCTTCTTTGGAAGTTATTTTTCCATTCTCATCCTTAACTGCCTTCTTGCGTCCCATGAGTGCATCTAAGTCGTCCTCGGCCGGATCGATGTCCTCCAAATCAAGTTCGTCAATCTCCGGGACATTTGTGCTTCCAGGTGGTATAACTCGGCCCTTCACAACCAGTGTAACCAAAGAGGACGGGATGATAAATCTTTCACCAGCAACCTTGAAAAATGCCTTGGCAACTCGGAGGTATGGGAGCTGTCCTGCAACGCGAACTGCCGTCTTGTACTGCTCTTCGCTCAGAAGCCCCTTTCCAACCGCAGTACTTCGACGTTGTGCATCAGGTTGATCCATGAAGTCTTGAATGCTTAAGTGAACTTTAGAGTCGCCTTCAACAGCCTTTACCACCGCGGGGGTGAAGTGGGGGAGCTGGAAAAGCGGAGATGCGTTGGGTGGTATTGCTTGGATGAGTCGCTGACTGGTATAGTACGAAGTTAGGATTGGACGAGTGTTGCTATATGCGAGCGAGATCGCCCTGAATGAATCGCAGAGACTCTGTGCAATAGGCGCGACCAGGTACTTCGCAGCGTTCAGAGCCTGGTCATCGAGCTCTACACGGCCGAGGTAAGCCCAAAGGAGAGCCAGGACCTTTCTCCTCACGCCGCTATCAAGATCCTCCAACTTCTCCTTGTCTTTAACCGATAGTCCACCAGCAAATGGTGTGATTTGACCTTCAGCCAGGATTCTCGCTTCGATTGTCGCAAGACCAGATTCGGCCTTGTCTCCTCTCAAGGTCTCTTGGAACTCTTTGCCAGCGCTGAGAGCAGTCACTAGGTCTCCTTCATCCATATCCTCGGAATATTCGCGGAAAAGGTTGTTGGCACTCTCAACAAGAACTCCCTCTTTGGTAATGCGTTGGGTGCCATACCACCATGATCCAACATAATAAGGCAACAGCACTCCTAAAAGTAAAGCATAGACAAGCACAACGTATTTTCCGTTTCCTTCGGATATGATGAACTTAGGCAGAGCAATTCCAATACTGTAGCTTTGCTTGCCGTCGGGGTGGCCATATTGGATATAGTTGTTGCGAACCTCCTCGTCGGTAAGAGCCTGGTATGCCTTGGTGAGATCAACCCACTTGTCATTCAACGACTCGACGGTCTCGTTCTTGGCTGCGTCGGGCTTGGCTTTGTCCGGGTGAAACTTAAGACCCAGCTTTCTGTAGTGGGATTTAATCTGCTTCTCTGTTGCTGACTACGATGAATATTGTCAGTATTAGTGTTACGATTGCGCAATTCCCAGAAGACAAACCTCGGAGACGCCTAGAATGTCGTATGGGTTCCATATCTTGGCCGTGGTCCGTTGGGTGGTGATGATGAGGTATAGCATGCCGGCCATGACGGCCCATCCTAGAACGACGGCGATGGCGCGCTTGACCTTGCGCTGCTTTCGCTTCTGCGCGGTACGCTGCGCTTGTATGAGGTCGGCATGTTCAGGTTTGTAGTCGGTCTGTACTCGCGGTGCGGTGGAAACGACATCTCTGCTCGGCGCGAGAAGGCTGTATGTGAGAGGGAGGGTGACGATAGATGTCAGAGTAAAGATGAAGAAAGGGTAGAATTGACCCTGTTCGTCATAAGAATACTCTGAACTCATGTTGCAGACTAGCCCTACGACAGGGTCTTGAATAAAAGCAACGTACGAGACCTCAAAATATGTTGTGTTGTAGCCGTGGTCGTCAAAAAAGAGAGTTGTTGCTTATATGGTTGAATGGTTGAACAGAATTGTTTAAATTTAGAAAGCGCAGTTAAGCAAGCTGTCCAAACGAATTACACTTTCCCGTCTTGAATCGTGGCCTTCTAAATTTCGAGTGGCTACGTACTAGCGGGTCCACTCAAGTCTGACAGCACCTATCGATAATGGAGGTTCGGTACTTAAATATGCGGTAGACAAGTAATAACACATATACACATTTCATATGACATAAATACCTGGTAAATGCATATATGCATGTACCTGACGATGGTATCAAATATTCATGAACCATGCTCCATCCCCTCTTAGTCCAAGTCTTATTATTCATGACATTTTACGTAATATAGAATGATTGTAATACTTGTCTTGATTTATTCAAAGAGTATGAAACTAGGGTATCATAAGTCCACCCATAGACATCAACCTAAACGCCATTCTCTAATACCAATAACGGCGGCAGTCTACTCAGTTCCCAACAAAGGGCATGAGTGTTCCAACCCTCTTCTTATATTGAACGTAGTCATCCCCGAAAAATCGGACAAGCAATGCCTCCTCGTGTTTTACCCTTTTGGAGAAGAATTGCCATAAGACGATTGTATAAGCAACGAAACATATGGGGTTCCCTAAGACCATCTGCGTCCCTACCCCCCAATAGAAGAATCCAAAGTAAGCTGGATGGCGAAGGAACGAATATAGACCTGTGGTAACTAGGACATGGGTATCTTTCTTCCGGTGTTGAATAGTATGGTTGAATGATTGGCCGGCCTGGACCATGGCTGCACTTCGGACGAATTGACCAACAAAGACCAGGATAAAACCCAACAGCAAGATAATGTGACCGCTATAGAATGGCGCCCAAGACCTATTCGGAAACAGCACTCCCGTAACGAGGCATTCTAGCAACGCCGCACTATGTGCGATCGCATACGCCGGCCAGTTTGCGGTCAGGAGGAACGAACCAATAGTCGCGACAGGAGTATTGTACTTCGCGGTCGTCCAAAACTCGAGAAAGTGGAAGGTCGACAAAGCGCCGATGAAGAAAGGTAGGCGCCACAGAGGGGAAGAGGTGAGAATGAGAGTCAATAACACGGCGACTACGGATGAAGCGAGCGCTATACCGAGGCAGAACGAGCGTATCGCAATGCCTTCAAGGGACTTCGGTTGGCCGGAGAGGTAAGCCCTTTCGGGATGCATTTGGGCGCTTTGCGCGACGGGACTTAGAAGTGGAAGCAAGTTAGCACTTCTTTCGCTTGCACGGGTGTTTATAGAAGCTAGCTGCGCCAGAGAGCGACGGCGAGTATTGAAACCCGTCGCCCAAGACACATCGTTCTCATCATGCTCGTGAAGAGGGGTAAGCAAGGTAAGGCTAGGTGTAGTCGGTGTCGGCGTCGGCGTCGACGTGGGGTACGATACATAGGGTGACGACATGTTGGCGCGATGAGAGCTGACACAATTTACTGGATCTACCTAGCGGTGATAAGAAACGTCGCGGGTGAGGGCAGATCCAGAGTGAATGCCAACGCCGTTTGCCCAAAAAAGCGGGTTTGATGGTAAGTCATCGAAACAGAGAAAGTAAAACTTACCTATCCGGCGGCGACTCCATTGTGGTGCTCAGGGGTCTCTTCCCTTTTGATTGTTCGGGATTTTCTGTACTCAGAATCAAAGACAAAGGAGAGCTAGTCGGATCATTAAATCCATGATTCGTAGGTGCTTAGGTAAGTGAGAACAGACCTCGTTGTTGTTTTGTTCTTAGTATTTGAAAATAGTAATTCCACGGGTTCGTATAGCGATTTGGCGGTGTATTTCTGCCCGTCAAAAGTCCACACCGCTTTCGAAAAATGGAATAGGCTTCGCAGTAGATGACGTGCCTGCAGTAGCTCAGCATATATCAACTACAATGACGTATAGCGGGAGTTTGCATTTTAGTTCGTAACTTTACTCTATAACACCCTAGTAGCTTAAGCTATATATAGCAAATAAATATTGAGCAATGTCATATCATATTACGGAATTGCGGCCTAAACCTTGAAATGCCGGGCAAGGCCGGGTTACAGTAATGATCCTAAGTGATACAATTCAGTACAATTGCATGTGACAGCTGTGAAGTTATCAAAATGTGTACCTACCTAGTAGACAGTAGATACATACCTAGCACTGAAGTATATTGTTCGACACTGAGAGATGAGAGATGAAGAAAGCATCCATGTCTCGGGATGGATTAATTCTATTCTTCTACACGGTAGTCCGGTTTCCCTAAAAGGAATTCGTAGGCTGGTGACCTTGCTGCGTAAAATGTATGCATATATGTCAGGCCTTCGCCTCCGAATTCATACGGAGTCTAAGTGAACAAGTGGCACGTTCCAGAATCCTCAGATCCGCCTTGGCGAGCTTGTCATTTGTTGAATGCGGTATCACTATACTACCGGCTTACTCTCTCCTATGACATCTGCTGCTATGAATTTGGGATATCTCAAGACTCCCTCCCTCTTCCCATGCCAACACTCAAGAAAAACGCCAGTGTCGTGGTACGGTCCAAGTAACCAGGCTAGTATAGTAAAAACCCCATGATATCGATCATATTTTAATTATCCTAACTTCATCTGTCAGCTTTCTATTCGTACCGATGGGCCTAAGAACATATACTTTAGTTCTAAACCTTGTGTGGTCGACAATAGTCCCAAAGTTTTGCTCATCGTCGGCTGTTGCCGTCAGCAGTCGAAGAACGGAGGAATACCTGTTATCGTTCAATATGGCTTCTCGTAGCATAACTACGCACTGGTGCCACATCAAAAGTACCTTCGGGTTAGCTATTCTCGGGTCTTTGGAGGTCTAGGACAAATCGGCAAGAAGCGAAGCCCTATAGACCTCCCTGTATCGTGAAAGAAGAGACGATCAAGACCAAGGTGTTTATCCATCCCCAGATGAATGGTATCCACGTCGGCATCGAGTAGCATCCGGAAATGTAGACAGCGCCGAGTCTAGAGACGTACACAAGGTCAATTACCGAGACATAGGAACGGGATTGGAGGAGGACGCATACACTAGCCCAACAATACTCCCGGTAAACAAAGCTTCAACTCCCGCGACAAAAGCGTAGACAAGCGGGAGGACCAACAAGTACTTCCATACCGTTCGCGGTTTTCCAATCTGCATGGACAAGGCGATACCGGTAGCACCGAGGTGAAACAGCGCGTAGAGGATCAGAGTCCAGAGAAGGGTGTATCGCCACGAGTCCCATATTGTATACAAGGAGCAGAAGGGGTCTTGAGGAGGCCAGCAGAGGGATGGGAATTGGGGACTTCGGTAGTTCTCGGGAGGGTAATTATGGCAATCGGAACTGTAGGCATGTTATAGTTAGCATGACCATATACTAGGTATATCTAAGAAGTCTCAACTGCTCACGGTATTGTGGCCATCTGGCGCTTCAGGTTGTTGCCCCCAAAATGGGCAATATTCTAAGATGGTGGTATTCACTCGAAACAGGTTGATTCCATTAAAATCGACATTTACAAAGAGGTTGTGGAGTTCAGAGCTGAAAGATGGAATGACAGGGGCCACACGGCGGGAAGCTCCCGCGGTCGGGGCCACTACAGGGAACAAGTTAGGTTCAATTGACGTCGTGCCTCGGTAAAATTCGGACGGTATGCCGACTAGCCAGCTAGCGTTTAGCGTGTCCACCTACCTAAGCTTCCATATGATACAGGGCAGCTACGACGACTGCTGTTATTCTAACACTCCATCATTACCGACATTTAAGCATAAATTTTAATCCAGACAACCTTCAAGGTTCATTCGACGAATAATGAAATGAAGGTATAGAGTCTTCGGTGCGTAGGACACTGGTTCTCGAAGATCGAAAATCGAAATCCGAGACGCGAAAATGCCGGCCGATCGGTTGTTGACAACGGTCCTACGGGCCTATCATGACGTTCCCAATCCGGTCGAGACGGACAAGATATTCGGGACGACGACTACCCTCCTAACTAATCTAAACAATCCGCTTAATCTCTCTCTACTCACTTCACATTTCCTTACCGCGCGTTCAATATGGCAGGCCCCGGACGGACTACGTACTTGTCTGCGTATCATCAGCGTGTACAACACCGCCGCCATCCACGTACGGAAGAATGAGCTAGAGAATGCGAACAATTCAAGAGTAGGGATACCGGTAGGAAGTGGCGTCAGTAGCGAAGATTGGGCACGTGCAATCGCGAAGGGGGCCGATGATCGATCGAGTAGATGGCAACATACGCTGGTCTTAACCGGTGTTCTGATGGGTATGGAGGGTGACGATAGAAGATCGTTGTCGTGGAGTTTACGGTCGATGCTCGAAAGAGCCGTCACTACAGCTGCAAACCTAGCTCTACACAACCCCCAGGAGTCGGGGCCGCTGGGGCGTGGTGCTGTCGTTCTGGCATTGACATACGCGGTTCCTCTCCTATCAGACTCGGCCAAACAATTATTAAATGGAAACGTCCTCCTACCAGCAATCATCGAAGCAATGCTCGGAGATGAAGGCTTCCAACATGGCGACTTCATCTCATCCATTTTGCGAGATATTACTCCAGGAAAGATTATATCATGGCGTACGAATTCACACTCCGTCACCAGACTCCAGATACTTGAGAATCGACCTTTAACCCAGAATATGGGACCTCTATCACGGCTTGTACCATTCGCTGTTCAACATACCACCGACCCCAATATAGTGCTTCAAGCCCAGAAAGATCTACTTGGTTTCACGGCTGGATTGTTGGATAAATGGACCCATTGCCCCCTCTCCGCTATCGACCTGTCAGTAGAAGCTGCAGCTCTCTCGCTCGAGACGCTCCAAGGCCCCCATTTAAGACTATGGCAGCTATTCAAGAAGATCATGTACGCCGTAGTTGCTTCCCTCCAGCCTATGGTCGGGCGTTGTCTCCTGGATCCGTATATGAGGAATGATGCGATAGCCCCGACCGTAGCTGCGCAGACGTTGCACACCCTACGCAACTTATCCTTTATTTCCACACGGCAAGGGGCAGGCTCATTTCAGGTGTACGAGTTTACCTACCTCACTTCCCTAGACATTATCACACGTTATCCGGATGCTTGCGTGTCCTTCCTCCAAGACACTCAACCGCCTCCGACAAGCAATGTGGTACCATCACCAACGATCCAAGCCCTAAGCCTCTTCTACCTAAACACGGCGGAGCACCTCCCATTCTCGTTACCCACACCTGCGTGCGAGAACCTTATCATCACGCCCGCAACGGCATACCTCTCTCCCACAACTTCCTGGCTCTCCAGCCCCGCCAACATGCCTCCATCATCCCTAACGCTCGAACTCTTCGAGTCGGCGCACTCATCCGTGCTCTCAGCGCTCTCGTGTCCGCAGCACAGCCCCCTCGCCGCCTCCCTCATCCCCTTCTACATCGACGCCCTGCTCTCCTCCTTCCCGTCGCGCATCTCCCCGCGCCAGTTCCGCCTCGCCTTCCGCACCGTCATGCAGATCACCAGCCCGCCCTTCCCCATCTCGGCCTCCGAGCCGGAGCTCTCCGAGACGCTGCTCGAGATTCTCCGGTTCCGCGCCGCTTCCGCCTCGACGCAGCCCCTGCCGCCGCCGCCGAACGAGCCCGCCGCCGCCGCCGCCGTCGGGGTTGGCGGCGCTAAGAAGGAGGGGGGCGAGGCCGGCCCCGTCTCCGAGCAGTCGGCCCTCGTCCTCGCCATCATCGATGCGCTACCCCACCTCCCCCTCCACGCCGTCGAGGAGTGGCTCACGCGCGCCGCAGAGAGCATGAACGCCGTCGCCGACCCGGCCATGCGCGAGGTCGCCCGCCGCCGCTTCTGGGATGTTTTGGTTAGCGGCGAGATGGACGTTGAGCGCGGCGCCGTCGGCGTCGCGTGGTGGGGCACCAACGGCGGTCGCGAGATGGTGCTTTTTGGACGGCCGCGTGCTGCTGCTGCCGCCGGTGGGGGGGAGGAGTTCTTGATGAGTGGTGCGTTGTTGGAGACGGGGAGGGAGGGGAGTAGGTTGTAACTTGTAGGTTGGGGATTGTAGGGGGTGAAGTTCCGTCCAAGTTGGTCATATATGTATGGTCTCGGTGCGTTCGAGATGGATATATGATATATCCGTATTTGCAAGTACCTACCTACATATCTAGCAAATAAGGTACATAGAGAAAAGTTAACTTATGTACCTATCATATACCTCCTCGAATTGATGTCAATAATTGTATACATATATCACGTATACCACGTACATTACGTATATCACGTATATCACGTACTTAGACCATACGAATATGATTGAGAAGTGTTGTGCTAGTCGCTATTCAGGCTTCGTACGAGCCAATACCATTACCATGACACTATAATATGCTGCTAAGCCTGGTTATTGTACCTATGCATGAGAGGAACCATGCTACAACCAAGTCCCTCTGCCCCTTTTACGAATTTTTACAGCGCAGACGGACCGATCGACTTACACGGTTCCCCATTTGTACATCGCCAACATGACCTCGTAACCCGCGAAAAGAAGACCACCGAAGGACGCCCGAGCATGCAAGATGCCGCCAATCGATAAACCCTTAACCACCAGCCCGATCCCGATGCCCGTCCAGTAATGTTACCTAGGTACCCTACCCAGCCACCCAAGATTAAAAAAAGGAAAGGATTTTCAGCTACCTATAATTCTTTTTAAGACGCACAGACTTTCTCCTCATCTTCTTCACCCCCCTCCTCATCACGTCTGTACCTTCCAGATCAAATTGACTCCGTGCTAGTGCGCGTGCGCGGTAAAAGCGTTGCTGACGCCCAGCAGAGTCATGCCGAGGAACGCGAACAGAATGCTCAAGTTCTGGTTGTGGTTCAGGCTCAGGCTCTCGACGAAGAGCTGGAGGGCGACGGAGGCCATGATGCCGGCGGTGGCCGCGAAGAGGCAGCCGTAGGCGACGGCGTCGGGGGCGAAGTTGGAATGATGCTGCGCCAGCTTAAACCATAGCACAGCGATGCCAGCGCCGAGGGGCTGCGACAGGCCCCCGAGGATCGAGGCCCAGGCCATGGCGCGGAGTCTGCTATGCAGCGCCATATATAGAGGTAGGGCGAGCGCGAAGCCTTCGGTGATGTTGTGTACGAAGAGCGCCAGGAACACGTTGAAACCCAGAGACGGATTCGCGTGATTCGTGGCGTAGGTGATGAAGCCTTCGGGGAACTTGTGCAGCGCAATGGCGATGGAGGTCTGTAGACCAATAGACAAGAACGCATTTTCGGCGACGTGGTGATGGTGTTGGGATTCGAGGTCTTCGGATGTCTCCGAGAAACATGCGTTCTCGTGGTGATCGGGGTCATGGGAATGTGCTCGGCTCGACCGAAACGTAGGACTTACAGGAGTAGAACTATCGTGGTCGCCAACTTCTTCCACGGTATCTATACACGAGTCGCTATGCCCAGCCGTAGTAGTAGTACGAAGTAAAGTGGTACCGACTCGGGATAGGAGCCCGGATCGGCTGGAAAGGTGTTTAAAACATTCTTGGCCACACGGATCCGAATATCCATAGCAGGGGCCAGCTTCGTCGCAGTTCGGTTTGGTATCCTTCACGAAAGACATAACCCGCTTCTGCAACATCGATGGTCGTCTGTCCGACGTCGCAGTCCGACTTCGAGTTCCGCGCACAATAGCATGAGGGCCGGTCTCTGTAGGACCGGCAGTCTCCGCTCTCCTCAGCGGCCGTACAGGATGCGACTCATTTGAGACTTCCCTAGAGAGTAGCGGCGTAATTTCATTGGCATGTCCATTCTCGCCGGCACTGTGCTTTGGAGCGTGGAAATGGACATGCATAGACTGGGGGCGCCTACCAACGCTATGAGCATGAGATGATAACCTTCGACTAAAGCCATTCTCATCTGAATGGTTGTGGCCATCTAAAGCATGATCGTCATGGCTGTGATCGCAATCGACGACATGTGAGGGTAGAAATTGGTGAAATAATCTCGAAAGTATTTGTATTCCCACGAAACCACCGACGAAGCATCCAATCAAGATGAAGCCCGCTGCCTGGTCCGGAAATCCCCCCTTTTTAAGATAATCCTTTGCTTCGGGCAACATGCTGTATAATGACATAAACATCTGGGTCATATGATTAGATACTCGTCCACAAAATTTCAATTATGATTCCGTTGGAGGATGGGACTTACCATGACGCCGAAGCTCAAGCTTAATGAACAAGCGAGAAAGGTATTGTTGTCTTGTATTCGGAAGTCCTTCTGCCCGGGGAAAAGCCGTACGACTTCATCGACGTAGATGATACAGGATCCTATCATGCAAGCTATAGTAGAATTAGTGAGTATATCAGGCGAACACGGCGGAGCGCATGTGGTTGATGTCACCCACCAACGCCGCTCACTAGGCACATGATCCATCCCCTCGTATCATTATCGACCTCAGCTACCTTCATGATGGGCCAGATTTTGTCTTAAATCTTGCAGCACGACGTCTCCTTGTGCCAGCAGCAGCCCGTCCTCCCTCGACAGGTTAAATAAAAGATGGTTATGAGAACATGGAGTTGAGATGCAGTGCGCGACCCGATGATCTGGTAATGCCCGTAACACCAGCACGTGGAACTATGGGTAGGTTAAGACGCTTTCGGCAAATTTGGAAGTTCTGTTCTAAAGAGGCGAGGTATAATATCCTAACAAAGAATATAAAGGCGAAGTCTCAAGAAATACAATAGGAGAATATAGGGAGAAGACAAACGGCCGTAGCGAGAATCTAGGAAGTTTGTGATGAGAGAGCAGATGTTAGACGGAAGGTTCTATTTAGTGTAGAAGTCGATCACTAAAGGTGGCTACCTACTCGCCTATGTAACACCGCGGGTAGGCGCAGAGGCTGTCTTTAGGGCTTACCTGATTGGCCAGCTGACTTATGATGCTATGCCAAGCTTTGCCAAGCCCTGCTCCGACGGGCACCTTGATGGCCAATCTTGCTAGGACAGTTAGTAATAAACGGAAACTGGGCTCCATATAAATCTACGGCGTCCATCAAGGTTATTCCTGCTTTCCGACCACACCGAGATGAGGCTCTGAGGCTGAGAGTCGAGAATTGGCCAACATCCATTACAAGTTTCTGAGGGTTCATTATGAGGTGCCAAGAGCATCTATATTTCTCATTAAACATTCATTGTTCTTAAAGTCTGTAACCATACGCCTTATTTAAACCCTCAAGTCCGCCGACGATACCATCCAGCCTTGCACAGACCCTTCAAAGGCAAATGTTAGCTTAACAACATAATCGTCCAATGATCTACGCCCTGCATACATACGAGGTAGTAGGGGTTGGTCATTAGGGTCCTTTTCTAAATTTCCTGAGGTGACGGCTTAGTTCCCGCTGTGGACTCACCAGAGAAATGCCGCGAATAGATGCATGAACGGCACCATAGGACCTGTGCAGGGTTGTATCGACGTTTTAGCGCCTCAGTCAATTCGACTTCAGATTATCAGATTAAGATCGAATCACCCTTTTGATGGACCCTTTCTATTTATTATAATTCTCCAGGTAAACTCAGGGTTGGTTTTGAGTTGATTTGGGTGAGCACGTCAGCAGCGCATTTAGACTCGAATCAAATACTCTTATTACCGGCTGAGTCGGACCAACTCACCGACCTTTTCCAAAGTGCCCGCACCAAATGAGTAAAGGAAAAGAAAGGCCCTTCGTGGCAGTTCGTCAATGTCCATTGATTGGTTTAGACTTGGTTTGAAGCTGCAGAACACCAGTTATCAAGGCATCGTGGGCTACTTGGGAACCTTGATGGACATACTTGTGACAATTATGTTTCAGGCGGTGTATGTAGCCATATGATCCACCTAGTGCTTCTTAATCCAAATTTTGGCCCGCACCCTGTGATAATATATCGAATAGTTTGATTCCTTGACAACGCCAATAAACAAATATCTAGGGTTTCCGGGACTCAGTCGCAAATTAAACGCCAAAGTTATTTGGCTGTCCTTCTCGTCTCTTCAAATAGAAATAGAGAGCTGAATATATGAATATCTTTCTATGCCGGAAAATATGCGTACGTAATGAACTGCGTTGGCTCCTTAGGTGGTCACAGGTGGTCAGCTTGGCTGTAAGTAGGTAGATTAACCCGATAGACTGCACACTCCGCTCCAAAACGTAGTATGGAAGTAAAAGATAATACGGTGGATATATCTCTTCGAGACAACCGGCACAATATATACCTAGGCAGCTTTCATATATACCTAGGCAGCTTTCATGATGAGGCAATGTCGAATATGGCAATGGGTCGTCGATTTAAGAATATTGTGACGTCAAGTAACCTTTAGATAGTTTAACCGGTCGCGATTGCTTACCTAGTTGTACCCATAACAATTGGAGAATTGATTACCTAAAGAAGTACGTAAGCCTCCTATTGTCATTGCAGAATTTCCGTGCTTACATACATGCCTATCCACCTAGATATCAGCCAAGTCCGAGTGCTTCGGGGATTCTTCAGACTTCAATCGTCCATCCGACGACAGCATTGGCTAATTCCATAACTTGGTCGATCTAGGACTCTGCATTTTCGCCGTCGCCATTTGGTACGCTTAGTTGTACGTGAGCATTACAGGGTTATGAATCACCCGTCATTTAAAACTTGAGTCTGAGTCGAGATTCTGACTCGGCAGTCCGAGATGTCGTTCATCAGCCACTTTACTGACCATGGCAGTTCCGAGCGGTGCTTTCCCCAACATTTAGCTGAGCAAAAGCGAGATCATCTCAGCGCAGATATTGGATTTGGGCGCCCTCCTTAGGTACCTGAGTATCAGTTACAAACCCAATGGCATTGATGGCCTATTAGAATGTTCTTGTTGTTTAAAATTGAATTAACCTAGGTATTTTGCATATGTCCTATTAACATTGCAAGAAATAAAAGTGGTTACTGCTCCAGATATCTTTTGACCAGTTGGGCACATACTTATAATTTCTTGCTCGCTATCGCTTTCGTTTTCCACACATAACTCTTTTTTATTGTGTGGCACACGGGAGTTATAGCGGGCAGGACAATAGGGCTGACAAGGAGCCACTTTCGTACAGATAGCTGAAATGACCACCCACAATTCGATCAGATCGTTTACCACTTGCGGATCTATAACCCAACTATTCTCCTTTGATTCGCATACTTCTACAGGTATCCCAGCCTCTTTAGGATTCGACATGCAACGGTCGATGACTGCCAAGACCGTCTAATCATCCAAAATTAAACAGCGTTCTGCATGAATGCGGCACAGCACCACTAATCGTATAAGCTCGTGCCAGCTCATTGAGAGAATCAATGCCCAGCCGCGTACGTCGAAATAATCTATGATTCTTGGCATGCAGAAGGACGATAGAAATCGATACAAATAACGAGCTGACAGAAAGTCAGATTCTTGGGTCTTAGGATGTCTTCAAATCTCTTAGCTTCTTATATATCACCAATCGAGTTCTCGCTTGGCAACTTGGCGACTCAGTTGTTCAGCCCTATGAACTATTCGCCAAGTATCGTAACTTTGAAACCCGATAATTCTAGTCAAGATGGAGGCTCCTGAGTCTGCTGAAGTACCGACACAATGTGAGAAGGTTGGCGAGGCCATGCCCGATATCGCGGGTTACGGAGTGAGTTCATGTGGTTTACCTTCGGTCTTCAAATCGAATCCAATCTAATGCTTCTTAATACACTTAGGTTTTGCTAGGTCTCAGCATACAGGCCTTCATCTCACTAGTATTATCTTTCTGGGTGTTTTTCCTAACAAAACTTGGCCGGCTTGATAGCCAACACCCCGAGGGCACTCCAGAGCATGCGAGCCAGAAGAAACGACTCGGATTTGTGTCTGAAATTCTGATGACCGGAAACGATTTGCAGATGATTACAGGTGCGTATATTTATTAGCCATTCTATATCTCTATTACCTCTTGAAGGACGGTTCTTTGCTCACATTTGACATGAAGGAATCGCCCTTATCATTACTGCAGTCTCGAATGCCAAGAGTATCGACCTCTACCATCTCCATTTAGTTTTTGATACCGTCAGCTTCGTAGGGTAAGTCTCCTTATCCCTTTTCTTTTTTGACAGCTTTAAGTGAGCTCACCTACTTACCTTATGACAAATATCCAGCATCTCCAACGCAGCCGCCCTCATTTGCTGGACCATTATGAGAGCTAAGGCGCCAAAGAAGAAGCATCACCAAATAGTACCGTCTCACTGGACCGGCCGATTCCGCGTCTCTTATATGTTCGCAGTCCTATTCTTGGTGATGACCGTATTCCTTGAAATCCGCCTTGATGGGTGGTCACTCACTTCCGAGGATCTTGGTCGTTGCTATATAACGACGGGCATTGCAGGTCCTAATGCAAACCACCCGGGCAGCGACAAGACATACGTGGCGATCACGGCGACATGGCTTCTTCTAGTCATGTTCGGTGCTTTGTTTGCCCCAGCAAGATTTGCGAAGCCACTATTGATCCTTAGCTTTCTCCAATTCCCGGTACATATGTACATGATGATCCGACTACGAACCGAGAATCAAGACGCCCTCGAAAACAGAGAGAACGAGAACGATTGGGACTTCGGGCAAACAACAGCCACCTTGCTGCTTGCTGTCGCCATCACTCAACTAATCCACCAGGCCGTGCAATATCTAAAATTCGAGAAAGCCTTAAAGAAGTACGGGCCTGAATACGCGTTAGCCAACGAAAATGATGAATGTCTTGATGCTGGAACGCCCTCGATCGTTGAACAGGGCATTAAAGGCCTCCGGGATGTACACCAGAATCTGAGCAAACGAAATTTGAGTGAAACTCGTCCTGACAGGGGTGATGATATCGAACGACAGGAGGAAAGTTATGAATTAATGAGGAACTCTGAAGGCAGGAATCGAACTAGCCTATAACAGAACGATACCGTCGAGATCATGACCTGGTCAACGGATGCCAAAGAGGTGGCCCCCCACGTTGCTAATCAAGTATGGTGCGTGAGTTTAGACGTCAATGATTTCGAGGAGAGGTTCGGTGTTGGCCGGAATATGTAAAAGTTGATAACTACAAGAGCTTTCGACACAACTTAACCGACAAAGGCTGTGGACGCAGCATTCGCGATACAGAGGATATCTCGGTGGTTTTCGTTATAGGATGAGATAATATCGAAGTCTTCATTTCTCGTTAATTATTTCAACCCCTTTTCATCGAAACGACCTTGATATCCCAACGCGCCTGAAGAATCTAAGCGATCTGAGTCACTATCATATCATCTGTAATTATTGAGAGGGATCATTTGATTTATCAACACGCGGACGGATATTAGGACAATAGCTGAGTCGGTTGACGTCATAATTCAAGATTGAGTGGCAGGGGGCTTGTGACCAAAGCGAGAATGCGCATGGGTATTCACAAATGGGCATCTCAAATAAGCATAATCTAGCAGGCATTTTCGATGTACACAGCATTTGCCATGTGATAGGGGAAAGATCTATCTTTGGTCTTAGGGCTGAGGGTGGGTGGTCCGTAACCATTAAGGTTGGCAGGCGCCACGAGGACGGGTTCGACTAGAATAAACGGTTGGTCAGTGCACAAGATGTACCTTACAGCATATCAAGCCCCTAAACCAATTCTAGCCTATCGATAGGGACCCCTCTAACTGCCTTCGTGAAAAAAAGCTACATCGAGGCTGAAAATCTTAAAAAATTCCGAAGATCTCACTTCGAGACATTTGCTGCACGCCTCAACACCACGAGGGCGTCCGTAACATACCCCTCGTGAGCCTCATATTGCTCATACACCTGCGCCTGACTTCCTCACTGCCATTCTCCCTCTTCTTTCCCTTACTCTTCCCTCCTTTCGTATAAAACCCGTCGCACGCAAGCAGCTCCCAACAGGGAGCCCCTTCTTTAGCCCGCAATGTCCAAAACCACTTTCGCAGTCATAGCAGCGGCAAGCGCAGGAGCCGGCGCCGCAATAACAACCGCGATGTACTCATTAAGATCCTCGACCGAGCGAAAACTCGACACCGCAACCATATCTACGACTTCGACAACATTCTCGACGGGCGGAGGAGCACCATCAGCACCGATCCCGATCCCAGCCAAACAGATCTTCACACCCCCGAACCAAGCAGGAGGCGCGCCAGGGCCGTACTCGACCTCGGCGCCCGCGGCCCTGGGCCCCGTCGACCCGTCCGGCCTCTTCGAGTACGGGTTCCCGGGCCCCGTAGCCGACGTCGCGACGCGGCAGGCCCTGATCTCCTCCTTCGACCGGCGGCTGCGCAACCCGCACTGGGTGGTGGAGCACATAACCCCGGCGTCGCTGGCCCAGCGCGGCGGCGACCGCAAGCACAGCGTCTTCCTCGAGGACGAGGCCGTGCCGGACAAGTTCCGCGCGAAGCTGAAGGACTACTTCCGGTCGGGCTACGACCGGGGCCACCAGGTGCCCGCGGCGGACGCGCGGTGGAGCCAGGGCGCGATGGACGAGACCTTCTACCTGACCAACATGTGCCCGCAGGTGGGCGAGGGCTTCAACCGCGACTACTGGGCGCACTTCGAGGACTTCTGCCGCAACCTGACGGGGCGGTACCCGAGCGTGCGGATCGTGACGGGGCCGCTGTACCTGCCGAAGCGCGACCCGAGCGACAACAAGTGGTACGTGCGGTACGAGGTGATCGGCAACCCGCCCAACGTCGCCGTGCCGACGCACTTCTACAAGGTCATCTTCGCCGAGGACGGCGCCGTCGGCGGCAACGTCGCCATCGGCGCCTTCGTCCTGCCCAACGCGCCCATCCCCAACGACAAGCCCATCACCGACTTCGAGGTCCCCGTCGAGGCCGTCGAGCGCGCGAGCGGCCTCGAGTTCGCTACCAAGCTGCCCGCGCAGCGCCGCAAGAGGCTCTGCTCCGATACCACGTGCGCGTTGGTCATCAAGGAGTACGCCGACAGGCAGAAGGCGTTCGCGAAGCCCGGGTCGACGGCTGTTGCGAAGCGCTAGTTGCTTCTATCTATCTATCTACATACATATCTACCTACCTAGCTACCTATCAACTTACTCCTCGTGGCACCTAAAGTAGCTAGCACGAACTCGTTCATCATCAACGTCACGACTCATGATATTCCTTGCATGGCTCAAAGAAACGAGACCTATGATGTACGTTACGGATAGAAGACTAGCCGGATAGTTAAATAAGAAAAAGAAATACATAATTTAATTGGGATACACACACCTCGGACTCGCATACACGGGCTTTTTTGCATTGCATCTTTTCGTTTCCTCGCGGGAACATGGCGAATCTTGTGGCTTTCTGTTTCGATATTCGACAACTAATCTACCTGCATATCTACTCATCTACAACATCTAATTGTTTAAAGAATCATGTACAACTATTTGTTATTGTTACTAGCATCGGCATACGGCGGCGATGGCGGATTGGGGCATGGAATGGCATTGAGGTTTAGGTAGCATAGCATAGCATAGCATAGCATAGCATAGCATATCATATCCATATAATATTTAGGTACTTACTCTTGAGTCGTTAAGTAGTTTACCCCATACACGTGTACGAGTCTTTACCTCTTAGTATTCGTAAAACACGATGATGATCGGTTTAAAAAAACATTGCAAGTGCATATAGCGCTGTAGAATTTGCATAATTCATTGCTATCTAAAGTAGATAGCCTCAGACAGGTCATCCCTAACAACGCCTTTAACGCCGTTGCTAGTCTATGTGACAATGATGTGCGGGTATCAGCTCTTATGACCAAAGAGTATCTATCGTCCATCCTCATCATACATCGTCTTGCCTGTCTGGAATATGGAGCAAGTTGCTTTGTAGGTACACTTCCATCAACCAGTCCTTGTTTTTGGCGAAAATCGCCCGCTGTATCAACTCCGACCACTTTAGGTCAAATCGCTAAAAGATCATATAGGTTGGCTTTACCAATAAGGCGGCACGTCCAACCTGTGGCGCTTCCCAGAGGGACTTTCTACCCAACCTAACACAGGTAGAGGCTCGGGCTTCGAGCATGCAGCTCGATGAAGATCACTTATTCGTCTTCCATTAGCCAGGGCCCGATCTGTCATGCTCAGATCCAAAGTTCCTGAGCGACTTGGGCTGATGGGATCCTTCTGTTTCACAGGGATTGAGGGACACCCCACCCTATCTGGACTAGAAAGTCCAGTGCATCCGAGGTTTCCTGAGTATCCTGAGCTTGTTCCGCGGGTGGTTTGGGCAGATGGGGACGGCACGTTTGCGTATGTCTGAGGCAAAAGGGGAATGGGACTCGAAGGGCACTAGCGGACCCGAGTGTAATTTCCCCTCTTCTGCTCCATTCGCAAACTCTCTTCTTGACTAGGAAGAGGTGCACGTCTCCGGCCGCCGTTGCTGCCGTCAGCTTGCATGTCGACCCCTCCTGATGCAAAGACAGGGGGTGGAGGGGGTATGAAACCCGGTGGAGCCGCAAAGTTAGGAGGCGGGATAAAACCAGGTGGCAGCATGCCCGGAGGTGGAGGAGGAGGTAAGCCAGCCTTCTGCATAAGCTCCGCTATCTTAGCAAAATCGGCTGGATTGGTGGGATCCAAGCCACCAGGTAGCGGAAGCGGCGGAGCACCGGCTGCACCAGGGATAGGGAACGGCAGAGGTGGAGCGGTAACTGAAGTGGGAGCAGAACTAACTCCGGGAATAGGAGGTGGTGGAATTCCGTTCACGGGCAAGGAAAGACCAGGAAGGCCCGGGAATGCGGATACTGGTTGCTTAAGCGGCATCTTCTGATCAACCAAACCTTCCATCTCGTCTTCAAGCTCCTGCTCTTCCTCCTCTTGGCGTTGACGGCGACCACCGCGTCGGTCCCAGGTCCCTTGAGCTTCGGCGGCCGCTTCACCAATGTGATATCTATCTTGGAAGATATCCGTCTCACCAGGTCTACCGCGGGACCAGAATCTCGTAATGCGGTCATTCGAGCCTGATGCCAAAACGTGGCCAAGAGGGTGCCAATCGAGGGACCAGATCGCGAAATCATGAGCGAATGGAACCTTGTGCGTCGGGTATATGGACTGCGCGGGAGCTGTCAATGGATCTGGGCTTTCGTAGACGGCCGTGCTAATGGCTTGGCCAGGTGGTGTATTAGGTTCGTCTAATAGGTAGTGGAATAAAGATCCCTCGCTACCTCCAGTGCTCAGTAGATTCGAATGGATCGGATGCCATGCAAGGGTTGAAATGTCCTTCTCGTGGCCTCTAAGAAGGCAGATGTCTCGCATCATTCGTATGTCGAAGATTCTCGCGGTCTGATCTCGCGCTGAAGTTGCAAGACACCAGCCCATGACGCGCTCAAACGAGGTCTTCGTAATGGTATTCTTGTGGCCGTGGAGGGTAGTGAGGCATCGCTGAGTCCGAGGGTCCCAGAGTTTGACAAGATGATCCTTGGATCCCGAAACTATCAAGCCTTTCGTGGGATGCCAGTCACAGCTCTTTGCATCCCAGCCGTGTCCTTGAAGCGTCGATTCAGACACACCTCCAGCAAAGTCGAATATCTTAAGCGACGAATCATCCGATGCCGTGACAAATTTAGAATCATTGGGACTGAATGCGAGATCTCGGATGGGGTCGGTATGACCTTGGATCACTTGGACGTTGTTAAAGTTCGGTTGCCAGTATTTGATGATGCCGTCATGGTCAGCTGAGATCAGCCAATCGTCGCTGTGAGAATAGGCTAAAGCCCGAATAGCAACGTCATGCGCTTGCATGATGGTCTCGAAGTTGAAACCGGTACCGTTCCATAGAGTAAATTCACCGCTGCTCGATGCGGTGAGCAGTCTGCGTCCCTCAGGAGTCCATCGCACAACATTCACGGGGTGCTTTATCTTGTTGAGAGATGAATGGAGGTGCTTGGTAGGAACAGAGTCAGCCGGATTGGTTACTCTTGCCAAGGGTGGTAACATCTGGTCATAAGTCAGTACTTTCGAGTTCGAAATATTGGAATGCTGAACTTACGTCAACAATGTAACTAGCACTGGGACGTTCAGCTTCGCCTTTGAAGGCTCCCTTGAAGCGTGGTTCGCGGTTGCGCATCCAATGAGCAAGTGTGGAACCATAATCAGTGACAGGACCTATAAGCGAATATTAGTACATGAAAATATACAAAATAAAAATAAGAAGACCGCTGAAAAAAATGCTGGGTAGACGGATCGAGATCATGATACGAACGCGACAACTGGCCGCGATTGTGAGAGGCTCAAACATGGATACCCAGTCTTGAAAGTGCAAGGGAATTATACTATGAAATAAGATACTCACGTCGACCTCTGGCTCTTACAAAGCCGCCAGAATCGTGCCCGCCTTGCGCGGCATGATCGCCGCGTGGCTCGTAGGACATGTCGGTTTTTACTGTCGCATAAAAGAGGACGGTTTATAAGGAAAGGACTTCACTGATTACAACGGAAGTTGTTGTGAAGGCAAGGAAAGATGATGTTGTTTGGTTAGGTGGTAGGTGATTGGGTGAGGGTGGATTGAGAAAGGCTACAAACGCGAGGTAAATCGACGTCTGCAAATAATTAGGTAAGGTTATGTAGACCACCTGCAGGGAGCTTACCTAGGTAGCTTGTTGCTTTGTGACATGTACAATGGAAGGCTGCGGCTGAAGCTACCTGTTGAGCCACATGTCCCACTTGGCAGAAAACAGCCACGTATAGGTACTTGTGGGGTGTCCGTAGTGACGCCCGTAGGTACGTACGGAAGTACCTACCCAGGTAGGCATGTGGCTAGGTAGCTCTGTGGCAGCTTCAACGGCGTTCTCGGCTTCTATAACCTTGCAAGTTGCCTTTTTTTTTCTCTTCTTTTTTATCACCTAGCTAGACTTATCTCGTTATCATTTGACGGAGCGAAATTCTCACGGCCAAGCGTTTTTTCACATGTCAATTGACGTTGCATCAATGTTGCTGCTCGCCTCCTGGACGAATTTTTTTTCTTTCAATGTTCCACTTCCCAATTAACGTGTTATGCTTAGATGGTTGTCTCTCATCGGTCGTACGAAGTAAAGAATGATTCCGCTCTATCGAATCCCAAACTTCGCCCTGGTTACAGTCAACCTCACCACCGAAAGTTATGGGGTACTATTTGGTAATATTTATATACAAGAAGGCGTGAAAGAGAAGATTCAACATGATCGAGCCTAGATAGTAGCCGCGTCTTTGGACCCACTAATCAAAGGTTCTTCCAATGCGACAGAGGGGGGAGGAGCTTCCATTGTCCCCACTTACCTCGATCGACAGGGTCTGATGCAATAATGGCGATACTTATTACTGCAGTTTTATCTGTAAAGACTCAATTAGGGTTAAGGTTAAGCCAAGGGAGAACCCGAGGTTTACAGTTCGACGTTTATGAAACGGATATCCTCTTGCTTCTAATCGCATTTCTTACAACTTCCTCCATCTTCTTACATGTCGCCGGTGCTTGTAACATTCCAATTGGTCCAATCGACAACACTTAAGCATCCACACCAATCACCAATCACTTACAGCTGCATAGGAGGAGCTCGGAAACTGCTGTCTCCTATCTCGGATATCTAGGATGTGCGTATGCGAGAGTGTTATCTCTTCCTACTACAGTTATTGATATATGTACGTATTGCTCTTCTTGTTAAACCCAATTCGCAATACGAGCATCAATCAACCAAGTCTATGTCTTAGATCCTCTCCTCCTTCAACAGCTGAAGGATCGCGCCTCTGTTAAGGTGGCGTTGTGTACTTGAGACTATGGAAAGAAGTGAACTTTGTGAGACTATCGCTAATACTTGCAAGGTTATTGTTTCGCAATATATTTCCTTCGTAGCTACCTTTCAACTTTCCCTACTCCCCTTCGGAGGCCCTCGAAAACCGACGACTATATATCCCAGCTATCAAACCACACTGCCAGCACCCGCATAATTATTCGATTATACAAATCCACCATGGATTCGGCCACTGCTACAAGCGTGGAAACAGATACGGGAACAGCTGCGCTTCGACGGGTCGGTGCCGTGAATGGGACTAATGGCAAGGCCGCGAACTCGGACGAACAAACCAATGGGGAGAAAAAGACATTCACGTTCAAAAAGTATAGACATGTTACAGCAGTTCACTCCGAATCAAGACCTTCCACACTAAGCCATGATGCGAGAGCCACTCCTAGTTTCCTGGGGTTTAGGAATCTCATGGTTATCGTGCTAGGTACAACTCCTTGGTCACTTTGCGACGGGTCTCACAATATACTGATGTTTTCTAGTCGTTGGGAATTTGCGATTGGTAATAGAGAACATGCAAAAGGTTGGTTTACACCTCAAAATCGCAAAATTGGTTGGATATAGACTTACACGCATGTAGTATGGGAACTTAATATGTATAACTTGCCACGACTTCCGGCGAAAGGATGTCATTCTTGGCTTTCTACTATATATACTCGTTCCTTGCCACCTATTCATCGCATATTCGTTCGAATGGTACGCCGCCAAGCAAGCGCGAATCTCGCGCGCTCAATCGATTAGCAAAGGAGGATCAACGAGCCCGACTGAGGACCAGCAAGCCAAATTTGAATCTAAATGGAGGAGTATTCGAACGGCCCATCTTTTCAACGCGACTCTGGCTCTAGCTGTTCATAGCTGGGTCGTCTACTTCCATATATTCCACCCTTTGATCGGTACTATAACGGAGCTTCATGTTATCATCGTCTACATGAAGGTGGTTTCATATGCTCTCACAAATAGGGATTTGCGACACGCATATCTTCATCCAGTTAAGGGCGAATTGGCTTTGTTGCCTGAATTATATGCTCAGTGCCCGTATCCCCAGAATATTACTATGACAAATCTGATTTATTTCTGGTGGGCGCCAACATTAGTATACCAGCCAGTATATCCTCGGACGGATAACATCAGATGGATATTCGTCCTGAAGAGGCTCGGTGAAGTTGTTTGCCTGAGTGTATTCATCTGGTTTTGCAGCGCCCAATACGCAGCGCCGGTCCTATGGAACTCGCTAGACAAAATCAATCACTTGGATTTAATTTCCATTGTCGAGCGGCTCCTAAAGCTTTCTACCATCTCGCTTATTATCTGGTTAGCAGGCTTCTTTGCTCTGTTCCAGTCAGCTCTTAACGCATTAGCCGAGGTCATGCGTTTTGGTGACCGCTCCTTCTACGACGACTGGTGGAACTCGGCTGGATTGGGCGATTACTGGAGGCTATGGAACAAACCTGTCTACCAATTCATGAAGAGGCATATCTTCTCGCCTCTGATAGGCAGGGGTTGGAATATGAGGCTGGCTAGTATCGCTGTATTTTTCGTCTCAGCTGTGTTGCACGAGCTGCTTGTTGGGATACCGACGAAGAATATCATCGGTAAGTCCTTGCCGTCTCCGCAATCCACAAATATAATTAAACTGACTAGATGGTAGGCGTTGCGTTCATGGGTATGCTCGTTCAGATCCCGCTAATCTGGGTCACTCGGATATTCGAGAGAATGCAGGGGCCTAATGGTAGACTCATCGGGAACTGCATCTTTTGGGTCTCCTTTACGGTCCTTGGCCAACCCTTCGCGGCGTTGGTCTATTTCTACGCCTGGCAAGCTAAATACGGTTCCGTCGCTAAGAAGATGGCGTCGAACCAGCCGTCGGTAGCGCTGGGCTAAGTTTATAGCTAAAAACGAACAAAGATACGAATTATGCGGACTGGGAATTGAAAAGAAAAGTAGAAAGGTGTTTCTGAGTCGTTTTCGTTGGTTGCTCTCCTGAACATCCGAAACGGTGTCTCGGGGGAGCCGGTCTATATAATATCGATAAAGTATAAATGAGCATTCTTGAGTGTAAACGTTTAATCGAGCACTCTAATAATAATAATTATGTTTCTCTGATCGATCGTATAACATGTCTGCCATTAAGTTATTTGTGGCGACAACTTCTCACCCGAGAGACATACGTGATATGCGATATTGCTTTCATCTTAATTTTTTCAATTCGCTGTCCCATGCACTATATATAGACAATCAGTATGTATTATTACACTTAATTCAGCCATGCAGCCCGTCTCCTTTCCCCGTTCTTTGCTCCTATGCTTTCCGTTTCCCTTACCCTCGCCCCGCACCATTCTCTTCTCTCTTACACTCTACCACACGCTCTTCACCCTATCCTCACAGACTCGGCGACCGACTCCTACTCTCATACCTCCCACCCCTCCCGTTCGCGAATCCGATGCCCAAGCTAGCGACGAGCAGGGCGCCGTTGAACCCGGCCATCATGTAGAACGGGGCACCGGGCGCCACGGCGTCGAACATGTACCCGCCGAGCTTGGTCAGCAGCAGGATAGCCGCGCCACCGCACCATGAATACACACCCGCGATGGAGCCCTTAAGCTGCACGCGGGACGCCGGCTCCCCTTTCCCTCTTAAGGCGAGCGCAGTGCTGCTACCTCCGTCAGACCCTAACAGCGCATCCGTCTCGGACCCCCTCGCAGTAACGCTCCCCTCCTCTTCCTCGTCGACGTCGAGGTTAGGCGCATCGACGGTCAGAACACCACGTCCTAGAGATCCGAGACTGCATACTATGGCCCCGATCTGGCTGACGCCGATCAACATGACGACCAAGAAAACCGCCGGACCGCCACCGCGTCCGTCCACGTCCCTGTACTCGGGGCTCTGCAGCTTCGGAAACGCGATATACCCGGCCATGCCCAGCAGCGCGGCAATCACGAGAGGGTAATTGATGCCGGCGCCGCTGCGACTGGCGTACCCAAACAAGGGCGCGCAGAGCAGGGCCGCGAGCTGCGCGACGCCGGTTAGGATCGAAGCTAGGACGTATGCGGCGCGGCACTCCTTCTTGAGCTCGGGGGAGGGGTCGTTGGGCGAGCCGCGGCAGAAGCCGTTGCCGATGAAGAAGGAATTCACGTATAGCGGAACAAAGAGCGAGATGGCTACCGTGCTCGCGCGCGCTACGAACCCGCCTAGGTATCCGAGCGCGATGTGCGGGTCCGTGGCGCCGAGGCGGAGGGACGAGAGGAGGAGGCGATGGTACGGAAGCGGTCCCTTGATCGCGGCGACTGCTGCCGAAGAGGAAGAGGGCCCGTCAGAATGAGTGTTAGAGTTAGAGTTGGCAGTGTTTTGCGGCTTGCGCAAGTTGAGGAGCATGCGCCACCCCTTCCCTTCTTCGCCTTTTAGCCCACGTAGGCCGAAAAATACGAAAATAGACACAGCGAGCGCAACGGCACCAACTACGTAGAAGCTATCCGTGATAGCCTCTGCGGGTGTAACGCCCTCTTTCTTGGAGAACTGGGCTGGCAGCGGTAGGAAGAGGATCAAGGCGACTAAAGCTCCGCAGCCCGTGAATAGGCCGACATATCCGGCTAAAGCGGACGGTCTACGACCGCTACCCTCGACGCTACCGTATGCGTCAGAGGAGTCATCTGATATGTAACTGCTACTTCCTGTATTACTCCTATTGCGCTGCGTGAATCGCTCCGGGGTAATCGTCGCCTCGCTCTCCAAGCTCAAAGCCACACTATCCCTAGCATTATGACCCGACTTACGGCTCGAGCCGCCGCTCCCCACGCTCCTACTCTCCGCATTCCCACTTCCATTCCCCAGCGCCTCGTCCTCCTCATCGCTCACCTCCCTGTTATCATCCGTAAGCACGGGCAAGATGGCCGTGACCATAGTCGCGGCGGCCGTAGCTCCGAGCGCGAACGCGATCCTGGCGAACACCAGGCTGGGGTAGACGTCCCTGGCCTGGACGAAGCAGAACAGGCTGACGCCGATGATCGCGTATCCCAGGACGGCGACCCAGCGGACGCCGAGGCGGTCGCTGACGAGGCCCCAGGCCGGGCACGCCACGAGGGCGACGAGCTCGTCGACGAACCCCAGCGTGCCGACGATGTCGCCGACCCCCGTCTTGACGCCCAGCAGGTCCGTGATCAAGAACGAGACGGCCGAGTTGAGGAACACCAGGAACGAGATGCTGAAGAGCGCGATGCCCAGCAGGTACGTGGCCGCCTGGGTCGGCGTCGCCGTCGGGCTGAAGGGCAGGATGCGCGTGAGGAATCGGGAGCGCGCCATTGGTGTTAGGTTTGGGATGATTCGTAACGGGCGCGCCGGTTCTGCGGAGGGGTCGGTTGAGTTCGGACGATTCGGACTCTAGTCGTCGGTGATAGAATTCCGTTTCCTAGACTCGTATAGTAATAATCTACCTAAGAAAAGAAAACGATTGAGGTTACATCTTTCGTCGTCGTGAGCAGTTGGAAAGATGCTTGGCTGGTAGATTCCAGCTTCGGGTTGGTTGAAGTTGGTTGAAGTGGGTAGGTTCAATTGTCCCCCAACTTGGGAGATTGATAAGATGTAGTTCGCTTAAAAGGGTAACACCCAACCCCATCCATGGTATGGATCCTATTTTAGTCCCGGAAGCCGGACCTTCTCTAAACTTTGGCTCGGTTGCCGGCCGCATGGATAGGTCACGCTTAACTCGACCTTGATGGTATCACATGTATCACATTAATCAGGTACCGTTCCTATTTAGGTATCTTCGACAGCAATAAGATTAATGACTGGAAGTTAATCGTCTCTATTATGCACTGAAACGTATCTCAATTCTCTCATAAAGACTCGTACAAGAAGCATCACCCATAACAACATGAATCAATCAAGATAGTAAAGATCTATACACCAGAAGAAAGGCCAATAGATGGGTGTATCGTCTAAAACGAAGCGAACGAGTTTCATGCATGTCATTGAGCTGTCTAAAAATAATTAGTACTCTTTTGTGAGCACATATCCTTGCTCGTTCCTATACGGTCGTTATGTCGCCATTGTCCAAGGCAGACAGACCTCCACGCAAATGACTTTCAATGATCCTAACGCCGGGTGATGAACTGTCTATCCCCAAATTCCGATTGTTTACAGGATCCCATTTGTGATGCCTGACGACCTTGCAATAACAACGCACATATACAGCACGAGGACTGTCGTGGCCAACTCCAGCGGGAGGAAGACAAACGAGCCGGCTATCGCCATCAAGGACCACCGGAATCGTGCGATCCTTTTCTCCAAACCTGCTTCATAGGAAGACTTTTGTGCGGATCGGTCCCAAGCTGATCGCTCATTTTCAGAACTGGCATCTTGATCAGAGTCGGATTCGCCACTGAAAACTTCCGATTCAGGCTGGGATTGTCAACCCGAGAAGTGGAAACCACCCGGGAATCCCTGCGGGCGTGTGCGGCCACCAAATCCGCCACCGCCGAAGCCTTGGTGACCACCGAAAGATGCGCCACCATTCATCATGCTGAATAGGATCTCCGGATCGATCCCGCCGGCCATTCCACCTCCCATGCCACCGCCGAACATATCGGAGGGATCTATCAGATCCTCGCCACTGTCGTATCGAGCGCGCTTTCTGTAGTTTATTCATTAGCATAAGCATTGCTAGGGTATCATGTATCAATACATACTGAGGGTCGCTCAATGTCTCGTAAGCTTCACCAATGTCCTTGAAACGTTCAGCGGCAGCCTCGTCGCCGGGGTTCTTGTCCGGGTGGTGAATGATGGCGAGCTTGCGGTAAGCTTTCTTGATGCCATTCTCATCGGCATTCTTGTCGACATTGAGGATCTTGTAGTAATCCTTGCGTTGGCTCTTCTTAAGTTCCAGCTCTGCTCGACGGATCTCTTTGGGTATGCTGCGGTCCTCCGGATCTAGCTCTTGAATAGACTTCCATTCACGAACGCAGTCCTCCCATCTATCAGCTTGGCCCAATGCATTAGCCTTGGTCTTTCTCGCCTTGATGTATGTAGAATCAAGGGCGATAGCCCTTTCGCAATCAACAATCGCCTCATTGAATTGCTTCAGCTTAAGTCGACACAACGCTCGGTTCTGGTAGAGCTTCGAGTTTGTGCCTCTGTTTGTAGGATCCACCTCCAGGGCAGCGGAGTACTTGTTGAATGCAGCCTCCCATCTACCGGCCTTGTAGTCCACGTTGCCCTCCTCCTTCATCCGGTCTAGCTTCTGTACGGTTCGAAGCCATTTAACAGCATCCTTAAAGTCGGGATCGCAGCTCAATGCTTGTCGGAAATGTTGGATAGCCTTTTCATTCTCGCCCTGAGCATACAAAGCGCGGCCACGCAAAACCAATGCTTCTGGATCCTGGTTATTAAGTCTTAGAAGTCCCATGGCCACGTTCTGGGCCTCTCCAAAGGAATTGGCGCCTCCCATCTTAAGATAAGCGTTGCCTCGCATTAGCTGCCACTTTCGAGGCTTCGAAGCTCTAGGTCCAAGCAACTTCTCAGCCTGGTCTAACGCATGTAGAACCATAGAACCACTAGTACCACGGTCGAGAGCGTCCTGAGCAGCTTTAACGTGATGCATCATCTCCCTAGCGGCGGCCATATCTTTAGCAGAGGCCGCCGGACGAATGCGATCAAAGGTCATCAGCGCCTCTTCGGGACGTCCGAGATTTGTGTAGATACGAGCTAGACGCAATAGGAACTTGGCATTGTTAGGGTCCAAGTCCACGGCACGCGTGCAGTCATCCAAAGCCGCCTCGTACCGGCAATCGGACATGTAAGCTGCGGCACGGTTGCTAAGGTAGGTAGGCTCGTTGGGCATAAGTTGAATAGCTAGTAAATATTAGTTTAAAGTCCTTGCAGCAGGCAAATCTTGCAGGCACCTACCACTTGTGTACTCAGCAATTGCTCGAGCGTAATCTCTCTGCTTGAAGAACCTGTTTCCATCGCTCTTATGAGCTTCGGCTAGCTCAGCATCGTTAGGTACCGGACTAGAAGGGTTAGACTTGTGAGGCGGAGGAGCTGGCCCCTGCGGCTCATCGTTTGTACCGTTCTTCACTCCATTGGTCTTGGGAGTGGCGGTGACCTTGGGAGATTTAACAGGAACAGCAAAAGAGGACTGTGCTTGCGGCTGTACAGGAGGCGGCGAGGAGGGTGTTGCGGCCGGGGTATCTTTGTCGACATCCATCTTGTCAAGCGATGCCCGGGTGGTCATGTTGTATTGAGCAGATAAACGTTTGATCTCGTCCGGATGCAAATTAAGAGGGTGAGTGTTCGGATCAACTTTACTGCGTCTCGAGGAAGACGAGCCTTGATCAGTCGAGTGTCTCGCGTAGGAGCGAGAACTTCGAGGTTTGGGCTGCTCCCGCTGAGCAGGCGATGCGGGGCGTACGGGTTTCTTAGTTGGAGATTTGGATGATGACGAAGGAGAAGGCTTCACCGGCGAAGTTTGTTCGGAACGAGGGATTTGCGGCTGCACTTTTTCTTGGTGATGGTGGGGGCCGGTGCTAGATTCGGTGTTGTCGCCTGCTGTCGTCTTCTTTGGAGATTTTTTAGAAACGAATAGGCCCTTCATTTGGAAGGTGGAATGCGAGTTTTCGGCTTTAATCAAGCGTGGTTAAGTGGTACGTAGTCTCCGAGTTCCCACACCCCTATCGCTCTATTTATTACCTAAGACAAGGTAATTAATAGTTCCTTCCGCCTCAAACGCCGCCTTCGACAGCCTTCTGCTCGATGCTGGATCCCGGTCGGCTCTAGTGGGACAGAAAAAAAATGTTAGTCGAGTTACCCAAGAATCGAAATAAAAAATATTTAATGATAGGTTCAATTTCATCCCAATCGCTTGAGGCCAATTCAATGTAGGACAATAGACGTTATATGTTTATATGCAGAAAAAAAGAATAAAAGAATTGGTCGGTTATTTGCGTGGCGTATTCTTTTTCTCCCAGGTATCCGGATAGCTAATTAGGCAATATCACTTACACTGCAATCCTCCTGAATTATGACAGACCGCCGTACTAATCTCGCCTTTGGATAACCAACAGTCCTTGAGCGGGTCGCAGGCTGCAAGGAAGAAATAGAGTACTGTCGATTCCCCTCTCCTTTCCTCTTTTTTTTTCCTTCAATCGTATTGGTGGAGAAAAAAAACCTTGATCTAGATAGAAAGGCGCAAGTTGACAGCGACTTAGGTACTAAGTAGGACGGTCCCAGATAGCGGTAGCTTTTCGAGGTAGGACTAGGGAATAGCCGAAGCAGTGAAGCGCGGCGAGAAGTAAAAGAAGGTTTGGGGAATTGTGAGGGACGAGAGGGACGGACGGACTAAATGTTTTTTTAGGATAGAAATTGTGAAAAAAAGATGACAACAAGGAGTTCAAGGTTACGATTTATCAGCCCGTCGAGAAACTTTGCATTTACGGGATAGCACTGCACGGCACTGCGCACAGCCAACATGCACTAAAGCAGATAGTGATGTGCTCCAGGGCTGCTCTTGTTGAGTTGAGAATAATAAATCGTTAGGCTGGGGTTTGAAATTTGTGAAATTTTGGGGAAGCCCCCAGAAAAGAAAAAAAGACGGAAGTCCCGAGTACTTGGTCAGCTAGCGGGTTCTATGCACTGACCAAAAGTTGCCAATACATACATGTCACTGCCTAGGAAATGCCACTCGACTAAGCCCGTCAACCAGCAATTGCCATCCTGTTCCAGCCCCCCCACTATCGCATACTACCACATACTGCATGTAGTAACCTTTACCACTATCACCACTGACAACACTATAATTCTACCCAATATCCATCCACGTTGATTAAACTCAGGATGGTTGTATGCTCGGTTCACCAATAGCCAGGTCGAAGGCATGACTTTGTTTACAAATCTTTAGCGTCTGTAACGTAAGTATGGGGTTCTCAATGGTCATATATTTCCGGTACGCTTGTTCACGTAGTATTCTGTCAGGCCAATCCTGTCGTCACACTCGCAATAGGAGAGGCTGAACCACACAAACTGTCGTACCTGCTACAGCGCTCGCTGCGGCAACACGTTGACACACCCTCCTCAACCCTATCTCGACCTTCTATCCTGCCTCCTCCGTCTCCTCTGCCTCCTTCATGATATGAATCTCATCAAACCTCGAATTGATCATCATATGTATCTCCCGAGGTCGCTAATACTGTACGCGGAGTACTGAATCCTGGTAAGCCGAGATGAGAAGATGGACAGGGGTCACATGGATCGTTCCGAGGAGCGGCAGGAGGACCCTTGTAAACTAGACATTATACCCACTATATCCACTCTCCCACCTTCCTCCAGCCAATAGGTTCCCTCTCTCTTCCACCGATTCTCGAAGCTTCTATGGGGAAGGTACAAGTCTGATGTAAGAGACTCAGAGACTGAGGCATGTATCCAGGCGCTTGGGCCAAGCGGGAAGATGCGTTTAGATGATGTAAGTACTCTGTCGAGAGTCTTTTGATTTTGCCAAGCCGCCAAGTTGTGATTGTAACCGCGTATAATTCCTATTGTTCCCACAGCGGGCGAAGTGGATGATGATGTGGATTTGTTTCAACTTCAGCTCTCTGACTGTAATAATTATCTGATTAACCTAGGCTACGTACCTGGGAGCACATGGCTCAAGGATGCTCACCGAGTGACTCGTCACCCATATTGGATTATCTGTTGTTGAAGATCGTTTTATTCGGTGGTTAGTCCCCGATACCTTCACATGCTTAAAGCTGGAACAGAAGGTAACGGTTTACTCTAGTCGCTTAGGCCAATCAAAACTCGAGAATTGTCTCAACGCTGGTTCAGGGTTTGATTGATAACGTTTAACGCTGTTTGTACTACAACCGTATAAGCAGCAAACCACATTTAGTAATCGAAGGGTAAGTTTGTAACATCGTCGGTCCTTGATATTGATGTAAAGTGATGATTTTCATCCCCATATTGTTTGCTCAGTAACCTATGTATGTATCACCTCCTTTTTGTAAATATTTGCAAGTAAATTTGTTAGTGTTGTTTGACACGAATATACGGGGATAATTTGAAGTTATAGGTAATCCAAACATGGACAACATTGTTCCGTCTCTGCATACCTTATCAACACTACTCATGTAACTCCAATTCTTTGGTAATGTTCCGATGGATGATTGTACAGTATCGTAACAGCATGGAGTGCTTGGCGAATGGCAACCTCAGCCTATATAATTAGATTCGTATTCCAAATAGCTTTTTGATAGACCATATATCGGTCAGTATATTAATTAGTTCAACCATGTTGGGACTGTGTTCTTTGGGATCCCAAGGGGGACCATCAACAACCACCAACATAGGTACCTAGATATCTAAGTCCTGCAATACGAAGAAAGCCATATTAATCCGGGTTGTTCGCAGACTAATAGCAATGAACCTTTACCGTACTTGTCCACTCAAACTCCTTAGCACCAGGGCATACGTTCCCTAAGCCCTTGTCCCCATAAACCTTTGGATGAAGCCCCTGATTCCAAAAATTCCACATAGATTATACAAGGTCCTCTCGCCAATACGACCTCATCCCTCGGAGTTTTCGTGGGAAGTAGGCTCTGACGATCCGTTTCCGCCGACGATGGAATTCACGAACTCCTGGTACTTGAAAACCTCGCCGCGTTTGCCGAGACCGCCAGCCATGCTGTTCTTGCTGAAAGCCCTTCTACCACTGAATCCAACCATGATCTTGTCAACCTCCAACGGCGTCAGAGCCCTCTCTCCTGGCTCCGGCGCGGTATGCAGTAGCGCATCTCGGAGCTCGTTAAGGTCTACCTGGCCACTGTCATCGTCGTCGAAGGCGGAAAAGGCAGACAGGAGCTCCACGCTGGGCGACATCGCGGCCAATGTCGAAGCTATCGAATTGAGGAATACTGCAAGGGTCGTGGTCTGCGGTCCCCCTGGCGGGAAGAACTGTGATATGTCGGATGGGCCAGAAGGCAGTCCTAAGAAACCATATTCGTAAGCATTGGTCTTCAATGGCTTGATTATGAGTGGTGTAATATACCTAGCTGGTTGAGCATGTCTGCGACGTCTTCCCTATTTACGACCCCATCACTGTCTCTATCCAAAATTTGGAACCCATCCCTTAGAACGCGGAGCTGCGCTGGTTGTAATTGCGAAAGTGCGTTCCCCTGTAACGGTGCTTGTGGACGTGACGAGGATATATGCGCTGGAGAAGCGAGAGAGTGGGGAAGCGGCATCTCGTTCGTCTGGACCTGTCCACGGGGAGTATAGCTGTCCGTGCTGCTTGTAGGCGACTCTACTGTGGCAGCAAATCTCGAAGGGGTATGCACGTTGCCAACTTTCGTCGGTGACTGTGTTGGCGTTGTTGTAAACCTGGGCGTCGTGGGTGACGCAGGGGATTCCGGTCTGCGGAAAGGAGAACTTCGAGGAGAGCCGTATCCTAGAGGTGATGGCTTATAACCCGCTGGCATGGCCTGGATCATGTAAGCATCTGTTCCAGTCAATCGTATCTTAAAAGGAGAGATGATCGATGCAAGGAGCTCCGCTGGCAAGTGGATTCATTTACTAACCATTGTCGCGTGTTAATTCCCAGGGCGGTGTCACAGGTTTTATCGATAACAAGTAAACAAGATAGAAAGAAAAGCTTCTTAGAAAGTGCAATGTTTGTGATAGTCGGCAAGAGGCGCCACTTTCGTAATCGATCTCGAATTTAATGTTTAGTGTGTCGCGAAAGAGAACGTCAGATTCGTATCGTATTGAATCTCAGGTTGGTCTAGGCGCGACGTTCTGTATCGCAAACTTGACGCACCATTGTATTGGTTCGCATAGAACCGTTGCGGAGCAACCAGCAACCCACTTACTGGACTCGGTATAATGATGTCACTGGAGACTAGGCATCACGTGCACGCATCCCTCAACTTTAGAATGGTCGAACACAATTCTTTGGCCAGAAATGGATTTTGGGCAAATTCATAGAAGGCTTCGATTATCTACTGTCAGAAGGTTAATACCGCTAATTATCAAGGTATAATGAAATACATTGATCTCGCTAAACAGTTAAGGGAATGATTCTTTCGAGTCTTCTCCAGGATTATCAAGGCCGATGTATATCTCAGTTCCACGATCTCGTAGTAATTGGACCTCTCAGTTGCTGTCTCTAATTCTCTAGAATCGTAATATTGCTCTATCTCGTGTCTAATGCTGGTAACGGCCGGGAAAATCATGAGAACTTTGGAAGTGACAGCTTCAAAACAGCCCCCCAGTTAATACCTTTCGACATTGTCAGCATAGTTCGATCTGAAGCCACACAAATAGTCATTCAACAATGTCCGTAATTTTCTCCTAGGTTACCTAGTTCATAGGATGGTTATTTTCGAGTCAACGGCAGACTAACCACAGCTGAGGCGTAAGTTACGCTGGCATGTCGTAGTCTAAAACTCAGGCTTCTCCCATTACGCGTGATGATACTGAATTAGGTGTCATTTCCTCGCTTCCCAAAAAGGGAATTTGATGAATGGAAGCGATGAAATAGAGTTATTTAGGGTACGAATTGCACGGATAACCCTTGACTTTGATGGCTTTAGATAAGGTTTATGGTCATCGGTGGCTTGCGCCATGTGTTGAACAGGAAGCGGTTTATCATACCATCGATGTCGTACAGACATAACCTTGGAAGTACGTATGAACTGTCGGTAAAATGGGACCCGCCTCCCCGCTTCCCTTTGGTCGATTGGGCTGCGATGAATGGATTTGATTTGGTAGTTGCGGTAGCAAGACTAGTCGCAGCAGGGAGGTGGGGGTTAAAAAGGAAAGGGCGTTAGAGAGTATTAGAGTGTGAGAGGCGCTAAAAGAACGCTAAAAGGGGTAGGCCCTAGCATCCTAGACCCCTAAATAGCGCCCCAAAGCCTATAGCCGAGCTAAGTCATTGGCTGTACGACGAGAAACAGGGGTCTTCTTGATCAAGGGTCTAAATTTGATACGAAACTCTCTTTCGCTTCCATTCGCCTTGCTGCTCTCGGTACCTTTTTTTCTCCCCCAATCCTGAACCCCCCCTTGCTCAGGGTGAAGTACCGCCTTTTGAGTTCAAACAACACCGAAGAGATGAATGTGTAGCAGATCATGTCTCGGCCATTGACCTCTCCTACTCCAACTTTTCACTTCCGGTTGCCGTTGGCGTTGGTCTTGTGCGTCTTCTGGCTCGATCTCTGATCTTACTCGGTGGTACTTCGTACGGTTTATCGGTCTATCGCGACATCGCAAATAGACACGGCGCAACCCCTGAGTTGCGCATGGCACAGCAGCGCTGATCGAATCCCCCGCCGCGACGGGACCACCAGTCGCAATCTACATTGACTCAACGTAGCATACTCTTCAATCTCGGCGCAATACGAAGATATACATATTTCGGTGATACATATTTTCTTTGTCGGCCAAGGAGCTCCGACGTCGAGGATCTGCACTTGATCACTGCCCCGAGGAGTCCCACCACGGCGGACCTGTCAACCGCGCGACGATCATACCAGGCCCGAGTTGTTGGTTACTAATGGCATCGACTCAAATGGCGTTCCCCCATCTGTCTCGAACAAATACTAGTCAATCCCTTTCTAATGGCGGTGCCGGTAACCACCGCGCATCTCTCACATCCTTCTTATCTTCGCGATCCCCTTCGCAGATGTCTCATAATTCGCGACCTCCACGATCTCCACAGCCTCCCATCATGAACAACGATCGCACGTCAGATCCTAGTTCGAAGTCCAAGACTTCGTCGCTGGCGAGTCAGACTGCCGCGTCTTCTTCGCAACATTCCTCTCTCGAGGCGCCGAAGCGACACAATCCTAATGGCCAATCACCCAGAAAACTACGCTCGCAGTATCCTCGCGAGTCAGAAAATCATGTCGAGTATATCTTGGTCGCCTCTTTCGACATCGACCGCGGCCCTGTCATGGAACATCAATTTCCCGTCGCGATTACCGGGGATGAGCATATGTTAGCTGAACTCATGTTACCAGACCAAGTTCATTCGCGTAATCAAGATTGGACTATCTTCTTCCTGCATAAGGACACGAGCCAAGAGGAGGACGAAGAATTGCAAAAAGAGAAAGAAGAAAGGCGAAGGCGAAGGAAGCGAAGAAGAGACAGGGCTGCTGGGATAATCAACGAAGATGACGAGACAGTTGATGAGGGTGAGGATGAAGAAGACGACGAGGACTGGGATGACGATTCCTCAACAGATTCAGAACCTGAAGGGGGAGAAGGTCCTCCGCTAATATATGTCCTAAATTTGGTTTATACAAGACACGATAAGTCAGTGAAAAGAGGCGCTATAGTCAAAGCAATGGCTATATGTACAAGGCACCCCTTTTTACATATTTATAAGGTTAGTTTACGATACATCCTAGTACCCTTTCACACATCCCTAACTATTGCAGCCTCTCCTATTACTTGCGCTTGAGGAATACTACAAGTCTCCCGTCCCAGAGACCTTATCTATGCTCTACGAGGCCGTGAATAACATGGACCTTTCCTTAATGCCAAAGCTCAGTTTGCTTGAGAGGCATCTCCTACAAGCTAGTAATAACCAGGACCTCTTTGTCGAAAAGTTCGAACGAATGATACAGAGGCGAATAACTGAGGACAAGAGCGAAGGAGTTGGTGAGCCGTTCGACGCAAGCAAAAGTCCCCCTAAGCTACAAGGTATCTCTCGGGGAGGGACGAAGGCTCATCTTGAAGGCCAATCTGCTTACTCAGTCCCGCGAGATACGCACGAGTTTGAGAGTAAAGTCATGTACAAGGGCATCCCGATTCCTGTCAAGATTCCGACAGCAATTATGCCGGAAACAGTCGGGGATTTCTCTCTTATCAAACTAATCCAAACATTTTCGGAACCGCATGCAAAGTCGGTACAACACTTTTCGATACATACGCACCTAACTACGAACGGGCCAGGAACCCATCCTATAATAGTACTTGCTAATGCTCTTCTTACCCAGAAGAGGGTAATTTTCCTTGGACATACTATGCCATCGGGCGAGGTTGCGGAGGCCGTCTTAGCGGCGTGTGCTCTGGCCTCCGGGGGTGTGTTACGGGGATTCTCTAGGCACGCATTCCCGTACACAGATCTTACCAAAGTCGACGATCTTTTGAAGGTTCCCGGCTTCATCGCTGGAGTTACGAATCCAACCTTTGAACTACACCCCGAGTGGTGGGATTTACTATGCGACCTCCAGACAGGTCGGATGAAGATCAGTGATAAAATCGAACCCGCACCGATCACGGAGGGTCTCGTATATTTCCAACAGCAGAATCCGTCATTTGCGAACACGCTCAGCGGTTCATCCAGTGGAAACGTGGACTACACAGGAGATCTCGTGTTTATGAACGACATCCTCAAAAGCATAACAGCGAGGCGAGGCGAACGAGTCATTCGAGCGAAGTGGCGAGACTGGGTTGTGCGGTTTACCCGCATAGCCGCCGCCTTCGAGGAGACGGTGTATGGAGCTAGTGCCTTATACATCGGGAATGACGAGTTTGAGACGCTCACGGGCGGGCACGGATACGTGTGGGCGGATGAGAACGCCAAGCAGAAGGAGCTTGCTGGAAACGTTTGTCGGATTGAAGGCTGGAGAAATACTAGAAGTTACTACAGCTACATTCAGGTAAGAAGCTGCCTCAACCGAAATAGTATCTCTTGGCGACGACTAACAAAATGCCTTTTAGGACCTCGCTCAGCTTTACACCATCCGACCTTTAAAGGGTTTAGATTTACATCACATGCACGACCGGCTTCGGTCGCAACGTCTAAGTCCGGTGCAAAGCCGAGAGATCTACTTGGCGTTCTCCAAGTACGTGCACTCGTACGACGAGATATGCTTGCTATTGTCTGTAGCACCCGAGTCCCACGCGGGGCTTTTCTACATAGCTCTCGGGCTGTTCCACAAGGACCGCGACGTCAGGATAAAGACGTCGGAACTCATCGAGCGCATCAGCGACCACGAAGCCGGTCAGCACTGGTGGAAGGGGATGAGCCGCTTCGAGAAACTCGCCTTCCACCGGATACGGCGAGAGGTAGAAGCCGAAACGAAGAGCAAGCTCGAGAAGGAGGGCTTTACTCCTGAGACGGAAAAGAGGATAAGCTAGATGATGAAGATAATGAAGATAACGAAGAAGAGTAGGAAGGTCCAGACCTAACGGCGATGCCGGGGGCGGAGGTTGATGTCCTTTCGTTTTCTGAAGATATCCGCGAGCTTCGAATGTTGATATATACCACATACGTAATTTAACACAAGAAAGCATGCTTGTGTGTTCTTGATGCGTTGATCATAACGGCGTATACATACACTTTTCTTTTTGCAACTTCCTATCGAGTGCTTCCATAAGTGATACAATATGCCTATTATCTAGGCCCTTGCTGTTTTTCCCGCTTGACCATATCATCGATGGCGAGATTTCCGTGCCTTCGTTCTTTCAACTCGCAATCATCCGTTAGTAAGTCCACAGCTCAAGATAGGAGTGAACATAGTTCGCAGTTGGAACCCGAGCTTTCGGAGCTCCCGATAGATGAATAGCTATATTTACCCAACCGTCTCTAAGCGAACAGGTACTTAGCAGCGTGGTCGACGTGGTCGCCGGCGAAGGTCGACATGAAGAAGTATGAGTGGTCGTAGTCCTGTGCACACACACAAATTAGTACACCAGCATCGGCAACGACCTCATCACGAACAGAGAGAAAAAATACTCACAGGCTGGTACCGCAACTCCAACCCCGTAACACCCGCCTCCTTAACCGCCTTCTCAAAATTCTCCGGCAACAGCTGTCCGGCCTTATAAAAGTTATCCCCCGTGCCCACATCCACCAGCGCCTTTAAATCGCCCCCCTTCCACCCCTTCACCAGCTCCGTAGCATCATGCCTCTTCCACGCCTCCTTATCCGCGTCGCCAAGGTACCCCGTAAACGCCTTGACGCCCCAGGGACACCGGCTCGGGTTCGCGATCGGCGCGAACGCGCTGACGCTGCGGTACTTGCCCGGGTTCTTCAGGTACAGCGTCAGCGCGCCGTGGCCGCCCATGCTGTGCCCCGTAATGCTGACGCGGCTACTATCCAGCGTATCGGCGTACGCGGCGAACAGCGCGGCGGGCAGCTCCGACGACACGTACGTCTCCATCTTGTAGTGCGCGCTCCAGGGCGCCTGGGTGGCGTCGACGTAGAAGCCCGCGCCCGCGCCGAAGTCCCAGCTCGCGGTCTCGCCGGGGAGGTCCGCGCCCCGCGGCGACGTGTCCGGCCACACGAGCGCGATGCCCGCGCGCGCCGCGTGCGCCTGGAAGAACCCCTTCTCCGTGCAGTTCTGCGGGGTGCACGTCAGCCCCGACAGGTAGATCAGGACGGGGACCTTTTGGTTGGCGGCGGCGGGCGGCAGGAATAGGTTTACGTCCATGGGCGTGCCGGTGCTGGTGGACTGGTGCTGCAGCTTGAGCAGCTTGCCGCCGAAGTTGGCGATCGTGGCTTTGGTCTCGAAGGCCATTTTTGCTTCTCTGCGTGCGTGGCTTCGTGCGTGATATTGTTTGGGATGCGGGTGCGGATGCGGAGAAAGGGGTGCTGGTGGTTGTTGTTGTCTGGAGGTTAGATATATAGATCTATTAACTTGGAGACGAAGGAGGAGTCGGGTAGAGATAGCTATGATTAATAGATTTTTAAGTCTTTAGGATACGATTATCAATTCAGATATGTACAAGGACTAATAGGTAATAAGATGATGAATGATGCGAGAACTGCATCAACCGTCTTTCCCGATTCCCCTCAAGCTCCTCCCCGGCAGTTTTCTGGACTATCGACGAACAACCCCGCCATCGGTGCGTTACAAGACTGCAATACAAGCTCTGAGATGTCGCTTTTCTTTATCTAACCCCACATTCCAAGCATCTAGACCGACGTCATTGGCGCCGTTTGAATATCACAAACACTCCGAATACCGACCGGACTCCGTCGTTGAATCGTTGACATCCCGCTAATTTCGGATTGGTTTTTAGTTTCGTTTTAATCATCGGAAAACTCAATTCGACCTCCATCTTTTGAATTTTGGGGATTTTAGTGCTGGGCGGACCCTGTTTTTACTTATTATAGCATTAAGGCGTCTATTTTGTCTAACACCATATCTGACAATTCCATTAACATCTCCAGCCAATTCACGTCAACAATCCATTCTATGCTTTCGTCGTTTGGTTCTGGTAACAGTCGAAGGACTCGATAAGATGATCCCATTTTATGGATGACAGATCCCATTTGACAGGGTTGTAGAAGGAGACGGCGCCGAATGTGCAGCCCGTAGGCGATGTGCAGATATCATCGCATTGACCTCTGCGCCATACCAAGTACCATATTAGCCCGAGTGCGCAGAGACAAAAGACAAAGGAAGCTATGATGCATGGACTCACACTTTAGGATAGCAGTAGAATGCGTCGCCGTCAGGAGCGAAGGTCTTGGTGTTTCCCGAGAAGCCTTCGGGCATGTTGTGGCAGTCCTGGAGAGAATAGACCTCGTAATGGCACGCGCCGGTAGCGTTGGCGCCATTGCAGATTAGGACCTGGATATTCCCGCGCGCAAGTCAGCAATCCGTTTACGGTTACCTGTCAGAGAGTGGGACTCGGGAAAGAACAGAACTTACACCTCCGATTTCTCTCTTGGCTAGCGGCGGTCTTCCGCGAGCAGAGACGCAAGTCACAGCTGCGACGATGCTGGTAATAATTGCTATTAACTGCATGGTTGCGGACAGAGAAGCAGTTGTGCGATGATGTGCCTTGGTGAGGAACTTGGGAGGGAAACTGTGAGAAGGAAGAAGAGTGTCGTTATCTTTCCTTGTTGCCAGGAGCGAATGTTATAGATCCGGTAAACAAAGGAAGGGAGGATGTACTTCAATGTTTGTAAAGTCTCTCGGTAAGTCGTGCCTGACAATCACAAACAATGCGGGAGGCAGTTGTGCAGTTGTGGGCAACAGGAAGGATTAAATAGTTGATGTCGATCGTCAATAGAGCTCCGCTTAGATCGGGTACTATGTCGTACTACATATACGGATGCATGTAGAGAGCTGAAGTCCTAGATTGTGCACCTGGGATACCTAGATGGGCAGGGTGAGTAACAACAAATATGAACCGTACGACAAATAATCAGATAATAAGCTGGGCTATGCCTCTAATATGTTGTGCGTTCGAAACAACAAACACACATACACTACTTGCATATGTACATATTTACACACTACCAACTTAGCAATCAAAGAGCTTGGTGCTTGGCCTGCTTGGTATAGTACACGATGCAGACAGGCAGAGTCGAATCTGCAGAATATGTTGTCTATCACATTGGCCAAGGAACTCAAAAGAAAACCGATGTCGCATCATCTTCCTCCAAGGGCCTAAGCATATTTGTTACGATGCGCTCTGCTGATTCTCACGAGCCGGGTAGATTTCGCAACTGATGTACCATAGAATCTCCAGAGGAACGTTGCTCTGCTTCGTATTCATCCTAATCCCTACCTACATTACACCCTACATTGTCCCCTACATATGACATAGCACCAACATTACGAAGGGAATGCGGCTGCAGCAGCTGACCTGCATCCTTCAACAATCAGACGACGTCATAGGGCCCGTTCGCCTGGTAACCTGGTGAGATGCTGCGGTCTCATGTTGTATTCAAGCTGTACTATATGCCGCCTAGCCTATAGGCATCCATAGATTGCTTTCGAAGGCTTGGCAGACTTTCTAAATGGGGATTCCTTCGATAGCCATATGTCGAATTGTCACACCGCATTGGATAATTGTACGGATTTAAGACTCAAAATACGAATTGATCACCGCCCTTTCGAGCTTGCCCATGTAGCAAGCTATATAAACCAAAGAAACAAAACACGTGTAAGCTTCTAATGATACTACAAAGTGCGATGGCCTGCTCATGAATATAATTGATTGCAGCAGCATTTATGTTTAATGTGAGTACAAGTAGTCTTCACCGACGAAGATATCGAAAGGAACCATACGTTTCCTCCTACTATTAGATCAGGTATACCCAATAATAACGCAACTGATTAAACCGCAGCTGACGGCAGGGCTACCGGTAAGCTCGGCGAGGGCATTCGCCTTATCTGGCAATATCCTTCGCCGTTGCCGTCAGCGTCTGTACCTAATTGTCATGGGATGCCCACCCATTCAGCTGAGGCTGACTGGCGTTGCTATAAAAGACATCATAATGCAATCTACAATTACCCAGCGAGGCAATTATATACCGTATTGTCGGCCGATTGAACGTTGGCTTCATGACGAGGCGTACTTGGAGGGATCACGCCCAGGGAGAATCTGATATATTCCGTAAAGCAACCACAAACTCCATGCTCATGCACATTATTCTTAAACCCCCTGTCGATTCATTTTTGCGCGGTCCTATTAGCCAGTCTTATCCTATCCATGACGAAATCGAGAAGCATTTCGGAGTGATCTTAGAGGCGGCCCCATAAGTAGATCGTACTTGACCGAGAGGTGCCCTGGTCCATTCACTGGAGAAGCTCTTCGCATGACCAATCCTCATAACTGCACGATAGTTAGTATCATCTGCCATGCCGATGTAGGAGATTGAATACATACTAGCCATCGGGAAGATAACGGCGGATGATTAACGGTATCTTCTTCTCACGAAGCTCCTTGATGGCAATCTGAAGCGGATCTGACTCTCCTTCCAAGTCCACGAGGACAGGGGCATTCATACTATGCGACATTCAGTCAGAATAAATCTGGTATCGGCATCCTCGTCAACGTAGTCCTTACCTAATTTGGAGTGCCCTAGTACCCAATACACGAGCTCGCTCATACTTGGTCATGTACGGAGTGGTAGTTCGTTGGTCATTAGGGACCTTCTTGTCTTTGTTGGACTTTGTAGTAGCCTTAGTTCGGTTCGCGGTAGCAGACGGATCACCTCCAATAACGATGTTCTCTTCCTCCTCTGCACCTCTGCGATTGAACTCGTCATCTTCTCCGCCGAGCACCTCGGGGTCGAGCTCGTCTTCAAGAATCTCCTCATCCTCGTACATAGGCTCGTCCCTGCGGCGCGTTAGACGATCAGATGCGACACCTCAGATGCACTGCACTGAAATGCCAAGTGGTTAACTCACCCTCCGACGTCTCCCTCATCACCGTAGTCAGACATCTTGGTTATGATGCGGTCACTTGATAAACTCGAAAGGAAAGTCTTGTATAAACGAGAGTCGATGCGGGTTGCGATGCTGGTTGGTAAATCGTAGATGAGAATGTGGCTTGGTTGAATGCGACGCGAAAAAAAAAATAAGATCAGAAGGATAAATTATTGAAAGAGATCGAGGCCCAGAATTTACAGGGTTGTTTCTGGGTGCACGTCCGTTGTGAGGCTAATTATCACGCTAAGACGTATTTGTCCTGGTAGATTTAGCGATAAGTGGCTTATCCCCCACAAGTCAGGTACCTCCCTGTAATTTTTTTATTCCAATTCCTTATCGATATATACAATTGAACATAGCTCCCCACGATAACTTTTTCTAAACTCAATTACAGATCTGTTCATCACACTCTTTTACGAAGATTCCTTCCTTCGTCAACATCGACGATCTGTACAAGCTTTCTTTTTCTATCGCTCTGTCAATCGCATTCCTTCTCTACTTTTGATCGCAACTTCTCCAACCGTCACATCTTAAATAATTCCTGAACAATCGCAAAATGAAGAGAAAGGCGGACGAACCCGCCGAGGGTGATCTAAATGATCCCAAGGCTTCACGCACCGGTCGCATTCAAGGTAAGCTAGTCAACTTCAATCCCATATTCAAATACTTATCGCGTCGCTCTATAGATGTCGCCAATCGTGATCGTGTCAACAATATCACCAATATTACCAATGACCATAAGAACGATGACGGTGCTAGAGATGATGAGAGCGCCACCAATGACGGTGTCTCCAACTTTGGAACATTGTCCGAGGTAGCAACTCCCGCGACCGAAGTCACCGAAGACCAACCATCGACTCCCCAGCCCAAAACTGGGCGCAAAAAGTACCCGTCGGACTTGAAGCTGCACAAATGCACATGGGACAATTGCAAAGCGGAGTTTAATCGCCCGTGCCGACTACAGGATCATATCCGCAAGCAGCACACCGGGGAGCGCCCTTACGTATGCGGCCAGTGCGGTCATGACTTTGCGAACAAGAAGAATTATGAGGATCATCGCAAGGGTCATGAGAACAAGCGTGACCATGTCTGCCCACATGAAGGCTGTGTTCAGGATTTTACCACTCGAGCAAAGCTTAAGCGACACATGGCCACTCATGAGAAGAATGATCCGCTGACATGTCACGGATTCCCTCCTTGTAGCCAGGTCTTCCGCAAGCAGGAGACCCTAGATCGACACATTCGAACGGTCCACCATAACGCGGCTGGATTCGTTTGCAACCGTCTAGATGACCGCAAGGGAACTCTTTGCGAAGTCTCGTTCGATAACGCCGCATCTCTGAGACGGCACAAAGAGCAGCAACACGGTCCACTCAACTTTTGGTGCGATGAATGCCAGCAGGTTGGGAACAATGTCGGGTTCCCCACGATTGCTCAATTAAATGAGCACATAAGGCAGAATCATCCCAAGCACAAATGCCCATTCTGCGAACTTCTCTTCGCAAACATTTCGGAACTTGAGCAACACGTTGATTCCCATCCTAAGAAGAACATGGAGGAACGTAAGACAGTTCCCTGTACTTGGCCTGGCTGCGGAAATATGTTTACTAGGAAGTCCAACATGGCTGCGCATGTCAAAAGCTGTCATGAGGGTAGGCGCTTTGTTTGCGGCGAGTTCGATGTGAGCGGTACGAAGGACTTGGCCGATTGGCCTCTCTCCGATGGTTGCAAGTCACTTTTCTCTACTAAGGGCAACCTCGAGAATCACATTCGCTATGTCCATCTGAAGGTCCCGCGACCCGAGCAAGCCCAAGGACAGGCGAAGGCTAAGCAACCCTCGTCCAACCTTCTCGGACAACTTGCCGGCGCGGGAGCCGCGCCCCGACAGACTCTTCGATGCAGGGTCCCTGGCTGCAGTGCTAAGTTCACTCACAACGGCGAGCTTGGAGAGCATCTCCAGACTACGCACCTGCTTGACCCGTCTGATGCTCAGAATCTCCAGCAGCAATGGTCGGCTTCACCCAACGCAATGCGACAACAGCTGCCGACCCTCTTCAATAATACGATGCCGCAGCAGCAATCGTTCGCGCCCTACACCAACCCGACTCTACAGCAGCAGCCTATGTACCATGGCAGTGCGATGCAGGGCTCCGAGGACTCGATGGACTTTGGGCAAGGCGATACGCCTTTATATGGAGAGGCTAGCCCTCACGTGGGCTTTTATGGAGGACAAGCACCTAGCAATCAGGTGCCTGGAGGTGGTGATCTCTTCGGCAACGCTACGCAGCCCGGCAACCACGAATTTTGGAATGAGGGCGGCAATCAGAGTATGGGTCAGACGTACTACCAGCCCCAGAACCAAGGCGAGGGCAACTTCCAGGCCGGGAACTTGGCGTCCGTTCAGTAGGACCAGAGCGGTTACCAACTCCAGAGCCAGCAGGGTTACCAGTACCAGAATACTTACCAGAACCAGCTGGGTCAGTATCAGCATGGCTATCAGACTCAGCTGGGTTACCAGAACCAACTAGGTGAGAGTGGTTACCAGAACCAGCTGAGTCAGTACCAGCATGGTTATCAGAACCAGGGTCAGGCATACGACCCGACTGGTTTCCACGCTCAGGCTCAAGGTCAAGGCTGTACCCTATCGGGTTTCCGCGTTGAGAATTCGGACCAGATGTGCCCGCAGAGCCAGGAGAGCTCTCAGGATCAGGGTTGTCAGGGTTACCCTACGTCTGGCTTCCAGCTTCGGAAGGAAGAGGACTCCCAGGATCTGCTTCCAAGTATCCCGGAGGCTATCTTTGGCCAATATCAGATTGGCCTCGGACCTCAGGAGCAGGATCAGGACCAGGAACAAGGCGACTGCTTCCAGGCTAAGAGCGCCGAGCCCGTTCAACAAGACCAGAACGTCCTCCAGCCCCAGAGCCAGTCGTTCTCCGAGAATTCAGAAGAAGAAGAGGCCTTGTACCACGTCAACGATGACAACGCGCCGTATGTACCTGAGAACCCAGCCCAAGCCAAGAAGTTGGAGAAGAAGCGACAGCCGCTCGAGGACGATATCCACGATAGTACGCAGAAGAACATCAATCTGTACTATAAGGATACTTTCCGTATCTATCACGACGGCGCGTACCACAGCTACAACAACGAGGAAGATGCCAGTCCTCCGTGGGAGGATCAGGGAGACTTGGAGATCCTCGACTTCAGCTCCGACGAAGGCGAAGAGGAAAGCCGTCCCCCGCGCAGCCCTTTGGGTCCTCTGGAGCCGTTCGCCTTCCCTCAGACTGATGACGAAGCCATCGCCCCGGATGAGCTTCCGACTCAGCTTCTAGGTCCGGCGGATTTGGACCGAGGCGAGTCGCCGTTCGATTTCGACGAGTTGGTGGACCTGTCCGAGTTCCCGCTTCGAAAGCCTTGATCTCGTGGCATGGACGGACGGAGGATGGTGAAGTTTTAAGGGGGAGGGGGGGAAATATGTGGAATGGGGGGTTGGGGGAATGGATATGAATGCTGAATTGGGGATGACGTACCATGACGATTTCTTGTAATGGGTGATGATACCGGTTTTTTCGTTTTGATGGTTTGGCATGATGAATGGTGGACAATCTTCGTTGGCGGTGTGGTGTTTGTATGGCGGCATTGGTGTTGGTGGAATTGGTCGCATCGTTTTGCGCCAAGTTGAGATACCCCCCCGGGTGTGTTTGGGATTACCTACTATCAGGTGTTTGTGTGATCCCCCTCCCCCCGACTTCATATGACAGACAATAATACTTTTTATTGTCATACCTGCTTGCGTTATTGGGTGATTTGTGCGAATTTTGTATTTGATTCCTGGATAATCCTGCTGGCTTCCGTTTATCCTTGCCATGGCATCTCTCGTAGGTAGAGTGGATTTGATGCCTGGGTACCTAAGGAGGCGATACAGTAGAGTCACCAATCAAAATAAAGAGGCGCGCGTTGCTAAGATCGTCTACTTAAGGCACGATTCCAGTCGTGCCCCTATATTGGGAGCCTAAGGAGTAACAGTAAAATGAAGCATTAGCTTGAAAGCAACTACTCTGCTACGTCCATTGAAGCCACGAAGAGCCGAAGTTTGATCTATCGCTAGTATATCTGGCAGGATAAGTGATATGAAGCCTCGCTGTCACGAAGGTGGTACTTTTAACGTCTCTAGATGAACCGGTTGAACCGCAATCCCTATGCGACTGTAACGCTTGCGAAATGCCTAAGCCGGCAAGCATGATCGATATTGTCCTTTTTCTATTTTACGAAGTTCGTTAGAGGGACATACCGGACTGTACACTTCATCATTGAGAAGTTCCTGGAAAGATGTTCTAAGACTTAATTTCGATTAGCATGGTGGAGAGCCAAGCAGATCGTGGTAATATTGGAAGCTTATGGTATATTTAAACGCCTTCTACATGCAAAACGTATCAGATAGATCAAATAAAGGTCGCCCTTTTCCCTAACGCCAATGAGACACCGTATTAATTTCCGATTCATGAACGCCTCTTCAACATATTTCCGTAACTCGCCGCCCTTATCAGTGTCGTTGCCCTCTCATTCATTTAGGGGATCATATCGAGTGCCCCTTTACAAGCCGTGTGTCGATCTCCGAGGGGTGGGGGTTGCCTGTCAAGCTGGACGCACGCCTGCCTGCGCCAAAGCTTCCATAAGATTGTTCAATATTCGCTCCATTACCGTACCTCGCCTGAAACAGAATGAACTCCTCGACCACGTATTCTACTATCCTCAACAAACCTTTTCATCGTATAAAGCCAGGTACGCCGCTCGGCCGGAGTAAGCAGTGACGAAAGGCGCTGGAATATCCAGCAGCACCAATACGAGATTCGCCATATCTGTTGATATTTCGAGTAGGAAGATGGTTTGAATAGATCTTGGTGTCATTTTCCGCGTGAAAGGAAGATCCTGAAAGCACAACCACCCATTACCCCTGAGGTGAGGAGCACCACGCCAAGGAGTTCTAAACGTGCTGGTTTCCATTTACCAAGGAATGGTCCCAGCGAATAGATGACGCGCTCCCAGAAAGTGTTGGGATCTCTTCGATAGTCCTGCTGAAGAGCCATTGTGCCCCTACCTGAGGATGCTGGATCTTGATCTTGTGTCCTTTCTCCTTCCAATTCGTTGATATTGCTCTCAACTCTCAATGCGTAGTCGAGTTCAGAATCAACAAGCTGATAGATTGAATGATGGTCATCTGGTATCTGTTCGCGCCCAAGACTTTGAAGTTCTTTCAGTTTTGGGATACTCTGTCGGATCCAGTATCTTGCTTCCTGTCCATCATCGCTTATACGATACAAGAACAACGACGAATTAGCTAATATGGGATAGCAAATAGAGCAGCCAGAGGCCTGGTCGTAGACAGAGGTCAAAATATCCCGGGCAGTTGGCCATCTCCATGAAGATTCATCATCTATCCAATAATCATCATCTAGAATATATGGAATGAGCCACCACGAAAGTAAAACGATCTCGACATGAGTAATCGACCGGTCGCTCGCTGCAGCAGGACGCGGCAAGTTTGGTAAGAGTGATAAACATAATCGATAAAAGAGCACATCATCCTCGCTGCATTCCTCGCTTAGGTAATTATCGATGTCTTTAAGGAACAGTTCGTAGGCATCCTGCCACTTTCCGAGCATAAACTTCAAGGCCATGCCAGAAGTCATAAATTGGATCAACGATACGGAAACTGGGAGGTGATGGGTGGCAAGCCAGGTCTGAATCCAGTCCCAATAGATCTCTGCAGAACGGTACCTGCGCCTGGAAATATCGTTTAGCATCACATTAAAACAGCATAGTACAAATTCATCTTCGTTTTCGAATTCCTTGAATAACCTGGACGTGTTTTCAACGAGTATTTGACGTTCCATTAAGGAGAGTAGATCCATGACCATTTCTCTTTCTGTAAGATTGGCCAGGAAATGGCGCAATTCTGGGTGTGGTCCCTTGGGACGATAATCACAATCCTTCGCTGTACACTGTCGATTGCCAACGATGCGCAGATACTCGATTAGTATCCGGCGTGCATTGCTCCATAGCCCTCGGCTTACATACAACTTTACCAATACTGATAGGAATTCTACATCAGGAGGAATACTTTTCCACCAGACGAAGAGAGATACTGTGAGAGATGATAAGTGTTTCTCTAACGTGCGATTGCCTGGTAGGTCATTGTTGCGTCTCAGCATCTCAAGCAATGCAGTTGCAGTATTTGCATTGACTATACGAACGGTCGCGTCAGCTAAATTGTTGTTTGCTGGTATCTCTTGTAGAAGTTGGCTCGTTCTTTTGTATGCTTCTTCATATAGGCCAGCATTGTAGTATTTCTCGGCGATGTCCTCTTTAATATCAACATACTCTTGCGAAAGGGATTTGCCATGTGCTGTCGCTTCGGCTGCAATGCTCGATAGAATCTCATCTGCTCTTGTTTTGTTCATTGGATTGGTCTGCAGACAATATCCAGCTAACTCGATGTTGCTAATTCGAAGAAGTCTGTCGTCTGGGAGAGCTTTTTCCAGCAATTGGATAAGCTTCTCCGTGTAGACTGCAGCGTCCCTCCAATTCCTTCTTTCGCGGTGTAAGTCCTTTTCTAGACGGAGAAACACTTCTGTAGTAAAACTAAAGGTGAAGAACCAATCACGGCTTGCCGTTAAAGCATCGAAAAACTTGAGGGTGTTGAATAGATCATCGAACCGGCCTAAATCCCGCTGTAGGTATCCTAATCTCGCTAAGCTGTCGGAAAATAATGGCATCGCATTTTTGCCGTCTCTTAGAGTACGTAGATGGATGTGGAAACTTTCAGGAAGCCAATAGTCTCTGAGCCACTCCATAATTGGTGCGATAAGTTTCCCTATGTCAGCCGAGGCTTGCCTGAATAATGAGGCTAAATGTCTCATTATTTCAAAGACCAGATATAGACCCAAGTCCATGTATGTTAGATCGTTCACGAAATGGGATGTTCGGCGTCGCCACCACTTTATCCACCGCCATGCAATACCGCATGGTGCTTGCTTTGAGATATCAATCAATTTTTCCTTCATGAAACCTTCGGCTTGTTTTATGAGAGCTGGAAGGCCCTTTCGAAATAAGTCGAATTCTTCCGTTCGAATGAGCCACAACTGGTGTAGATAAGTGGCGAAAAGCTCACCGAATGTAAATTTTGTATTACTTCGATCTCTTTGCCATCGACCACGAGCTCTTTCCATCTGATCTTCGATATCATGAGGTCGATTCTGTTGGTGTAAGAGAATAAATAGTTGGCAGTCTTCTCGGTACTGTGTAGTTTCGAATAATTCAAGAAGCGCCTCTTCGTTGAACTTGATCGCTAGGTTATCAATCTGTGGACCACAGCTGCCACTTGTGTGGGCGTAGAGGAATAGTGAATTGAATGCGCGTGAGAACCAGGACTTTTCCTCTAGTCGCGTAAGCCCTAAAGCCTCCAGGTTCCCCCGATCCCATTCGTACTCTTCGAGACTCGTTAAACAGCTACTCACATGAGCCGACAATTCATCAGGCATACTCAATAAAGCTTCGCGTATCTGAGGACTAGCCCTATCGACTGGCTGACAGGGATCGTAAAACAGATATGCGGGTTGAGCGTGTCCGTCTACGAAGTTGCAAGCATTCAAAGTCGCAGCTAGGCAGACAAGTGCTTCGGCAAAATGTGTCTGTCCATCACAGCAGCCGTGTCTTACCATAGCCCAGTCTCGTACCAGCGAGTGAAGAGAAAAGATGACTAATCCAGATGCATCGGGTGCACATGACTCGACAAGAGAAAGTGCCTTAAATTCGGTGATAACTTCGCGAAACCGGGTCCGGTCAAACTCTTGTTTATCATTCAAAAATATTTTCATCCAGCCGTGGTGTACCGAGCACCACGCGCAGTTTTCCAAACTCTGGCGCCGATAGTGTTGCTCGAAGTGTATACTGGAGATGCGATGTGGACTTAGAAAGGAGCAAACTGAGAGGAAATGGGTTTTTCTCGCTCTGTCTTCTGCATCAGTACCGAGGGCTTGGAGTGACAATCCCCAAGTCGTGAAAACGTTTTGGTTGTCTTCAGAAGACCCCCATGAGTGAGAGGACTTCTGAAGCATAAGCACCTTCTTCTGCTCATATTCGGGTAAGAATCGCCACAGTTGGTCGGTCAGATGATGTATCTTCATGTATGAGGCGGCAGCGTGGATGGCCAATGGCAACGCAGCCAGGCGTTTAACAATGGCCTCTGCTTCTTTGATTTTCTCTCCAAAATTGCCCTCTTGAGTTGAATCGTTTATAAGCAAGCGTAGTAAAAGCAATGTTGCTGTGTCCATAGCAAGGCCACGAACCCAAATCGGGCTATCCAGAGCGTCAGCAGCGCCTACCAAGCGGGTAGTTATGATGACTGCCGCTGGGCCAATCCTCGGTATGTAGTCTATAACGCCCTGAGAGTTTGCGTTGTCGAAGATTATTAAATACGGCCTTGTCCATTTTTCCAACGTGCTCATAACCTGAAGTAGCATAGTTTCATGATTCTCTGTCGTCTCCATTCTAGTCGAATCGTGTTTCTGAGGGCGGATCAGCTTCCAGATCCTGGAAATAGCTGTCTGTAGAGCGCCTTCGGAAGAGGAATCGATCCAGAAAGCTGTGGTAAACGGATTATCCTGGCGACTTGTGGCATCACGGAAATATTTCAAAGCCAGTTGTGTCTTACCAACTCCGCCGAGCCCAAGAAGGCCTATGCTATGGGGCTCTTTCGGCCCTGGTTGGAACAAATAGCTGAATTTCTCATCTATGTTCTTGAGGTGTTCCTGCTGTCCCATGAACTTCCTTTCCTGTCGAGGAGCGGGCCGATCAATATGGTCTATCTGACCACCTTGGGGTTTGGAGCTGGCTACACATGGGTGAGCATTCAAAATGAGACAAATATACTAATTTTGCCTGTAATAATCACACAACTTACCTAGGAGGCTTTCTTTGTCGTCAGTTTGATGAGCTGACTGTTTTCCAAACGCGGTTAGGTAGCCATTTTCTGAAAGTGGCACCCTGGATGATTGATGATGCAGGCCCGTTGAGCAATGAAGGGGCCTTTGCCGAGTATGTGTAGAGATTGCTACAATTTCATCAACCGGAGCCAAGATTGGAAGCTTGTATTGATTTATTACATACTGTTTCCTGGCATCGAAAAAGCCATCGCTCTCCTAACAGCAGTCTTTACTGACTGATATGTTGAATCATGCTTATCACGGAACTTCACCATCTGGTTATGATCTGCTTGCACACTAAGAGCTACCTCGCCTCTCACGCCAACCTTTGACGAAGTCTCGTCGACAACCTGACCCAAATATTAGTGAGACAAACGATGAATAGCAATGGGGAGCACAGACTTGGATTCCAAGTCCAGCCAGAGTTCGTGTCTCGTAGTAAGACTGCATGAACGGAGGGGCATCCATTGGAGTATTCCATATTTGAAGCTTCTGAAACGACGTCGATAGTTCATACAGTTCAAGGGAGTGGATTTTCAGGGCCTCGAGGATTCTTTCTGGTACCTTGTATCCGACCGACTTTCCAATTAATTGAATAAGCCGCGCTCTCGTCTGATCGTTGGCAAAGCTACCGGCATTCGGAGTACTAAAAAGTATAATGGAGATTGTTGAATTGAGGATATCTTTGAGACCCCGCGAGGAACCTTCCATACATTCTATCAATGCCTGTCTAACATGTCAGCACTGACTGAGCCAGTTCACGGGTGATTGTCTCAATACCTTTTGGATAATTAAACCACCAAGGCTGTGACCAATCATCACGAGAGGCCTGGTTCCCTCTGCTACTGCATTCTCAAACCGATTATCGTTGAGTGCATAGGAGAGATTGCGCGCTATATCAGGGATTCGCACAAGATTAGACCCCGAGGAAGAGTAGAAGAAGGTATCGTAGTTGAAGAGCAGGATGCGTGCGTGAGGTAAGTCCTCGCCGAGTTGTCCTGGCCACCAGAATCCGGTTTCTTGGTTTTCCCATGTCTTTGCACTGTTGCCATTTAGACCATGTACAAAAACAACGCTGTAGAGCTATTAGATACTCGGAACATTGTAGGTCAACTGTAGGAGAGCTTACTCAACAGCATCGCCTGATGCTTCGGGTACTTTGAATTCAATGAGACCTGGTCGAGACAAGTCGATCGGAGGTAGACTCGCTTGAGACGTGGAGGGATTATCCGTTTGGGATTCGTTGTTGAGAACCCCAGCCGAACCGGCAGCCCGACTCTTCGGCTTCCGACCTCGTTTATTGAACGCTGAGAACATTTTGTCATGAAAAGACTCATGTGAGAATGTGAGAGACGACATTGTCGGTCATGATCCTCAATATTCTGCTGGGAATTAGAACGAGCTATTCTTTTCTGGCGATTAGGTACTCGTGAAAGGAGTTTTCGGATCCTGTAGATACCAAGAAGATCCTTACAGATGAAGAGAGGAAACCTACTGAATACCTATGCATGGGTTATCATAGCGACCTCGTCACAGCCTCGCCCATGGTATTGGGGGCTGATTCATAAATTTCGTATTCGGAAAATGACGGGAAAGTCATTCTAGATGGTCGCTATTTGCACCCATTGGATAGTCAAGCAAGCCTGCATGGTAAAAGCCACCTTTGCGTAATACTTTTAACCAGTCTAGAGAGGGGTAGATAATGTAGGCATAGCCGGCTTGCTTATTGCTGATCTGATTGGCATATGTTTAGAGGCGTAGAGTTACACAAAACCATCAGGGTGACCATCAACACTGACACCGTCGGTTCATTGAAGGATATCATTTGTATAATCCCGAACGCCCCTCGAATCTTGTCGTACAAGAACACCATCACTTTGACCAGTGATTACATTATACGAAATGATATAGTACATTAAACTTCTGCATATGCCTCCAAAGGAATCATTGACATTAGGTAGCTACGCTAGTCAGCCCTCGTATGGACCCAAGTATCTAATCAACCTAGCAGTCAATATGCATCACAGTTACCTTCAAAGAAAGAGCCAATGGGACTCACAGCGTCAGAAACACTAAGTATACCCTCAAGCGCCCAACTTACCTGATTAGGTAGGCAGACAACCTATTCCGGCCCCCTTTAACAGTGTCCAGCCTCAAAGCTGGACCCTGGCTCCCCAGTTGGCCCCCCTCCACGGCCGGTGAGCACTGAAAGCGCGCGCGAACTACAGCCAGGGAGTCACCGCGTCGGCCCCCTCACTCTTCTTCCCCTTTCCCTTTCCGCTTCCATTCGCCTTATCTAAACCTTCATCCCGGACAAAAGCATCCGGCGCCATCATCTTTGCTGCGTAAACCGCCGGACTAGGGAGAGGCTTCAACTTCTTGAGATTCGAGCACTTGCTTCCTTTCTTATTATCATTCCCTTTATTTCCATCACTCTCCTTACTCTTCTCACATCCGTCACTCTTCTCACTCTCCTTGTTCTCCTTACCATCAACCCCCTTCCCCTTCCCCTCCTCCTCCCCGCCATCCACATCAGAACCCGCACACGAGAAATAACACGAGCTCTCCTCCTCCCACGCCTCGCTCCCGCTCCCACTCCCACTCACACTCACCTCATCCACCTCATCCGCCCCATCCGCCCAACCATCATCATCATCATCAAAAGCACCATCGCCAGCCCCGACATCCACATCGACCCAGCTACCACCGACGCTATCGCGCCTAGCCCTAGCCATGGCCATGCGGCCCACCAGCTCGAAGCAATTAGCGCAGCGCGTCCGATCAGCCGGGTCCGTGGGCGCCGGCGGCCGCTCCGCGTGGAGGATGAGGTAGCACGGGTCGCAGAGCCGCTCGGCCGGCGACGGCACGTCGAGGAGGGAGGAGGGGGTCGAGGGCGAAGTAGAAGTGGACGGGGAATCCATTTTTCCCGTCTTCTTCTTCTTCAATGTGAGAGAAGAGGAGGAAGGAGATGGGCGGGGAAAAAAACCCCCCGAAAGTTTAGAAAAAAAGATAAAAGATAAAAAATAAAGGGGAATACGAGAGAATACACGCGATCATACAGATGATACTAATCAGTGTCTTCGCGTGTAGGCTTACCTATTCGGCGTGGTGCTCTAGAAATGTGAGTGATAGTAACAGCATAGGTAGCGTATTTTATGCTCAGAAATACATATGGAAGGTGAAGAATTGTCCATAAAGAAAGACGTGGTTACGAAACACAATAGCCATTGAGACAACAATGTTGTATACGATAACCTACGGACAAAGATAGGGGTTAGATGGGCGTAAAGTAAAAGCCACGACAGTACTGACACAATGTCTGTCTATAAGGAAATCCTACACGAGTTGGAAGAAAATCCGGATAGTTCAAGGATCACGGTATACATCATGAAAAGGGTGGAATTTGAGAAGAAATTACTAGCAATCGAGAAGCGGCCGAGACCTTTACCAAATACAAGCCATTGATATAGCCGCCACGGAGACCCTTTACACCTGCTCCCAGCGGCCAACCATTTTGCACACCATGCTTGAATATGAAAGAAACTTTTGTTGATTCGGAATAACGAGAAAATCATACGATTCTCAGGATATTCATAGCCAGAAGGTTTCCGACTGGTGAGCCCCATTGGCTATACTGGATCCACTGAGAATACTAAATCATCGAGAACCTAAGTTGCATAATAGACATGGTGTACTCTCTACCGCAGGTCTCAGGAAGCATTCTGTGCTCTTAAGCACCCAGGCTGGGGAAGGCGTCCGAGCTCAGGGCGAAGGAGGCGTTATCACGGGGACCGCCGCGTCCGCCACGGAAGTCACCACGGCCTTCGCCTCGGCCTCGTCCACCACGGCCACGACCCTCGCCTCTGGGAGCACCACCACGGCTGCCTCCACGTCCGCCGCGTCCGCCTCGGGTACGCTCGGGCTCAACGTATCGGTTGTCGATCTCGACAAGCTGCTTGGCCTTGCGCTCACGCTCACGCTTAACCTTACCGCCGGTGCCGGAGATGAAGACATCGTCATCTTCCTTGGTGAGAGCCTTGGCATTGGCCCACTTCTTATCAGCCTTGGTGCCCTCATTAGGCTTGCGGATTTCAAGGGATTCGCCAAGAGCGAGCTTCTTCTCGGCCTGTTGCGCGAGGTAATCGGCATAGGACACATGCTTGTCCTCGGGCTCAGCTGGGGTAGCGGGACCCTCTTGAGCGTCCTCGGCTGTGGATTCCTTCAGTTCTGACTGAGCAATCTCTTCTCCCGCCTGCTCATCCTTCTGCTCGGCATTGCCTTCTGTAGCACCCCAAGATTGGGCGGCCTGCTTCTCAGAGCCACTGTAAAGACGGTTAGAATATAGAAATAGCCAACAAATTTTCAATTGGAATACGTACGTTGCACCACCCCTAGTGTGTCGGTCATCACGGTCGCGAGGGAATCGGCCGCCGCGGCCTATTTTAGCAGTTTAGCATGCACTCATGTGGGAAATCATATAATTTCAAGTCTCACCTCCTCGTACGCGAGCTTCACGACCACCTCGAGGACCGCCTCGTGGAGCTTCATCAGTAGGCTTGCGGTAGTTGTTAGCGGCACCGGCATTGCGGTCGCGGTAGGCTAGATTAATATTGAGTTAGCAAGATATAATATAGATCATTATATTTGAGGGGAAGGGAGTGGGAGAAGTGGAGCTGAATAAAATAAAACCCCGTTAGGTGCATGTAACACTAACCTCCCTCGTTGCCTCCAGGACCAGCACGACGAGCTCCGGTGTTGGTAGCGGACTTCGCGGGGCCTTGGGGCTCGACGTTGCGCTTGGTGCCGCGCATCGTGGTCTTGTCGACCGTCTTCACAGGGCCTGATGGCGCTTCATCTCCCTCCACGTCGTTACCTATAAGTGTTAATCGAGATTAGCAAACAACGGTTCCCGCGTTGCAAATTTTTTTTTCACCGAGCTACTCGACGAGTGTCACGTACCGAGGAGGTCGAAAAGGTTCTGGCGAATTGAATGATTAGCTTCGCAGTCTCGGAAGAAAAGTTAAATCGAGGGATGATGACAAAAACAATGCGACAGGCTACAGTAAGATTGGGAAGGGAGTACGGAGGCGACCAAGTAGAGATGCGTAATCTGGAGCGGAGACATACCTTGGAGGCGACCGTCGACATGGTGTCGCCAATTGATTCGCCTTTCAGCAAGGCGGAGCTGTGGAAACGACAGTCGGATCAATGGAGAATATGCAACGAGGGGGAAAAGGATATGGCCTAGCAGGTCATATCCTTATGTATAAAATATCTCGTCAAAATCTTCGGCGTTGATGAGGTGAGAGGTGGATGAGGTTAAGGGTTAAGTTGGGTTTAGAAGGTTTAGAATTGGTGAAGTGCGGTTGCAGTTGATTGTGCGTGAGAGGATGGGTCTTGCCTTTGCGGTGGACTTGTGTGGACAAACTTTCCTTGGCTCGGAACCCACCTAACTCTTTTCTTCCTCTGATTTGCTCAAACTCGCTTAAGCGGAACGGGAGAATAATTCTCTGAGTATTTTTGTTTTGCAATTGGCAGCTTTTAGTGCGCTGATGAGTAAGCAATCTCCGCAGGTAGGGTTCAAGATCTTGTTAGCGCTCAGAGCATGCATTTATACGATTATACCATTAAACCGTATATCACATACTTGCATGTATACCTACCTAAGCAGCTAAGCTACATTCGACTTAAATTCAGCTTAGAAGTTGGAAAGCTTTACGTCAACTTTACCTATATCCATTTCTATAGTTAGGGAGCTATATTCCAATTCGAAGACTATCAGTTGTTTGTTGATTTCTAAGACGACGATTTACGATCCAATCCAATCAGCAATTGCATCGAACTCCATTGCACGGATCCATAGCAGCCAAGATCTTCCCCGGATCCCACAATTGCATCACTTGCATACCGAGATATGTACATCTCGATGATCTCATAGCGCTTATTTACACCTGGACCACCTAGCATGCCGCAGCTTCAATGGATACCTTTTATCACAAAGTTTTATCATCATTATCGATATCTAATTTCCTTATCGCTGTACGTGCATCATGTATGTGCCGTGCTTTTCTAATTGGGTCTCGACGAGTTGGCATATCTTCAAGCTGCATGGATTTCATTATCCCGCCTGGGCACTTTTGTCAAGCTTCATATGCGCTTTCATCAACCTGTTAGTCTTCAGAGACCACTTGATGAATGGAAGGTCGCTATCTCTCTGAAAGCAATGACTACGCGGCCGTAACAGAGCCATAGTAAAATAGAAGCCGAAACCATAGAGACACAGCTTCGTATCTGCTCTTAAAGGAGATATAATATGTAGGTATATACCTAACAGTACAGCTTGACACCAATCTTCCAGAGATGCGAGTGGTTATTAAGCTATCACTAAGCCGTATTGTCGGACATTAGAAACAGACTCTTCTTCGAGACTACACTTTACGTTGTAGAACGACTGTCCAACTATTATCAAGCTTCCTAGTACCTAGCGATATACGATCACCAAGCCCATCTCCGTCTCAACACGGAGATGCTCTATTACCCGTTAGACTCCCAAGTCCGCGTATACCTATTGCGTGTATTCTCCTAGGTGCTCATTCAACTTTATTTAGACGTAGGTAGTATTAGTGGATGGTATGGTATGCGCATGAAATATTCTAGACAAGCCTACGCATGCTTGAGAGTCAAGCCATTGATACGTGGGCTTTACCTGGGTGATACCTAACGGCCAAGGCCTTATCAAGCAGGCGTAGCATTGGAATCGATCTAGCCACGGTAAAGAGAAGCCTTTAACTTATGCTCGCTATCTCGTTTATCGCATAAGCAGCGACAAGGACATACACCGTTGGTTCAACAATATCATGGCGGGCGTTCCTTGTATGTAGATAGAGCAGGCGAGATCACTCCGATCTAGCCTATGTTTGTAAGGATTGTAACTGATCTGTAAGATACAGTTAGATATGATTTTTGTAAGTAGCTGGTATTACAATGACTTGGATGAATATATAGAAGGGACACTCGATGGCCTCGATTTATAATGAAGAGGTACTGGATTCCAGGGGTTCTTAAAAGGCGGTGTTCATAACCTGTTAAACCAGGCAACATGTGAATGTAGCGGTCTGGTTACCCCCAGATAAGATATAGAGGCGACAGTAATCTTGATAACTTATCTAGATCCAGGGCCGGTAGGACGTGGAGCCCGCAGCGAATGGTAATTGCAAAAAGGAAGGTATTATAAGAATTATATGCATAAACAAACGATGGTGCGGTATAGGACAACCGTGGCCTTAAGCGTCTGTTATGTGGTTCTCATCTCGAGAATTCATTACGTTGCTCGCGATGGCCTATTCTCACTCCGCGTATGAGAAGGCGAGCAGGCGATTAGGCTTTGCTATGCCGTGATCCGGGAGGGCGTACTCTGTATTTCCGAGGAAACCATCGGTAGACCGAATGAAGCTGGCAGGGTCCGCAGGTGAGGCGATCATCCCCTGGGAAGAATGGGAAGAAAGCTCTAATAGGAGCAATCCGATAGGCTCAGCGGGAGAGGCTAGACGGGGTCTCTGTGTTGGTACTTGTCCTCGAGCAGGGACCGGAAGCTATATCTTACTTAACCTTTATGTAACTTCTTTCCTTCAGGGCCGCGGCATTCGTGTAGCGGAATGACGTTATGGCAGACGGTGCGCCGGGAAAGGCGTCGCAACGACTGTAAATAGAAAGAAAGATACCTCGTAACACGTTAGATCGTGGGGTATCGTGGGAGGGATTTTGATTCTGTTAATAATGGCTTCCTTATCTCTGGTTCTCCCTATCATACCGACAAATACACGGACGCCAGAGATAAGCCAGCCACAGGTAACCACCCATCCAAATAAATACTCTGCAACCGAATCTGAGAGAATTTGAAAATGTGCTCTCCTTTTATCAGTTTGCTGGCCGTTCCTGAAAGCTCCCGCCAACTCCTCGAAAAGTGAGGATGTTGTTGAAAGGATGCTTTACGTCTCCTACCTGGCCTGCTTGATACCATTGTATCAATTTGCAATAGGGGAACATATTAATAATTCATCCATCCTTATGGTTCTTCGGCTGCAATCGGGACAAGTGTCCCTTGGTGGTCATGACTAGTTGTTTTCTCTTTATTACGTTTAGCTGTCGATGAGATGCATTGTCCCTAGCTACTCGAGACATGATTGATCTTATGCCCCGAGTGAGGCGTCGGTCACGATTACTGTCCCTTGCCTTCGACTTGGAGATTCGACGTATGGTCACTATTATATTAGGTAACCCGCCACCGGCCGCACAAGGACTGAACCCAACGGAGAGAAAGTCACGACTATCGACGGCCCGAGACAAGTTATGGTTAGGTTATTGTTACGAAAGGACGAAGATATCGGGTTAGTTGGGATTAAAGAGTTGGAGGGAGGGAACTAAGTTAATCCAATGGTGAAGGAGGCGGGAACTATGAGGGATCGGTCACACAGGACGCATAGAGGTTCCGAAGCCGAAGCCTGTCAATCCAGAAGGATCGTGATCATCGTGACCCCGAACGAGTCAATACTCTGCGACGCCACTCGAGAGCAGCAGCCAAGCATATTGAAAGACCACGGTGCCCGGTGACCTTCAACTCCACGACCCTCGATAGTCCGGAATCAGCAAAGGATTGATGCATTGCTAGTTGACGTGGGCTTGGTTCACCGTCTTTCGTTGGGTTCGTGTTCGGGGAGTCAGCATCTTGGGATCACGCGACATATACGTGCGCATAGTCTGCTGGCAGGGCCCCGGCTGGAACCACTCGGTCCACTTGGCAGGTATTGCCCTTCATGCGGAAGCTTGACCGAGGATCTCAACTTGGCTTTGCCTACCTGTCAAGGGCTTAGGCGGATCTCAATACTGGATATTCTAGGAATGAGAAGGGGGTTCGGCTGAGTTGTTCCTAACGCCTTCAATAGTGGGATGGGTGAATGGAGGGATGGAGGAGGGATAAGCCGTGATGGATGCCGACTCCACATAGGAAGACGACTCCGATTCCGCACGCATACGCGGTGCAACGATATCCAGACCACCAAAAGCCCGACCGACCAGCCATCGCTTCTGACCGAGCTAGCATTCGCCCCCACCAAACACCTCGTTGGTTTGGAAATTTCTCGTGAACCCACCAGATGCCCGGGTACCTAGCACATTTTCTCACGGTCCGGTCTCGTCACATCACATCACAGTAAAGCAGGATGCCAGCGATCGAGACTTGAACCCACTCGAACTTGGTGATGGTCGGTGGTTATGGTCTCTCTACTCTGAACGTAGTAGCTGAACTAAGAAGAACGAGCCTACGACGAACCCCCACGACACCAAACAAAGACCCATGAGACCGCTCTAGCCCAGGGGAGGAAATGAAGAAAACAACTGGCTGGAGAAATCTGTTAAAGTTGAAGCGAATTGGACCAATCGCACGATCTAATCTGATCTGGATCCCCGACCTTTTTGACCGACAACCGCGACCGGGTCGAGCGGCAACCAACTAGCGGAATCGACCGCCCTGACCCTTCCTGGGCCCTTCCTGGCCCTGGCCCTTTAATCATCTTACGGACAGTGCACCTAGGCACACGGGTCCAACTTCCTGCCTTGGTAGTCCCAAGCGTGTTAGTGGATCGATCATACAGGCTACAGCCAACCCAAAAGCCCCTCCTTCCGACTGCCTCCTTCCCCTCTCAAGTGGTTCCTACCGTCCGTTTAAGCCCCGCCCGTTGAACGAACTTACCGTTTGAAACAGAAAAATACAGAACAATGTATATTGAACGTTTGGAGGGGGTAAAAACATTAAAGCCCCTCCGTGATCGGCTACCCCTCGGACTGTGACCGGGATTAGCCTGCCTGCATATTTGATAGAAATCCATACTAGTATTGAAACATTCAAACGGCCATACATTACTTACCGTTAAATTAATAGATTCTGCTCGTTTCTCAAATCCGTTAGACTTATACTAAGCCGAGAAATCAAGAAGAGCAAAGGTCGAAATGCTTGTGAATAGGTAATATCCCAGACCCTGCTGTGAAACTTGGAATCAAAAGTTATATGCAATTTATATGAGTACATGCAGTACATGCAGCACATGCTTAATCCGTGCTGCTTCTTCGTCAATCCAACGTCACCGTCACGACCAAATATCATACATATGCCTTGGCTCCGAGGAAATGTTCTTTCGGTCGTATATTTTGGCATATATCTATAGGACGTACGTATGTAGGCACACTCGTAATTTGAATGGTAGATCATCATCGAATACCGTTTTTCTTTTAATCTTTTATCCGCCCCCTTCGCTCGTATAAGTGAATTTTTTTTCCTGCTTTTCATTTGCCGTTGCATGTCCAAAAGCTTGCGAGTAGCTCTTAGCACTCAAAGTATGAAGGATCCTATATGGCTTCAGTTTCACAACCGGACAGCACAACCTTAAGTAGCTCGTCTTAAATCAATCATATATACACTGGTACCTTAGAGTTTCTGATGACATACTCAAAATAGAGTATGTTCGGATGAAATATGATAATCGTGCCGTCTTTCTGAGGGCAATTGAATCGTGCTTTCTGCGGTCCGGTGTTATTTCGAACTTCAATATCACGACCTTTTTTTTTCAGATATTTCCTTGAACTCCTGCCAGGTATTGTGGATATTGGGATCCTGTACACCCTGTAGTTTAATCGTTTGAATGAGCCATTGTACCAAATCATAACTTTTCCCCCGCCTGCCGAAATGCTGCAATTGCCATGAGAACTCGCTAGTTCAAGGGTTAATTGAGACCAAAAATCGACCGCCTGCCATGGGTATAATATGCCGGTTGCCTTCCTGCCGAATTTTTCGAGATAAATCACGGGGAAGAACATAACGCTCATCTTCTGTCGACTAACATTGTCACGTGGTACGAAAACTCCGTCCCGCTCGATGTCGACGGCTCTTAGGCGTAATCTCGTGAGTTAGGAATGTGTCTTCATCGTGACTCGTAGCACCCTTTCGCCAATATTTTTCTCCCAACCCTCTCGTGCTCCTTTTTAATTTCCAACGCCGTCCGTATCATCTCGACTTTGTCGTTGCGGTTCGTATCGCTACCTCATGTTGCTTGTGTCAAAGGAAAATTGGGTCGGAAAGGCCATAGATGCGCTGAGACCGAACGGGTCCCAATCTAAAGCCGGATCTAGTAATTGAGTCATACTCGGATAACCCTGGCCCTGTGTTTGGCTTTGCGCTTGATTGCCCTGCCCCCCAGATACCATCGATGGTTGGCCCGGCGGTCCCGTTGTTGTTGGCTGCACAGACATGCCGTGCTGCTGAGAGACTTGGAAAGCTGAAGGATACGGACCAGGACCGGGGGTGTCCGGCTCAGGCTCGTCCATCATATCGGTCGGCGCGTCGTACTCTTGTTCTGTACTCACGAGTTAACCATAGGACGACAAAGTTCTATTAAATACAAAAGAAACGGGTCAGCTTGCCGAGCTGTTGGAAATGATTCTGGAACGATGGCGTCGGGTAAAATGATGTTGGCCGAGGGCCAGCAGCAGCATGTTGTTGCATCATCTGCTGCCGTGCTGCGACAGCCATTCCTGGCATAGGTGCCAACTGTGGCTTCATCGGCGGGGGGATCGTCGTACGCATGTTTGTATGATCTGAAGGGGCGGGGGAGGCTGTTGTTTGGTTACCAAAGGGTGGTGTAGGGTTAGTAGGAGAGGCCGCATGGGAAGGGGGGGTCGGCCGCGTCTTGGGCGAGGCTATAGTCTGTTGTACACCTGTAGGCTGAGATAAAGAGGTAACACCAGGCTCGAGCTTGGGGGCGATGCTGGAAGCGGATCTGCGCGCGTGATGGTGTCTGTTGAGTATCGCTCGCGGCATCGGAGGTGGCTGCACCATGTTCTGGGGCATATGAGTTGGACCAAGGTTTGGACTGCCGGTTTTGGCATGTAGCTCAGCTTGGACGTCAATACCTAAATGGTATAAGTTGATGCTTCTAATACGATGGTTAATGATTTACCTTTTTCGAGGAGAATTCGTTCGAGAAGCGAGTTCTTATATCTAAGCATCAAGCATTCGTCTGCGGCACTACGATGAGCTGCCTGTAAACTAGCTAGGTTCGATTCGTGGGCTTTGATCGTCTCCTCCAGCTGCTTGATATATTCTGTTCTGCGTTCTCGAAACGCGGCTTGTGCCTGGCGATTTCTCTGCTTTCGTTCTTCTGAAGTAGCATAAATCTTTGCTCCGTGTCAGCTTACAAGCCTAGCTCTAGCACGTACTTTATCTTGAGCACGGCGCAAGTCACCGCAACCTAGCTAAGGAGGCCACGACCGCGGATAGATTAGAGATAGGAGTACTTACGGGCTTGCGTCCTCCTTTGCGTTTTGCCGGCTGGTTTTCCGGCGGAATCAATGGACCAATGTCATTCTCAGGACTCGAACCAATAGACTCCTCTGATTCGTCTTTCGAATGTTCTTTCTTGTCGATAGACATCTTGTCTGACATGACAATGTCAGATACAGGAGACGATTGCCGCGCGGCGGCAAACGCCTCTCAGGATGTCGTAGTAGGCAAGGGAGATACTAGATACTATACGAAGATTGGTTGCCAGCCTTCCCTAGTAGTCCTTGTCTTGTATAAATGCCTGTGGCTTGTGTAGGAGAATGTTGTTTAGTAAGTGTGGCCCCAAGATTATTGCCGAATGCCCTTGTATAGGGAAAAGTAAAGAAGCGTCGTTCGGCAGTCAAACGCGCGCATGCAGCGCTAATCAGTACATAATCTGGGGAAACGGGTTCCGACAGATGGGGGCAATATACTGTCAAAACTCAGTGAGATAGGGACGACCCAGGCGACTTTAGGGTAGGCAGTCGGGTAGAGTAACAGTAAAGATACACAGAGATAACGAGCAGTATAGAGGGGTGACAAGTGTTGTGGTAAAGTAAAGGTAAGGAGAAAAAGGCTGCTTTGGTTTTATGTAATTGAAATCGGAAAGGCAACTCGGGTTGGCTAGTTTCGGTGGCTTGCCGATTAACAGGGCCTCAGCTACTGGAGTAGATGGCAAAAAGAGGCACCAAAACTCTTGGAAGGTGGGAAGATTTTTTTCCCTTTCCCTTTCTGTATGGGAATTGGACGGTGCGGAATCCAGTCTTACTAGCAGGTACTAGTCGTTCGGTGGTTGATGGAGAACTGGATATCGTCGCCTGGTCCAATGGTTGCCGACCTTCAGTTGGGCCGGCTCCTATTTAGTCGTCGTGCGTTCCGTGTCGGTGCTGTTATACTTGATGTATTACCCACGTAAGCCCCCCTGGTCAAGAACACGACAGATCTATCAGGTTACTGGAGGCCAGTGTTGGATGGGACGTTTCGAGTCGCCTCCGGGGTATTTGATCTAACTAGGCGAATTATGGAAGAGAAAGCTTATGCTGCCTTGAGTATAGGCTTGCAACGCCAATACCACCTAAGATCCGTAAGATAATTTACCTGTAGGTCTGCGGTAGGTACTGCGGGACAGAGCGCAAATGTTGAGAGGATAGTGTGAGGTTGGTTGATTTCACTGTAGTGCGGAACTGACTGGAGCAACAAAACGGCTCTATTCCGTAGTCTTAGACGGTCGTTCAACTGAAGACGCTGGAGTGGATCACAACGGAATAAACTGCGGCAAAACGAGCAAATGATAATAGAGAATGTCAATATAACCTGGACGAAATATATGATTGACAAGGGAAAGGGAGCAGGAACACTTGATGAAAATGGAATCTTGCGAATCTTGTGAAAAGTCTGGTTAATGAGACTGTGAGAAAGAGTTGTAAAGGATGAAGGTAGGTTTTCATTGAAGAAGCATGCTCGGGTTCCGCTCAGTTGCAGTTGCTTGCATGTAAGTTCTTCCTAGCTGGAGGAGGTCAGGTAGGTGCAGGGGAGCTCAAGCTTAGTACAGGTAGGTGGGATGGTGGATTGTGGATGCCTGTCGTTTTAAGAACAAGGTAGATTCGGTACCTAAGATACCTAATGTAGCTAACAAAGCACCCCAGCCTACTTTCGGTCAAGTCGCCTCATACCAATCAATCATACACACTATGTCGACCAGGCTACCCAGTTTTCACGGTTTTGAAACGGGCAGAACGGGACGATGGAAACTTGAAAGTGCAAAGTACCCCGATGTAAGCGTAACCGGACCTTCCCGGCTGTCAACCCGGACCGCAAACCAAATCCCGAATTGCTTAATTGGATATGTCTAGTACAATGGCTTTCCCAACGCATTGCTCGGTTTTCTTCTATCCCGTATATACCCTCAAGAACAATTGAGGTTCTCGTCCCCGGAATGCGGCTCTTATCTATCTGATGGGATGAAAATTTTGGACTGTTATTAGACGACTCGTTGACGCCGAATGTTTTAAATTCCAAATCTAATAACGGGATTGCGTATCTAATGAGATAGCTAAAACATACGTAGCCTCAATCAAGATGAGTCTAACCCAAGTACTATACACTAGCTTTTGCAAATTATAGACGAGTGCCCCTAGTTGCATGTAGGCCCAGTTACGAACCTGTCGTGGTAGCAGGTTTGGTAGATAGTGATTTCGACGCCTCATAATACTCTTTACTTGTCACTGGAACGTCTTAAAACAGTCTTATTTGGAAGGAAGTACCTAGAATCTCTGCATTCGAAACTGATTGTAGTGTATATGGTGGTTGTCACAAGATAAGACGAGTCGTGTAACCCTAGGCTCTGAAATTGCCTTCAAAAGTATTCAGCTGACCAAGGCCGAGTTTTATTTTCTTGTTCGGATATACCTAACCCCGTCGTGTCTGGTTATAGGTAGTCTTGCCTCAGAATTCCCCTCGTGACTGCTTCAAGCCACCGAGCAAGGACAAGTGTCTCGAAAAGCCCTGCTGTAAGATGTGGTCACTGTTACGTCCCTGACCATTTGCATGAGATATTTGGAAATCCGGGGAAGAACCTGCGGTACTATTCCGTGGTGAGGATAAGCAAGCTCATAGGACTGGGGCGTTGATTGAGGACCGGCAACTAGGTGGTGACAAAACGTGGAGGAATTCTAACGGGATGCGTTGGTTTCCAGATCTCCGGTATCTTATAATTAGCCAAATGGTTCACCAATAGTAAGGGACGGGGAGAGCTCGACGGTCAACATGACGATGCAAAAATGTCGGTGACTCCGGTGGAGGCCAAGGATGCCATTTCAGACGCCGAGAACGGCCTACCCACTAACATTTCCATCGTATTGAAATAGATGTGTATACGTAGTCTGGAGACGAAGGGAACTAACAACCAGCCCTATGGATTCCCTCAATCTCCTGAAAGGGCACTAAGTGGCTCCGCTTAGACTAGATAATTTTTTTTTGCGGTCACCTGAACGCTCTTAATCCCCTTCACTAGTTCGTCATTACCCACGACCCTTTCAAAATTTCCAAGCTGCAAGTAGAATTCGCGACAAGCCTCTTCGAAACCACAAGGAAGTATCGGGATGGTAAGACGGCGCCTCGTTCTTGTTTCTATGCATAGCTGTGAGGCTGACGGCCTGATCTTAGCGTGGTTGATCTGATATCTCACAATGCTGGTGTCTCAATTGTGACGAAACAGGATTACGTAGGCAGTATATCCTTAACGTGAGGCGTCGCGGTATAGGCCTAAGTGTAAGTCATTGGACTTTTGTGCCAATACATTCCTATGTACCGTGGAAGAGGTAGTATTGCATAGGCCGGCAGACCTTTTAGGACGTGAGGCCCTGAAAAAGTTGAGCCGACCACAAAGCAGATCATCGACATTTTCTCTCTGTATTGAAGAGGAAGGGTCAAATTTGTGGGGAATAAGGATCGATGATTTAAGTGTTTAGTCCCTAGCATCTCCGAGGAGACAGGGTTCTAGAAGCTAAATGGAAGTACATGTAATTGGCCTGGGTAGGTCCAGGCGAGTTGCGGACCAATCAATTCTCTTTCCAAGGCGGCCAGTTCCGCTTTAGGAATTTTTTTTACCTTCCAGGCGAACTCAAAGCAGGGGTCTTCCGCGTGTGCTTTGTACCACAGAATCGCCAACACCCAGCCATAACTGTGCAGACTTCAGAAATGTCCTCGACTCAAAACTTGAATATATCATTTATCAATTATCCTAACGCTCGGCTTCGCCCATTACCAATAAGCGCTACACCACAGCGCGGCTTAAAAGGCTCTTATATTCCCACCAAGTTGAAAGTCGAAACCCCCAATTATTGGCGGAAAGATCTCTTTCATCGCCATGTGTAACCTCGAGAGTTTTTCATTGGTTGGATTCGCAGGAACGGATCAGCCAACATCATCTCGAGGCGTCGGCTCCGTCGGCTAACACCTTCTAGAAAGCTTCTAGCGTCCTTCCAGATCTTCTCCTCGGTCTGCCATCCCTCGACCTTACGCGTTACGACTTATGTACAATGCCACACCCTCATGCCGGCTAGGTCTGCATGCAGCTAAAGCTCATTTTGAACTCATGCCGCCTCTCCCTAGTCGCCGATTTCGCTTCTCTACCCAGCCCTACGATATATTACAAGCTGAGACATTTGCCATTTAAGATGAATATTGTTCACCGTTGCTACAGGTATTGCCTCGCTGACGTCGCTCAGATTTCTGGCGTTGAAATCAATATTCTGGTTTCGGTAAGCCACATCAAAAGCGCATCGTCATTTCGGAGATGTCTAAATTCGATGCAGTCCCCCTGGCTATAATCGCGCATCTGTCATAAATCATAATAACTGCAATCTCTGATGACTAGTTTCCATACTGTACAATTCCCTATTATTGCGTATGTCAGACAAGTTGGTTGACCGACGACTAAAATGCGCATCTCTCCGGAAACTTGGAATTAGCTTCGAGCCCTGTCGAATTAACGTTATCAGATTACCCAGCTTTGATGCCACAGAGCAAAGAACCCCAACCCCCACGCCCAAAGAGTTGGTTCATGTGGACTCGATGATCTCTGAGTAGCCAATCGAGAAAGAATCTCGAGTTGTCCCGATTCCACTTATGCATAAATCCCATCTTCAATGGTAATCTCTAATGTGTTTGGCATAGATTCTTACAGTTGATCGTCATTGTAGATGGGGTTTCATGGAATCTCACGCATCTAGACCGGGCAAAGCAAAGCTAGAGCTACACGTAATAGGAAATGGAAGAGAATTTTTTAGGGTAGTTCTCGAAAATTTTCACTTCACACTAATGCTTCTCTCAAGCTGAATGGTTTCGAAGACGGGATGGGATGACCACCATAGATAGTGCAAAGTGACATACTTATCATTACTAATGCGAGTTTACAATTTGTCTTATGATATACCAATGCAAGTGAAAAAAAGCTACGGACGAACCCTGCTGAGGAACGCCGCGTCCTATCTCAAATGGCGTCTTCATGAAGTATATCCTGTAGCCCCCTTTACGACACCGAAGGCACCCCCACCTTTTCCGAACATCTCCCTAACGTCACTCACAATATCATCAGGTCGTTCCCAAGCAGCAAAATGGCCGCCACTGCTGTGCTCCTTTTCAAATACCACAGGACCCAGCGTGCGTACCCATGTGCTGGGCCGAACCTGCAAATCCATGGGAAAGTGGCTGAAACCAAGCTTCACGCCGCCTGTCCACTCCCTCAACTTATGGCGATCTATCTTGTTCTTTCTGCCGTCGACGTTGTGGGCTGTCTCATAATAGATCCTAATGCTGGCGGCGGGGCCCGCAGTGCTGAACCAGTAGATGCTGACCCAAGTCAGGATCTCGTCGTCTGTCCAAGGGTACGAATCCGTCCAATCGTGGAGCTTCTCATAGATCCAGGCTAGACAAGCTACCGGGCTATCCGCCAGCGCGTAGCCAAGAGTCTGGGGTTTGGTGGATTGCTCCAGGTTGTACCCCTTACCTTCCCTCTCGAACCAGTTGGATCGGCCTACGCCGTGCTGCTCTCGGGGGTTGTAGGGCGTTATGGCGTGCTGCAAGGCTAGAATAGGGTTTTTAAAGAATTCGGGAGCGTCTGCGGAGTCGTAGTTGTAAAGTGTCGCCTTACAGTACTTTGGATATAAATGTGCGAGAGCTTTGCTGATATGACAACCCCAATCACCTAAGCTTAGTGTTAACAAAGTCGGATTTATGTTGTCGGTCTGCGAATTCAAATGGCTCACCTCCCTGTGTGACGTATTCTTTGTATCCTAACTTTAACATGAGCTTGTTCATAGTCTCCGCATACTGTTCCATCGCAAAGCCTCGCTTCTTCGGTCCCTCGGAGAATCCAAAGTTGGGTAACGATGGCGCAACGACGTCAAAGGCGGGATATTTGACACCGTCACCGCCTTCGGCCAGGGGCTTCAGTATCCTCAATACTTCTTCAAAGTGGCCAGGCCAACCGTGAATGAAGAGCAAGGGGATAGCACCTTTGACCTTGCTACGGACATAAATGAAGTGGATTGCAAGAGGATCAAATCCGTCACATTGAATATCGGTGACGAACTGCGGTACTTTGTTTAGGTCATCTTCTGCCTTCTTCCAGTCATATGATTCCTGCCAATATTTCGTCAATCTCTTGATATCGGCAAGAGGAGCACCCACTGTGAGCAACTGGAGTCAGTTATAGACACTTTACAGCATACCAGAGGGCACGTGATTATGCAATTGTTACTAAAGGGCCTTATCATTTAAGATGTCTTGAGAATAGACTCACTGTCCCATCCAGCTTCATCAAGCTCGTCAGGAAACTTGGCTAGAGATAATCGTGTTTTCAATTCCTTTATGCGTTGACCATCGACAGAGATGGTGTATGGTTTGATATCTGCCATAGTGGGGACTTGGTTGGAAAATGGTGGCAAGTGAATCCGATATAGAATTGGCTGCTAGACTTTGATTGTCTTGCTTGAGACCACTGGAACGAAATCTAGAGCATTTCATTGCTGCGATTCCAAGAGTTTATATAATACGGCAGTAAACTTAGATTTATTGATCCTGATGCTGCAGTTGCATGACAAACGCTACATGGACGAGTTGCTGAGGTAATCAGGGCGCATATGTACACGATTATGACGTTATAAAGGGCGTAGGACAACTTCAATTGCAACCTCGAATTGCCTGGTTGCGTGCATGATGCAGACTTCACCTGGGCAACCGTACGAGTATGATCAATGATTGGCGTGTGCTTAGTAACATAAAAAAGCTCATCGATTCGTTGATGTTGGGTTAAACACAGGGAACTGCACGGGAAAAAGCCACGATAATGTTTTGCAGACATCTATGTAGACTTAAGCATTGCATACAGCATGTACACCGCTACCGGAAGATTTGATCTATACACTACATACATACATGTATACACAAGTAGGTATCTATATATCTAGGTACATAGATAAGTAGTTAAACTCATGATTGAAATAGGTGCTGAGTCTCTTAGCAAGAGAGAGAAACAATAAAGGTTGTGACATTGTCCAACAAGTCTCGTGAGAATAATTGGATGATAGAAAAATATCGTTGTTCTGATCAGACGAGATCTACCTAGGTAATCATGATATCACTAGGTAGGTACTATGGTACTTAGGCAATATCTGATTTAATGAATGATTGGTTATGTCATAGGGCTTCTACTTACTAACTTGATGTTTAATGTTGCTGATTTAAGTACTGGGTACCTAATGCACCTAAGCATATGATTCGCTGCTGCATACGTGCACAGATCCATAGAGGGCCAGACCGCTTCCATAAATAAAATAACCGTGCACACGGGCACTTGGCTAGTAAAATAATTGTTGACTTTCTCCCAAGTAAACAACCTGGAAGCTCCTCTTCCTCTACTTCCCCCACAACCATTCCTCAATTTAATTTCATCATCCCGTCAATACACCCGCACCCGCATATTCCCTGCTCGTTAACATCAAGCCCATACTCTTTCACGAGACCATACTCAATCTTCACTTCTATCAACTACATCACACTAATAGCGACGCTGAAAGTGTTTAACAATGGCGCGTCGTTCCGCGCGCCTCGCGAGCGCTACCAAGGCAAGTAAACATCACACTAACCTGTCTTCTGTTTTTCTTCACCTCCACACCGCCTCAACCTTTACGTCGATTTTTGCGCAATCATCATGCTATATCACCAAATGAGATACCTATGAATCTGACTCATACTTTCAATTGTAGAAAGCTACCGCATCTCCGGCACCCCAATTGGATTCCGTATCGGAGCTCAATGACGATTCAACTTCACAATCTGGACAGACTAGCCGACGACTTGACACAATCGTGTCTTCACCGATGCGTCAGTCTACGACGAAGCCTGCTACCCCATCTGTAGCCACACCTGTTAAGCTCCCCATGTCCGAAATGCATCCCAGCAAGGTGCATCCAACTACTGCTGCGCCGTCGTCTGGCTTGAACTTGGGTTTCACAGACATTGATTACAATAAGAAGACACCTCGTGCGCCCGCTGTTCTTCAATCTACGCCCTCTAAGACGCCCATGTCGGTTCCCACAAGCGACTTCACCTTCCGCTACACTGCGGATGACGATGCAGGCCTTAGTCCCGCTGCTAAGAAATTGATGGGCGACATTCGTAAAGATGCGGCTAAAATCAAAGCCGAACTTGCTGTTGAACGTGAGCATGAGAAGAAACAAGAGGCAGAACAGCGAAAGGTTCGGCAGGCTATAGGAAAAGCTGGCCGCTTTAGCGCTGCTCACATGGCCGAGTTCAAGAAGATGGATTCTATCGAGAATCACCCATCCGCATTTCGCTCTCCTGGCACTTCTACTCCTGTGAAGCCAGGTCTCAAGCGCGCTCGATCGAAGGCAGACCTTGACGGATCTGATTCGCTGCGATCGAAGAAGTCCTTCTCTCGCCTAGTCCCTAGCTCCCCCCAGAGACAGGAGGAACCGGTATCCCCTGTCAAGAGAGTTAAGCAGCGGCTAGATGATGATGTATCCGCACTTCGCCCTGTCTCTCGAGATGGCAGCAATATTCCTCGCCCGAAGAGTAGCGGAAATGATTCCGTTCATGGAGCTGCCCCCCGCTCTCACCTAAACCACTTAATGACTCCGACAAAGTCCTCGCTGGCGCGCTCAGCCAGCGTGAAGACTCCTGCTAAGACCTTGACTAAGGCACAGAGTAAGCCTGACCTTGCAGAGCTCAGTAGAACCCCGAGCAAGTCCAGCTTTGCTAGCCGCGCAAGAATCTCGAGCCAGAAGGGATTCTCCAGCCTTAAGAAGGCTGTGATCCCAAACTATGTGGGCTATTCAAACCAGGTCCAGACTCCGGGTCGATTCGATAGGGTCAAATCGATCTTGAAGAGGCAGATTGGTGGACCTAAGTCTCACATCCCTCAGCTTATGGCGTCTCCTTCGAAGACGTCTCTTCATTACGGAAATAGTGAGGACCCTCCTAAGGCTCCTCTTACGACTCCGGCCCGAAAGGTGGAACGACATGTGGGGTTTACGCCCGCGAAGTCCAGTATACCTCGTTCTAAGGGAATGGTGCGGTTCCAATCCGGCACCTCCACCGATGACAAGTCCCCCGGCGAGAAAATTTCTCAGGGCGATGTTGCGTATCCAGACCTTTCAGCATACTGTCGAGACATAAATGGCGACGCCGAGATGTCTGAAGATGCTAATCCTCCGGAATCGGTGCCTGGAACCTTCACGTTCCGCAGTGATCACACCATTCGATTTGACAGCGCATCGCCCACTGGTTTTGGTGGTGCTGCTGGTCAGGCTAGTATTCGCCACATCCGCGAGTCGGTTCTGCCTACGGGCCGAATGCCCGGCAGTTTCCCTCGACCTTCTGATGTGTCTCCCAACAAGGAGAACAATGTTCCGCCTGTCGGAGACGGAATTCCTCATGGAATGTCCAACAAGAAGCGACATAGGGCTAATTGGGATGAAGAAGATGACGAGCAAACCGACCAGCGCGCCTCCAAGAAGTTGCGAAAGAACCCGGCAGCCGAAGGCCACGCACTTGTGGCGCCCCGATTGCTTGGTCGAGAGTCGCCGACCAAGAAGTCCAGTGGAACTCCTCGTACCCCGAGCCCGCAGAAGAGTCCGCAGAAGAAAAGCGGTGGCCTCAGCCTGAGCAGGCTTAACATGCTTGCTAGACCTAAGTCGCGCAAGTAATCTATTATGTGGCAACTGTCGATGCCTATGCTAATAGGCCGGCATATCAGGATGAGAGGATGCATTTCACGATTTTCATAAGGACGCAATTAGCTGCTCATACAACCTCTAATTAGAATGCCTGCATTCAGACTGTTAGCAGGATCATGTTGGAGCAGATTCTATCTCACGTTTGAGATGTGTACGAATATCATTTGGTTTCGACCTTTTCGTCGCCTGCATCGGTCGATTCATACTGCATTGGGGTCTGCGAAGGGTTTTGTAGGATAAGGAAATCCGAAAGGTTCATGGTTAGGACTGGTGGTTCATTCTGGGTGGCTATGGCGTACTGAGATGCATCACAAATTCGATAGGTCCTACGTATTCACGATCATAATGACAAAACCCCCCGTTACGAAAACAACAGGAGTAACTACATCGTTTAGTAACCAGTGACTTCCTTATATCCATTATCAAAGTTTCTACTTGTAGCTATCTGCATGCCGAAGGGACTCGGGACGATCTAGGGACGGCTTCCTTATGCTAAGGCGCTCTTATCAGAACAAACTCCTCCTTATATCTCGTACCTAAGCTAATATCCAGTTCATTAGATTCACATCTTTCGCCGCTGTAGTAATTATTAGGCCCACACTTCTTGGTTCTATTCTAGTCATTCGCTTGATTCAATCCATCGTTTCCAACACGAGCTGTCGCTAACGTGAAGCTACAACAATAGTGTTAACAATAGGCATTCTACGAGCATAGGTACTCTCGAGATAAACATGTCACCACCTCCTTCCAAACCACAACCACATCCCCACCTCTTCACCTGCACGTTCTGCTGGCACCTCTCACGCGGACCGCCCCGCGTCCTCGGCCGCTCTGCCCGCCTCACCTGCGACTCCTGCTACCACAGCCTGATCGACTTGGCCATTTGCTAGGTGTGTGGCGAGGTCGTCTTCCGTGGCGACGAGTGCGTGAGTCTCGGGTGGTGCTTCTGGCATCGCGCTTGCTACGGCTGTGTGTTCTGTGGGAGCAGGAAGATCGTTACTGCGCCGACGGTTGCGGAGCTGTTTGTCGACGACGGCAGTGAGGAGAGGGAGAAGGGGAGAGATGGCGATGCCGTTGGAGTTTGCTTGGGAACAGGACCAGCCAAAGAGATCCACGACGTCCCGACTTGTGCCAATTGCGTCGTCGAGTGCGAGATCGACTCGGCAGACCAGCACGCCCTAGAACAGAATGCGTTGCGGAAGGTGGATGGGGTTGATGGGGGGTTGGCAAGGAAGAGGTGGGAGAAGAAGGATGGACAGATTAGCAGACTCGCCGTTGGAGAGATCAAGAGGACACCGGGAGTGACGTTTAAAGCTGCTATCCAGGTGAGTTTGCTAACTACAAGTCGTGGCATAAAACCTTACGTATAAAAGCAGAGCCCACTAAATCCACACCGGTCCTTGAGATCTACACACGGCCGAACACACTTTCCACGCCTACCTGGCGATGGCGCTTTGAGCGGCTCGAGTGAATCGGCTAGTGATGGTGAAAGTATTGACCCCTTAGACTCTACTATATACATCTCGATTCTGGACCCTATCGGCGAGCCTGCTTTCAAACCTAGTCCTACAAAGCCGATTCCTCGATGGATGCAATGGCTCCCGAGCCAGCGAAATCGCCATCGACAAAACGAGCCTCGGCCATACTCTCTCATAGACGAATACTTCCCTCCTCACACTATACCTGAGACGGGCGACTCTATACCCAAACCGAGTTCCATCTGCCCGACAAGTCCCAAGCAAGAATCTCCTCGCCCAACAACCTCTCCGCACAACCCTAATCGCCGCCGTTCACAGAAAAGCCCTGATTTCAGCAACATACCTCACTCGGCCATCAAAGCCGTAAAGGGGCCCTCCTTCGTGCTAGACGAGCCGCTAATGCGTCCATCCTCGCGCATGACCCACTCAACAAGCCACTCCACATCCAACAGCTCCAAATCCATCAAAGCAGACCCATTCACACCCTCCTACTCATCAGACGCTCTTCCACCACGCACCCACTCGCCCTACGCGCCGCGCAGACCGTCGCCCCTAGCCACGCACGCGGAAGTGCCCGAAGGCGGTAGCGGCGGCGACAATAACAACAACAACAACAAACCGTGGAAGGCGCGGCTCCGCCGCTCCCCATCGCCCCTCGCGGAACACTTTAGACGGTTCGTGCGCCGCACGCCGCCCGCCCAGTCCACGGAGTTCATTAACTTGTACCGGCCCCTGCAGCCGCCGAACCCGGGCGTCGCGGTACCGGGGTGTAGGATGGATAGGGATGTTGGCGATGGTAGGCCGGTCCGTAGGATGCTGGGACGACGGCGGACGCCGTCGCCGCCGCCGGGGGTGGAGGGCGGGGTGCCGGAGCAGGTTGTTGTGGGGACTGGGGATGTGGTGGATTTGAGGAGCGTGAGGAAGAGGTCTAGCTTGCAGAGCGAGATCAAGAAGTTGTTGGGGGGGAAGGGGCAGGGGAAGGAAAAGGAAAAGGAGAGGGAGAGGGAGTGATGGGGGTGTATGTCTACGGTGGAGAATTGTTACTTGGCTAACCTAGGATTCTGTAAGTACTGTTAGACGTTAGATTTTAATACGTTACTATCCGATTACGTTTATGCGGATACTGTACTTGATGATTTCGGTGGTTCTCCTATTGTTGATGGACGGACGGATTTCTCTGGACGGAGAGATGGTTGGGGAAATGCGAAGGCTGAACATTTTACGGGAGTAAATCCTGCTGTCGATCCGGGAGCTTGCTTTCATAGCACGTCCAAACTCCGAAAATAGGAGGAGTGGCTTACATTTCATTCATGCAGTGTTCATTCTTCTACCTACCTCTCGTGGCGACCTATCTTCACAACTTTCTAAATACCCCATTTCACTTCGTATCATTATTATGAGAAACTTTCCAGGGCTGAATTGGTCAATAAGCTGATATCACCTTTGGCGAGGATTCTCTCCTGTGTTACTACGACGTCCTTACGTAATACCAAATTTCCTAATTAGGAACCTGTCGCCGGGTTTGATTGGTCAATCCCTTTGTAACGCAGTTCAAGCGCTCCCGCGCATATCCTTGAAAAGGGGTCAGGATCTAATACTCACTTATATCTACTATAAAGGATACTTGGACCTAACCTGATTTGATGAAGACTTCATTAATTATTCATGAAGTAACTAACTTTTCTTTTTAGGTGGATATCCTCCCTCCCCTGCGTTGGTAGGACGGCACTGTTTTTTATTCGGCTTGAAATTGCGCAAAATGGTGGCGATGGACCTGTCTCTCCGGCGACTGGTGTTCAGGCCTACATCTATTCATTGACAGAAGGGTCGTTGACGATTTTATAAAAAATTCTGAGAGTTTAACAAGTTTGAACATGTATCACTTAGGTACGGCGTGTTACCGCCTACCCTTCCAACGCGTATAAGGCCCTCTAGGCAGAATCTTCTCATGCTATAATGGAATGAGCTTATTATGTACTTGTGTAAACTCAAATGGCGTATATGCTTTCCATATGCGTAGGTAGGTATTAACTGAGCTAATAAATATATAGATAAACTTTAACTTTTATTCTTCTTCATACGATTAATCGTCTAACAAGGTTTTCTGAGATAACTTTAAATGATTATACGACTCATCCCGTTTTCCTAATCACCTCATTTATTTCTCTGGCCTTCTCTACTTAATATATAAGAAACTCGACTTTCCTTAGAATTAGTCTACCACGACAGACCGTCGAGAATGTTTCCACAGAAGTTCACCAGAGTTTTCGTATCATCAAGAAATATTGCCCCGACGCTATCGTCTCGACTATAGGCTATATCTGGCAATAAAGACGATGAATACGAAGATGAAGCCAAGGTTCAGGGAAATTCAGACCATTGGAGCTCCTTAGGAAGCATCAACTCAGCTACGCGTAAGTAGTGAGCTCGCATCCCTAGCCAGTGCTACAGTGTTTGGCAATTGACGATTTAAAGTTATTCTTCCAAATGTGACATACGACCTATCCTGGAATTTCACCTTGTGGGAACCCGTGGATACATTCTTTCCACAAAAGGAATATTTCCATCCTCCTGATATCGCGTCTCCAGACCAAGCTGGTCAATTAGACCGACTAGGGCGGATCATACGAAGACACATATTCTGCGGTTATGGAGATGGGATAAGACCTACGTGACCAGAATTCCATCACGGAGCTGAAATAGGCTCTTCCCTACATTGGGAGACAAGGTTCTATTGGAGCAGGATGTTCCCAAACTTCTCAACCATCACGACACCAATATGACGAGGTGGAACCAATTGCTCATGCTAAGTGTCGTTAAATTTCCTCTCGGACTTCTACATTATCACGCCAGCCAACCTAACCTCCCGCTACGGCAGCAGACCTTAGGAGGTCACCGCCACTACCAACCACTGTGCTAGCAACAACTACTTAGCGGTTAACTATTCGGTCGCATTAGGTTGTTGCACACAATGCCCCTCCGAGCAACGTGGCACATTCCATTATCGCGTCGAATACTTCGCCGACAGGAAATACGTGGGGCCTTGGGCACATATTGCAGGATGTCGAAAAGGCACCTATGAGACAGGGTCAACCATTGGGAGTCATTCTCGACAATCGTGACACCATTATCTAATATCTGGTATAGATGATGCTATGGCAGAGAAGGGAGGGAATTAGCCTCAGCACGATCTCGCGGAGGCTGTTGCGAATGGCTGGCACCGGGGAAATACGGATACGTTGATCTCGACCTTTTTTAAGGTTACACTGACGATATCCGCCACAATGTCGTCTAACATTGTCGATAGCGTTATCACGGGACGGAATTAGCTTCCGCAGCAAGAGGAGGGAATAATGACGTTGTTGTGCGAGGAGCGAGGAGTTACACTCGCCTAAGGAGCGTGGTATACATACAAGACGTGCTTCTGCCGACAGGTTTGTTTCCCGGTTGAGGATCTTCCGAATGCCTAGAGCAACCTTATGGAGGTCGACATGCCAATACACGTCTTCTTTGACCTGCGTCCTTGCGACGATAAAGATAGGATTGCGTACCTCCCGGTCGTAGACGGCCATGCATTCTACCATCAACTGCCAGTTGCGCTCAAAGACCGAGACAGGATGACAGTGATATCTCCGAGGGGCCTCGAGATATCAAATGTGGCCCTCATGGGTTTCAAGAATTCACCCGCCTTTGGCCAACGATTCATGCATCAAAGGTTACACTCCTTTAAAGCTTTCGCTAAGGCATTTGTGGACGATATTGTGATTTTCTCGGACACAGAAGAGGAACATCTCACCACTCACTCACAAAAGACTGCCATATCTGGTGGCACCTCTCCGAATAAGGAAGAGGCGCTGGGGGACGACGACCATGCTCTGTTGAAGCTGTTCAACGACTTCGAGACCCCAGCACACGACGCTATGGAGGAAACCAGGAAAGCGAAGTACACAAAAAAAAACACAGCCTCCGCACTGAATGCGTTTGATGCTGCTAGATATAGTCAACTGTGACTAGAAATTATAGGACATCAATAAGTTTAAACACCAAACTCACCGTGGCGTCGACTTTTCTGTCACAATTTAACTTCGAAGTACGTTACATAGCTGGGAAAATGAATCTGGTTCCCGACGCCTTATCATGACTACCGACACAAGATGATTCACAGCAGGAGGAAGACGCGGAGGATTCTGTTCTCGAAGATGTTGTCGAGGATATTCCAATGGGAGCTACGTACGTTGCAACGGAGCAGAGCTACCAATTGCTGGGCTCACGAAAGGGCAAAATCTAGAAAGCGTATGATTGTTGTATTTCTAAGAAATGAACGAGAATCTCAAACGAACGGAAAATTTTGAATATGCTACCTATCAACTACATACCTCTCCTTCCCAGACTTGTCCCTGGGCCTTTGGCCCCCAACAACTGCCGGCGACGCAGGAAAATGTCAGCGTCCCTGCTGACTCCGGTCGAAGTCCTTCCGAGTCTTGATCGAAATGTAGATGTTGGTTTTGGGGGACGTCACGTTGGTTGTAGCTGTTCACTTCAAGAGTGCTTTAATTGGTGAAGAATGCAAGGCATTCAATTGAACCATCGACCACGGGACGCAATTCCCATTACATATTCACCTAAATGGGCAGTCGAGAAGAAGACAGCGCTATCAGTTCTCGGAAACGTAATCAAGAACTTACCTACTTGGTGCCTAATATGGCCCCAAGGGAACGAGCAAAACTGCTCGGGACGGAGATGATCGAGTGGCATAGATTGTCAAAGTTGTTCATTAGAAACTGGCTCCCTGCAGGATCGAAGGAATATATCCAACGCGAAATCGACTTTCATAATCCTAGACTACAGCAATCGAAATCCAGAGCATGGACTGAATGGAAGGCACGACGATCTCTCAAGACAGTTCGCTGTACAGAGCAGCGACAGATTCCTTTAGCCACCGGTCGGACATGTGAACAACAATTGCGCGACGACATCCACACCTTTCACCGACGAATCGCTGAAATTTCGGCCGATCAAGATAAAGTTCTGGAAGAGTTGAATCGAGAGATGGATAATCTCCGAAACGCTCGAGAATATTCATCGCAACGACATCTCGAGGAAGTGGACGAACTACAACAAATTCAACACGCAGACGACGGCACCTATCGACATCTTACAATCGTTTTCATCGTGGGCATACTGGGAGTTACTATGGGAGGTACGGATTTAGGCTCTACCTGACCAACAGACCAATTGTCAACATCTGAACCCCCAAAAAAACCCATTGACCTTCATTCTGAGATTTTGCTCCATCAATTAGTAGCACCTCTCCGTTTCGATCGGAGGACCTTCGAGGACGTCATCATTTTTTCTTTCGAAGGGGCAGGTGATAGATGATATCAGCAAAGCTTGAGTGGTCTGTTACGGTGCTTGATTAACTTGTGATTAGATATGGAAGGACTTACGAACGTGCAACAAAACTTGACTATGGTATCAGAGGAGGAAGACGAGGATGACTGAAAGAGGACGTTCACACGAATTTTCCCCGGAGGGGGGAAATTTGTCATGGCTTTCCTGGAAGGCAGTTGCAACTTGCTTCAAACCTATAGATAACTTATATCGACGTCCGCTTCAACGTACTTTATGGCAAATAGTACCTGTGTTCTAGAGAATTAGGAAGTTATTGGTGGTTGAGGGGTACATAGGTACGTATCGATAATGTGCCGTGTAAAATCCGGGGTAAAATGCAGATCGTTGATTGGCTTTTAATATTTCCGGTGCTTGATCCTTGCACTTCCATGTGCTGTACCTTCTTTTTAGGTAACCCACTAGTGGCTTCAAGCTTCCATCATCATCTACCAACCCATTCAATTGAATCTATACCAACACCATTTTTGCAACACATCCGCAACCACCACTCACATAATCAATCTCAACCACCCTCTCTAATATTCGACCCGAGCACCATGGCCCCAATGGCGCGCGTCGACCACGACGCCCTCGAGCGTACGTCCCTCCCCCCATCACCCCTCCTTATCTCATCGCTAACCTCCCTCCCCCCAAATCGCAGAGCAGCTCAAAGACACGATCCAAACCCTAACCAACATAATGGTCCAAGTAACCAACTACGACACCACATCCACCACCTCCCCATCCTCAAACGCCACGCCCAACGCGCGCGCCTCCTCGCGCGACATCGTCGCCAACGAGCTACGCACGCTCTCCGCGAACCTGCAAGCGATCCACGACCGGGCCCTGCACACCTCCCCTTCCCCCCACCCCTCCTCCCACCCCTCTTCCCATACTTCCGGGGCCGGGTTCGGCGGCGAGCTCCCCAAGATCCCGCCCGAGCTGATCCAGTACGTGGACAACGGCCGCAACCCGGACATCTACACGCGGGAGTTCGTCGAGCTGGTGCGGCGCGGCAACCAGCTCGCGCGCGGCAAGCAGGGCGCCTTCGCCTCCTTCCGCGACGTGCTCGCCGGCGAGATGGACAAGGCCCTGCCCGAGCTGCGCGAGGATACCGCGAGGGTGCTTGTTAATACCAGGGGCCGGAGGTGAAGGGGCTGGATTTACCTAAAAGGGGATGGATAAGGTGAGGATGGATAGGAGAGAATAAGATAGGATAGGATGGGGTTGATGGGCGAGGCTCGTGGGTGGTGGTGCTCGGAGTAACCTTGATCTTTTGGAGTTTCTAGGCTAGATGGCCCGTATCTCTTGGAGAGAAAGGATGTATCTCCCCATACCTATGGAGTTTTGCTAAACGAGAGAGTGGGCTATTATGTGCATAAGTTGGCGTCCAGGTTACTTTTCTTACGGAGGCATTCAACTAGCATTTTTGACAGATCGAGAGGTCAGGTAGTGCATTTCAGATGGGCAAGTTTGATTATAGCCAAGGCGATATACTAATGAAGCTGGCTAGACTTTTACGTCCAGTATGTTGTACCTGTTATCGAACTGCGATCACGGATAATTGCAATATGACATGAAGTTATTGGATGTCTTTCACAAGATTTCTATTGCTCGGAATTATAGCAAACCACCTATCCTACGTAGATCCCTTTTTTGTCTACCGGCCGCCGCCTTATTTTGCCATCCTCAAGTACAATACGAGATGCGCATCATTCATGCATATTCCTAACCGCAACAAGCCTCTTATGATAAGATCTTGGTCAGTTCCGCGACGACGGCGTCGCCGACCTCCTTCGTGCTAGCCGAGCCGCCGAGATCCTTTGTCCGGACGCCGCTATCGATGACGTTCTTGACCGCCAGCTCGATGGCGTCGGCCTCCTTCGGCAGCGCGAACGAGTACCGGAACATCATGGCGACGGAGAGGATGGTGCCGATGGGGTTGACGATGCCCTTGCCGGAGATATCGGGGGCCGAACCTAAAGAACGGTCACATTAGCATCACACGCCAAAACCCTGCGTAGGCAGGGGCTCACGAAAGAACATACCATGAATAGGCTCATAAATGCCATTACACCTAGACTTCCCATCCGGGATGCCGCTCAAGCTCGCGCTAGGGCTCAGGCCGATGCTGCCGGGGATGACGCTAGCCTCGTCGCTAATAATGTCGCCGAACAAGTTGCTCGTGACGACGACGCCGTTGAGGCCGCGCGGGTTCTTGACCATGATCATGGCCGCGCTGTCGATGAGCTGGTGCTGGACCCGCAGCTGCGGGAACTCGGCCGCCATCGTCTCGCTCACCACCTTGCGCCACAGCCGGCTCGTCGCCAGCACGTTCGCCTTATCCAAGCTCCAGACCGGCGCCGGCGGGTCGCTCGCGAGCGCGAGGTGCGCCGCCAGCCGCGTGATCCGGACGATCTCCTCGCGCGAGTACAGCTCCGTGTCCCATGCCACGCCGTCATCATCATCACCACCCCCCCCGGCCTCCTTGCGCTCGCCAAAGTAAATGCCGCCGGTGAGCTCGCGGACGACGGTGAAGTTGGTGCCGCGCACGATGTCCGCTTTCAGGGGCGAGAAGTCGACGAGCGAGTCGGACGGGAAGAAGCACGGGCGCAGGTTGCCGTACGTCTGCATCTCCTTGCGCAGCTTGAGGATGCCCTGCTCGGGCCGCACCGCCCCCGTGCCCCATTCGGGCCCGCCGATGGCGCCCAGGAGCACCGCGTCCGCCGACTTGGCCGCGGCGAGGGCGGCGTCCGTGAGGGGCGTGCCGTGGGCGTTGATGGAGCACTGGGTGAGGGGTGTGTCATGTTAGGTTTTTTTTCGAACATTTTTGTCCCCTCTTTTTTGTAGGGATTGAAGGAGGGGGAAAAAGGGGGGGTTTAGGTAGGTAGGTGGCGATGGTGGTGCGGAATTGGGGGTGGTTCTTGGGTGGGATTTGCTTTGGTATTGTATTGTATTGGGGAAAGGACATTAGACGTACGCCTCCTAGTAGGTGTTCTTGAAGGTTGAACTTATTGCCGGAGGAGCTGGAGGACTCGACTGTTTTGATAACCTGGCCGGGGTATGATCCTACGTTAGCAAGTTATTCCTATCAGAGCTGCTTCTGCATATCTTCCAATCAATTGGTGTTTATATCATAACGCATAACGCACCTTGACAGCCTCGGCCACGACCTCTGGGCCGGAGTGGTCTCCGCCGAAGACTACGATGTTGTGTGTTGTCATTTTGAAGGGTCAATTGAGAAGAACGGCGAGGCAGAAGGAATTGCAAGTTGATTGCAAGAGAGATTGGGTTGTAGTAGGATACCTATGAAGAAAGACGTCCCGGTTTTGATATAATCAAGGGATAGTAGCATGTAGGAGTACAATACCGTATGAAAAAAGTCGACCGGAGCTGCGACGTACCTGCCCCGCGCTACAACAGCTCTGCTTCCGAAATCTACCCCACGCAAAACGACCTCCAAAAAAGTGTATACTTCTTACCGTAACGGGAAAACTTAACGTACAGTTCAGCACAGTAACTTTAGCACGTGGGTCCCTTTCTTTGCTTTTTGTGACGGCGTTCTGCCCACGGTGCCGAGATCGGCGTACTATCCCTTTGTTCACCTCTATTTCGGCCGAAAGACACGTGAGGGAGTTGCAATTGACCCGAGCTGTTCTACCAATGTTCCTTCCCCTTTTAACTAGGCAAGTAGGTAATTACTACCTCCTAATACCGAGAGTTGTTGCTACGAGCGATGGGTGTGTGACTCCTGAATTCATCACGAGGAATTAGCTGGGCGGCTTTCCTAGAAGTTCGCTAATGACCTCAAATTACCTACCTGGTGCTAATCAACGAAGCTCCCGGACAGCCCGGAATACTTAATTAACACCCAGACGTCCGCTTCGTGGATTAATATATTAACTTACATTAGCAAATAAGAATCCTCAATCCTCGAATACGAAAATCCTTACCTTGGTAGCTTACGTGGTTAGGTGGGTAAGTAGATCATCTACAAACGTGCAGCTATGGAGATCTCGAATCTCGTTGGTTATCTGCGCGAGCATCATACAGGAACCACGCGTACATGTACATATGTAGACGACAAGTCACAAATATCCGCACATCGTATTAAAATCCCAACCCCTTTGACTTTCCTCAAATCCGCGATTCTCATTGCTACTCGTCATCTACTAAATAGACCAGGGTATCAGGTGTACGCAAAGGTCCTCAGCTCGCATCTGGCGGACCTGTTCTATCCCCCATCTATAATTTCCACTGAGCACCGTTCACATATCCCTATTATAACAGAAGAAATCACACAATGAACTTGGTCGGGGTAGCTTTGAGCACCACCAGCCAACTTCATCTAAACGACTTGAATGACTTGTGCGCCAACGGAGACGTAACGGGCACTCGTGCGTTCGGCCCTCCCGTGCCTCTACGTACTTGGCTCCCTCGCATCCCGTGCGCGGTCGGCGTGTTTCCGCAGAACGCGCAGATATAAACACTAGGCTGGCTTTGTCGAGTGATGTTGATGCATTTGCCATGAAGCCACAAATCACACGATCCACTAAAATGGGATTAGTTACGGTTTTTGACGCTATCGTATACCTTGACTACACAAGAGGTGAAAGGAGAGGAAGAGGCTACCATTGAACCATATAACTGTTTCCGATGGAGTGGCTACTATTCGCATTGCAAACGCATCGGATCCGGCGGCCACGGTCAGCAGAAGGGGTACGGCGATCGTTAGTCTTTGTGGAGGCGGGCGTTGCTGATGAGCTATACGCCGCCCGTGATGTAAAGCTGTTATTCAGGTTGGACGGCCGCTTCTGCCGGCTCTCCATGACCTTGCGCAGCTCGCTTGCTGCGTCACCGAGATTGTCGCCGCTTGCCATATTCATTACCGTCTCAGCTTCGCTTTCACCACCATGATCGATAGGGTTGGGTTCATTATAGTAAATTCCGAGGCTACTAGTGCTCTGGTCGCTAAGGCTCCGCTGGGAAGAATGGAAAGAGTGTGTCGATGGTCTCCGTGGTTGTGGTAACGAGAAGGACGGATTCCGGCTGGGAATTATGATAGGCTCATCGTCCGTAGACGACTCTTCATCTTCAGAAGATGCCCAACTTTTCCCTTTGCCTCGCTGTTCTTTCCGGCGGCGTACTACTGTGGGCGTATTATCATCGTCGTCTAGAACGATTGTCGTTGTCTCTGCCCGAGCTCGACCCCTAGAGTCTATTGTGAACTTGACTGACGTCTGAGTTCGTGGAGCCGGTGTTTCGGGAATAGAAGAAAGACTGGGCAGTCGGTGGGGTTGATTTTTCAGCGGCGATACCCTCCCGTTCGGCCCTGATCCTTGCGACGCTGACCTCCCGGTGTTCTGTGGCACAGGTCGCGCAGCTGGCGCGAGACTAGGCAAGCTGGCTGTCTCGCTGACGGGTTTCCGAGTTATCTTCTCACTAAAACTACGCGACAGACCAGGGCGGTCGGACGGTTTGATAGGCGAGCTAGCGGACACTCGAGTTGCCTTCTTACCGGTTTTGAGCTCTTTGGTGCTAGCTGTGCGACGACCCGGCCCACGCTTTGGCGGTTTTGCGACTAACGTGACAGGCTCGGGCTCGGGTTGTGAAAAGGACTGCATCAAGGGAGGCTGGGACATGGGATTGAAAGGAGCAGGCTCCATGTTCGAGGACGGCGGTCTGGTGAAAAGAAGACCGGGATCCACACCACCATGATTCATCATAGCAAAAGAGTCGTCGGCAGAAGCAGGGAACGATGAGCTAAACATTGATGAATCTGCAACGCTTGTGTCTAAGCTTGGAGCCGGGGGCTTTGGCGCAAGCGCCCGTTCCTTCTTCGCCGGTTGGTTATTCTCCTGACTTTGTGGGGGGATTGCGCCGGTCTCTTGAAATATCTCGTTGGACTTGCCCCAGTCCTGAGAGCTCATGGGTCGGTGGCCAGAAGTCTGGAACACATTTGCGCCGGTAGTCGAGAAGTCAAGGTCCATTCCACTCATATCAGTGTCCCAAAACATGCGCGAGTCTCCAAAGCTCGAGGCCGCAGCTGGAGCTGACATTGGGTATCCGAACATGTCGATAGGGGTGGTTGACATGAAGCTTGACATATGTTGCTGCTGCGGTGTGCCAGCTACGAACTCCTGTTCGAATCCATCATTTTGCATGGTGTCCGCCTGCAGCTTTGGTGCAAGTCGGCGCTGTCCCTTGTGAGCAGACGGAGGCGGTGTGGCCGTCTGGACCTTAACCTCTTGCGCCGTGTCTCTGCAAAGCTTCTTAGACAGCTGTTGCGAACTATTCCGGAAACCCGCTTCGGTCGGACTTTGGCCGGTCACTAAGGGGTTGGGAGAAGAAGGCACCCGCCTAGACGGATCAACGGGCGGTAAAAGGTTTGGGTTCGGCGAGAAGTGGGTAACATGAGTTGCAATTTCGGCAGCGATACTATCGGTAGACAGGGGCCTCTTATGATTTGAAGGCTGAAAGGGCGTAGAGATAGAAAAGTCGGCAAAGTGAGGGTGCGAGGAGCCCTTCAAGTTGCCGGGAGTAGAGTTGAAGACGGAATATTCTTCGGCAAACTGAGGAGTCCAGCCAGATGACTCGTCGAAGGAGGCTCGGTTGTTCTTGGGGGTTTCGAAGACAGAATTTGGGAAGGCAGCAGACGTTGGGGTCTGTTTTGGAGTGGGAGGCTGAGCGTTTGGATCGCCAAAGCTGCAAACTGGTATCAGCACCGAGACACTTAGGGAAGGGATATTGGAAGTAGTGGAAGTGTCTTGCCTTGGAGTCGGTTGATCTCCACTCATAGCAAAGTCTATCTTGCTAGCAGAAAACAAATGTTTGCTTCCCTCAGGTAAGTGCTATTCTCTTTTAAGCTCGTATATCATTGCACATTATCATAAATATAGCTCGAGTCGTTTGTTGGTGCTGGGGGGAAAGAGTAGGTATGAAGTCGTTAAATCGTTGGCAATACAACTACAGATTAGGTTGTTCTTATGTTAGCTCGGGCGCCAATCTGGACTCAAAATATACACAAGCCGATAGGGAAGAAATCGTTAATAATTAGATGTCATTAATCGCCGGTCTAGAAGACGAAGAAAGAACAAGAAAAAACCATACAGCTAAAGTGGTTGTCGTGGTGAAGAGAGGAACTTAAAGTGGATAATGTTCTAGGTAGAAACGGATGCCTTGAAGTTTAAAGGATCCATCGATGTTGTTTGGTTTGTCGGGTAAATTTTTAGAGTGTTAGGTACCTGGCACTAAGGCCTGTAGGTCTGTGCTTGGTTGGTATGGTACCGGTTGCTAAACTTGGCAGTTACAATCTTTGCGAATGGCAAGGCACGTTCAAGGAACAAAAGGAACATTTTCTTGGTAGATGCACATGTGTAACGAGGGGCAGATGCACATTCGCAACGCAGTCTCGGGTCTTGAGGATTCGAATACTTGATACATGCACTATAACCTACCAATGCAATGACGATCATACTCAGGAGAGCCTTTTCGATAATCATCTGAAAAAGTTGGAAATTTAGCAGCCTTCGTATTATGACATAACAGTCAAGAAAATGATGATCAATTGGCCCTGAGCTTTTGGCTGAGGAGACCAACTAAGGTAGACGAGCGGCGCGTAAGACTCCTTGAAGAACTAAGTTGGTATCCCATAGGGGAAAATTCAGGGTTATCCCCGCAGTCCAGTATCCCCTTAAGGGTAGCTGTCCTGTTGGCAGGAATGTAACCTGGATTCCAACTCGATATCATACTCGATATCATACTCGATATCATATTATTCGGACTAGAACTTAACTATCATATATTTTCCTATCAGTCAAAGGAAGAAGGATGGCGGCGTCATCGTGATTTCTCGAGCTCTGTAGTATTAATTTAGCATATCAAGCAGCAAAGCTACCGTTACTTACAGCTGTAAAGGATCCGGACCTGCAGAATTGCGCATGCTCCGGCTCCGCCCAAGGGTGCAAGCTATTATGCTTACTGCGGTACCAGTTCGGGGGAATATCCCAATATTTCCAACACTTGTGAGTTGTCAATTGTTTTATGCAGGAGCAAATTAGATGGCTGAGTCCCCAAGCAACAAAACCGTAGGCACGAGACATATACCGTAGTATATCGAACCTCCGGATCTTCGGTCGAATCACAGTGGATCGCGCCAGGTTCCCAAGTTGTAGAATGGTTGACCTATAAAATAGGTGATGAGCCGTTTGTACTATGGCATTCTAAAGCTTTAGGGCTTTAGGACCTGCATTAGATGGAACAAGAATGAGTCAACAGAGGAAGAACCGTCTCCACATCGCAGCTCATCTTGCCTAGGACAGTTAATGCATGCAGGTTCATATCGGATGATAATATATCTGAGCTATAACAGGTCTTGCTCCACCCGCGGCAAACAAAATCGAACGGTTCAAAGTTGTCAATGCGCCATATAGGTATGTAAAATAATATAAAGTGTTAGCTAGACTTTAGCAGGCTCGTGTAAACAGGTATCTAGCCCTGTAGACCTGTACCGAAGGAAGTTCGATCTGATGCGCCCAATTGCCTGTCAATCAGATCACATATTCCGCTCGTGCGATGAATAAAACTAATCGAGATTAATGAGGCATAATACTCGTCATCCCACGGCAGCTGAAGTCTTGGCTTATCGAAGATGTTGAGCCGCTGATAGGCTGCCGGTAGAGGAAACCTTGGAAATAACTGTTTGCATCGATTGTCCGATGGCTGGCTGGTGGCTTGCAGCATACGAAATAGAACCGCTTAACTAGCCCTAAGCTGCCTTTTTGCTTGGACATGTTGGCGCCTTGTTTGCCTCGACAGGCGCCCTTGTTCACCATCAGAACCTCGACCTTACACGCCCTCGAGTAGGAGAATATAATATTTCGATGGCGACTAAATTAGACGCCTTAAGGTGTCGCATGTTGGTCCATTCATACAACGTCGTTACACACCACCTTTGATATTTTTTAAATAGAAATAAGGAGTTCTCTGTATCTAGCCGGAGGCCCGAGCCGCTTGGTGGGAGGCAGGTTTCTACATCGTTCATCAAGCCGACGATAGAGAATCTCGACCGCGAACGACTTGAGAATTGTTTCCCAATATGGAAGAAGATCGGATCTATACTATCGGACTATTGCGTAGCCCTATGACTTAAGTCAGTCAATTAACGGACCCCTGTACATAGGGCATTAGTCGCATGGATCATTACTGGCTTCTTGTCGCTACACAAATATCGATATCAACTCTTCAAGGAGTCAGAAAAGAGAAAAAGGGAAGGTTTAATTGGGATAATTGCAATTCTATTCCGCTCATGTTACGCAATCATCCATGTGAAGGAACCTGTGGGTTACACTTCCTTGGAGAACGAATAACGGCATATGATTGGCTACATTATACTTTATGCTATTTCCCAAAAGGTGTTCATTAAACCTCCGCATTTTCCCTTTAGTGCTGACCTAGGTATGTACTTCGTACCCAGGTACTTAGGTGAATTCCGACCCCGATATCTATCTCAAGGCTCATCCCCCCTGAAGGACCTGAGCTTCAACGTTGTTGAACCCAACTAGCTTATCACGGGCTGCACGGGCTGGATATACTACGAATCAAAGCGTTTTTCGGAGTTGACCAAACACTTTACTCCCTTAACCAGCGATCAGTTTCTCAACTTTAGCATTCGGTGCTGAACCGCTCATCTCGGCCAGCTTAATGCAAATTCGTACCAAAATCAACTAGGAAATGTTGGCCCTCAATTCAGAGCTATATTCCAAATTACGAGAGCTAATTAGCGATGTGAGTAAGCCAGGGGACGTTCGCTAGGTAGTTGAGCGGGTAGATAAGCAAATATACGTCTGCTTAAATGACATCTGTTTTCTTCCAGCTCCCCAACATAAGAGACTAATAGCCCCGGGACATCGTTCGAACAGCAAGCTTAATGAGATCTAGCGGATTCTACCCGGACTTTGTGCATAACAATCCACTAACATCTAGACCCAACCAATCGCCAGATCTGTCAGATAGGGGGCATGGATGCCATAACGAAAAGCAGCTAATTACCAAAAACGAACAGACGAATGACGTGTTAGCCGCCTGATCGAAATTACTTGTTGGCAATACTTTGTAGTAAGTCGAGCTAATTACTTGGTGCTTCCGGCAAGTTAGATATCGTATAGGAGAGAGCAGCTAGCTTGTTCGCACGACGGAGAAAATTGCTTCCCCGATATAATGAATGTATGCCCCCTGCTTCTAAAACGGCTATTCTAAGGACATCTATAGTCTCGAATGATATCTGGTTGGATTTACGGTAGTTTAGCTACATTCTAATACATCAAGAGTAAGCGCTCCTGGAAAGAGTCGGCATTGCTGATGTTAAAATCCATCTGAAACTTGACCAGCAGTGAACGGTTTTAACGCCAGCGTTTAATAATGCTAAACGCCTTGAGAGGCGAGGGACTCGTGCTATCAAAAACCATCTCCAAGGTTTCATAAAGCACCCCAAGTATCAAGCACTTAAGTAACGATGACAACTAAGGGCCATGGCTACAGCTCGTCTTGAGCTATAGGTGAAATTTGTGTCAACAATACATTAATATGTGTCATGGTCTTTGGCCTACCTCATACCACAATAATCATTATCCGAGAAAACTTACCATTACGTTTTCTAGAGAGATAAGTTTCTACCGTTTAAAACTTGGTTGACTTGGTACGGCCTCCTTTTCACTTGCAGCGCGAATAATTTCCATGGCAGTAGAAGAAACGCCACATAGAACGGCGGGAATAAATCTATGAATGATGACATTAGGAAGTCATGATATGAGTGGCAATGTTGGAGTAACTACAAGAACAAAATAATTCGCTTATAATTAAGCCACGGTTGTGCACGTCGTAAGCAGAACTGCACCAACTTGATTTCCCCTAATTTTAGGGGATACCTAGGTGATAATATCCATAGGGCTATGTGGATTACCTGGCCGATACGCTGTGCTTCCGATAAAAACAACCTAAGGAGAGAAGCATAAGGGATATCTTAAGAAACAGAAGCCGTGCCATATCTTATACACCAGGGAGACCACGAGGAAATATTGAACTATCACGATCTTGAATATTATACTCTCGCTATGGTGGTGATTCACAGACGTAAACCAACGAAATACAAGTAGCCCCTATTCCGGTAAAATACGAAAATAGCAAGGAGCCAGCCAGGAGGGAGATTATCACACCTTCCGAGAACCAATTGCAAAAGCACGTAGGAATTCGGGGCTTCAGCCCTATCTCGACTTTCCCCTACGCACGGCTCAGCTGTTGAGCTAGTCCGAGTACGAATAGGAATAAGTCCCCTGCGGCAGGTATGTAGTTCAGTAAGCCCGAATCCTTAACGTCGAGCGGCCCTGGTAAACGTGTATATATATGTGGCTACACTATATAAGACGTCATATACGCTAGTTGTAAGCAAGTCCCGGACCCAGGGTTCGAAGGCGCCGCTTATGTAGGTACCTAAGACAGAAATAGGGGCAGTAATCTAGTAGCACACGCAAGAAAGGTATATTCCGAGAAACGCGAACTAGAGAATACACGAAATCACGAGCTTGATGACGATTTGCAAAGGTCCACCTAGTATATAGTTGGTTGTTATGACTGGGATGCCGCGTAGCGACAACAGCCCTTTTCTGATTGTGTTTATACTATCCCGCTATGGATGTGGATATTGTTCTCTGCCGCCTTCCACGATTAAGATAAATCATAGGAAATATGTTAGATCGGTACCCATGCTACCAGAATAATATTATGGGATACAGACGATGTTAATGCCATTGGATATTAATGAGTGCCTCCAGGCTCGAGGCCAGAGTTGTCATGAAAAATCGCCTCCGGTGACAAGTTAGAAAACTTCATTCCTGTGGTCATTCATTCACCCCCGACTCCGTGTCTTCATCCAATACCGCGGTCGATCTGTTTTGTGACCCCTTAGCTTGAGCTTCCTTACTCTCTGCCATTCTCGAGATACCACAAACTTCCTTGACCGATCCTAGCTGGGACTCCACGGCTTTAGAATTTTCACTATCAATGCTTGCGTTAAGGCCTCCACCTGTCGTTTCTTGACAGCCTCTGGTAACTAATTCAATAGTTCCTATTGCCAGTTGTTAGTCACAAGTAGGTGATCATATAGTAGAGTCATGGCATACCTCATAGAAGTGCTGTATAGATGCGATGCGACTCGTATGAACTAAGTCATAAGAAAAGGAGGGAAGAAAGAGAGGTGGCTGAGAATGGCCCTGTATACTCGCAACTTCTGGGGAAGATGACGTGAATCGTATTATACTGTTTGGTACGTTGCAAAGCCTAATTATGTTCGTGCTGGAAACCGTTACTTCTGGCGATGCATCTCGTCGTTGTCAAGCCATGCAGACTGTAACACTTTCTGGTCGTATTCGTAGGAGGGATCCTCCTCACCTAAGTAACTCTTAATCTGGTTTCGGTAACGCGTAGGGTCGTCCTTGTTACTGTGGTTATGGCCGAGTCGACCGAATGGGGTACTAGCATTATAGTAGTCGCCATTACAAAAGACAGTGTTGGGAGGACCGCCCTGGGGGGCAACAGGAGTGCCGCCGAAAAGGCTGCTCGGGTGCGAAAAGGAGAAGGTTGATCCACTTCTCGTGCCTTCTTGGGACCAAGGAGAGTACTGTTGAGGAGCACCCGGCGCTGAACGGCCGTTTGCCTGCGTATTGCCCCCTGGTGCTAGAAAACCGCCTTCACTGCCAAAGGGGCTTGAAATATTCTCGAAAGGGCCCGGGATTTTCTTCTGTCCGCCCAGGCTCCCGCTTGGTAGGCCAAACCCCGCGGATCCAGAAGGGCTTTGCAGATTAGAAACAGCGGTCTGCTGACTGCCCGAGCGCTCCATATAGCTCGATCCTTGATTCATCCCGAGTTTATTCAAATAGGGAGAGCTGGCTGCTGAAGGTTTCTGAGACCCTAGATATGGGCTCGTACCCATTCGACCCGCATAGCTATCCTGCGTGGTTTGCGGGTTCAGCCCGTGTTGAGCATACAGTGCAGACGTCAGACTATCGAGGACTGCGCTTCGCGATATCTCTAACGAGTCGCGGGAACCCTTGCTCTGGTGATTATCAGATCGTGGCGCTCCTTGACATAACCTTGGCGACTCATACGCAGGCTGTTCTCTCACGCTGCGATGCGCTGGGGCCTTGTTGATGGTAAGATTACTCAGATAAGGAGACGACTCGAAGCCGTCTAACTGGCCATGGACACTCCTGGGTATATAGTCTCCATCGGAAACCAATTGATTATTAGATTGACTACCAGAATGTTTCGGGGTTGGCTCATAGAAGTAACCCCATGGGAGGCTGGGTATGGCCTTCGACGCGGGAGAAGGCTGCGCTGAATCCGTAGCAAACCGGCCAAAAACATCGTTAGCCGTAGCAGTATTCATGCCATAGCTGGTATCACCCTGGGTCTGGCTTGACTGAGGTCTGCTATCATCGAGTGGATCCAAGAGCTTGTTCACCATATTAACCATCTCACTATCTCCACTTAGGTCTGTGTCAAGAAGTGGATTGGGTGCTTGCTCCTCGACTGATTTTCCCTTGCGGGATACGCTGCGTGGTTGAAGGCTTGTCTCATCTTCAGCATGATGTGCCAAGGCGACATCCTCCAAAGTTGCATCTGACACCTTCTGCATCGACTCCTCTGGTTTTGCTCCTGCGTCGTCGAGTTTAAGCTTGTTCAACACACGAAGCATAGTTGCCTCGTCTACGGAGGCTGCTTGAGCAGGTTCAACAATAAAATCCCAGCATTCAACCTCCCGCCCCTCGAGCTTCTTGAGGCTAATTGCGAGCGGGAAAGCCGAGCTCGCTGCCAAGAGTACCCCACAATACACAATATCCCTAATTCGCCAGATTGCTTCTGTGTGAGGTTTGTACTGACGACCGAAGACTCTTTGGCGAGGCTTGCGAGGCTTGCGCTTCTTTGGTGGATGATAATTTATCAAGTCCGGTACACCTTCTGATTGCGAGAACAAGGGCAGGTTACGATCGCTGAAAGGCTTAAGCCCGAGTGCTTCTGTATCTTCCAGTAAAAGATACTTCGACGACGTAGTAATGGTAGCTTGGTCGATGGTTGCGTTGAGCAAAGTGAGCGTGTCGGCAAGAAGCCTGTATACCTCACTGACGTATGGTTCGAGGAATTCTCGATAATCCTTAGCATCGAGCCTGGAAACATAGAGCCATGAGATGTAAATGCGGAAGAGAGGGAATAGCTTCATCAAAAGTTGACTAAAGCAGATCGGACTCTCAGAATCCTCGTGGTCTCCTCTCTCGCTTTCAGGTGTGGTAGATGTGGCAGACTCATCTAGTAGTCCCGCCTTTAAGGTGCGAAGGAGAATCAGGACCGTGCGAATGTTAAATCGTAGTAAGAACTGGGCCGACTGAGATCCTTGCATTGTCCACGCAGCTTTCAACTGTGTCAGTACGTGAATCCACGAAAACGGAAGGATACCTAGGTGAAGACCTACATTTCACTTTATCCAAAGCAATATCATACGCTGCAATGTTAATAAAGATCATCTTGCGTAGGATCATTTCGTCGGCGTCAGACTTCAAGGAAATCTCTAAGCGATGTAGCACTTCCTCTTCCAGTTCAGCCTGTTGAGAAAAAGGCTCTCCCTGGAAGAAATACGCGTGTAGTCGGAGGAACCAGGTGATCATAGTTTCGCGCGGGTCTTTGGGACCTTTACGTCCCGCGTGCGAATTCTCCAAGCCCTTGAACTCCCGTCCAAGGTTGCTAACACCCAATTCGGATGGTTTCGCAACGGAGATAGAACGATGAAAGTGATAGACAATGTCGAAGTGCCGGCCTTGAAGTTGGTATAGAACGGCCAGTTGGTGATGAGCCGAGCCATCGTCAGGGTTAATAGTATGCGCTAGACTATAGTACGCTATAGCCTTGTCGAAATTCTGATTCGAAAGCTTTTCTGACATCTGGCATCGGTATCTGACCAGGTCACCGAGATGAACCAAGGTAATCTGGCATGACTTCAAGATCATTGCGCGAAGTTGAGATGGAGGCTTCGAATTAGGAGTAGGGGGTTCTGGCAGCTCAATGTCTGTGCCGTAAGCGGCTTGATGTAGCTCGGGAATATAGTACCGCCCTGAAAGTTGTTGTATATAGACACGATAGAAGGACTGAGCTATTTTGAGAAATCCTCTATATTGTTTCTCTAGCTTGCGTCTCACAACCACCTGGTTTTGTGCCAGGAGGCGACTCATAATTTTTCGGTACTCGACATTGAGGTTGACATGGGCTTGCCATAGATGATATTCGACTTGCTTACCGACCGCATATTCGAAGTCATTGGCAACGACGTTCATGCAGGCTAACCGAAATCTAGAGAAGTATGAGTACTAAAAGCAGGTAGCAAGTAGATGTGGATGATGAAGATCGTACTCAGCCATCGTCTTCTCAAGGTCTTCAAAACGAGCTGTAGTTTCCGTCGTGCCTCGATTTGATAGCTTCTCTACTATATCAGAGCGGATCTTCTGGGCATCCCTATAGTCGGTGTTAGCCGACGTGTCGGATCAGCATGGCGATGCTGCCAGGTCCGGCGCATCTAGTAATTCCAGACATACCCCCAGCTCGCTCTAGCCTTGTCCCGCGGACTCTCCATTATGATCGAAGCAACAAGCAATCGAGTTCGATACTTAATTAGGTATTCAAATGGGATTAGACTAAATCCCGTCGGAAAAAGTTATTGGTGACCGGGAGACTGTTGCGACAGCCCAGTCAGGAAACAGGATCACACGAACTCGAACCGGGAGCGAGGATGCGGATGATATCCATAGTTCGACAGATGCGACAGGAAAAGGGTTGGTTCTAGACGCGCCGTAGAGAATTGGGCTGAAATTGCTATCTCGGAGGAAGGTATCGGGAACATTTGCGGTTACTGGTGGAGAGAAGGGATGCCTCGTAGAGAGAGATCTCTAATCTAGGGATATAAGCACGACGTAGAAATAATACGAGCAATGTTAGCGCAGACCAAAATGTAAATAGCCGAAGTGTCTGCGACCGTGTATAAGAGCGTATCGTGGATTGAGACGTCGTCGGGAAGCAGAGCGAAGGAAAATGGCGTAAAAGTATGAAGGTGATTTAATGTGGAATGGATGGAATTGGATGAGGCGACGGGGTGAGTTCATAAACCTGCCGATCTTTAGAAAAAAAAGTTACCTGCCTAGAGGGACCTTGGAACCTTCCGGGTGCACGCTAATCACTAATCGCCCACTATCTAGGGCAGCAGCAGGGCTACTAAAATCTGCGCGCCTGCCCAAGCCAGCCATTAAATGCACATCCCAGCAGGGTACCTAGCGTAGTAAGTAGGTACATATCCTAGGTATATCCCACAGTAGACCCCTCATCAATAACCCCGGATTAGTTAGGGGTCCACCTAGTGGTCTTTTTACGTTTTCGGCCACTGTCCGCCGGACAGCTGCCGGGGGCATCAACTTTGAGTTGACACGCCGCGAGCCCTGTCCTAGGTCCATGCGGCAGATCAGTCAGATCACTCCCGACGCCGTCTCTTACTCGTTAGATTTGTGTCTATTTCAGTCACTAGCGAATCTTTTTTGGTGTTGAATTTCCATTATTTCCATTGTCCCATTAAATTCATTGTTTTCGTTATTTTCAATTTTACTATGTAGGGTTATCGACCAGTTGCACCCAGCTGTTACAACTCAGGTCGGATTCACTGACCGCCTTCATTAGTGACTTCGGTTTCCGATACCGATATGTTACGTAGATATTTCTACAAAAGTTGTTAATATTGCTTGACCACGGTTCTCTAACTTTGCATGACGTTTTTTTTAGTTTTTGATTTCACTTTAAGACTTTCTCCTCCTCTACTTTTTCTTTTCTTTATAACCTTTAGGGACATTCATAGCTCCCCGCAAAGCGACCTTGCTACTTGCCCAGGTGCACGAGCTTCACCTCGCTCTAACCACGTCGCCAACAGTCAAAGCAAAGCGAAACGCCACACCCCGATACTCAGTACTGCGAGAGTCTTGGAGTCGCTCACAATAGCACTGTCAATGTAAATTTGCCCCATATTTCTACGTAAAAGTTATACATTGCAAATATGAAGCGCTCACGCGAGCATGAAGAGGACGAAGAGTCCTTGTCACCAGAACCCGAGGTTAGGATTAGTTCGGATAGAATATCGGATAGGCCGAGCCCTCGAGAACTAGAGACACATCCACCTACGAAAATCACTGAGTTAGACGAGTACGCCGTCGATGACGATAGCAATAACTTCGCAATGAAATGCTCTCTACCTCCGCATCGAGATATCCTGTCGTTCAGGACATATGCGGAATACGAAGCGCATCACAACAGGACGCATACAAATCGATGCGTAGAATGCGGGAAGAACTTCCCATCTGAACACTTGCTAAATGTGCATATCGAAGAGTGCCATGATGTCTTCGCTGCCGTGAAGAGGGAAAGGGGTGAACATACGGTAAGGCATTTCATATAGTAACCTTTTATACAGCAGCGCTGACCATCCTCCAAATAGTACTCGTGCTTTGTCGAGGGTTGCGATCGAAAATGTGGAACGCCTCAGAAGAGACGCAGCCACCTCATTGACAAGCATATGTATCCGAAGAATTATTTCTTCGCGGTTACCAAGGAAGGTGTTGATGGGAGACAGTCATTACTCCTCGAAGGCGGGCATCGTCGACGGAGGTCTTCCACGACGACCAACGCTAGCAGGCCAAAGTCGGCCGGAAGAAGACAGAGTCTTCGGCAAACGGAAACCTCGAAACCCGTGACGGAGGAGCCGACGAAGGAAGTACCGAAAGAAGTATCATCCCCGGCTGAAGCCCCTGATACTGAGATGGACGATCTGGCCGGTGCTATGTCGGCATTGCAATTCATTCCTACGACCATCCGCTTTGGTCATCGGAAAGGGAAAACAGGTTTTGCGAAACGATAATACGAATGATAAATACGAAGTTGAATGAAGACACGAGCAGACGATATAATGGGTATCAAGATTGATGAATTTAATAGCAGCATTGCATACTAAATCAACTCAGATCGTCAGGGTATTTTGTGAATTCACCTTTTAGTCTAGTTCCTATATGTTCCGAGGGGTCCTCAAGAAAGCTCGTAATTCATGCACCAGAATATGTGATAACGGATCGCCAGTACTCCGAATCGGTGTAATAGTAATAATGCCTGAAGCCGGTAGAATTAACCCGACTACGATATAGACCCTAACGCCATAATGCCATGAAGCGTACCTATCCAGTACAAGAACGCAGAAACCGTGGCCTAGTCGCTCGAGGCGCAGCCTCTACAGCCGCAGCTGACGCATTGGATATCCTGTTCATCCTTCAGCTGGGCCTTGGGCACTCGGCAGACACACGTCGATTGGAAATTCGTCTCTTTGGTCTGGATGCAGCGAAGACAACACAACTATACCATGGCAATTAGCTTTCATATTTCGTTTTATACATGCCATCCCCATAAGTATAAACATACCTTCTCATAGCCTTGCTTCTTCCACTTAGCGATCAACATCGCGTCGGCGTATCCGTTCTTGAGCAGCCAATCATACAACTGCTTGCTGATGGCTTCCTTCTCGTAGTACAACTCGTAGACGTAACGGCTGCGCTGATGGGAGATTTGAAATATGGGCCATTGGGCTTGGTGCTTGGGGATGTTGTTCGTGGGCGTGTTCTGTGCATCCTTCATCTTGATGCTGAAGATCTCAAGGTCGTCGCGGATGTCGTCGAAGCCCTCTGGTGGCTTTTTCGACCTCGAGCCGTGGGTTCGCACGGGCGGCATGGTGCAACTGACGTAAGGTTGGAGGGAGAAAGGAGTCTTGCGTTGCGAACGTGAATTGTTGGTTGTTGATACTCGTTGGCTTAATGTACGGTGGTAGTGGGGCAAGGCTGAGAATTGAATTATCAAGAATGAAGCCTTGACGTTGATTCCTGATAAGAATTTAATGTTGGGTCCTGTGTTATGTAAGCAAAATAATGTGACTAATATCTGTGGCTAATTGGCTGAGCGAAATGTGGCTAGTGTTTCTTGGGTAACGATGGAAGGTTGTAGTCCCACCTTCGGTTTGAGAGAGCTTCCGAAATGTCGAAATGAATCTCAACACTGCGTTAAACAACATATCTCGCTCATCATGTTGTTAACACCCACCCAACTCGCGGTAACGACGCGGACGTGTCAGTGTGTGATCTCAAACATATGCATAGCTTGCTAACGCGGTTCATAGCGGCCAATTGGAACGAGGCCAAGCGTCGAGTTATTCATTCTTATCGAGAATGGATACGAGCAGTACGTTTCTCCCAAGGGCGAACTCTTCACATTGATTCATAGCCGCGATGGAATTCATACTGGAGTTTATGCGTAGCGACTATAGCTAAGATCAAGCGCGCCCTAGGCACCTAAGATTCAATCCATGTACTCGGTTCCGTTTCCGGTATCTACCATCCGCACGCGAATGCGACAAGAATTCGAACGGCATAGATACGTGAACAAGCTACCAGTAGTCGATATGCTCCTCATACAGAACAATGCAGAGTACCAGGTTAGTGAAATGGCGATGTAACGCACGGCTACTAATATCGGGTGGTCTATAATTATAATTAGAGGGATATTAGTCTCCTATGAGGGGTGTTGCTAATGGTTCGTATGGTAGGAAACGATGAACTTCTGGAAGCAGACTAATCATGTCATGTCATACTTCCCCGAGGAGAACTTCCGAGGAGCCGACAGATTGCCGAACAACTTCATGAAGGGTTTCCTAGAGGCAAGTTTCTATCTCGGTGCCCTTGATGCGAGAGGTTCTTAGCTAACAGCGCCCTAGGGTCGCAATTAGATATGGGTATCGTCCCGTTGTATTGTACATAGAAAGAGACCCAGCAAAGCAAAATTTACCACCTAAGACCGTCGTCTGTTGCACTCCGAACGCCGCAGATACCATGCCATCCGTATTGAATCGAGATATTACCCGATAGTTTATGCCTCTAACTCCAGTCTTCTGCTCTCCGCCTCTTCTTGCCTTTTGCGAGCCTGCTCTGGAGTTGCTTCAAATTTCTCTCGTTCGTTCCAGAATTCATCAGAAACGACGTCGCATAGATCTTCTAGATCCTGGAGACCCTTGGCTAGGGCGGCGGCGGCGGTTGTTGTGTCTACGAGCAAGACAGTCAGTACCAAAGGCGTGCGATTCGATATCGTATGTCCTATCCTTACCATAAGTTTGAATTCTCAAGTTCATCTTATCCTCGGAGGGATGGGGGATAGCATATGCGCAAAACTCAACATCAGGACTAGAATAATAGTTAGCCAGGCATCCCCAAGACAGAAGGTAAAAATCATACTTCTTCATGATGATATAACGCAGAGCATTGCCAAGGGTGTGGCCCTCCTTGAGGAATTCGAAGGAAGCCGCCGTCTCGGATGATCCAGGAAGCTATGTCCAGTTGCCCATTAGCAACATATCTACCATGGCGATTCACGAGGCTTCACGCTTACAATCCTAACTCGCTGGGGTTCCTCTTCTTCCTCTTCAGGATCGGCACCTTCGGACCCGTCCTCCTCCATAGCATCGTCATTCTCTTCTTCGGTAGGCCTCTGCGCTGAGGTAGGAGCGTCGTCCATGGAAGTGTCTACCTCCTCGGGCGCATCATCGCGGGCCTTTGTTCGTCCAGGCATTTTCTGTGAATTGAATCGGAAGCGTATTGTAACGTCGCAAGAGAGGTGAAATTAGTGAGTAATTTGTATCGTTTGTACGTAACGTCCAACGTCCACCGTCCACTGGCGAAACTACGCTGTTCAAGAATTTTGGCGGGGTCTGGTAGGTACCGATCAAGCTCTGAACAATAAAATTTCTAGGTTCAAGGCCAATTGCCTCAAGGACACCGCTGATTGGTTGCCCTAAGAAACTAAGAATTATAATGGTCCGATGATTTTCCGCTCATCCTTATGGATAAATTAATTACTTAGGTACTTTTACTTTTACATTCACCAAAGTCAAACTTCGTCAAGATGTTCAGAGTTCACTCAATGCCACCATAAAACAAGATAAAACAAAGGGCATTAAAATGATAATCATCAAGAATCTAACGCTGCTACATTAAGTGGACTCTATACATTCAAATCGAGGCTTTTCCGGATCAACATAGTACTATATTCCCACATGGCTCGCGCATATTCCCCAACTAAATTACCGTCTCAAACCATCCGCTATTGAGGAGCCAGCTTCGGTCCACACGGGCTTATGCGCAAGTGGCAGATCGTAAATGAGCCATATTCCTTTGGATTCGTGGGAGTTGAAATTCTCTGAAAAACACGGCTCGTTTTCCGTTGTATCCTAGTACGGATTGGTCATACGTAGGACGGTTAGGTTCGGCAGCAATGACTCGGACGCTGCATAGAGGTAGCTTAAATTGCGGCTGCTGTCCCTCGACGGCATCGATAGCTTCCTGAATTCGTCGTTCTAAGATCCGATTTCTTACTCTTGGTTCGACGAAGACCGCGTCCGAGCTGTAGACAGGATTCCTATCGTCGCTGACGAAGGTGAGATGTTCTATGTTAACGAAATACCGATGTGCTTGGCATAGGGTTTGTTTAAACGTTAGTTTATTGGCTCCATCTCTCCGATTATTAGAGCCGGTATATGTTATGAGCCCTTCGCTGATAGCGATACGACGGACTTGGCCCAGATCTTCTTGTCGGACTAGGGAGACGAAGGTATGAAACAGCGTCTCTGCAGCTGCAATTCCCCGCCTTGGACCGAAATAGAGCGTGTCTCTCAAGGGCTCAAAGAAAATACGGCCAGGCTGCGGGGAGGAGCCGAATAAAAGTCGATATTTCTTCAACGCCTCGTTTCTGGACTCCCGACATACATGCAGATTGGTCGGAATAGGAGATGTGGATGTACAAACAACGGGTCTACGGTCGCCCTGTTGCGGCTGAGATGTCTGAGCAGATTCGGTGCTGCATTTTATCTCCACGATACGCGGTCCCGGAAGGTTGTAAGCCCATATCTTGAATCGAAGCTCAATGGGAAGCTTGGCAAAAAGGTGCTTGGATTTTTGTCAGCACTTGTTTGCATTTTGATCCCATCAAAGCTTACGAAAACTTGGGTGCATTCTGTCGTGACTGCCGAGATCTTATTACTACTATTATGGACAGCCATGAGTGTCAGGTTCTCAGAGCGAGGTGGTGTGCTAATAATGATGATAGGGTCCCAAGAGAGCGGTTGAGCGTGGCGCCGAAACCCAGACTTCTGGTAAGTGGGAAAGGTGCATCGGCTGAAATGTGTTCGGGAGGGAGGAATGGACAAAGAAGTGACTGCCACGTACATATAGGGACTTAAGCTATTTTCTCCCGATCCACAAAGACGGATATCGCCAAGGTCACAAAGAGATTATTCGGCAAAGCAAGCAGCATACCAACGATATCGGGCAAAAGAGTAACACGGGTCGGTTAGGCGTGGTGATACTTGCGCTTCGTCCTACCATATTCGTGTATGTACTCGTGGCTCGTCGAGATCCCCATCACAAACACTCCTTGCCTTCATATGAGCAGGGTCTTCTCACCAGCGGGGAAAAAATCACGGCATCGGTCTTCAGAGCCACCCCACTGGGAATCTACCGATAAATCGATCCTCCAGATTACCAGATATAGACAAAGTTTAGCGTGGCCGAAATGGGTCCACCTCGACCCGACAGTCCGGATCCAGCACATCAAACTTGTCTTAAATAGGAAATTTGAGAACTTACATGCTTAGTGGTTTGTTACGTACCTAGGTACGGCCCCTTCATGATGAACAGTCAAATCTCACCGGCGGAGAAGAGTTCCGTAATGGGAAACTTTACGAGGCTGTTGTGTATCCCGAGATGCTGGGGCTCGAAGCAGTCACAGTCATGTCCTCCCATAAGGAACACAGATGGAGTTACAGCTTGCCTAGCCTGCGTTTTATCACGCATGAGGAAGTCCTTTTCCGGGGAAAAGAAGACACGTGAGAGGAGAGCGGTGTCTGTATGGAACTCTAATTCGTCTATTTGTGCCGCAAATGATCACCTTCGAAGCACTCGAGTGGTTACAGAAGTGGTGGTCTGCCACACGGGTGCGAACCCGCCTCCCTGTCGTCGTCATTCAAGCCTGGCTGGTACTCGACATAATAATCTTGCTTTTACCCTTTGTATGGTACCGAGTTTGAATGCGTCCTAACGAAGAGTCCGGCATATGGATCCATGGAGTTGGTAATCCCAATGGCCAGCGGAATTCTGCAAGCTAGTCGCTCGGTTCCATTCTGTTGGTACCTAGTGCTCAATAAACCTCGGCTTACCTACTTGATACGTACGTATATTTTGGGAGATCTGAGACCCTGACTTCATGGCTACCTAGGTATGGCATACCGCCTCTTGTTATCGAATAAGTCAGGGATATTCCACGTCATTGATTTGCAGATTGATTGTCTCTTGAAAACATCCCAAGTGCATTGCGATTTAATACGCGTAAAGTAAATAGTTAATTATATGGGAAGCAAACTACTCTAAGTATGAAGGCAAACGTTTGGGCTACTCAAGACGTAGGTAGAAGGTGATCCTATCTATAGCTACAGCTAAAACATACGTCAAGACAATTTACCCAGATGTTCCTGTCTGCATAATCTTGATTTCCCATGCCGTCTAGACGTTTGCGCAAAACTGAGTATGGATACCCTTGATGATCAACCAGATTATCTTCAAGGTAATCCTGTACATATACCGACATGCCAAGCTAACTCCCTGCTCCCATCACTTCTCTGGAACTTTTCGAGAATCCTCCCCTTGCAGCGCACCGAGGTCACTTGACCTATCGCGTTGAGATGAAAGCAAACCCCATACTATAGAGTGCTTGAGTGCATAGACTAGAGGTAATTTACAGTCACTATGATAAATAGTAGGCTATAAACTGATCCACGTCAGGCAATGAAAGCAGACGTCAATCGTGCCCCACTACGCAAGCCGTTTTGTGATCAATATATCGGTGGCTACTACTTGACATATGCATGAGAGACCCCTTACGTTGTTGGTGTATATAACGGAGGCTTCGGAGTGTGAAGGATAGAAGGGATTCGAGGCTGGAGGTCTCGGACCCGAGACATCTCTCCCAGTTATTAGGAAAACTTTATATGTATTACTATGGAAACATCACCCGCCCCAAGTTTCCATTCGGATGATATAAACTGGTGCAGACTAATTGCTAATAATATGTTTTGGCATCTATTTTTGTTGGACAAGAGTTTCGTTGTGAAAACTACGAGCGTCTACTATGTCATGCCAAGCAACAACATGTATGAGTCCTGCGATTCGAATGACAGATCCCTTATACATGTGAGGTAAGAGAGCAAAATACCCCTTTAATATGCAGAAAGCCCTCAATTGTGTTACTCTGCTAAAAGAAAAAAAGGTCTGCCACGAGTCTTCTCCTAGCAACATACTAGAGGAAACCGGCATAGATGCCCAAGACGCCTTAAATTCCTTTGGAGACAGACTTGAACTGTTCCCCCCCACACCAATATCTCCGAATGTCGTGCATTCGACTTGGCCTTCGACCCAACCAGTCAGCCGTTTACCAGACCCTAAAGCATTGCATCTAGATATGCAAATAGGTTATCCAACCTAAGCTTAGAACTCCACACGAAATTAGAATCTTTTATCCCTCCCGGCCAATACAATTCCCAGCTTTGACTAACCATCGCAAGGAACGGATCTCAGGCGAGACAAGCCCAAGGTAGCATCCGTTAGCGCTACGTCCTCTCATTGGCCGAGCGTGCCCCCCACTTCCCCGTGCCTGTAAGCGCCCGCGATGGTCTAAATTAAGGCCAGAACCCTGGCCGGGCGTTCCCTGGACCAATCCGCCGTGATCTCCTCCCGGATCTCTCTACGCTGTACCAAGATTCTTTGCTGAAGGACCCCGGCATCGAGCTTCCCGTCACACGCGTCTGGCGCCACGCCCTTTGGCGGGCTACTACTTAGTATCGCTGTCAGGGTGTGAATTATGTACGAGGGTATCACCCGCACTGCTATCCTTAGGACTCTGCATGGCGGAAGCGCTCTGCTAGCTCTCTGATGTAGGGAAGGGTCCATGCAACTAGGTTCTAGACGGCATCGCTTCGTCGATTATAGTCGACGTATATTCATTACATATTTGCCGTTCTCGCCAGGTTTGTAGATTATCTCTTGCTTCGATATCTCGTTATACGATAGCTGCTCTTGTCTGGGCTATCTGTTTCCTTTCTTCGCTGTTTTGTTTCGTTTTCTCTGTTCCGTTTCGTTTGATTATAGTTCTCGTTTCTGTATTGTCGTCCTTCTGTGAGGGTTGAAACAGATCGCTATATATATACTATACTATATTCTGTCACTCTCTCGGTCCGTCTATCTCTACGTCGCCATGTCTTCCGAAAACAAAGGCCCGGTTCTCCCGAGTTACTCCGAGTTCGACCCTCATGATCTCGAGTACCGGAGGTATATGAAAAAGATTTATTTGGTTGATAACGCCCGCGTCGGTCTCACCGGATTCGCCCTTCTCTGTGGTCTGACTATCCTTGGCACTTCTGCCGATACTCTGGCCGTATACAATGCAACTCACCTATCGGGCGATTTTCACTTGCCATTATGGCCCGACCAATTCGATATCCGACCCACGATAGCACTTGTTATCGGTAGTAGTATCGTGGTCTTCTCCCATATCGTATCCCTGATATTCAGCAAGGTCAAGATGGTAAGTGCAACCTCATCGATAGACCTGTAATGAATCCATTCATGCTAATATTCTCCAAGCTTCGCAATCGGGCCGCTGTTCATACGTCCTTATCTATGACTGCGCCATTCATTGGCTTCACAGCTGTTATGATTAGCATGATCTTCTTCTACGCTGTCAACACTTCGGTCACGGATGACACGCTTCAGAGCTGGAGTTGCCAATGGAAAGTGGCGAGTATGAGCACGAAGCCACACTTTGGTACATTGTGCGACGAAAGCCGGACAGCCTTATACCTATCTGTCATATTGGTACCGGTCGAACTGATTGTCTTCACTGTCGCCGGCTATCAATCGATCCTAGAGAGGAAGTCGATTGGTGCGATGTCGTCTCGCAAGGCCGGCAGCCCCACGCCGTCGTCGTAGGGCTCTATCAGATTCTAGGCAGCTTTAACCCGGTTCTAAATCTATACAGGGTCGCATGTCAAGCCTTATAAATGAAGACGACCCCCATGCTCGTCTATCGGAGCCGGGATAAGCTCATGAGGGTAGATAAGGTGCGCAAGATGGGATGCGAAGCGACAAGTGTAGCCGGATTGTGGTTGTGATATGTATAAGAATTGTAACGGGACATGAGGGAGGTGTGGCGATGCAATTGGCGTTATCATGAGTCGGTTCTGCGTGTTGACGTTCTAGGTCACCTCGCTATATATATCAGGGACAGACTGATTGGTGCAATATGTCGGATCTCGGTAGCCCATAATAAGATTTAATTCGGAATTCACCGTGTTCTTTGAAATAAGTGATAAAGATGGTCTCGGATATGCGAAAATAAATTAACACAGCCATCGTGTAGGCGGAAACCTGCGGCTCTAGCTTGCGAGGTGCTTATTTGCGATAAGAAAGTCTCCAACTATAGATGATCAAGATGCCACTCTTACAAAGGCGACCGGCGGAATTGTCTAGGGGGTTCTCTCCGACCACTTATCCGGGGGTTCGACATGACGGTGGTGATTTCCAATACTTCCTGCTTCCACCAAGGAATGCTCTCTCATTCCGCGGCAGAGAATGTCGCTTTCCTGATTGCTATTAAATCGATGGCCGGATGCAAGCGGCCAGAACGGGTAGCGGCGTGGTAACAGCGTGGTAGCACGGGGTGGTGCTTGTACACCCTTAGATGGCTATCTTGGCCTGCTTGGTACCATGTTTTACTTAGATCCCGCTTGTCGTGTGCTCCGTGCCACAATCAACTCATAAAAGACTGTTGTTGTAAGCAGTGAAAATCGAGTTGGAGATTGGGAACATTAAAAATTGAGACTCGATCACATGCGAATGAAAACTACCTAAGAAACAGCAATTGCCCTGAGATGATATTTGATATTGGTGAGGGTAAGTGCAAGTGCAAGACAAGAAAGGAGTTGCTGCTGCCAACCCGGCGATCGGTACCTGCCTCATGCAGCCTGACGACAGCCTGCTTAACTTTATTGAAGTCGAATTCTAAGGAGTTCCAAGAAGTGGTGCAAACGGGCCAAATACACGCTCAACTTCCCCTTTTATTACTACATCCCGTCGGAGTCCCCATTTGGCACTGGACGTCCAATTCGACCAGCTCAACCCAATTCAACTAGTTTCGTTGAACTTCAGCTGTCTATACTACCAACGGCACCATCTTACGATAAAAATAAGAGCTAAGGGTAGCTGACCAACGCCCGCTTTGGTTTTATCCTATAGATCAAAGGGCTCCACGCCCACGACCCAGTCAGAGGCGAGAAAAGGTCTGGGTCGATATCCCCTTGCCCAAAATAGACAGGTCCGCCTCCACGTCTATACAGCCCAACACCAATACGAGTTACTACGTGCACTAGGTTGATGCAAACTGTATCCGCCTGGACGGATTGCGAGCAATCATTGTAACCAAAAGGCACACATTCGCTTGCGAATAACCATACTTGGCAGGACATAAGACAGGCCTACTTGATCTATCATACACCCTAACGCGTGTGTAACCATGGCCCGGCCAGACTCCTTGCCAGCGAGGCTCCCTCGTATAAACCCTCCTTCTACAGGTAACAATCATTCATCCGCCGCCCATAGTGCTTCATTTGCGCAACGAAAAGTCCAGCCTTCACGATCATCAAAAGTGCATATTGTCGAGGGTAACAAGATGATGCGCGATATTGATCGTCCTCCGCCCGGCGACCCCACGGGTTCTCGAAAGTCCCAACTGCATCCGGAGCTCAGTAAGAAACGGAGCGCTTATTGGGAGAATGAATTTGCGGCGGCCAACCGGGATCCGGACCCGGTCCGGGCTCGCATACAGAACGAAGCCATCGTCATGGCTGATTTACGAACGAACGTCATCGTGAGTTTTTACGGACCACACCTTTGAGCTAACGTACTAATACGGCATTATAGATCAAGGACGAGTTCTCTTTCATAACAGATCTTTCATATCACTTATCCAACAGATATCAGCGGCCAATATCTTCTATCGTCATCAACCTGAACCATGGCTGCTGCATGATGTTTGGTGGTTCCTTCGACCCGGCGTACACCTTGACTATCCATGCACTGCCAAGTCTAGTTCAACCTACGACAAACAAGAGGAACGCGGCACTCATCCAAAAGCACATACAAGAGACCTTAGGAGTCGTAACATCTAGGGGATATGTGCGTTTCGTCGCTACTTCCGAGGAGAACGTCGCCGTTGGGGGCAAGACGATTGCTGCTGAAATAAATGAATCGAACAACGCTACGCCCGATGAGAAGCCTGCCGAGATTAGAAAAGGTGCCAAGTCAAACCGAAGGATTGGTGTTAAGGTAATTATTATTACCCTTTCCTTGGCCGCCTGATATGAATCGGATAAATGGACGGATTGCTAATATTATAGTAGTCTTTTGGGAGCTTTAGAACAGCTTCGATGTCGGACCTTACGAGAGTCCCTACGCCACCCCCGAGCACCTCAGACGAGACTACACCCATTACGACTATTCCGGAGGTGCCTCCTACGCCCCCTGAAGAAGACAAGTTGGGCGAGCTCGTCGAACAGAAACCGATCAAGACAGCGCCGCGTCGCAAAAGTCTACGGTTCAGTCTGTTTAGTGGCAAGACGGCGGCGTAGATTTGAACGACCCGAGGTCGTCATGGATTTTACATGGGGCTGGATCTTACTACTAATACAGCCTCACCATCATTCGGCTACTACAGAAATCATGTTATTCTGATACGCAATCTGATTAATGGAGCGACGGAACATAAGTCAGCATATATCGCATCGCATCGCTTAGAGCCTTGCATCGGTGTTAGGAGTTGGTACCTTGGAGAATAAGCATCTTGTTGCTTGGGACACAATATCCTTGTCATTTCCTTCATGATCGCTCGATGAATTATGACTAATGTATGAGTTACTCATCGGCCATACTGCATAGATACTCGTTTAATGAAGATGTATTGTGACGGAGCACCTATTGTTAATTTGAACAAACTTCACCAAGGCTTTGGCAAATTTCCACATTATAAAGGGGGTCCAGGGACACCGATGCTTTGTTTGTGTAGGGTGAGTTGATAAGAGCCTTTGCACCTAGGATGAGTGCCGTTGATGAATCTGGTGCATGAATAAGTTGGTCGTGGTGATAGATTGGCGTAGACGTATAATCCTGCGAGTTCAATACTGCTGCTTCCGTCTGATCTCGCCCATCTTATATAAAATACAAGATGAAGATATCTAGAATACAGCACCGGATTCGGTGAGGTCCCGTGAGCGTCGGAAATGGAGTTGGGAACTGGGTTTTACGGCCGAGTGTGACATGACCCGAGACAAGCGATAGTATGCCTTTCAAGTGGCGATGAAACATTTGCGCCATCCGCCTATTAATGACCCCCAAAATAAGACGTTGCTATTTCCAGTGTCTCATTAAGTCGGTTGATTAGTGACTCAAGCTTACCTCCGAGTTTTCTAATACGATCCATGGATGTTTTTGACTTGCTGTTGATCCTGCCATCTTCAAATTGGACAGTTCAATCTTGATTCATGAGAAGGAGTGAGTCTTACAATTGTTAGCATTAAATGATGAAGTGGTCGTTGTCGTGAGAGCCTAACCGCTTGTTAAGTTGTAAGACTACCTAGTAGGTAGGTACTATCCAAACATTAGTTGAAGGAGGAATGAGGGACGAGTACATACGATTTGGGTGAGATGCATGGATAAGCTTATGAATATGGATACCTCATGTTCGCACTTGCCAGTTGTAGTTGTATCAAATCAACTGAGTTAGCAGCTGCAAACGTGGGGTTAACAGCTGGCTCTAACATCGTACTTGTGCTCCGTCAACTCCACCTTAGATTTCTCCCACCTTTCACCTTGCTCACTATTATTTCCAATGAAAGTCAAAGGAAGCCAAAGCCCTCCTTACCTTTCCATGCTTTATATGCGGCAGGGCTTTACGTCTTCCCTTACTCTGCCAAGGAGTCCTATGACTTCTCGGGATCTGCTCATATTAATCTGGCGCGACACGGTGTTCAATTAATTCAATTGATTTCGGGATCGAAAGCGTCACTTCAAAGCCCGTCGACATTGAACATTCGACTTTCAACGTTGGTGAAGCAAAAGAACAGAGCTGAATGACCTACCTAGGTAAAGGGATCATACCGACCAGCCCTCGCCATCCCTCTACCGAAATACCCTACCGACGTTGTGCACCTCCGCCTGCTATTCCTTTGCCGCTATTTATTGCAACCGCTGGACGACGAACACAGCAGACGATCATCATTGGTGCGACGGGTCCAGGTCGAGTCAGCCCGCGCCAGCCTGTTGGTTCAAGTCCAGCAAAATCATTCGCCGCCGCATAGAAAGCTGACTCAGAATTCCTCATCCCACAGGTCAAAGTACGACTTCAAGCGGACACAACGTTCGCTCTAGTCGATACGGGGAACGGGACACGGGTATTCCCACCAAGTTCCTTTTGCTCTATCCGTCTTCCATGTCGCGGAGGAGGGGAGGATAGGGCCGCCGCGCGTTTGATTACCCTCTAGATCACCCTCTAGTTATACTCGCAACATGGAGGTGAGACATTGACTTTGCTTTATTTTCCTTCTTTCACTCTTTTCCCAGCTATTTCCTTGATTATAAATACATAAAAACGTCATTCGAGCTGGCGTTGCCTAGTGGCACAAAAAGCACCGCCGCGTATCATCGCCGACACTTTTCGGGGAGGTCAACCATCATCAATCGAGGGCTATGAATACTCTGTGCCAGTCAGATACTTCGGGCGCTTCTATAAATTTCTTCCCTCTTACCATACCGCGTCTGACACGCAGTTATGGTTTGCAGTGGTCATATCGGGTTTAAAAGCGCATTATCGCCATCGTTATTTTCATTCTCATCACCTGGGCATAATTACCTAGGCAGACACCGGGTCAGGTACGCGGTCGAGCTTGCAAACGGAGGGATCATTTATCCCAATTTACCATATACCCGAAAGCTGCCTGGATGGAAACCTAGCCCGAACTGTTTGATTTGTACGACGGTGAGATCAGCAATGAAATCATCGCGCCCCTTCTTACAGATTACCAGGAGCAATATGCCCTGTTTTGATCCAGCTGAACGCCCCAGATCCGTCGCCTCTTCCCGTTATGAAATTTGATATATTCCTGGGCGATTTCGCACACATGCAGCCACCCACTCAGACGTCGCAATCTCTGACCGCTGTGATCTTGCATTCCCCTACCCGGACCCTTGGATTCGGCAACCTCGTTTGCACATTGGCTCATTAGCTAGCCTAATAGCTTCTAGCCTCTCAAAATCTACCGCCAAGTCGCAAACCACGAGCCTACTGAATTGGAAGGTCGTCTGAAATTCATTAGGAATATTGACTCTTTCGTATCGTCCAGCAGAGATGAACCAGGGAACAATTTCATAGGTATTCATACGAGGAGCTCTTCCGCCCTCACCGGCTCGACTCTTGATGTACCCGGACCTAATTTTTCTTATTGATGGGCGTTCCCTTAATGTCGTTTTATCTCATTTGACCTCCTTTGTGTTATCGTCATGTCATCCCGGCTTCGTGGTGTAGACGCCTTTGATCCTGAGGATACCCCGGAACAGCTAGGCGGAACGCCGTCCAGTCCTTCCAGTCTCGCGCAGCTAGCTCTGACACGTGTATATGAACAGGACCAAAGACAACGTAAAAATGGCCCGAGGGCGCCTGAACAACCTCCGGATCTGCCAACAAAAGGGAAACCTAGGTTGCTCCTAATGGGGCAGAGAAGGTGGGTCTTTATACGCCCTGGGTATCGGACGGTTGGGCTAATCTTGCTGCAGGAGTGGCAAGTCCTCGATATCAAGCGTAGTATTTCATAAATTACCACCAAGCGAGACCTTGTTTCTCGAGTCAACAGCGCGAATCCAGAAGGACACTATGCCGTAAGGACTCGGTGGCTTATACGAGTATGATTTCCGTTCTTCTGACGTACTCATAGGTCGTTCATGGATTTCCAAGTCTGGGACTTTCCGGGTCAAATCGACATATTTGACAACCCAACATTCGACATCGATGCAATGTTTGGTGAGATCGGCGCTCTGATCTGGGTTATCGATGCTCAGGATGATTACCTGGAGGCCGTAGCACGTCTGAATGAGACGATATTAAACCTTCAGCGGACATACCCGAACATTAAAATCGAGGTCTTCATTCATAAGGTAGACGGCTTATCGGATGACTACAAGTTAGATATCCAACGAGATATCACTATACGAATCCAGGACGAACTTTCGGATCACGGGTTTGAAAATGCGCCTGTCACCTTTCACCTGACTAGTATTTACAACCACAGCATATTCGAGGCATTCAGCAAGGTCATTCAGAAACTTATTCCTCGTCTGGGAATTCTCGAGGCGATGCTTACTAACCTTTGCCGAACTTGCCGTTTCGAAAAAGCCTACCTTTTCGACGTCTTGTCAAAGATTTACATCGCGACGGATAGTGAGCCAGCGGACATGGCGAGTTACGAGATATGTTCCGATTATATTGATGTCATAATAGACGTCACGGAAGTGTACGGTAGCTGGCCTCGAACTCAACGATATCGCGAAGCTCTAGAAGGGCCGCCATGGAATCAGAAGATAGAGGACCAAGTGGCTTCGGGTTGTGCCGAGAGCTGCATGGTGTTAAGCGATGGGGACAAGCCCATAATACTACGCGAGGTCGACAAGTATCTCGCTCTAGTTGCGATTATGAAGGAAGGCAGTTATGACAAAATGCCGCTTGTTAACATGAACGTTGAGGTGGTGGTGCAAGGATTGAAGGAGTTCTTCGAGATTACCAAACCGAAATAAGCATCGGCCTAATTTAGGTTGAGTTGTTGGCTTGGAGCGAAGGAATCTAATGCTGGCGCGGTCGGTAGCGGTACCTATGGAAATACTTCTAGTGGACAAGGAACCGTCCACGTTTATTCAGGATCAATGCGGCAGTCTACGGTTCACGTCATTCGCCTTGGCACACGTGCCTGATCGAATCTCCGATGACGGTGGACGAAGGCACTTCAAACCCTGGCGCTCTATTAAAACCATAACTTGAATATAAAAATTCATTTTCTTGAAAATATATGCATCGCATGTGCTCAATGCCTGTCTTAACGAGTCGCTAGTATACTGGCTGCCGTGATCCGAAATGTAGCATTGTTCTGTGCCGCCAATCAAATGAGTCAATTAGAAAGCGTGCTTACGGGTGGAATAAGGCTCGTCAAGCTTCCCTGTTATCATGGCGGTATTCGTATGTAAATTTGATTGCCCTTCTGCGCCTCTTTGCGCCTCTTTGATCGGCGGCTGTCAGACATATTTATAGCAAGGTTGTTGTCTTTCATTCTCAAATTTTGAAGGTATCACACAACATGTTCAAGATGCGCGGCTCTTCCATACTCTGCTGCTTAGCAGCATCCGCATCCGTATCGGCAACCCTCGCCACCGCCGCCGGGAACGCAAACTCGCTGGCCCAATTCGCGCTGCAGAAGGTGCTGCAGGACGGCCGGGACGTGTTCGGCGAGTACACCGCCGCTTCTACTTCTTCTTCTTCTTCCAACGCGTCGGAGCCCAGGTTCGCGAACTGGATGGCGGCGCTGCCGGACTCGACGCTGCTCTCGCACGTCAACATCCCCGGCACGCACGACCAGGCCACGTGGAACTACACGCAGGCGACGCAGGACTTCCTGCGCAACGCCACGCGCTGCGACGGCACGACGGCGTACCCGGCGCCCGTGTACCGGTGCCAGCGCGAGAGCATCGCGCAGGCCCTCGATAAGGGGATTCGGTTCTTCGACCTGCGGTTCGCGGCGGATCCGCTCGGTCAGAGGCTCGTGTTCTGGCACTCGGCGGCGCTGGTTAGCGCGACGGCTAGCGTGGGGGATGTGTTGTACGGGGTCTGGGATTGGTTGAGCAGGCATGGGTCCGAGACGGTGCTGTTGAGTTTCCAGCATGAGGTTGGGACGGTGGCGAATGCGACGTTCGATGCGAGGGTGCAGGGCCTGATGAGGGAGGCGCTGACGGGGCCTGCGGCTGAGGCGTTTGTTTGGCAGGGTAGGGGGTACGTGCCTACGCTTGCGGAGACGAGGGGGAAGGTGGTGTTGGTTAGGAGGTTTGATATGGATGATGATAATGATGCGGGCGATGGGAAGGGAGAGCTGCCGGGTCTGCATATGAGCCCGAACAAGTGGAATGTTAATGATACGAACGGCTTCGCGCTGGTGTTCAACGAGACGACGAACGCGACGGCGTATATCGAGGACTACTACGAGCCGGACGTGCTGGGCGAGAACTCGACGGTCGTCAGCAATATCGACGCCAAGATGGTCGCGGTCAAGGCGAACTTGGAAAAGGCGGCGAGCGGCGAGGATCCGGATAGCTTGTTCATCACGTTTGCTTCGGCCGAGCATGACTCGAATATCCCGCCCGTCGTCCCTGAGACGATGGCGCTGGGGAACGGGACGGAGGTTACGCCGGACGGCGGCGTGAATCATCAGCTTGTGAGCGTGCTGAAGGGGTACAGGGGCAAGAGGTTGGGGGTTGTGGTGTTGGATTTCTTCGACGAGCCGGAGGACTTGGTTGCGCTTGTACTGGGGGATCAAGTCTAGGGAAAGGGATTACTTTCATAGTGTGTCCGTCTACGCCATGTTATGCGGAAGGCTTGATGGACTTATGATTTATACTTATTTATTAGTGATAATTAAGGTGGTTTGGTTGGGTATAGATCGTACCGTTCTGTACTCGATTGACTGCCGCTCTTTCCAGAAGACTACCATATTGAATTGGATGACAGTTGAAGGTCTAAATCTGCGTGTTGGTTTCCATGGTCATTGTGGATGATTTATAGTCTACATATCAACTCGTCTAGATTTCTCATGAGAGAGAAGACTTTTATATTGAAGTGATAACTCATACGTAGTCTATCCAAGTGTCTAGCTAAGCTGTCTGTTTACGTACGTAGCAGGTACCTACTTTGTCCATAATTATGAACTAGAATCAAGGTGTGAGAAGCATACGCTCGACATCCCAGCGAATTTCACTACAGGTTCGTGAATACCGATCCGATCAGGTCTGATACGAAGGCCATACATAAGGAACGATCTTCGGATGTAATATCAGCGTACCTTGACTACGAAGTTGATCTCATAAATATGAACTTAGATGGATATAATATGAAGTACGACGAATCATGTACCTCATGAAACTAGTTACACCCAGCTTAATCCTCCAAGCCCCCTTTTCACTCTCATCTAGGCGGCCGTTTTCGTGGAAAAGCCTGAGAGTATAGGGTTGATTCCCGTAGAGGTCCAGTTTCTATAACGAAAAGTTCAGGTTTGATGTAGTATATATGGCTCTCAACAAAGGAGGATACATAGGGAGGTATGTAGTGCAGGAGTTGGGAGTAGGCTGAGGCTCTATAGATTCGCCAGTACTCGAGAGCTTTAGGATCCATTGAGGCTCGCGCATGCTTCCCTCTTGCTGACATACTTTACAAAGTACGAATTGGAAGTTACAGTGCCCTATGAAAGGGATGTTAGTAGCTCCTTTGATTGATAGAGAAAATACTGATCTCGAAGTGTGGTGTAAAAGAGCGCTCCATTCAGACTTCTGCTCGATAAAGGTAATACGGCCAAGTGTTCATCGTAGAGAAATAACGGGGCAATCTCTCTATTCCCTAGAATGGACTTAACCACGAATTCGTAGTTTTGAAAGCAGATCGCTCGAGTGGGAAGCTCCAGTTGTGCTCTTGCCTAGGTACGGCGAGCGCAGTAAAGAGTTCGGCACCTTTAGGCGTCGTATAGTAGCGGTGCAATTTGCTGGAAAATATCGATTTCCCCTTAGTCCTGCAGCTCTCATCTTAGATTATGCTTCCTGATTCCGGAAACCCACCGGATTGTGAAATGACGATGTTTCAATCTTTCCACGTCCGTCCTAATCACCGCAAGTCGTAAAACTGCTATCTTTCCATCCGTCATAAAACTTACATAGAAATCAATTGTCATCAAAACCTTCAGATTTCTAATCATATGGTCAGAGGTTGTGGCGAAAATTCGAGAGATTGTGTTGCAAAATACGATTTTCATGCGACCGGCTCGGTCCGTTTAATTGTCATCTTGCTAAGAAGGTATCCGATCTTTATATTAAACTTGTGATAACGTTATGGTATTTGGAATTCTTCCAGCCGAGAACGACACGTCCGGACACGAATATAGCGGCCCGGCTCACCGGTTCTCAGGAATAGAGCCGTGAAAAGGGGTTCGCTGCATGCGCCGTTAAGTCCATGGCATTGGTGCGAGAACCTCCCGGCCGTGTACCTAACAATGTCGATTTCGCTTTCCAGATAAGCCTCGAACGCAAATAATCTCTACATTTGCCTATATTACCCTGCGTCGAGTGTGCCTTTGATTGATGCGCCAAGTCCAATATGACGATATCACCAACAAGGAGAATGTATGAAACTGCAACGTCTACGACACCCCCACTCCGTGAAAAATCAACTTTGGTATTCTAACAGAAACGAGGTTGGTTTGTCTGTCCTAAAAATAATGAGGATAACACAAATTGTTGGGAGCTGGCAACCGGGTCTGAGATGTCTGCCTTACTGACATCATTTTATTTTATATTTAGGCAAATGGTGGCGAATTCTTTCGAACAACAATTCTTGCGACGAGATGTCGCCTAGGATCGTGTGATTTTGGAGCTAGGGAGATAGAGTGCGCGAAATCAAGAGAAGGTAACTAACTAAACCTCCGAATAGATGCTTAAGTGTCTGGGCATGAGCCAAGACATCTCTATTATAAGGTGCCGACGCAGGTACCGACAAAAGATACTCCGGCCATAATTTTACCTAGTAGTAGCTGGCGGGAACCAGGAGTGACGTTGAAACAAACAACCCGGAAACCGGGGTAGACGTCGACGATTTTTACTTGAGAAGTCTAGAACACATCGTTAGACTCGGGCTACTATTATCACGTAAATTTGGAACTCCCAAAGCTAGCTCTATTGTGGCATAGTCACATATCGGGTCGGATTAGAAATTCGGTAAATGTTGCGGCGCCGGCTGAGAATTCGACGTCCGAGGAGGATTCGATACGATTGAAAACGGGCTAGTAGGGAATAGGAATAGAAAACGAAAGCAACTAGAATTTGCCAGGATGTATACGAGTTGTCGTCCTATGGGTTAGAGACTTTCTAAAGAGTCCTTAATTTGATGAAATGCATCAATTAGAGAGGAGGGATTGGTAATAAGGCAAACATGCTGTGGTATAGATGCATCTCCAGCCTTGCGCCCTGGTCTGGGGTACTCGAGGATAGTCATCCTTCAAGTCCGTAGTCTTCGTCGATCGTGAAGCTAATATCATGGGACAAAAGATCCCAGTTTGCCTTAGGAATCAGAATACCAGGTTAGTCATAGCGTGGAGGTTTGTCAGTTGTCGAATGGTGCAGATGGTGATGTTGATCAAAACGTGTGGATTGTTGATTCTCAAGTTGTTGTTGTTGGAACATTGGGACTATTGTAACCTTGTTTCTCGTTGGTTCGACTTAGGAAGTTTAACTGTTTAAGCGAAGCTGAGCCGCTGAGAGCGACACGAGAGCGACATGGAAAGAACAACTCAAGTGGTCAGTGCGCATACCGTCTAGCCGTCTTTCCGGAACTGGACCTAGATGATTCCAAACTTTCCTTACCTTCTATGCGCCTCCACCATGCGCACCATGCGGCATCTCTCCAACTTCACACTTTGATTCATGGAGATCAACAACTAACATCACTTTCCTACATCACAATTTCCGATTTTTCTCAGAAACGCGAATACCGAAGTCTCACACTCTCCACCCGGAAATAAGACGTACGTATATGTTCCAGACGCGTATACACGTGATACAAGCGAGACCCTCATCCCTTGACCGAATACCTCATTTGATGTGAGACGGGCGTTGACGCCCATGCCCACGCCCACGCCCACTACGGTCAGTACTGTGTACTTACAAATACACTATCATCTGGGCATTCTTTATTACGCATCTGTTGTTGGACAGCTATGAATATGCCAAGTATGTCGAATAAGCCGAATATCATACCGACACAGCACCATTGTGACGATAGCCCACCGGGGGTAACGAAGATCTTAGATCGAGTCTTTTACGTCATTTAGGGTGTGTAGATGGTGGGAAGTCTTTCGATACGCTTCCTCTTGGAAGAGGAATATTAACGAGACATGTGGCTTGCCACCTGCAGTCCACCACTTCCCACTAATATCAGCCATTTTATACCGAAGGAACCAAATAATTGTTTACTCGAGGCAATAACGTACGTGAGAATAAGCGTAGATAGTCATCTCAAGTACGGTCCGGATAACGTGGACCCGCCGGAGTTTCCACTGCAGCATGTCTTGCTAGCTTACCATTCGCAATACTACCCGTGCAGAGGTAGGTATCCATTCAATTTCATGCAAGTGCCGAATTTTCACCATCCTTGCAGGGATAATGCCCGTCGTTGCAACGACAATGGCCCTCTCCTAGCGCCTCATCGAAGCTTGGAAAGCATCTCTCATGATATCTCTCCCCAAGCCGGGTAATAATCCAATAGCAGTTCTACTGAACTGTGACACACAAACCACGCATGCAGTTGACGACTATGGTGCCAATGCAACCATGCATGGTTTGTGTTCTTCAACGGTCAGGACGGTGAGCTACAACTACTTAGGTAGACACAAGTTATCGACGACGATGGCATGTTCAAAACCGGCTTTCTATCCGCTTCGCGTGGATCCTGATATACCGTTGCAGCGCGCAAATGCCACTCTCCCCTCCCTATGCTCGAGCTATCTTCTGGGCAGCTCTTTTAAATTTTTTCGTTGGTGGCCGGTCCATCTCGGCCAAGACGAATTGTCTTGGCTCTTGGTGCCTCTTTTTTCTTTTTTTAGCATTGCGTTCGGTTGTCGGTATATGGGCGGGTTACATACATCTCATGGCCCCCCACACTTGGATCACGACATGCAAGAACTATTGTACCTGACAGTTGTGCAGGTAGGCTTTCAGATGGAAATGTAATACATTGCAATATTATATCGTCCATTTTACAGTGGATTTCCAAAACTGGCAGGTCGTTCATCCCTTTATCCTCTTTGGACGGACACCGTAACATAACCAACGAAGGAGAATATCATTCACCTTAGCTCTCGGACAATCCCATATTGTAGGCTATATTTTCCTTATTGCAGATCTCCGTTCAACAGTCAAGGATTACCAGAAGAATCTTATCCGGGGTTAATCCTATGCTTTCCTCTCCACATGGAAAGTAGATCCCCATGTCATCATCTAGGAAACCGAAATCGCCTTTTTGTCATGGTGACTGCTGAGTCTACACGACATTCGCCAAGCACGCACATGATAGAAAAATATGACACCAGTGAGAAGCTAGCATGTGGAACAGGGCTAACCGTGAATATCTCATCAACGCCAAGTGGCTAGATCGTTCAATCCCTTCCCTAGCCGGACAATGGCAACCAACTCACGCCATATTGCAAGCGCTGGCTGAGTTCCCCCTTTTGTAGCACCGTTCATTCTGTCCTGGCCACGGATTTTACGCGGTATCGAATGACTTCTCCTACTTTCGGTATTCTCTAGTTCCGTATAGGATGTACCTACCTTGTTCTTCGGCCTAGGGTCTCGTCACATCCATTACAGCATGGGTTGCGGACGTGTTAACTATATTGGGGTTTTTACGAATATCCTCAACCCTACTGGCGGTTTACCCTTACTTAGCACCCGCTTTTTGTGGAGGTAACCCTAGCCTGTAGATGGAATATCTAGAAGCGGAAATTTAAAGAGTCTATGTTGGATGGAATGTTTGTAATGTAAGCTTCCTGGTTACTGAGAACCAAGTCGCGTCTGTACTAGAGCCTCAAGCAACCCTTGGAGTCTACGTACCGAGACTTTTGTATGTAACATCAGCCTTTGTCTTACTTATTATAAACACCCCGTGGGACCCTCCCTTTCCACGCGAAGTCGCCTCTACTACACCTCTCAGAATCTTTGCCCTATCCCAAGGTCTCTTCCCACATACCTACATCTTATAGGAGTTGGGATCACCAAATAAGGCAATATGGGTCGCATTCTCACTCACGCTACCCTCCTTGGGCTTCTGGGGCTTGTCTCCGCGGGCTGTCCCTTTGCCGACCCTAGTGGGCTTCATGCCCGAGCAGACGGTGGTGACACTGACCCAGTGCTCGGCGCTATGGTGGATGATAGCAACGGCTACTTTACTGACGACGTTGGTGGACAAATCCAAGAACAAGACAGCCTGAGGGCCGGCGAAAGAGGTCCTACACTATTAGAAGACTTCATCTTTCGCCAAAAGATACAACATTTCGATCATGAGCGGGTAAGTAAAAATGAGGCGCCATGAAATAGCCCACGTCATCGAGCCATAAAAAGCCGAGGACATCATAGTACAAGCCGAACATTTTAATGGTATGAGGGTCATGCTAATATATCGACAGGTCCCTGAACGAGCAGTCCATGCGAGAGGTGCTGGCGCTCATGGAACATTTACAAGTTATGGTGATTGGAGCAACCTGACAGCGGCCTCGTTCTTAGGCACTGCTGGCAAAGAGACGCCTGTCTTCGTACGATTCTCTACTGTAGCAGGATCCCGGGGAAGCGCTGACACGGCTCGTGATGTTCACGGCTTTGCAACGAGATTGTAAGACAGCCTCCCTTCTTAGAAAAGTTACCTAAATGCTAACTTTAATGAAGCTACACGGATGAAGGCAATTTTGGTAAGAATAAACTAACCACTTTGACGAGAATGAGACTGACACCACCAAGACATTGTTGGGAATAATATCCCGGTGTTCTTCATTCAAGATGCGATTAGATTCCCAGATCTAATCCATTCGGTGAAACCAAGCCCTGACAGCGAGATACCGCAAGCTGCTACCGCTCACGACTCAGCTTGGGATTTCTTTTCTCAACAACCTAGTACTCTTCACACTCTCTTCTGGGCTATGGCTGGTTTTGGTATCCCGCGAAGCTTTAGACATATGGTAAGTCTAAGCTGTACATGCTAGTTGGTTTCAGTGCTGACAGCTATTATAGGATGGCTTTGGTGTTCACACATTCCGTCTTGTCAAGGATGATGGTACTTCCAAGCTTGTAAAATGGCATTGGAAGACAAAGCAAGGAAAGGCCAGTTTGTATTGGGAGGAAGCTCAAATTCTTTCTGGGAAGAACGCTGATGCCCATCGACAAGACCTGTTTGAGGCGATCGAGGCCGGCAATGGTCCCGAGTGGGAGCTCGCTGTTCAAGTAGTGGACGAGGACCAGGCTCTCGCATTCGGGTTTGATCTGCTCGATCCCACTAAGATTCTCCCTGAGGAGTATGCCCCACTCCAGAAACTAGGCGTTATGAAGCTGCACACAAACCCGACGAATTACTTCGCCGAGACCGAGCAGATCATGTTCCAGCCCGGACATATTGTTCGAGGCGTCGATTTCACCGAAGATCCTCTACTCCAAGGTCGTATCTTCTCCTACCTGGACACTCAGCTGAACCGACACGGTGGTCCAAACTTTGAGCAACTTCCTATCAACCGACCAGTCGTCCCAATTCACAACAACAACCGTGATGGTGCCGGTCAGAACTTGATACATAAGAACATTCACGCCTGTATGTCACCCATTCACTTATATACTTACCCAATGCTCTTCTCCTATGGACAACAAATTTAACATTAGCTAACCTAAAAATTAGACTCTCCTAACAGCCTAAATGACGGCTACCCGCAGCAAGCAACACAAAGCAACGGCCGAGGCTTCTTCAGTGCGCCTATCCGCAGCACTACGGGCAAGCTCGTGCGCGGGCTATCGTCTACCTTCGACGATCATTGGTCTCAACCACGGCTATTCTACAACTCACTCACGCCTGTAGAGCAGCAGTTCCTCATCAATGCCATCCGCTTCGAGACCAGCCACCTGACCTCCACCACGGTGAAGCAGAACGTGCTAACCCAGCTCAACAAGATCAGCAACGACATCGCGGTCCGCGTCGCCACGGCGCTAGCCTTGGAGGCCCCGGCCCCGGACGACACGTATTACCACGACAACACGACGGCGGGGATCAGCATCACCAACGTCACACTACCGACGGTCGCGACGCTAAAGGTCGGCATCCTAGCGAGCACCAGCAAGGCCAACGGCACGAGCGCGCTCGACCAAGCCCAGACCCTGAAGACGCGGCTCGCGAGCGAGAACCTGACGGCGACGGTGGTGGCCGAGAGCCTCGTCGCCGGCGTCGACAAGACGTACAGCGCGGCGGACGCGACGGACTTCGACGCCGTGATCGTGACGTCGGGCGCCGACGCCGCGGGCCTGTTCGCGCTGACGGCCGCCGGCAGCATCAACCCGCTGTACCCGCCGCTCCGGCCCCTGCAGATCGCGAACGCGGCGTACCTGTTCGGCAAGCCCGTCGCGTACTTCGGCGGCGCGGCGCCGAGCAATCCGCTCGTTGCGGGAGGGTTCGATCCGCAAGTCGACGGCGTGTATGCTAGCGCGGATGTGGATACCCTGGCTTCGGGGTTGGTGGATGGGTTGAAGACGTATAAGTTCACGGGGAGGTATCCGGTGGATAAGACGACGTGAATGATTTAATGCCTGAGTGAATCCCGGCAGAGTAAGGGTTTGGGCCCTGAATGTTTGGATTGGGGGTTTCGAGTATCTAATTCGTTTCGTGGATATTTGATTCTTGTATATATGTGTTTATAAATTGACTCATCTCGTTCAATGACTGTTGTTTTACTTGTGAAGTTTTGGGGTTGATGGTGGAGTTCAGTTGTGGTAAGTGGTTTTTTTTAGGAGTGACTGAGTATGTACCTAGTTGGATATGTACCTGTTGGTAAATAAACCTATGTGAGTATTAAGGAGGTTATACATCGAATTCCTGTTCTCCCTTCTTGTTGAAATGGCCATGCGGGTCATGGTACCTACCTACCTATGGCGTAGTTTCTAGGAGTCTGGCAACATAGTGGATATCGTCGGAATACATACCACGCTTATACAGATTCGTAACCCAAGTATTAGAATATATTAGCCATATATAAGGGTTATAATTATTGACTAGTTTGCTTATACACTAACACTCTGATATAACTGCATATTAACACGGTTTCTTAGAAAACATAGCAGTTAGGGGTATGGATATTCTACCAACACTAGGAATGAGATTAAAAGGAGAGTAAATGGTAACTAAATTTTACGCCGTATTTTCGTGGACTCTACTCTGATTCTTCCCGGTGAAGTCAGACTTTGCCTATCATATCCCGATACTGAAGGAAATAGGGGTAACTCAGAATCAACCCTTAATTTCGATACTTAGATACACGAGTGCCTTTTCTCGTCGATGGGTAGAGGAGTCTACTTATAATAGTAAGGAAAGATCTACATGGTGTATCTTCCCATGGGGGTAGATATGAGCAATTTTTATATTTCATTAGTAATGTATTGTGAATTCACAACGCAAAATCCATGGGTCGAAACCATCATAGAGGCAAATATTAACTTTAGCAAACATGAAAATGAAGATATACTTTACGTAAGAAACTTTATTAGAACTTGCTCAGATTATCATATATTCTCTCTAGGTATTTCTCTCTATAAAAGGAGCCCATTCTCCCCGAAGCCTTCAATGGTTCTTGTCCATCATCTACTCATTACTTGATCATGAAACTGGCTATTTACGATCTCGAGTTTCTAGTCGATTAGAGACGGACTGTAAATACGCCGAGTGTCGAGAAAGGCTGGAACAAAATCATCAAACACAAGTGTACACGGCAATTGTGAAATATCAGATACCTGTATTAAAGAATGATTGTCGATGATGATTCCCTTGACTTCTTAAATCTGGATGGCAGCGTCAATATCTATCTACTTCAGCCGCTTCTGTCGCATCACAAAACGAATTAACCGAATAGTCCACAGACGTCGAATGGCTTCTCTGAATGATACCTAGAAAGGTAGAATACGCCGAGCGAATGAAATGGTGGTTCCCGCGTCAAATCAGCAGGTCAAGTCTCGGATTGATTAATATGGGAAATCTTCCATTCCTCCTCTAAAGTCACCGTCACTGACCACGCGAGAATACTTGTCGAGAAACTCGACAAGAACACGTCTCTCGACGCCTTATTCCCCGTGATCATTGGCATGGCCAAGTATCTTTAATCAAAGAAAATTGCTTGTAAGAGCATTATCAAGATGTTCGAGGACGAAGAGATGGAGAAGTACGGCCAGCTGCGAATCCTATATTGAAATACCCGTGAGCATCTATCCTTGACGCTGCTCCAACCGAGCATATCCCTTAGATAGGTAGCCCTGATTCGCTAGGTGGGGCCATTGAGAGTACAGCCACTAGCGCAACTGCCTGCATGAGTCACCATCCCGACCTTTGTCGTCGCTACGGACAACCGGCGGATTTCCGGGTCTTGATACAAGGCATATAAGGAATGATAAACACTGAAGTTTTCAAGCCGACCCCACAAAAAGGACGTACCCTGGGTGACATTGAGGCCAGAGAAATCTCGACGTGGTTTGCTCACATGGCGTTGCGGTTCATACTGCATTGACGCCAGAGCACTCCCGACGGAGGTTTTCGTAGGCTCTGAATTCGATTCAGAGCCGAGCTTTTATTGCCATTTTTTTGCCTTTTGTATACATAGGTACAAACCATACATACTTTTATTGCTTACCAAGTCTCTGAACCTATGACTTCTATAGAATCGACTCCGTCATACACGTTTGATCACACGTTGGTGGATAGCTTCACCGCCGCGTTGCACTTTGGGCAATGAATAATACAGCCTTCTACCATCAATTGCCAGCGCCACATCAGCTACCAGGACTACATCCAACATGCTATGAAGTGGAAATAACGGGCGCTTTGTCCATCATCACAGCTTTAGGTATATTGCCTTGAACACTTTGATGGGGCAGCAGGCTATGTCGAATAGCAAGTTAATGGTTCACAAGGAGCGAAATGTCCCTCTCACGAGAGATGAACTGAAAGCGGCCCTAGAAAACCCGGAAGCCCCTGAAGCACAAGTGCTACTTGACCGTATTTCTAGGCCTGCGAGTGCTTTGAAAGGCACACGCCCTTTTTGGTAGCGGCGCCGCAGGGAGTTGGAAGCTTTCGCCCACTGCATTAGCCCGCCGTCCGCGTTTCAAGAGGACTGAAAGCCTCAAATTTGGCGCTGATAGGGGTCAATAACTCGCCCTTTTACGAACACGGGCTCATGCATCAAAGGATAAAACCGTTCGAGAAATTCGCGAAAGCGTACGTGGACGATATTGTGATATTTTCGGATTCGAGGAAGGAAAATTACCTAACAACATCTGAACCGAGTCTTCGAAAAGTGATGTCTCTCTCAGCACCCGTCGTGCTGGCTCTTCTTCCTCCTGTTCCTCTACTGCCTCTAATAGCCCCGACACGCATCCTCGACCAAATCGTAAGCCATATCATCGTTTAGGCATCATGGCCGGCCAGCTTACCTCCACCTCGCAGTGCGGGAAAGGCTCTTTAATCACCTGTGCGGCTTACATAAATCATACACGACGAATGAGTTGCTGTTACAAAACGCGGCCGAGATGGTGGATGAATACGACAAGGCGTAACCGGTGCCCCGACAAGATTTCATATACGGATCCGTGGTGCCGCCGTCGCAGAGCTAACCCGGAACCACATCGTCGCCGCGAACGGAACCGTCCACCCCAAAACCCAATGCTGTCACCACGTTACTAACTAACGACGCCCCAAATGCCACCAGTAAAACCATCATTATCATCATGGCGAGAACGAAACCACAGCCAATACTATCACCGTGTATGTCTGCGTCCAGCCCCGACCCCGCTGTCGACAAGTCTGCTCCGACCCAACCCACGTCTACCGTTGCCTCCCCTATCGTTCTTACCACAAACATACACATGGCACTGATGTCAAAAAGGGACTATAAAAAGGTGCAAGGAGGTTAATAGGGACGTTGACAATTCCCTCCGTGGCGGGCAGATGTCTGGAACCAGTTGTCACATGTAGACTTGTTGTAAGCTGCACTCAGCTTGACAAGGCAGTCACAGCCAACAGCCTCAGATCCTTAGACTTGTATATGGATTCTTCTCCTGTCTAGTATCAATGTATTTTTAGATGCTTCAAAATAATATTTTCGGTAAATGCTACCTCATATTATACCTACCCCCTTTTTTTCTTAACCCCGAAGCCAAGTGACAAGATCGACGATCCGGGCTCGGGTAAGCCCGTGTAAACACATGACCGCCAGCTCATGCCCCTTTCCAAGACACAGAATTCGAATTCATGCACGACATACATGCCTCGCATAGGACAAGAGGTCACGTGAGACGGTGCCGAGTTCTCGGGTCCCCGTCGTCGTTGGTGTTGTTGGGAGGAAAGTTCTGGGTTGCAGGACGGGCCGCGGGATTTTCTGGACCTTGTTAGGGGAATGGATGAGGAATAGGATGTGGGGGAGGGTTGGCGGCCCGGGATGAGAGCTTCGTTGGTTTGAGCAGGTTGTTGTGTGATAGGGCTACCTACCCCTATTTTTCATATAGGTAGGTAATTGGAACAAGGTTCAAGGTCTGGGACTCTGACTGTATGCTTAGCACCCCCCACGCGTAGATCGTGGTACACACCTATCTTTCTGAGAATGTCAGTCCGCGGAGACGTCGTGCCTAGATCTGCTGGACGTCAGATCGGGCTCCGGTGTGACAAGGCTCGCTGATAGGCTATTCTCCGTTCCGAGCCGGGCTAGATCTCCGGATCCGTTCCCAGCATGGAATTTCCTCATTTTTTTATCCTATTCCTTCATACTCACTGTTAGTCTATTGTACTTTCTTCGGAACAAGGCGGGAGCATAAAATTTCGATATCTTTAAATACCTGGGAAGGGATTGCTTTTGAGTGCCCCCTTTTTAAATTAGTCCGCTCGTATAGCCGCCGGAGTTCGGAGTTCGCCAGCTTAAAATCCGCGCAATGTGACGACGAGACGCCTCGTACCGGTTTAGGGATATTAAATGTATATCTTCGGCTGCCGACAGGTTTTGATGCATTTAATATATGTATGAGGATACTGGTTCTCTGTGTTGGTTTAGTTGAGAGATGACATCATTTCCCGCTGGTGATTAGGCAGTTTATGCTATTTCTCATCTGTGAATAATAACAAAGGAAGCGTCGGCTAACATTAAAAAATGGCTTATATCATACACAGGTAAGCATCGGAATCTTCTAAATTAGCCAATCATGAATTTTAACTGAGACGCTTCGTGAAGAAAGGCGGCTTGGTGTTCTGCTGTGCATTAAACCCCCTAGAGATATCTGGGAGTATTTGGCTTCTACCTGGATACCTAGGTATTTAACAGAAAGTGCCCATTTGTTTCCTACCTATTCTTGCCAGTTACTGAAGTAGAACTTGACCGCGTTATACAGTATGAACCCCTTAGTCCCCTCGACTATAACCAAGCCTCCAAGAGACAACCCCCTTAACGGTCTTAATTGTAGCCCAAATATACCAATATCACACTCAGCTGAATTTCGGGGATTTTCCATTGATTCCTTGATTCCTAACTCATCAACTCCATAGTAACCTAGCAAGGTGAGAGAACTTAACGTTCCTCTCTGTATGAAGCATGTGCAACTCAACTTATCTCCAAGCAACCTAAGCTCGCCCCCAATACAATTAAGTCAGTCGTGGGTCTGATATTCCTAATACGCCTACGACCGCATCTGCCAATGCTCGGGGGCCATGTATGTATGCAAGCAAGTAATCAATCAATCTTCTTCATCGCCCTCCGCATCCTGCTCTTCATCCTCATCTTCAACCGGCTGGCTCGCTCCGCCAGTCGAGTCCCTTCGACCGCTACCACCAGCGTCCTGTCCCTGCTCACCTTCCTCTTCTTCCTTGCCGTAGGGATGGTCGCGGTACAGGTTCATCCAGGTTCTTATATCGTCGCTCGGGTCTTCGATGACGATGTCCAGCTGATCCACGTTTCGCTCATCCAGGTCCACGCCCGCCGGCACCAGTCCTATGGTGCGGGCGATCTTCTTGGCCCGTTGAGGCTTGATAATGCTGCGCTGCATGACGGGGTAATAGAATGCAGCCTTCTGGTCCGTGGTCTCGTCATCGTTGAACGACAGCACGACCTCTTCATCGTACTTGGTCTGGTTGTTCAACTCGAGCTCCTGGGAAGTCTCGTACGTACGCACGCGCGGGAACAGGAAGGCAGGCTTGCCGCCGCTCTTGTGCGTGTACAAAGCATCGTCATCATGGTCCGGATTCTCAATGTCAAACTTCTGGCGGAAGCGCTCTGAAGTATCGACGCTGTCGTTCAGGAAGAAATCGTAGTCCATCAAATTCTGCGGCTTCGGCACGCGCTGCGGGTCCCGCTCGTGCGCCTGCATGGCCAGCGTGAAGGCTTGCTCATCAGCTTCGCTCTTGCTAATAGGCTTGAGGATACCGCTGAGGAGCCGTCGATCGTATGACCGTGTCGGCGGAAGAGGGTTGTGAGTGAACTTGAACGTCACGTAAGCACCGGAGTCGGGGAAGGCGTCTAGATCGGGGACTAGAGGGAAGGCGTCGACGAGCTTGGCATTAGGGTTCGACGGGTGCTTAACCCGGCTCTTATCCTTTAGGTTGGCAGCCGCGACAGCAAAGCCCTGGTCTATCTTCCGCTTGATTTGGGCAGGCGAATCGGCATCCCGGTCTGGTGAAGGTCGTTTCAAAGGCCGCTTAGGGGCCGGTTTGCTGCTAATAAGAGCGCTAGGGGTACTGCGCTTTGCGGATACAGAGGAGATGTACTCTGTTCGGCGGAGGAAGGATACATTGGATTCGTGGATTTTGGGCTGACCCAGAGTTCCAGGGGGTCTGAGTAGGGCGCGATCGTGTGGGTGGATGGCCGGCTGTTGTGCTGGTGCTTGGATGGCTGTATCTTAAGTTAGTCACAATGGTTCAAACCCCATCAACCGTAACTTCGCTTGTCTTTACGTACAACTCTCGTCACCGTCGAAGATGCCTGGCATTCCCACCAGATCCAACGGCATGCCTAGCTCCGCATCGGCCTCGATGTTCAGAGGTTGCTCTCTGGCAAGTCTCGAAGCAAACTCTATAGCGGTGTATCGATTACTAGCGAGACCGGTGTTCGGAACGTCGAGCAGCTTGGGCGGGAAAGGGGGAGGCGGTAGGGCGTTGGAGAATCGGATTCTGGCGATGAAATCCTGGTGAATGGAGCGATGCTCGCCATTGCGCGACGAGGACGCCATCGTGATGACGGCTGAGGTAGCCGGCGGAGAGATGTGAAGGACAAAAGCGATTGAGAACTGATGATGGGAAGGACAACTTTTGTCCTTCGACGGCGTGGTTGGTTGAAGTTGTGTGAAGGTGAAGGTTCAAGATTATCGACGGGACTGATTGGAATTGTCGACGATTACCAAGTACCAAGGTACGAGATGGGGTCTAAGAATTATTAAAGAAGGTGCATGGGAAATGCAACCTCCATTTAAGGTGAATTGGCGATTCGTAGGTCGCAAGGCAAGTGCTATGCGCGTCGCGACTGGGACTTAGGCTAAGTATAATCGGCGAAGACTTAGTCGCGAAAAAAAGTTGCCTGTCGGAAGGTGCACCGTCCAAGCTTTATCGCTATCAGCAAGGCTGAGTGACGTTCCATTCCAACCAGTAACTGCCAATGTCGTATAGGTTATTCTACCTAAGTAAAATCATAATTAATATTCTTTAAGAGAGTAACGGTTAGAATAGTCTTAAAAGGCTCATTATATTGTTCTTTAGTGTAATGTCTACTGATAACAATCCTGGAAGATGCAATTCTGCGCCCCGACCACTTCCATGCTGCCGCCCATCCTCATTCCTATAGAGAAATTTCTCCCTTAAGGCCAACCAACAATTAATAATGGAGACTCATAGCATTACTCCGTACAAACCGCCCTGCTCCTGTAGTACCTCATACAAAATACCTGTATCATAATTTGTACAGTTATTGAAGCCCCAATGCGCATCACCGTATCGAGTAGTCATCGTGATTAAAAAGTTATCGAAACTGTCTACATGTTTCGTTTTAGACGTTCTCGGTATCATCCGAGTTCTGTCCTAATAAGTCCCAACGCGACCGAGTTCCAGTATAACCCCATGTTTACGAAGTACTGCTCTTGCCGTACTTTGCCTTGCCGAACGAGAAGGGAACGTATCGGTACTTGATCATGTGTTGGATTTGCTTGCGCACTGTATATGATTAGCGATGCCGATGGGCCACGGATATCTCTATGGCAACTTACTGGTTAGAACAAAGAGGATGATCCAGTACATGACCAAGACGGGCCAGAAGACCGGAACGTTGAAGATCTCGAACCAACTGCACACAAATCCGATAGCGATGGCGCGTGTTGCCTCGTGCCAGAACTTGAACTCTGGAAGGCGTCGAATAAACGGACGAAATTCCTCGTCCTGCTTGGTGGGGAGGCCGCCGGCAGATCCATCCTCCATCTCATTGTCTAGCATATCGTTCGAGGGGTCAAACTTAGGCTGTAAGAAGGCGAGGAACAGATTGAGAAGGTAAATTCCGAGTGCGTATGCAACTAGTCACTGTCAGCCATTGATTTGCTTCCCTCCTCATCGTCGCGAGGGACTTATCATACCAATATACCAGCCTTGTGCCAGAAGCACGCGGAGGAAGAAGATGCCTAGAAATACGGCCGTGCCAACCCATCGGTAGAGAACGTGAGGAGTCACTTGATCCAGAAGAGCTTGGTATTGCTATATATTGTTAGTTATCTTGTTATGGCTTCCGTGGTAGCCGGCGCAAAAGGAGACATACTCTCTGGAGTTTCGACGTTTGGGCCGTCACAGCCGCGAAAGGGGTTTGCTCCGTCTCGATACTCTCCATGTTGCCTGATGCGATCTCTTATTGTTATCGTCAGAATAATAGTTATTGTGTTATTAAAGTCGCCTTAATGACCTGTATTATTCTCGATATCTTGAAAGGGAGCGAAGGAGTGATAGCGAAGATATCGTGAGACTACTAAAGAAGATGAATATGTCCTTTCGCCAATTTGCAAGTCGCGACTTTTCGAGATCTGCGCCAAAGGGGAAGACAATGTGGCCAGCTTAATTAAACTTTTTACTAGCCACATTTCTATTTAAAGCCACATTTTTTATAATGAAACTAACATGACTGGCCGCGCAAGCCTTTTTTCGGCAGCTCTATTCCCCATCTCCCCGCTTTATTCTTTTATCTGAATATTGCCGATTACTTAGGTATTTAACATCTTTTTGTAATGGTAGTATTCGGAGTGGGGGGCGTGGCTGATTAAGTTACCGTCCGTTATCCTCGGCCAGCTTCGGCTTCATGACCTCATAAACGCCGGAGCTTGTGCTTCTCAACTTCACCTTCACTTTAAACAGAGACTACGATTTCTAAGCCAGAAGATTCAATTCCCAAGTGATTTATATCGCGGCCTTGATTGAGTTTCTTATAAATAGATCTAATTTTCAATTGGTATCCTTCCATTCCCCATTGAAGAGTTGTGCGTTATATCCAGTAGCTACGTCTCATTCATATTAGTTCACACATAATGAACACACTGCGGACCTTGAGGCCGCTAGCCTCACGCCTCCAACCATACACGCTCCCACGCACAGTCCGCCAGTTCTCCGCCACCTCATCAAGATCCTATGAATACCTCCTAGTATCAGAGCCCAAGCCGGGCGTCGGCCAAGGTGAGATGATATACAGGACACATCAACCACATATACCTAATTAACCTCGGGGGCCCCCATCACCAGTAACCCTCAACCGGCCCAAAGCCTACAACGCGCTCTGCACACCCCTGATCGATGAGCTCAACCAAGCGCTCGACGCCTTCAACACGTCAGACTCGATCTCCGCCATCATCCTGACCGGGTCGGAGAAGGCGTTCGCGGCCGGCGCCGACATCAAGGAGATGGCGCCGCTCACGTTCTCGGAGGCGTACAAGACGAGCTTCATCGAGTCGTGGTCGCGGCTGACGACGAGCGTCAAGAAGCCGATCATCGCCGCCGTATCCGGCCACGCCCTCGGCGGCGGCTGCGAGCTCGCCATGATGGCCGACATCCTGTACTGCACCGAGCGCGCCAACTTCGGCCAGCCGGAGGTCAAGCTCGGCACGGTTCCCGGGGCGGGGGGTAGCCAGCGGCTCACGCGCGCCGTCGGCAAGGCGCGCGCCATGGAGCTCATCCTCACGGGGAACAACTTCAGCGGCGTCGACGCCGCGAATTGGGGGCTCGCGGCTAAGGCGTTCCCCACCTACGAGGCGCTGATGGAGGGCGCGCTGAAGACGGCCGAGACTATCGCGGGATACTCGCGCGTCGCGGTCATGGCGGCCAAGGAGGTCGTGAACAAGAGCCAGGACTTGTCGCTGAGGGACGGGGTCGAGTACGAGAGGAGGGTTTTCCATAGCTTGTTCGGGAGCCAGGATCAGAAGGTTGGGATGAAGGCGTTTGCGGAGAAGAAGAAGCCGGAGTGGACGCATGAATAGGGGGGATCCTTCGTAAGTGGGTTGGGTGTGTTAATGTATGGCATAGTATACTTAACTACCTAGTTTAGGTATCTCGTGAGATGAGTCCGTAATGAGACGTAGGTCACGCCGCTTTAGAACATATGCCGTATTACAAGCGAATTTTGAAGGATCTAAGTCAGATCCAATTTGTTAGTTCAATTACCACCAACACGCTTTTTGGTTTCAGATTCGCGATCAATCTAGATTGGTCTTTTTTGTTGTAGTGAAACGTTGAATCTATTCTTATATACTGAAAACCGATCTATAGCGCCCCAGTTTGTAATAATACAACGATTCCAGAAGATTTATGTACAAAGCCCCATATTTTCACCACCACCGTAACAATTGGATGAAATAACTGCTAGAAGCTGTCATTTTCCATCTCATGGAACTTAAACCAAAACCAGAGTCGTTGGTCTAAACTTCACTGTTCCATGTCCTGTGCCATCAAGCTGCATAAATTACTTCAATTCGGCAGAGAAGACCTTGACGAAAGAGTCGCAGTTGTTGTCGTCGACAGAGTACTTCTGGTGGTCGGGGGTGGCAAAGTAGTTTTCGGCAGTCTTCTTGGCGTCGGTGTAGGTCTTAGCAGAGATCTCCTTGAGGAAGGTGAGTTGGCCGTTCTTGAAAAGACCTGCAGTCTGTCCAGATAGCTTGTAGTTTTTGGGGGAGTCGAGCTCGGCCGAGCCGTCGGTCTTCTTGATCAGGTGGAAGAGCTGGCCGGTGAAGTCCTTCTCGGCGTGCTTGTTCTTGCCCTTGCCAGTCTCGACGTCCTTGACCTTTCCAAGGATCACACCAATGTGCTTGAAACCAAGCTTCTGCTGGAGCTCCTGGAGCTCAGCGGGAGTCTCAGAGTCGATGGCGGTACTGTCACTGAGAGGCCCTGTTCTCTGTGTTAGCTATTGAGTCTGCTATGTCTGCCACTATTTAGGGGTCGGCTTACACTTGATGGTGAATGCGTAGTATTTTCCGTTTGCAATAGTGCTCTTAGCGGCGTGGACCTTAGTGTACTCTGGGGTGATCTTGTCATCGGCACGGGCGACCAAGGCGTTATCAAACTCGATATCGGCCTCGCGGACGGCGATGTCTTCGCTGCTCTGGGGCTGTCCCAGAGGGCTGGCAGCTGCCAGACCGGCAAGGAAGAGAGAGAAGATGGATGAGAACTTCATTTTGAAGGATATATAATATCTGAGAATAGAGAAAACTTGGAAAGTAGTGTCAAAGAATAAGTTATATACTGAAGTATAGACTGTTTGGTTGGTTCTGATGATGGTTGTGATGATGAGTGGTGAGTGATGAGAAAAAACCTGTCTTCGAGGGTTATACAATCCCCTTTATATACAATTTCGTTACTCGCGATTTCTATACATTATTCTATGGTCTACTATCACCTGAAGCCTCTGTCGTCAATCATTGCCCATTGGTGCTGTAGGACTTCAAGTTACGTGATAGATCGAAAATAGAAATCCCCATACTTAGGGACCAGGGCTGCCAGGGCTGCCAGGGAGCCTCATCCTCAGTGCAGATCCTGAAGTCCCATAAACAACCAAGATGCTCATGCATGCTTAATGAGGAAAGAAGCTTGACTAAAACGATTACATCGCTGATGTGATACTGCCAATTTATCGATAGGATTCTTCAGGCGCACTGTCTTACTTACCTGTTCAGGTACCGGTAGATATCCTATTGGATATCTCGATGCTCAGCCCTGCCACCTCCATGGGGTTTTGAGGATTGAGTATCCTAAAGAGTATGTCGGCGTTAGAAAGATGACATCTTGGCTAATGTATCATGGCACTAGACAGCTTCATATTGATGAAAGAATCCTACAACTTGGTTTGAAATTAGGTAAACGAATTAAAGCAATATGGTCTTTGAATTTTATGTAGTACAGTATGTAATTGTTGTAATGCTTTGATCTGTCGACCTGTCAGCCCTGTATGATCTAGTCGAACAAGGTAGTCCAGCAGGGAGGTCTAGCAACATGGTAGGCTGGCTAGCTGGCTAGGTAGTTGCTCTGATTAGAAAGTCTAGTTTAGCATATTTCCTGAATTGGTAAATCGTTCAGTGCTGCGCCTATGTTTTTGCTTTCAGGTCATGTGACGTCGCATTCGGGTGGAGTCGGCTGGCGCTTAGTAGCGGTATGGATCGTCCCGTCTCCAGATCTTCTTGGCCTTTTTATTGGTGCCGTAGGACGCCACTGTCATACAAGCCTCGGCCGTGCAACTTTAGTACTTAGTCAGATTGTTGATATATTAATTCGCATGAATTTGAAATGCTGTTTCAACATGGATCTTCTTCCTACCACGGCACTTTTTTGCCCTACGATTCCCTAAGCTCGGGTAATGCAACCCTAGACGTCAGCATACCCAGCAAGAATCGGACGAACCGATTTAGAACGACAGTTCTTTAGCGCTTGCAGATCTTACTCAGACGTTTTACTTTATAGTATTTGGGCTGTTGGGGAAATTGCAAGTTGCGGCCGTTACGGCAGTGGCGGCGGCGGTGTCAGCGGTCTTGTTTGCTTCCTGTTCCTACTCTTCCTACGAGGCAGCAGCGATGTTGATTTACAATGATGTCATTACCTAATGTCATCCGTACCTGCAGCGATCACCTGCATTTCTACTAAATTTAGACTCCCTCTTTGAGATTCTTCTGATGAGGACAGAAGTCTAATTCTAAGCTTATTCACAGATTCTGTTTATTAATGTCATCTACCTTTTCAAAGGGAATAATTTAAAGTTGTGACAAATTAACTGGTCAACCGTTTTTTCACGGCTAAGCTAAGTAAGAAACAATTTGGAAATTTCATATCCCCCTCTATCTTCGTCTCAGTCAATATTCAAAATGGCCCAAGATGAAAGAATCGACAAGTGGATGTCACAAGGCATCTTGGAGCCTTCTCGCATTTTAGAGCGCATTGAGGTAGAGCATCTGATCGAACCCGATTCAGACAATCTCCCCTCTAGCATAGAAGAGCTCGATGAAGCCGCCTTTATTTCGCTACTATGCAACAAGGGTGGCCTCCCTCAGCCTTGCGAGGGCTTCGGTCATCTCATCTATAGCGTTGTCGCTTATTTAAGCGCCACCCCTTTCTACCCTCAGCCAAGCGAGCAAGTTCCTTCAAGCCTTTCCCTCGCTGGGATATACCGAGGACTGGCATGGATCCTCCCGGATACTCACCGCAGAATAATCGGGGCTGGCAGCTCTGCCCGCTCACGCACCGTGGCCGACCATCGCAGACTACTCTTCCAAAGTTTAGCCACCGCAACACACAATGGATCATACGATCCAGCCGAAGCGCAGGAAAGGGCTATCTATAATGCTCATTTTGAGCCGGATGCGTTCTACGACAACCCAGATTGGCTGTTCGTCAACCGCGACGACGACGGTGATGAAATGTACCATGATGTTCTGGATGTGTTGCATGAATGTCAGCCAGAACCCAACTATCCTTACGGAGGTGTCCCGCGTGATGGGTTTCGTGAGTTCGCTAAGACGCTCATTAAGGGACAGCCTAAATTCGACAGTCTAGCCATTCCCCGGGATCGATTCACAACTTTTGTTACTTTCTTGCTAGCTCTGCAATTTGAAACCCAAACCCCGGCAGAACCGGTACTATCTCAGTACGAGGAGGCAGCAAAGGATATAGTAGCCTCGTTCTGCGGGGATGCGAAAGCGGATATAATTACCTGGCCCAGATTCGACGACGCGCTTAAGCAGATGCCTTTCCTCTTCGATCCACTTCACAGAATTCTATCAGCAACATTCTTGAAGGAGAGACCATTTTCCGTTTCTGGCGACTGGATAGCCCCTATACCTCCTCAAGACAGTTTCATGACTCTACCACGCCTAAGCCAACTGGCGACGATGATAAATCAAGACGTGGATTTTGAGAGCTTTGGTAGGGCTCATCAATTCCACAAGGGCATCCGCCCCACAGCTGGAGTGTTAGCCAACTTCATGAAGACGATGCCCGATCTAAGTATCCTGACCTTGTGCGGACTGTCTTCGGCGGATGAGAAGTACATCTTTGGCGTCTTCAAGCCATTGCTCCTCGATGTGGAGAAGGAGACCGAGGGGGACGAGGACCACAGGGAGACATCGGACGAAGAAGACGAGGAGCAGCGTAAGCCGGTCGTGCGGGAGATGGATCCTGTGCATGATTGGGTGGAATTCCGTGGTCATATTAGGTTTCCCGCGCGGCCGATCTTGTTCGTTCTCAGCCCAGCCCAGCGTGCCGTTCGAATCAAGGACGAACCCCGCGTTGTTGATGATCGTCTTCACTTTGGAGATGTCCTAACAATCTCAAGTGACGGGACTGCATCTATCGGGATCGGCGATACGGCTATACTCATCAAGACCAAAGCCATAGAGATTTGGGGAGAAACTTCCACAAGGACGTAGGTTAGATCTCCTGATAATCACAACATGAGTTGTAGCCCAACTCTCTTGGTACCTACATTTAGAGTGCCTTGGTCTTGCTCATTTGAATTCTCGACCAATGCGGCAATGCCACCTCTATGTTTCAGGTGACGCTCCGTTATCACAGCATTCCCACTTGGTGCGATGTATGTGTGATCCGATTGCTTTATGTAAGAGTCGACTTTTATGCATGATCATACGTAGAATTAGTACTCCGAAACGGACTTGGCTTTCTACGGTATTATGGACGACTCAAGAGTCGGAAAGGGGTTGAATGTTATCTCTCAATGTATAATAAAAGTACATTGAAACGACTTCACGCCTAAATATGTTCCCCTAACTCGGACAAGAAGATTTGAAGCTTTGTTGCAAAAACGTATGCTCAATTTCTCCCGGAATATTTCTCCGAGAGGGGAATAAGGAGCCTATAAAGTTGTGCAATGGACGATGCCAACGGCTGGGCTCGACTGACAATGGCACGTAAAAGATATTTTGGCTCAAAGAGAGGACAGGTGTTTTTTTTAATGATGAGTACAATTAGAAAATATTTGTATAAATGTCGAGTTGCCTAGGGTCGAGGAAGGATAATGAATCCTTGGGGTCTACGCTCTAGGGTTGTTGACGCTACAGAAAGTGGTATCCACTCCTATAACAACTATCCCCCTCAGGAAGATAAGAGATGGATTTGATTGTTGCTGTATAATATACCTATGTGCTAACCAAATTACCTATTATTTCGAGCATGTTTCGATAGTATGACGAGGATTTGTTTGAGTGAGAACTGTGAGTCGATGATATAGCCGACACAACTTAGACTTACATACCTCTCCGATATAGGATATTTCTTCCCTTCAATACTCAATTGGAACTAACAAGGCTAACATTACTCATAATTCCAACATCATAAATTAATTCTATACTTCGATTAAGCAATGGGTCATCTCATGCGTGCTGTAGGAACCCCCTTTTCTTCAACGATTGAATACGTAAGTACCTATGTAAGTATTAAACTTTTATTCTAAATAACGATGACCTAAATATTATACACACTTGATATAGATGTTTATAGAGTTATTCATATATATAATGCCACAATATATTGATACATGTCTGAATGAAAAGTCATTTTTGTATGTAAGTGGTATTACATATTATCCCTATACTTGAAAAGAAAGGGGAAATATTTACGGTCATTTACGGTTGAACGAAACGGTGGCGATTGCTGAATGAAAATATGCATATAATCATGCATTAAATTGGGGCGTTATCCGATAGAACGGTCTAAGGAACCCGCTTAAATGGATCTCCGTCTTGAAATCCCCAAACCAAAAAGAAGTTCATACTGTACTCGGGTAATACTGACTATTGCATTTTAGAAGAGGCAAAGCTTATGTTACTAGGGCCCTGACATGAACAACTAGAAGCTTCTTGTCGTTGATCGCCCTCTTATGCTAGGTACTCCGAGCCACCGGGCTCACAGTCAGATGCGCAGAAATTAGCACCATGCAGTCGACTAATGGTGGTGGGCGAACCAATACGAAGTGCTATACGAAGTACTGTGACTCGCCAATACAAGACATTTCTTCTATGTCCCCCACTACTCACTTTGACTCTTTTCGGAGCCGCTTTCGGTAAAAATTTAGGCGCTACAAACATTGTTTAGTTCCAAGCTTGATCTTGGAGTCCAACAGTAGGCGCAATGGCTTCGTCGAGAACGGGCGTAGATCTGGAGAAGGAGTTGACATGTTCTGTGAGTACTTCATAGTTTACTTCATAATTGGAATGGATTGCGGGGCAACTTGGGCAATGAGACGGACTCGGGACTAACCAACTTTTAGATTTGCACCGATATTCTTTACCAACCCTTAACCCTCCTCGACTGCTTGCACACATTTTGCGGCTCCTGTTTGAAGGACTGGTTCGGATGGCAACAAATCGTAGCAGAAAACTCGCCCAACCCTCCAACCCCGGGCTCTCAAAGGTTCACCTGCCCATCTTGTCGTGCCTTCGTTCGTGATACTCGCCACAATGCCACCGTCAACACCTTGCTCGAAATGTTCCTGGCCGCGAACCCGGACAAGGCTCGGGCGGAGGACGAGAAGGAGGAAATGCGTCAGAAATACAAGCCAGGAGATAATGTCCTACCGCGGGTGCGCGTACCTTACAAATCGCCCGAGGAGAGGCGGCTAGAGGAAATGGAGAGGCAAATGTTGGAAGAGGCGCGCCAGATGAGCCTGCACGATGCCGGTGTCGATGCGGCAGAGTCCTCTAGGGCGGGGCGGCATCGTGATTATAACCGGTCCGAAGATAGGAGGGGTAGGTCGGACAGAGACAGCAGCCGGGAGACCCGGCGTCGGGATACGCACGATCGCGCTCGGAGAGATGATGAGCACAGACGTCGGGTTGATTCGACCGGCATGTTGCAACCTGACTTGTCTTCGGATGAACAGCGACGTCATCGCAGCGAATCACGGCATCGTTCGCGTGATTCATCCCAAATCAGGAGGAGACAAGTAGAACACCAGTCATCCATAAGGTCGCTGATTAGCTCATCCAATGTCGATTTTCGGGATATAGAACGAGAAATAGAAGAGTTTGCTCGTCAAATCCAAGAAGAAGGCCTCCTAGATGGTTTAGACCTAGACAACATCGACCTAGCCCAAAATGACGACCTGAGTCGAAAGATCACGGATGCATATCGACGGAGGCAGAGGGAACGAGCCCGCGCCCACCAGACTATCCAACAACCTAGGATGAGTGATCCCGGCATCACATCTCACCGACCTGAACAAACACCTTCTGCGTCACGACCTCTCTTGACGGACGCATCCCGACCTAGTAGTCGACCAAGGTCAAGTTCAGCAACTAGTAGACCGCACACTAGTCAAAGTCAGGTGGACGATCGCAGTCGTCCTCCTATCACGACATCGCACCTCGAAGTCCGCGCAGATCCAGAAAGGCGACACAGGAGGAGGACTTCCAGCGGTGCAAGGAGTGCAACAGATCCTGTTCGACCAAGGACGGCCGATACTACTCCAGCAGCAAGGTCGCAGACGGACTTGGTTTCTAGACCGCAAACGTCCGATCCATCGTCTCGTCGCCCTTCCATTACAGATTCAAGAAGCACCAGCATGCCTACGTCGGCCTCGGCTGTCCAGTTAACATCAACCGCTTCAATTAATGATCATCGGCCCAGAGATCTTTCATTCAGTGGGCGGGCATCTGCTGCTCAGATTCCATCAGCGCCTTCTCCGGAAATCCAGTCCGATGATTCTAATAAAGAACGCCCTAAGCGAGCGCGACGGCCATCAAGTCTTGTAGTCGCGCCGCAAACCCCCCTGCCTAGCCTTGGACTCATATCATCGCCTACACATCAAACACATCATCACCGAACACGATCTCAATTTTATCAGGAGCCCTCCATCACGTGCTCACGTTGCAGGCGGCCCCATATTGAATACGAGCTTCATTACAACTGTTCAAAGTGCGCCAACGGTCAATGGAATATCTGCTTGAGTTGCTATCGAAGTGGGAAAGGCTGTAATCATTGGTTTGGTTTCGGATATGCGGCCTTCAAAAACTGGGAAAGAGCTCGAGCAGGCGATCATGAGAACTTGGAACCACCACACATGCTGACCTCGTGTCGATACAGACAACCTAAATATGTGCCCGGGGGAGCGGAAGGACGAAGGACGGTCACGACGGATGATCCGATGAACCGCTTAGAGAGTGGCATGTTCTGTTCACGATGTTTCTCCTGGGCTAACGAATGCTTTTGGCGGTGCGAATCGTGCAACGAGGGCGACTGGGGTTTCTGTAACAACTGCGTGAACACGGGCAAGTGCTGCACCCATCCGCTTCTTCCTCTGACCTATGTCGCACCCGTGTCGACCCCTCATACTCCGCCGACCAGTCCTCGCATACCGAAAAGGCCACGAGGAGCCACACTATTCACAGGACCCAACGCCGTTAACCTTGGGAGTTTCAAGTCACTTACGTTTACGACGACGTGCGAGATTTGCCGGGAAGCTATTCTACCTCATCATCGCAGGTACCACTGCCCAGAGTGTATCAGCACGGCCGTTCCAGACGCACAGAAAGGCGATTATGAAATTTGTGTAGATTGTTACGCAAGTGCAGTCCATAACAAGCGCATATCTGACGAGAATGGCCACGCGGGATGGAGACGCTGCCTGAAGGGCCACAGGATGGGTATGGTCGGGTTCACGGAGGGCTCGCTCGGACAAAGACGCAGCATATTCCGGGATATAGTGGGCGGCCGGAACCTACGTATGGAATCCTACGAGGGCACTGCCAGTCCGAGCGAGGAGGAGCCCCGGCGAGGAGAATCGCATTTACAAAGATGGAGCTGGAAGACGGAGAACGGAGCGAGACTCGAAAAGTTCGTCGCCGCAGACGTGGCTGATACGGCGCCTTCGTTGGGTACGGAGCTCTTCCCTCCAGATGGGGGAGCGGGTCTCAAGGCAATCGCGAGATGGTCTTGGTACCCGAAAGCAGGTACCGTAGACGAATTGCTATTCCCCAAGGGGTCAGAAGTAAGAGAAGTGGAAGACGTGAACGGGGAGTGGCTGTTCGGCAGCTACATGGGTGCCGAGGGTTTGTTTCCCGCCCCCTACGTAAGGATTATCGAGTAGCAACGTTACGAAGGCTTCGACGCTGAGTAGTGAGAAATATTGAACATTATAAGGATGGGATCTACAACTATGTTTCTTGCATTTATTTATACGTAAGGTATGCATGGATATGGATGGGGATATGAGATATGCGGATGAGGAGTTTGATGATACCTAGCTCGCTGCGCAATTTACCTATATATGGATGTATATACTTACGATCGCTGATTGTTGGTGGTTGAGACTTCGTGCCGTTTGGATAACTCGCCTGAAATCCACGAGTATATGTGAGCAATAAGAATACCATGAATTTATGTTTAGTTTCGATCTTGTTTTACTTATTTCGTTAGTGGTTTTACGCTCTGAATAATTCTTTTCAGGGGGCTAGGTATCTTAGGTGGTAATAGGGGCCGCGTACTAGGTACCTACCTTATAGTATGTCTCATAGAAGGCCTAAAAGGCGGCCGAGTGCGGAAACCGGGATGACGTGCTTTAAAGCATGCCGGCTAGTTGGAACCGAGCCGGCAGCAAAAACTGCCCCGCCAAAATTATTTCTTAGGCCATTAAGACCATTTCCTCTCTCCGTCACATCTTATCCTCACACTACGCCGCCAGAGCGAGAGGAATTGGTGGTACAAGGACCGACAGACACCATGTTCCGACACAGCGTGCGACGAATATCGACGACGGCGCGCAGGGCCGCGGCAGCTGCTGCTCCCGTGGCCGCGAAGCCCCCGAGCCCGCATACGCTCGCCGTGTCCAAGGCGCAGGGCATTGCGAAAGGGCTGACTGGAGGTACGACGGTGTTTCGTTTTTTTCCTTTCATAGCATTACACTTCTCTTATGACATGGGACGCTTCAATTGCGCGCTACTTAGGCTCGATTCCAATTCGCAATTGCAATCCCAATCCCAATCCCAAATATTAGAAATAAGTCCAGATAGCTAACCCCAACCCTCGAGTCCAGCAATCGGCAACACGCCCCTCATCCGCATGAACACGCTCTCGGAGCAGACGGGCTGCGAAGTGCTCGGCAAGGCGGAATTCATGAACCCCGGCGGGTCGGTCAAGGACCGCGCGGCCTTATACGTAGTACTCGACGCGGAGGAGCGCGGGCTGCTGAAGGCGGGCGGCACGGTGGTCGAGGGCACGGCGGGCAACACGGGGATCGGGCTCGCGCACGTGTGCCGGTCGCGCGGGTACCGGCTCGTCATCTACATGCCGAACACGCAGTCGCAAGGCAAAATCGACCTGCTGCGCCTTCTCGGCGCCGAGGTCCACCCCGTGCCCGCCGTCGCCTTCGACCACCCCGAAAACTACAACCACCAGGCGCGGCGCCACGCCGAGCGCCTCGAAAACGCCGTCTGGACCAACCAGTTCGACAACACGGCGAACCGCAGGGCGCATATCGAGACCACGGGCCCCGAGATCTGGGCCCAGACCGGCGGCAAAGTAGACGCGTTCACGTGCGCGACCGGCACGGCGGGCACGCTGGCGGGTGTCACAAGGTACCTGAAGGAGGCGTCGGACGGCCGCGTCAAGTCCTACCTGGCCGACCCGCCCGGCTCCGTGCTACACTCGTACATCCAGTCGGGCGGCAAGCTATCCGAGCGCAGCGGCGGCAGCATCACCGAGGGCATCGGTCAGGGCCGGATCACGGATAACCTGGCGCCGGACCTGAAGCTATTAGACGGCAGCCTGCATATCGCGGACGAGAAGAGTCTCGCGATGGTGTACCGCTGCCTCGACGAGGAGGGGCTGTACCTGGGCGCGAGCTCGGCGCTCAACGTCGTCGCTGCTAAGGAGGTCGCCGAGATGCTGGGACCGGGGCACACGGTGGTTACGATGCTGTGCGATGGCGCGTACAGGTACGCCGACCGCCTGTTCTCGAGGAAGTGGCTCGAGAGCAAAGGGTTGCTAGGCGCGGTGCCCAAGGGGTTGGAGAAGTACGTCGTGCTACCTTGAACATACCTAGGTACTTGAAGAGGAGGGGGTGTGTAAAAATAATAGAAATGAAGAGATGAAAAGATATTTCGGAAGGAAGACTTCATTTAGTTGGGCGATGGCGTTTGAATAGACGCGCATATACATACGAGCAAGCAAGCAAGCAGGCAAGAAGTCAAACAGGGGTTTGCTTGAAATCCATGGTAGATCGGGCGTGCCGTTCTGTAAATATTGTATGTACAAGTACAATTGCGGCGATAGCTACCTACCGGTATTGTTACATCTGAGCTGATCTAGATCTCAGCCGACCTGGCCTGACCTGACCTGACTTGACCTGTCCCGTCCCGTCCCGTCCTAGACCGATCTTCGCACAAGCCTAATCCGGTCTGTTTAGACATTATTCATCTGACTCCAGCTTTTCTGTTTATTGCTTCAGCTATTTCCATCTTCCACCGTCTTATCTTCCACCTTCACCCCATCCTCTTGCTCGCCCTGCCTCACGTTCTCGCCCTCGAACACCTGCCGCCACGTTACTTCACCTATCTCCCCAGATGCCGTCTTCCTCGCCTCCTGGATCTCCGCGTCCAGGTTATCCCGGCGTTTTTGCAGCTGCGCCGCGAGCTCCGAGTGTTGGGGGCCCTGGTCTTGGAGGACCTTGACGGCGGCGTTGAGGCCGTACAGCCACGGCGCCGCTAGCTTCACGAATTTATTGTTCCTAGACTCAGAGATGTACAAGAACGGTCCGCCGCGCTTGAACAGGGCGGCGGGCTGCGTCTGCCTCAGCGCCTTGTCCTCCTCCCACAGCAGCACGATCTTCGTCGCGTACTTGACGACCTTATCGACGACGTCGGCTTCGGCCTCGGCGCCCTGCTTCAGGGCTAGCGCGGCGGCTAGGTGCAGCGGCGACAGGAGCACCATCGGGTCGCGGGGTAGCGGCAGCCAGCCGGGGGGCGGCGGACCGTCTTTCTTCTTGAGCGTGGGCTGGTGGTCCTCCTCCTCGAGCAGGTCGACGACGATCTCGGCCCAGCGCAGCGCCTTCTCGGTCGCGGCGGGGTCCCAGTCCGAGAAGACGGCCTTCATCTGGATGAAGTGCAGGACCTCGTTGACCGTCTCGCTCTCGTCGAGCTTGAAGCCCGTGCGCTTGACGCTGCGCGCGAGCTCGACGATCTTGTAGATGTGGCCCTTCGTCCCCACCACGCGCACGAGCTTCGCCAGCGTTTCCACGCTCAGCTTCCGGTTCGCCGCGGCCAGGCCTTCGATAAGCGGGCGCAGGTTATCGAAGTCGGCCGGCTCGGAGAACAGGTCGAGCGCGCGGAACAGGATCCGTTTGGTGGATGGCACACCGCTGTACGGGTCCACGTACCGGAACTTGAAGACCTCGCGGTCGACCTCGATCGTCACCGGGTCCGATTGCAGCTTCTTCTCGTACTTCTTGGCGTAGATCTTCGCCCGCTGGGGTTGGGGGAGGTAGGCTGGTAAGACGATCTTGCGTCGGATTTCGGTAAGGACATCGTCTAGTTCTTGGGAGGAGGCTTTTGAGAAGTATATCATTTCCTCTATAATATATTATTAGACCATTCCTTGGGTTCGAAATTGGCAAATATAGGGATATGTACTTTTTCGTTGAGCGGTAGACGAGAATGTTCGCCGTGTAGACGCCGCTATCCTCCTCGTAGTGTACCCGAGAACGCCATTGCCCACGCGGAATGCGCTGAGCGCCAATTGTCTCGACATGTTTCCAGTCTATACCATCGATTTGGCTCTATGCAGCTTCAATCCTTCTCATCGTATGCTAGGCCGCCAACGTCGTCGAACTGAGTTGTAAAATCCAAAGATTTCACCTTCCCCAAATTCCAAAAAATTTGGACTGGGATGATCGGCCCCCACGTACGCCAAGACCCGACTCCCGCAACAAACTTCCTCCACCCGTTTTTTCTTATCGATAGGCATCTTTCCGGACCCGCACTCCAATCGTCGCTTCAAGATTTCGTCCGTTCCGCAACTTTCACACCTCGAGACGGAGGAGTAGTTCGCAAAAGAGATACTACACGCACGATGATCACCCAATCGACGCGGCGGCCCCTGAGCAGCTGGAAAGCCGTGCTCAGGCGCGCCCGCCAGCAGCAGCAGCAACGAACCCCGGCGGTATTCCGATCGATGGCCACCGAAACCACTCCCACCTCCTCAGAAGCAGCTCCGCCTCCAGCTCCTCCCGCCTCTACCCCTACCTCTAAACCCTCCGCGGGCGCGGTCTCGCTAAAGCATATCACCTTCCGTACGCCTCCCGCATCAGCCTCATCATCATCATCATCCCGCACCCCGCCAGACCATCTCCGCTAACCATTCCCTCACCTCTATCTATCTACGTAGACACCATAAAATCGCCCACAACTCCAAAGAAACCCATCCGCACCGCCTTCGCAGTATACCCGCGCGTCCCCTCAGCCCGCAAAACGAACCCCGCCGCGCTGGAAGCCTACCACGCGCAGCAAATCCGACGTCTCGACCGCACCGGCGCCCGAACCTCGCTCTTCTCCAAAAAGAACCCAGACTGCGCGAAACCAGGCGACGTCTTGCAAGTCACCACCCGCAAGGGGGGCGGGGAGCCGTTCGCGGGCGTATGCCTGTCGATCCGGCGCGCGGGCGTGGATACTGCTATCTTATTGCGTAATCATGTGGCCAAGGTGCCCGTGGAGATGTGGTACAAGATCTACTCGCCCAACGTGCTGGGCATCGAGATCGTCTGGCGCCGCCCCAAGCGCGCCCGCCGCGCCCGCCTCACTTACATGCGCCAGCCCCGCCACGACATGGGCAACGTCGACCACCTCGTCGAGGCCTGGCGGCGCGCCAGGAACGTCTACTCGTCGTCCAAGGGCGGCGTGGGCAGGGGGGGCAAGGGGCAGAAGGGCGGGAAGCGGTAGGATGGGCTTGGTTGGTTATGAGAGAGGGGTGATGACTTGGGGTGGTGGGGAGATATACGAAAAAGACATGAAAGGAGAGAGGAGGGCAAGTAGATTCGTTCCCTCTTGATCTTGGTGGTGAAATCGGTATGTTGCGTGTATAAACGCGTACTGGTTCTGTAGACATGTACCATAGGAATACAATCCACCAAATGCCAAAATATTGATATACCAAAAAGGGGTATAAATCACTTCAACGTGGCTCTTAAACGTACCTTTCCCTCCTCATTCAGTAAAGACAGCTATTCCGTCAGTCAAAGACTTAACACGGTTGTATAAGTATAAGACACTGAATAGATCTGTTTTCTAGCTTTATAAGTCTCTAAAAGATAGGACATTATAAGAACGAATCGTTTACTAGTTTAACAAAGTTTTGATTGTTTAACTAGCTGAGTACCTGCCGACATTAGGTAGGCTAAGATAATATATATACGATAAATAACCCGTTGCTTATTTCATGATAGCCAAAGCTAAAAAAACGTGGGACAGGATATACTGTCTCCTGCATAGGTTATCCTGCTCCCATGAATCCTCCCGAGCCTGTATAACCTAAACATGACGCTTAAAAGAAAAGTGAAGCATTACATATCCCCTCTCTATCCCAAGCCCGAGCTGCCGTCTCTAATGTTGTCTGTGTTCTGTATGCAATTCTAGTCTAATTCGCTCCTCATCCCCCTATTTGCCCCATCATGAGAAAGGAACGTGGAAATATTACTCATCCTGTGCTCCCGAGATACCACTGCACTCTCGGTCCTGTACGTCGCGGCCTCCAAGGATTGCTGGATCCTGACTCCCGTCTAATATGTTCGGTGTTGCGGGCGCTTTCCGGCGTCGGCTGCGATGCCGCTCGTCCGGGTTGGTTAATTATGGGTTCCTTCAGTCCCGGCGACTTCACCCATCCAGTCGGGCTTTTCCTCCACTAATAGTCCACGACCGGCTGCGTATCGGCTCTCTTCCTCTGTCTGACAATCGGTTCTGGCAGGTCGCCGTTTTCTTCCGTGCCGGGATCTGACGTAAATTTCTTCAAGGTCTCTAACCTAGCTAATCCTATAGAGCTCTCTGTCTTCGCTATCGACAGATGTGGCGGATATGCTGGTCCAGGGTGCAAGAGACTTGAGAAAACATGCCTTCTATCCACGCTACGACTACGGCCCCTAGCCGCGCTTGAAGGTCTATGAGACTGATGTCCAATGGACATGGCGGAATGGCGACGTTGTAATCTCAAATCAGCATCTTCGGCCTCCTTACGGTTAAGATGCTCGCTGGGTAAGAGGACGGCTCTGTCAAGCCCGTACGGCAAGCCACGGTGGCGGCCACGGATCTGCATTGCAATGATGACAAGTTTGCCAACGACACTAAATTGGGAACATAACGAAGCGTTGACGTTAGGGTATCCCAAGCTGAGTCCAACCGTGCCATAAGCGCTCACAACCTCGAAGAGGACTGCGAACATGGAGAAGTCGCCCGACATAAGACGCGAACCTTCGGAAATAGAAAGGATGAAATAGCCGACGAATATGTACCACAAGTCGAAAGAGAGCTGGCGGCGTAAATGGGTTCCCACGTACGACATATTGCTCTGCTCAGTGTCGTCGGCGTCGTAATGCGAGCTGTACACTCCGAGAGATTTCTCCTCGTACACGTTCGTTCTACGAATCGAGATAGCGACGGGAAAGACGGAAATATACATCATGATCAGGTACGACGTTTGGACAGCTGGATGGATCAGAGCTAGATTAATACAAGAGAAACCAGCCGTTCGAGTAGACACAGCTTGAAACCATCCGTCGAGGAAACGGATATTGAGCGGCAGTCCATCAACCGCTCCATCGTGGAGCTAAGCACGTGGTTAGTTGTGAAAGCTATTTAGGTTTCGCTATATGGAACTCACGTCAAGGATAATGAACAGTATCAGGTCCACCCCGTTAAGGACGACCAGGATGAAGAATAGCCACCAGTTAGCATTAGCTGGGAAAAGAAGCGTAAAACATCGCCGCGGGTGGTCGAGGAGGAATTTTAGTTCCTCCCAGAGACCGGATCCGCGAGGTGCGATTAGAGAAAACAGCCATATCATGAAACGAAGCATGATAGGGAAGCCAGTGTTCCCCAGTATGACGAGAAACGACATGACCAGAAGCGGGAAAATGGCGGTATTGAACGAGTTCATGCTATCGGGGGTAAGGGTCATGCCAAGATCCATGAACGCGGAGTTCGCCGTGAAGAAACCCCACCATACCCTGCTCTGACCAACATCGTCGAGGATATGGCCATAGTAATCGTTGTTGTTGACAATCCATGGCACTAGAGTGATCATCCCGAATATGGTGTATCCAAAGAAATAGATCGTAAGCACGAGAGCCAGCGTCTTCAATGATCGGTATTCTATGCCACCTAGCTCTTCTCTCTGCTCCTCAGAGAGCCCGAGGAACTCGGAGTTTCGGCCTAAAGTCGGCTGCCAACTCAAATATGGCGGGTCCTCTTCTTTGCCCTGTGTCAAGGCAGTCTTGATTCGATGGAGCGGGTTGATCCGAGAGGCCGAAGTAGCTGTGTCGGTATGGTGCAGCTTTTCCCCTTCCTTCCTAGGCTTATGGGGTTTTAAGGCACCGAGCGTGTGAGCGGCCGCCTCGGCATCCTCGACCACCCGTTCTGGTAAGTCGTGCTCATCTCTACGCGGCCTCACAGGTTCCTCAATAGTTATAGTCGGTTGGCGATCAGGACGAGTTGCAAATCGTAAAGGAGAAGTTGGTCGACGGGGACCCTCGACACTCGACTCCCTTCGCTTGCGATTCGCAGGGTCGGGTCCCTCGGCACCTTCTTCGTCCACTTCTTCCGGTAGCGCTCCCCCGTCGGCTTCTCGAGGTCCAGGAATCCTAAGCACGCCCTTATCCGCCTTGCGCTGCCTCTCTAGAATCGCAATATGCTCTGCATCAGAGCGTTTAGCGGGCAGCAAGGTTCCGACGTCTTGAAAATCAAGCGTGTCGCTCCTCCTAACCTGATCAGAGAATTTTATTTGTGGCGTAGTAAGACGTTGAATGGGATGATCTTCGTCTTTCGGATCTGCCTCTTCCTGGTCCGATTCGTCGTGATGGGCAGAGCCGTTCAAGGGCGGTTCATGCTTCGTAGCTCCTTCAATCGTGTAATTATTCAACAAGATGCCATCATTCGTCATACGAGATGACTTAGCAGTGTTGTGCATCACCGTAATATTTCGCCCGTTAACGCCCTTTTCTGCGTCTGCGATAGTTGGTTTCGACTTAGAGCGCGACTTAGAAATAGAAACTCGTCTTGTTCTGGCTTCTCTCACGATGTGCTGAAATCGTTTCTCGAACCAGTATAGACGTAGGAAGACCACAGAGGAGTGAATGGTGATGGGATTAGATATCATGGCTAGGAAGTATATCACCAACTGCTGGAAGGTGTTGAGGGTATTCACGTCAACGGTATTAAGTCCCGCCTGTGTGTTGGCACCGCTAGCAAAGAAGAGAGCATCGATGTAAGCCAAGTTGCCTCTTCCGGAAGCGAAGAGCAAGACGGATCCTACAATAGTCCATCCGACAATCCAAAGGTCTCGAAAGTGTTAGTTGGACATAGGTATCATAAAATCAGACGAGAAAAACGTACAGTGGGCCGTGATAAAATTGAAATGTGGGTTTTTAGACAGCAAAGATGGTCGAAGAGTCTGGATGAAATCCAAGACATATTGACGGGTGCTGCCCATGATGGCTAAGTTGCTGTATATCCAAGAGAGGGCTTTTTCCGTTAAAGCCTAGAGTAAGAGAAGAGAAGCCAGTGTTAAAAAGCCACCGAATCGTAGACCTGGCTCATAAGGTCACTGATGAGAGGGCGAGTTCCGAACATGATGATAGTCGTTCGTTTCGAGGCTGTATAAAGTCAATCAAGGCAATGCGCGGAAAGAATTGATGAAATTGTGTAGGCCAAACATTAAGCAATCAAGTGCAACTTCAGCTACGAACAAGACAGCTTGGTGGAAGGTGAGATGAGAGGTTTAAAGAGTTGACGAGTAAGTGCTAAGTCTCGGCAGATAGATGCCAGTGGCTTATTACCACATCGTAAGACAGGAATACAAAGAGGGCTGAGACAACAAAAAAGGGAAGCACGAGACGCCGTGGATTGGTCAAACGGATGTCTTGTGCCAAGCTTTAGACACTGCTAGAAAAAAATAATTGGAAAATAAAATTGAAATGTTTGTAAGATATTTAAAGATGATAACTGATAAATGGTAAAACTATTTTAACTTACTCCCATTAATTCATCGTCACGATATATGAGGCCGCTACGTGTTACGCGAGGTGTCGAGAGTCGCTCGGAAGGACTTGTTTCTAAAGGATAGTTGGATAATAGTTGGATAGTTGAAGTTGAAGTTGGAGATGGCGGAGAATCAATGGGATCTTATCCACCAAGAGACTTGGTCAAGGACTAAAGCTTGTTGGTGGTAGGCTCGCTCGGTAATGAAAATATGGATGGAAATGACGGAAGAAACGAAAGAGGCGACACCTTCCGTTGAAGCACGACTCACGGATCGTGCTTAAGTGGACCTTAAGAGTCTTAAGACTTGATATGTACGTAACTTTGATTGGCACTTACCTATACTGAATGTAGATAGCTTAACTCACTCCCTCGCACCTCCAGTATCTCAACGTTTTTTTTTCTTCTTTTTTTTATGCGTCCAAGCTCGACATAAGATAAAAATAAAAGGGCTTATATTGGCCCGATAGGTTGCAATTTGGGGGGTGAGAAAAGAAATGCCAAGGCTAAAAACAAGCAGGCCTTCAAAAATTTTCAGCTAAACGATGTTTTTATTTTATTTTATCTTATGTTTTCAAAATAATGACGGATGAGAAGGGAGACCCTGGTCTTCCTAAACCTTCGATGGGTCCGAGATTGATGTACTTGACATGGGGTTGGACCACAGATAGCCGGCCAACAGCGCGTTTTGAATCTAACACAAACCACAAATCCTTTTCCTCTTTGGTAGACTAACAGGGATTAAGACGTGTCTGACTGACTAACACAGCATGTAGCTTGTCTACTAGCCTGAAATCCGTGTGTAAGTATATGCAAGAGGTGCAAGAGGAGAGGGTCACTAATGTCAACCGGGTAGTAGTAAGTTTGGGGCCGCCGGCAAGTGCTGCTACGTGACGGAAAGGCTAGAAGCTTTCCGCAAATTCCTGAAGCTCTGCGAGTTCCTCTGTAAGCCGCGTTGCAACTCTGTAAGCACCCGGCATCTAAACCATCTGAATCAACATCATCGGCAGTCCCTGCCGACTGTTTCCAGAAGGGCCTAGACTCTTTGTCCTTCTACTTCGTCCTGTAGAATCGTATATCCAGATCGTCCGAGTTATGTGGCCTCCATCTGCGGAATTTGGAGATGGTTGAAAAAAACCGGAAGCTTTATATGGACGTTACAAGGTAGCTACACGCTACCTGAGGCGCAGGGGTTCTTAATTGGGTTTAATTGGCTTGACTGCAACCATTCAGCATGTGATAACAAAGTACATCCTTCGAAAAATGTACATAAATACGTCTTTTCGGTGATGATGTCACACCTAAATTGTGCGATGTCGACGCGGTCGAAAGCGCAGGTACGATTTGTCAATCGGTTTTCTTGGCAGACTTCTTAGTATTTGCATATCAAGATGATATGCCTATAAGTAGGTATCCATTATGTACCCATACCTAGTACATTTAAATGCTTAGGTACATATCTACGTATCTAAGTACGGAGGTATGAAGGAATTTGCAAGAGAGGGATGAATAAAGCTACGGTCTCTGTAGGATGGTAGAACAGAAAAAAAGCCAAAAAAGCAACGGGCTGATGGCTTCTACACCGACATTACCTACCATTAAATATTACCGAAAAAAAACTATGTAGCAAATGCAACTCGAGATAAGCCTCTCTTGAACCCCCAACCCTCCATCAATGTCACCCTAATCGCATGCCGTGAATGTCAGCCCATGTCGTGCAGTGTTTTGAGCAAATTTTAGATAAATCCCGTAGCCACGCAATATGCGAGCGATAGGTTACATTTCATACGTAGCACTGCAGCCTTCAAGGCTACGATCCGTGGGATGGTGCATCTGTCCATTGTGCTGGAAACACTAAGCTACTATAGTACGCCCGGATAAAGTACCTAAATTTGAGTACACGTCGACTACGTAGGTAGCCGTCTATGTTGGAGGCAGCACCAAGGACGATACCCCATCAGACCATCTGTGTAGGTAGCTTACCAAGGAATAAAGCCACCTGCCTAACCTGCACTGAAACTCGTTGTTGTTCTTTTGGGGTATATTCGCTCCCCATACAGTCTCGAAATGCCCATTGACGCCGTCCCCCCGTTTTCGTACTCCCGATCCATATCTTACACAGTACCGTGCGCAATTCACCTAGCGCTGATTTTTCAATCGTTCTTTTTCTCTGGATATCTTCTTGAAGAAGGCATTGCTCTGCGCCGGCTTCTTCTTGAGCCCTTTGTTTCCCTTCCTCTGCTCAATATATGCCATATCCCTTCCACCACTAAGTTCAACCAGCTCGCCAGCCGTACGCTTGAAGCGACCTTTCTTCTTGATCCCGGGCCCATAGAATAGGTCATCCGCGACATCGTCCCATTCGGTCTCTTTCTTAGACTCTGTGTCAATCACGATGGTCTGGAGTAGTTCGCGACGCTGCTGTGCCGTTTTGTAAACAAGGCCCGGCATCTCTTCAATCCCTGTCAGTTGCGTGATAACTTTGAAAGAGTAACCTTGGTCTACCAGGAAAGCCTGTCGCTTAGTTGAGTAGTACATTTCAGGTGTATCTCTTGAGACTAATGAGTAAAAAAACGCGTTAAATCCCTCGTCCGATCTACGTTTCGCTCGAAGGATACGGCCTAGTCTCTGCGCTTCCTGACGACGAGATCCATAGTGAGACGAAATTTGGATTAGACAAGTCGCTTCCGGAAGATCCAGAGATGTATCACCGATTTTTGACAAGAAAATAGTCTTGACCTCGGGATTGTGCATGAAGTTTTCTAAAACTTCCATACGCTCCATGTTAGACGTAGATCCACAGATAAAAGCCTTTCCTAAAGTCACGGCGATGGACCTAAGGGCGTAGACATTGTCAGAAAAGACAATAATCTTGTCCCCTCGTTTCTCGTGGTAATCGATCAAAAACTGGCAGGCTTGGATCTTGCGCGGATTCATGACGTATAGATTCTGTTGGAGACTCCGATTCTTCTTTTGTCGGTTGAATTCGTCAAAGAACTCGGCCGTCATCGAACACCAGACTTCAGCACACTGAACCTTGGCTATGTGGCCTTGTTCTGATAATTCCATCCAGTTTGCCTCGTATAATTTTGGACCAATGAGGAAGTTCAGATCGGAGATCTTGTCATCTTCTCGTAGGAGTGTTGCAGTTAGGCCAAGTTTCGCGTGGCTCTTGATCGAGTGCGAGACCTTGCGGAAAATGGCGGCAGGTACTACGTGAACCTCGTCTAGCAACATTAGACCCCACTCTTTCTCTCTCAGGAACTTCATGACCTTCTCCGAATCGTGAGCCCGTTTCTTGCCCGAATTCGTCACCATAGGATACGTCGTGACAATTATCCCGGTATTACCAGGGAACTTCGCCTTATGATCCGATGTGAAGAGGGCAATATCTTCGGGTCTGATGTTGGACCATTTCAAGAACTCATTGCGCCATTGGTTCGCCGACATTGTGCTAGTACAGAGAACAATGCATCCTTTTTTGATTGTACATGCGGCCGTAATGCCAACCAAGGTCTTGCCGGCACCACAAGGTAACACAATAATACCACTCTTCGCTCGCCCGTTTCCGAACATCTTGCTAAGACTTTTCTCTTGGTAACTTCGAATTTGTGTAGCGGGTCGTAGATCAATCTCGAGGTTCGCGTTCTTGTCATCGTTGCGAAAATCATACTCTTCTAACATGGGGTACTGGATTTCTAAAGCGCGCTTCTGAACGACCTCGATGGAAGAGTCTTCGATCTGAAACGCGTGCACGGCCTCCTGGTTGTCATCATCGTCGTCTTCTCGTAAAGCGTCATAGGGGTTTTGGACTTGTGCTGGTTCGGTCGATTCCTGCTGCGTATTCTCATCCTTCTTGAGCTGTGCTTGCTTTACTCCTGCGGCATTGGAGGTACCGGGAATGACCAAACCGCCCATAGAAGGGGCGCTGGTGACTGTCTCGGTACCTTGAACACGGCATGGCCCAATAACAGGATCTTTTAATAACTTCTGCAAGACTTCGGGATCAGTGCTCTCGACGAAGTATTTCGTATCCTTGATGACCAGCTTCACTTTCCCGTAACTAGAAGCACAACTTCCAATGAAGCCTATAATCGATTCCGGGACACGAGTCTTAGAGAAACGTTCCAAGGTATTGATGATGTCTCGTGGCTGTAATCCAACCGATACAGCCGCATATAGACTGTGGCTGGTAAGAGCATACTCGTGGATGAATGTTGGACGCGACAAAGGTTCGGCAACGGTAATAAGGAAATCTTTCGCTTGTTCGGCTAAGGTACTGAAGTTCTCTAGGATAATTCGCCCTCTCTGAGGGTCTATCCAGATAGGGCGGTTCTTGAAGTCGGGTTTCAGCGGCAAATATGAGAAATCACGCCTGCCATCTCTAAAAAATCTTCTCGAAGTCCAGTCCTCTTCGTGTGATGCCCTGTCTCGGAATGTCGCGAGCGAAAAGCGATCTACAGCTTTTTGTATCTGTTCCTCGTTTTCGGGTGGCAGCTCTTCCGCGGAATCCGAGTCATCGTTACTACCGATGGATCGAGGAGTGGAAGGACCGGGAGTAGAGGCTGTAGAGGCTCTCCTCGATTTGGAGGGCCCTGACACATCTTCAATTCAAAATTATTAGTTTACTTTCTTTTAAAAAGTAACAATAATAGCATAGGAATAACTCACTCGCCGAAGCCTTTCTCTTGGGCGGCATCTTGGCAAAGATGTGCTTTGCGTGATGTGGGTAAAAAGAAAAAAGAATATTGAGGTAGAACAGGTTTGGAATAGTGATTTGATTTGGGACCTTTTAGAAGTTAATGGAGGCGAGGTAAGTTTGGGTGGATGCAATGTAGGTGCAACCTTGTACCTACTAGTACCAGGTTAGATTATGTAATGGACAGAGAAGCTTCTACCAATCGGAGAATTTCCAGTGACGCGATGAAATCTATACTTGCAGGTGGGGCGAAACTACCGGCTGATGATAGCGAAACTCACTAGATTATGGAAGTACCTTAAAGCACTTGATTAAGTAGCAGAACGTTAGCTGCTTATATAACCCTGTCACCGCCTTCTGCAGGCACTTTAGCACTATACTGGACCGCCTTTAACATTCTGATTTTCTGCCGGTAGAATGGAATTCTTCTCAACCCCCACCAACACCATCAATACTTTCACCCCACCACAAGTTGCACCCTGGAACTTCATATATCACAATTCCGAACGGTACGCATTTTTTACCCGTCCTCAAACTGCTTTGGTAAAGTTCCAAATTTATGAGCAAGACTATTGCACTTTTCCACTGCTTTTGTTAGGGCTACCTAACATACACCTTTCGACACGCAACAAGTGTTCATTACTCTAACCATTCATCGCCTGAATTCCGTTACGACATTGCAGGAATGGCGACTCATACTGCTATGGCCCAAGGCAGCAATGCCTCCATCCGAGGCTCACTTGAGCAACGCGTTGGCATTATCCATTATGTATCACAGAAGGAACATGGTTGGTCAGGGCATACCCGGACAAGGTATGTACATCATATAAAATGATATTAACATTCATCTCAAGGTTTATCCAAATATGCAAGTGAGTGCTAATAATTATTAGATTCACTGATTTCCAGGTCAATGAGATTGGCAAAGACGGTAAGGTCATACATCTACACGACCTTCAGACGAACGCCAAAGACTTAGCGAAGACCGTGAGTCTATCCGATTGTCTATATGATTAACGATTACATTACTGACCCAACTGTAGGAGCCTTCTCAACAGCCGACAGCGAAGCCCCAGTTTTCTTCATCTCAGCTTCAACAAAAAAGCTCGACAGCTAGTAGTAATGGTGCTACTACCGTGAATGCAGAGGAGCCTATTAACATCTCTCAGTCTGATCGATCGACCTTGGTAGAACTCCTTGGTCAAACCACCACGGAAGAACTAATTGACCTCTACGTTAAAGCCAACGTGGGCAAGAAACTGGCCTCTAATACTCCTATATTTGTTAAGATTTCTGCTATTACCGAGAAGTCGCAAAGATCTCGAGTCCATACCGTAAGTTCTGCCGTCTTCCCAGTTGCATAAAATTGATTTCGATTAGGAAATTCGCCGCATCTTCAATAGTAAGATCGACACATCCACCGACGGTGATGGATCTATCAAGGCGGCACTTGTTGGCAGGGGCAATCAACAATGGGGCAATCGTTACAGGAATGAAAGACCCAGCCACAACGGACGGCATGCTGGTCAGGGCAATGACGGGAAGTTCCTGCACTTCACCCTCTATAAAGAGAATCGCGATACTATCGAGGCGATCAACCAAATCGCCCGTTTCCTCAATCTGAAGCCCGCCTTCTTCGGCACGGCTGGAACTAAGGACCGACGTGCTGTGACCTCCCAGAGGGTTAGCATACGAAGACGCAATCCCCAATCGATGACCAGCCTCAACGCAAAGTTATACGGTGTTAAGATCGGTGATTTTACTTTCGAAAATTACCCAATCCATTTAGGACAGCACCGTGGTAACGAGTTTGTGATCGTTCTCAAGAACTGCCACTTCAATGGAACAGAAAACCTGACCTTCGAGCAAAAACTCGACATCGCGAATACAACCATCACGTCTGCGTTAGAACAGGTCAACCAGAATGGCTTCATCAATTATTACGGTACTCAGCGATTTGGTACGCACCGCATAGGAACCCAAGAGATCGGTATGATGATCCTTAAGCAAGATTTCGAAGGTGCGGTGCGAACTTTACTGTCTTTCGATCCCGATTTGATAGACCCATCCGATTCCGGTTCCCTTGCGGTGACTCGACGTGAGGATGCTGCCCGCGCGCGGGCTTGTTGGGTCTTCTCAGACACGGGCAACGTCCAAGATGCCCTAAAGTATCTTCCGAGACGATGCCATGTCGAATCTACGCTGATACGTCACCTCGGTAGACAGCCCAAGGATTATATTGGAGCTCTCCTCTCGATCAGTCGGGGAATGCGAACGATGTACGTCCACGCATACCAATCTTTGGTATGGAACTTTGCCGCCAGCAAACGTTGGGAACTCTACGGCCAGCAAGTAGTCAAGGGAGACCTTGTTATCGTCGAATCCTCGCAAAGCGATCACCAGACTGCACAAGATGACGAAGAGACGATTCATCTCGTGGATTCGGATTCAGTTACCGAAGAAACACGTGGGCTCAAAGCACACGCTCTTACAGAGGAAGAGGCAAACAGTGGAGCATATTCTATCTTCGATGTCGTTTTGCCCTCTCCTGGCTGGGATGTTGTATACCCAGACAACGAGGTTGCAAAATTTTACGAAGATTTCATGGCTATGGAGGAGAATGGTGGCCTAGATCCTCATAATATGCTTCGCCGGCAGAAGGATTTTAGCCTTCCTGGTTCATATCGCAAGCTGATAGGTAAATTCATTGGCACTACTACTGCCTCTGTCCGAACCTACACCAACGACTTAGAACAGCTTGTCCCAACGGACCTAGACTTAGTACAAAGTCGCAAAGCCAAAGAAGCAGCAGAGCGTGCTGCAGCTTCCAGAAGCACGAACGCTCCGTCATCAGCTTGGCAAAGCTTTGTCAACAATGTAGAAGACGCAGAGCATCGAGAACTTCGCGCCAGGGCCGAGCGACGAAAGGCGGAGGAAACCTCCGTCGAACCAGAGTATCAAGCAACAGATACCTGGGTACAAACTTCAGTCGATGGAAGTAACAAACGAGTTAAAGTTGCAACGCATACCGACGAGGTTAAGCCTGAGACTCAAAACACTACATCGCAGGAGATAAGTGCAAGTGAGATTCAGGTGGATGACCACATAGCAAGAAAGCCAGATACAATGGATGGAACGCAATCGACAAGCGAGGATAATCAACATCCCACCGCCTCAATTGCCACCACTATAACTTCACAGGTGCGAAACGCTATCAATGTTGTTACGGGGCTCCTTGTGACAGCAGCTAGAATATGTGCTAACAACAGTATCATTAAGACCGTTACCGATGCTATTACATCCCAGGTACAACCCGGACATCCTGTGACATTCCCCTCGGAAAGCACTCACATCAGTGCATCTTCGACACTTGGCCAAGAAATGCCAGGCGACAAGAATGAAGACGGCGTATACGCAGCGAAAAACAGTGATCAAGCAACAGACACGGCCACTAGCGATACCCCAGTGGCCCAAGTAACCCACACAGAATCTCCTACTCCTACTGATGATAAGAAAATAGCAGTAATTCTTCGATTCGCACTGAACACCAGCCAATACGCCACGATCGCCCTTCGTGAACTACAGGGAATGCCCCCTGCAGACGAGGATGCCGTCAACTCCTCTTAAAGAGATTACCTTTAACCCCAGAGGAGGCAACTTTCTAGGGCAATTCTTGTCAACTTGTAACTGTCTAGGTTTACATTATTGTCCTTGGACATTGTTCACTAGTCTCCAAGTGAACTTGAAGAATTCAGATGGAAAGGGATCGATACATATCAGTCGGAGCTGAGATATTTCTCCATCGGTAAGATCCTACGTTCACGAGAGCTACTAACTCAACTTCCCGACTCAACGCGCGCTTCCTTCAACAAGCGAAAGATATGCGCAGTAAAAATGCACAATGGGTGGCGGGACGGCGGGCCCTAGGCTTACGATTACTGCTGCATAATGATGGATGGTGGATATGATCAAGATACGATAGCATAGGCTTCAGGACAGGCCATACGACCGCAAACAAGGCTTGCACAAGTACTTATACATAATGAGATACCCCGTTTGCTTCTGAGATACTAATTGATATTGGCATGACTATAATTTTATCTGAATTGTGATGTTGGTGTCCTCTTACGCGCCTAACCAATGTGTGGGACAATCAGAAATCGGAGTCGGACTTGATTATTGTAATCCGTTTGTAGAATGGCAAGTTCTTTCCCTAATTTAGGTAGTCGATCATTGACAAGGTCAATAGGAACGTGAGCAATCGGCTCTTTCCACGGATGATGTTCCTTTGTTTCGTTGGTCGTGACAAGTTCTAAACTTGTCTTAGTCCTTTGTCGGGTTGAACAGCTAAGTCGTATTTCCTGTTTGTAAACTTTGCCTCTTACATGTCAACCCAATCGCCTAGAACACTATCCATCAAATAGACCTAGGTAGTTTAGATCATCATATACTCAGGTACTATCTTTTGGTCCATTGCCGCACCTATACTTTGGACACATACACTTCATCCCACTGAGTAGGAATGAAGGTCAACGACAGGCAAGCTAAACAAACTTACTTATCGAGTACCTAGGCATTTTGATTATGCTCTAGAAGTTTAGAATGAGCATGCTCGAACGCTTAGCGAGGTATAATCAGGGCACCAGATCCCGCCGCGATATACCAAAACTAAATATAAAACCCAAACCCGGAGGCATCAATGACGATGGACAAGACCGTAGCTTTATTAGCAGGCAACGGGAAATCGTGAACCAGGTGGGACGAATTAAAAGACAAAGTATTATCTGTGGTACATACTCATACTTACTATATAGATCCTAAGCCCGACCGTCAAGCATTTCGGGTTTGACGGGGCCAGTACCTTGCCATTCAGCAGGAAATCGTCGCCTCCAAGAGGTATAAGAAATTCCATTTCCGTCCACTACATAGTTTAAAGAAGGGATAAAGTGGGGATACGTACACCGATTTCTCAGCTCCCTCTGCTAACAACGGATCGATCCCCACCAGCTCGAACGACTGATTCCCCAGAATCGTCCGAATCCGACTTCGACTACGACCGGGTCGCCCTGCTCGACCTCTCGGACTCGGTCCGGGCCAGCCTGCAGCACGACAAGACCATCGGCCCGGACTACGACAAGCTGAGCGAGTTCCTGGAGGCGGCGCTGCGGGACGAGGAGCTGAGGCATCCCGGGCTCGACTTCGAGACGGTGGAGTACGCGCGCCTGGACAAGCTGCTGGCGGAGCTGCTGCATCATGCCGGGTCGCTACGGATCGGCAGCGGGCCGACGAGCGGCGGACTGGGGGCGGCGATGGCGCTGGTGACGCCGATCCGCAGCACGCACGAGACGCACAACCCGCACATCGGCACGTGGACGAGTAGGAACAGCCACGTCGGGGCCGGCCGCAAGCGGGCCGGGTCCGTCGAGCTGCCGCCCAGGTACCGCGCCGACCTCGCCGCGGCTAAGAACCTGCTGCGCGCGTGGCGGCGGCGGTTTCGCGAGCAGTACTTCATGATGGACCAGCACCGGTGCGCCGTGCTGGTCAAGGGCGGGAGGCTGAAGGATGTGAGCTTTGATAGCTCGCTGACGTACGATCTGGGGAAGTGGCATACGAAGGTTAGCGATCCGATTTCGGAACTCGAGAGTAATCTGGGGTTTGAGACGGGACAGTAAGTGTGCTCTTCATTTTCTAGACCCCTTCATCAGTGTTGACGCAGTGCGATCGCGTTGATTGTGCTAATCGTGCCTGTGTGAAAGCTGGTGGCTGAATATTACGTGCGCCGAGCGCGACGGCATAGTGGCGAGCTCGTTCGAGATCCCGACGAAGGGGCGCTACGGAATTACGACGCTGCCGCTCATGACGGGCCAGGAGGAGATGATGCGCCCGAATACGTATAAATACGTGCGCGAGGGCAGGGCGCCGGACATGCACATCGCTCTGATTTCTCAAGTCGGCCGGCAGATCCGAGTCCTTCGGGGCTACAGGTTGAAGAGCATACTCGCGCCACAGGCTGGCGTTCGGTATGATGGGCTGTAAGTTGTGACCGTTTGTGATGAGACAAGATTGACCGACTGACTTGGTGCTCAAGTTTCACCATCAAGCAATACGGATTCAGACAAGATAGCAAGACGGGTGCCTACCGCCTCGAGCTCACCCTCGAGCGCATGCCGGACCAGAAGAAGTCGCTAGAGGAAATTAGGAAGATCCCGAGGCCGTCTCAGCTCGACGACTGGAACTTGTACGAGAAGCTGGAAGGGGACAAGATTAAGTTACTGCAGGGAGAGACGACTTACTTGGAATGGAAGCTTAGACGTCAAGAGGAAAATATAGAAAGAGAGGACTGGAGGAGGGCAAGGCTGTTTAAAGCTTCCTTTTCTCATTAAATGCTGGTCCTGGTCGGGCTCGATGTATTGTTGGCTTAAGCCTCGAGAATAGGGGTGAACGATGATTATGACTACTTAGGTAATTCGAACCTATAAAAGTTCTCTCGCTTTAACAATTTGGTTATAAAAACCTTTCTTCACTTCTGAACTCATCATCTGTGCCTTTTGACTATATTTTTTGTGGCTTGTAGCTCTGTCGTGGAGGTGTGTATGAGGTAGGTAAGTAGAGACACAGTTGCATGACAGCTGCCCACAGCTGGAAGCTCGATAAGCTAAAGCCCACGGCGCCCGCATCAATTTAACGTGGGGCTTTCATTGAAGTCCCCAAATCTTCACCTCATCCAACCACCAATCATCATAATTCGTGATGGCTCCCAAGAAGAAGGCCGACAAAAAGTCGAACGACAAGGATGCCGGTGGGAAAGGCAAAGATGATAAGAATGAGGGCAAAGGGAAAGGTGGTCAAGCTGTCCTAGTCCGACATATTCTGGTAAGTCAGGACTTCGGTCTTTCTCACCTGAATATCATAGGTAGAAACTTACATACGTACGATGTGTAGTGCGAAAAGCACGCCAAGAAGGAAGAGGCGCTTGCTGAGATCTCGAAGAATCCTACTTTAGACCACTTCGTTGCGATAGCTAGAATTTACAGTGAGGATAAAGCAAAGCAAGGTATGACTTCCGTACATATCAAACTACAGTTTAGTGTCAAGCACTTTTCATAGGCTAACTGAGGAATACTAGGCGGTCTTCTTGGCTGGCAACGGAAAGGTCAGCTGGCGCCCGAGTTTGAGAAGGTCGCCTTCGTACTCCAAGAGAGCAAAGGCAGCAACCTCTTCATTGGACAGGCCAAGACGGCTTTCGGATACCACCTTATTGTGGTAGAAGGCTACAGATGAGATATATAAGATACCCAGACTACTAAATCCACCCCACAGTTTACTCAGTAGAAGCATGTCACGGTTGAGAAGAGAGACTTCGCGGAGCATGTTGTAATGCAGAATTTTCCTTCCCGATGCAGTATGGTACCCCTATTTTCTCAGCACCTTTGCCAGCTGAACTCGCCAGTAGAGTACATATCAAGGGTCCGTAGAGGATGTCGTGAAAATCATCCCGATCCACTGTCTAATATCCCCGCGCAACGCCTGTGAAGATCCCCTTTACTGTTCGGTCTGGAAGTAGTTCAGGAGGATGGATCGCTCGGTCGACTCCTCACCCCAGTCCTTCACTACCACGCAAGAGCAGTTGACTACCTTGCGGGCGTTACCTTCCCGGTCCAAGACGCCTGGTAATATTCTGATTAGTTTCCAGAATACAGATCCAACCTGCTCAATATGTACTCACAGAGACCAGCCCATTCGCCTAGTTGCTTGCCGTCGGGGACCTTGATCAGGGGAATCTTGTGTTCGGAGCAGAGCGCGATGACGAGCTTCTTATAGGCCTCCTCTTCGCAGGACTCGTTGAGGACACACATGTGGGCTTGGCGCCGGTCGAGGGCCTTGGATGCTTCGCGGAGACCTCGGGCAAGACCGTCGTGCATGAGCGCAAGCTTTAGGACACCCTTGAGAGCGTCTAGAACGGACATCTGACCCTTGGAGGCATCGGCGGAAACCTCAACCTCCTCGGGAGCATCGGGTGCGTTGTTCTCTTCTACGTCCGACTAAAATCACATCGTATTGTTAGTAAATTGCTTGCGCGCACAGAATGGAAGCCTGGGCACGAGATGCGAGACAGTCGCATTTAAAAGTTCCGACGCCCGAGAAGCTTGGGTTTAATAATAAAATGCAAAAACGTACCATCTTGAATTGTTTGATACCGGTGCGATCCTCGAAGAGCTGCTTGTTTGTGTCGAGATGTGAAGGTGAATTTTGGTGGACGGGGAGGTGATCGTGAGAAAATCAAGAAATGTCACAAAGCCGAAATCACTGGTGAGATTTGATTGTATCAATCAATTGAGGCTTGGGCCAGGGAAGGTGCACTGGGGGGTTTAGTTGTGTATCGCTTAGGGTTAGCTGCCGAAATTTATCCAATTGGGTGAATTCTATTTCTAGCCAAGACCGCCCACCAGAATTTCCTTTGCAAAAAAAGAAATCCACCTAAACTAACGAACTTTTTCACTTTTCTACTTCTACTCCACTCCAATCCATTTACTCCCGTTCACCTTTCTGCACAACACAGAACTTTTGAGCGTCAAGCAATTTCCCACGCTTAAGACCTCCATCGAGGTATGTTATTAAATTTAATCAAGCATCATGACTTGATTCAACCCACCCAATGCGCCCTTCAAGAAGCCAGGGGAGAGCAATCAGAGGTCTACCGCCAGCCGTCGCATCACGATTAACGATTACGATGGTCGAGTCGGACCTCTGATACGCTTCTCCTCTCCAGTACTGAGCGGGCAGAACCCTCCCCAAGCGGCGCATTGGGGGAGGGCACTCTCCATGCTCATGGCTTTTGAAGGCTAACCAAATGTTTCACCTTGCAGATACCTCACATCTATCCACGGACGATCTGAGAATCTCACCCGAACACCGCCAAAATGGTTAAGACTTCGGTTCTCAACGACGCTCTCAATGCGATCAACAATGCCGAGAAGACCGGCAAGCGACAAGTCCTCATCCGACCTAGCTCCAAGGTCATTGTCAAGTTCTTGACCGTCATGCAGCGACACGGTATGTTCAATAATAATTCTTGTTTAATCGTTTTGCACGTGGATAGCTCCCTATACCCACAACAAATTCGGCATGATAACTGGATAACGGTCTCAATATCCCCTACGATCGAAGTCTTTTAAGTTGCCGATAGATCGATGTTTTCTAGCGAAGGAATCTTACACGTTTCTCTGATCAAATCCAACATGAAGTCTTGACGTTTAGTCTTTCGCTACATTTCACTAATATTTGTTTCCTTTTTAGGCTACATCGGAGAGTTCGAGGAGGTCGACGACCACCGATCTGGCAAGATTGTTGTTCAGCTCAACGGCCGCATCAACAAGTGCGGTACCATCTCTCCCCGATACAACGTCCACCTTGCCCACCTCGAGAAGTGGGTTGTCAAGCTGCTCCCTTCTCGTCAGTTCGGTTACATCATCCTCACCACCTCTGCTGGAATCATGGACCACGAAGAGGCCCGACGAAAGCACGTCGCTGGCAAGATCATTGGTTTCTTCTACTAAACGGGATGATAAAAAAAAGGGGGATGGGAATGAACTAAGGGATATGAACTGACTGGGAGCATTTTCGGCGTTGGGGAAGGAATGGATAATGGCCAAGTCGATTCATGGCTTGATTTTCATGATTTCATGAAGCCAAAATACACCACGATACCACGAAATGCTACACTAAGTCCAGTTCTGCAGTAAGCGCTTGTGTTGCCAAGCCCTTTTTGTGCCATGTGAAAATGCAGGTTGTACGAGTGCTCCTACTCCGCACAGGTACTAAGGGGCTATTACCCCATTCCCTAAAAAGCATCTTGGTAATCTGATCCTTCTGTACAACGGTGACCTTTAATTGGAGTTTGAGTTTATTTACTATAAGGTTCTGTCATCCTGTAAAAAACAAAACTAAATAAATAATCCTCCGAAGTTCGTAACCATGATTCAGACGCTCTTCCTTGGTTGTTGGTCTGCAAGGTCTGATATCCTACGTACATGATTTACGGATAATATCGCTAGATCTAGTAGAGACGCGTCACAGTGCGTCTTCGATACAGAGGGTTTGATTAAATGGAATATTTTAATTGGACCAGACGCAGAAAAGTGCCGGGGGGGCTACAACGCTACGTGCACCAGTAGAACCCAGTAGCAACCCGGTAGCAGCTAAAAAATCAAGAATGGATTTGGGAAGGGGCAACTGGAGCAAACTGGGACTTTGTACCTGATCTTCATCGGTCAAATCGGTCAACGGGCCAAAATTCTTTCTTTTCTTGGTCTTTCCTAAACGTTAACAGACCAAGAAGCGGACGGGTCTAACGCCATCATCTCCATATTTCCATATTTCCAATCCAATCTGTCCCTTTGTTACTTTGACCCTTTGACCCACGAAACACGATATACCTAACTAAGGTACATGTTACCAATGTCATTCTTTATTTTGCCATTACCCGACGCCAACAGATCTCGACCGACGTCACTAAGCCTTCCAACACTGGCTTGGACCACGGCCTGAGAGAGCAATGAGGCCACGCCAGTTGGTTCTAACCGGCGGGCTCGTCTTCCTCGGTATATGTGTCGTTAGTCTGTTCCGACTCGCGCCCTCCGGAACCAACCTTTCAGATCTCAAACCCGGCCCTCTAACGCACGGTAAGCCCAGCGCTGGAAAAAATGGCCAGGCACCACCACAACAACAGCAGCAGCCCTTGACGGCCCCGACGCCGTTCGACCCTAAACCGAAACCCGCGCCCGCCGGGTCGCACCCGATATGGTTCCTGATCACGCAGGCGGAGCAGGAGCTCGAGGCCGTCAAGGCGCGGCAGTCGAAGACGCTCAAGGACGCGGTGGCCGAGTACCGGCGGCGGTACGGGATCCCGCCGCCGCCCAACTTCGACCGGTGGTTCGAGTTCGCGCGGGCGAAGGGCACGCAGCTGATCGACGAGTTCGACACCATACACGAGAGCCTGACGCCGTTCTGGGGGCTCAAGCCGGGCACGATACGCGCGCGCGCCAAGGAGGCGCTCGGCTTCGACAACGCGCTGCTCGGCATCCAGATCCGCAACGGCAAGATCACGCACATCCAGGGCGGCGGCGAGTGGCAGCGCGAGGCCACCGCGGGTATGATGGGCAAGTTCCTGAAGTGGCTGCCCGACATGGACCTCTGCTTCAACTTGCACGACGAGTCGAGGGTGGTCGTGCCGCACGACGACTTGTCGAGGCTGGTCAAGAGGGCCAAGGATATTAATATGCCGGCGGCGAACCTCCAGACGAACCCGAGGAACGAGTTCACGTCGAAGCCTAGGGGGTTGAACGATGGGACGAGGTTTGAGGAGAGCAAGTTGACGCGCTTTAACGTGTTTGCGCACCAGCCGACTTGGACACATTCTAGGTTATCTTGTCCCCCCGAGAGTCCTTCGAGAGGATTAGAGGAGGACGAGAAGAAAGACGACATCTCGAAGTACGGTCTAGGAGAGTTGGGTTTCATATACAACATCACCGCCATGTCTGATATATGTTATTCTCCGTCGTTGAGCTCGACGTTTGGCTTCTTCGACAGGCCGAACGCGTATAACATCGTTCATGATCTATTCCCGATTTTCTCCCAATCTAAAATCTCGTCATACTCGGATATTTTGTACCCCTCACCGTGGTACTGGTTTGAGAAGGTGAGCTATGACGAGTCTAAGGACATACCGTGGGCGACGAAGCAGGACAAGCTGTACTGGCGCGGCTCCACGACTGGCGGCTTCAGCCGTAACGGTGGGTGGCGCCGGCAGCACCGTCAACGGTTTGTGCAGAAGATCAACGCGGCCGACAGCGCCAAGATCCTCGTTAATAAGGGAACCGACGGCAACCAAAAGTGGGAGACCAAGGTAGTACCGCGCGGTGATTTTAAGGAGATCATTGACGTGTACTTCTCAGGGGTGGGTCAGTGCGACCCAGGTGACTGTGCTGCTCAAAAGGAGTACTTCACCATCAAGGGGCACGCGGAGCAGCAGGATGCCTGGAACTACAAGTACCTCCTCGACATTGACGGAAACGCGTTCAGCGGGCGGTTCTACGCCTTCCTGAAGAGTAGGAGTCTGGTGTACAAGTGGGCCATCTTCCGCGAGTGGCACCTCGAGTGGCTGAAGCCGTGGGCTCACTACATCCCATTGAGCCTGCAGGGCGATGACTGGCTCGAGGCCGTGCGGTTCTTCGGCGATGGGAGCCTCGGAAAGAAGGAGGCCGAGCGGTTGGCGAACCAGCAGCGCGAGTGGGCGAACAAAGTCCTCCGGCACGAGGATATGGAGGTTTGGTTCTTTAGGCTATTACTAGAGTAAGTCTTCTCCCGCGAGCCTCGTATAGGATGGGTGATGGAGTGCTAATGAAGGTGTAGGTATGGCCGAGTGGTTGACGACGACCGCGCGAATATCGGATTCGCGGTGGGAAGCACGGCCGGCGCACAGGTCCCCGAGAGCAATACGGAAGAGGCGGGGAAGCCGCCAGTTAACGAGCAGTAGGGAAGTACCAGAGCAGGAAAGGGCGCTAATGCGAGATACGGACACGAAAACGGTAGAAGCACATAGGCCGGCGTACGGCGTGCTCATTTTGTATAAAAAACAGAAACAGCTACTAGCATCACGGGCCGGAGTTCTTCTTTTATTTTTTCTCTTGTTTTTGTTTTGTATTACCTACACATACATACACATACACTAGGCACTAGGTCCCTTAGGTACGGACGGGTTCGACGGATACTACTACAGGTCTGCGCTGAGATATATCCATACAGGTATGTTTGGGTGGGGACAGAGAGAGGAAGGGTGGGCAGGACATAGTTTGGCGCTCACGCCTTTCTTTGCGTCTGTTTTGTACACGAGCCAGGGAGGGCACGGGTTTCTAGATCTGAGTTAGGGTTAGGGTGCCTGGGTGAGGTAAGGTGTCTTGAGGAAGAGCCTGGTCCGAGTTAGATATGTGTTTGGCTAAGTAGGATATAGGTAGGATAGACTGCTAGTTTAGTTGTCTAGATACTTAATCTACGGTGCCATTTAAGGAACTCGTTTTGGTATCCAGGGGGTATTTAGATAAAGTGCCTATTGATATATATAATATCTATCTTATGAATTTTCAGGTAGGTTCAAAAGCCAGGTACTAGTTCTTCATAATACTCATTCGGTACACGACGATGGTAATTATGTTTTTCAATTCTCAACAGACATTACTTGATGATACCTTATTAATGAGTGAGCTAGTTATTAAAAAGAAAAGACACAGAAGAAAATAAGGAGAGACAAGAATGTATCAAAGCACCGAGTATATCCACTGGACCCGTCTCACTGGATTCGAAAATACTCAGTTGCTCCAGGATCATCCATCGCTTCGCCATCCATTTTCCCGTGAACGTACGCTTCACCCACGAGCTTCATATACCCATCCGACATTTCCCGCAACACAACCGGTACGGTACAACCATATAAGACGCAAATAATATCCTCGACTTGAGTCTCTGGTGGACAAAGCCCGAATAGAATACCCGTTTCGTCCCCTGATCGCCCACATACCATACCTTCTTCCAATCGATTCTGTTCCTTTTCCTTACTTGCTTCTTCCTCCTCCTTCCCTTGCCCATGTAGCTCATCATCCATTGGTTCTTCTTCTTGCTTCCTATTCTTGTCTGTGTTTTTCTTATTTTTCTTCTTGTTTTTCTTCTTCCTCTGTTCCTTCTTTTGTTCCTTGTCTTCTTCCTTTTCTTCTCCCTTCTCCTTTTCCTCTTCCCTCCTTTCTTCTTCCTCCTTTTCTTCCTTATTTTCTTCCGAAGAAACTATGACTTGATTATCTTTGCTAATGTCTTCAGCACCCTTTTCTTGGTCAATCGCCGTAAAAAAGCGTCTGTTCCAAGTAACGTTGCGTACGCGAGTCAGGTACTTGCGTAGCATATCAGAGTGGCCTTGCAGAAGCTCTCCGACGTTGAGGTCACCATTATTGAACGTGTCAGCCATCTCAAGACATCGCAGACAAGCCCTTTGGTACCATGAGGGAGGCACACGACCATACTGGTCACGATCGGCAACGAGTGTTCTCCAGATAGGGTCTGGAACACTGTCAGTATCCCGTTTGAACCCTTGCCAACCTCCCATTTCCAGAGACTCGCGGACAATAACGCCGCCTGTGTTTCGCGGTGATACCTCCTTGATCTTGGCTAGTCTGAAGCCTTTCGCAACAAGAATTCTTCCCGTATCTATGGAAAGAGAATTGGTATCATCTCCTTTTCCATTAGTACGCGAAGTGTATTCTGCGGCCTTTTGGGATTTGAATGTTCCGTCGAATTTAGTCTTCCCAGAGGCTTCATAGTTCGGAGATCCAGCCGGCCCAACCAAGATCTCACCATTTTTACGACCACTGTAGATCTCTTCAGGGACTCCAAATTCCGAATTTGATAAGAGAGGAATCCAAGAGGGCAAGGCGTCACCCCCTCGAAGTGGCATTGCCCATGGGCGGCAGATGATGTCCAGTGACCCAGAAGACGAAACGCAGAAGTCTGTGAAATCATTGTAGACAGCGACCTCGGATTTACCATAGTTTACTTCGAATTTCTTGTGGGAAGCGTCGTCGGAGACACTATCCCACATAGCATAGGATGTGTCCCTTGCAATACCCACGAGACTGTAGATGAGATCGCGCCGATTACCCGTATCAAATGTTTTGAGTGATGTGACAAGGGACTCGATGGTCTTAATAGGCTTCTTGATATCGCCGTTAGGCTTTCGCCGAAACAAGTTATTGATTGCTTCGAGGAGGATGGATGCCCCAAATGAGCCAACGTCGCCAAGTGTATTCCGACCCTCTCGCCACTCCGAAAAGTCGAATAGCGACTTGATAATCTCCTGGTTGGAAACCAGCAAAGACGCAGCGTCGGCAAAGTCGGACCATTGAACACGTCTCTGGCCGCAGTGTACAGTCGCTTCCTTCGCAAGAGCAATCTCTTGTACGACCCAGCGTCGCGAAAACCATCGATCTCGCATTAATTCTCCTAATGCGTACCACTTCTTGGCCTGACTTTTATCGTGGGCGAGGCGGTCTAACACAGCAAAGTCCATTGTAGTTCGAATGAACTGCATAGCCTCGTCACTACGCCCATCATCGTCGCCCTCACCAAGCCAAATGCATACGTTGCTTGCGTTTCTGTAGATTTGTACCATCTTATTCAACTGTTTCGTTTTTTCATAGTCGTTTTTTTGGTCGATACACATAAAGTCAACCCACAGAGCCACTGGTTGGGAATCATTTCCGTTTCTTCGAAGCCGAAGGAGAGCGCGAAAGAGGCTATTGCGAACGTGAACTGGAGTAGCGCTCCTCGTCGCGGTACCCCACTCACTTGGATCTGATAGAACATCGTGATGAGGGAGAAGGTAGATCCGGCCGTTGTAAACTTCTTCCCGACCCCAGAAATATGATAAAGCTGCGTACTTTTTCTCGTTCTCGGGAGATTCCATGTCCTTCATAGACCAGGTTTCCAATTTACAGATCAAGGGGTAGTATGGTTCTGGCGCTGGGACCAATACCAAAACCCTGAATTCGTCTTCTTTGAGCGATTCATATATTTCCCCTTCAGATATGTCTCTAGCCGAGAAGTGATTGTCGTTTAGATGGGTGGTCGTCGTGTCGTCCAATCTTATCGAGTTGGAACCTCTCGGATTGCTGAGCCACTTGATTTCCAACTTCCTCTCTATATCCAGAACATGTTTCAAGTTCGTCACATGCTCAAGCTTGTCGTAATGATCTTGCATCCTTTGAATATGGGCTTCCAACAATTGTGCATCAGTTACTAGCTTTTCTAGTAGTCCGAGGGAGTGTTCCTGGACCGTTTTGTCTGTTTCGTCTGTTTCGTCAAGTTGGTTATCCGTTGCATCGTCCTCCGAATCGTAGCCGTCGACAAAGTGAGAAGGTGAAATGTCGTACTGGTATGTAAGGAAGTCGTTGCGGAGACGCCTCGCCATCATTCGTTCCATACGGCTTATTTGATCATACCCTTGCTGGCGCATTTGGTTGTCAGAAGGGAGATAGCGTTTCTTGAAAATTTCCCGGCGTAGCTTCTGCAGCTCTTTCCCTCTCTTTTCCTGGTCTCTTAGGTCTTTGAACTCCTTTGAGTCCTTCTCTCGCCTCTTTTCTCTGTAGCTCTGCTCCCTATGTTGATCCTCCACTAACTCTCTCTCTATGCCATTGATTGGCTTCTCCAGCTTCTTGTAATTTTCGTCGAGGCGCATGATTTTGTCTTTCTGTATAACGATCTCAGCCTTCTTTTCCTGTATTTTCCCCTGCAGCGTCTCTCTTGCTAATAGCTCCCATCCGTCTGCGCCCTTCTTGGACAGTTCCCCTTCCTGCCCGATCTTTTCTAGTCTCTCTTTCCGTTCATCATTGTTCGACTGTGGTTCTTTTTGCTCCCGCTCCTCTCTGGTCTTGACATCCAAACCTACATTTCCTGCGAGTCCATCGCCTTTTATCTTTTTTGATTGCCAGTCTCCTTGATTGCCTTCCCCATTCGCATCCCAGGTTCGCTTTCGTCCGCTAACTTCGGGAACTTGGTCTTTACTCAAGCTTCTACCCTGAATGTCTTCGCTCTGGTTATCTGATACATCCATATCTTCATCGTCTGTCTCTAATAGCAGGTCGCTGGAATCAATACCACTATATCCACTCGGCTGCCTTAGCCTGGCTTCCAGAAGGTCCAGATCTTTCTCGAGTTGCTTCTTCCTCAGTACCGCTGTCCTCCTCTTCGCTCTTGTGCTAAGGCGTATCTTAGACATCACCGCCTCCGAGATAGTACTCCGCTCGGCCGTGAAATTACTTGCTTCGGTGCCTTCTAAGAAACCTGGCCTTTTAATAACGTCCTTCTTCAAGCCAGACGTTACCCCACCAAGGCTCCCCAGCACTCTTTTCAATGCTGATTGCGTTTCCTGGGATTGACCCGCCACCGCTTTACACAGATCTATAAGATCGTCATCGTGAACTTGATCTACTAAGTCCTTAGTGTCTTTCAACGCTCTAGCTGCGTCTGATAAGTCCTTGCTGGCACTGCTCCATAGTTTCTCTTGTTCTTCTCTTAATCGTTCCTCAGATTCACCCAGTGAACTTATTTTGGTGCGGAGCTTCTTGGCCCGTTCATCAGCGGCCTTGTTGCCCTGCTCTCGGAAACCTTGATGATCCAGCCGGGGTTTAGCTTTGACGGGCAACTGGGGTAATGAATATTGTGTAGCGCGAGACGACTGCTCTGCAGAATCTGGTTCTCGTTCTGGTCTCCTGAGTTGACCCATTCCGTTGAGCTCTGCCTACATAAAATTGCAGGCCAATGTCAAATTAAGCGGGTTGGCAACGAGAGATTAGAGAATGACAAAGAAAAAAGAATAACAAGTGTTGAAGTTACAAATGAGTGAGAAATACGAGATATAAGGGCCTTATAGGATCTTCATCCTGCGACTCTTATTCCTATGGGCCTTGGATGTGCCTTTGACTCTCCTTTTGCTTTTACTTAGCTAATTGCTGTTGCCTTACTAGTTGTTATATCCCTTTCGCCGATAGTATACTACATAAATACTGTGCGCCGATCCAAGTTGCGTGGCGGCTGACATTGTCCCCGGCTGCATCTTGCAAGAGTTGCCGAAGGCCAGACAACTTAATCAAGAAGGTAATTTTACCCATCACTGCAAGCCTTTTGTGGCTCGCGCTCTCCAATTTCGGTATGACTGCGAATCAATATTATTGAAGCAAGTGATAATGGCTTGATATATTCAGCCGCTTCCAGGATTCCCGGACAGATTCGGGGCTAAACTTACCGAAAAAAGGACCTGCCCGCTGTCAATTCCAGTTGCACGACTCCAATAACTCAGCCAAGCTGAAGTTATTTTGCACTTTGACGGAATATATTTTGATGAGGAAGGGTTACGCGATGTAGCTGGTCACCAAAGAATACCGATGGTGTTAATGGGGAGGCCCGATGGCAAGCCCGGTGAGAAGTCCGATGAGGAGTTATGTAGCGAGCTACATTCTGCTGCTACAATGAATCAGATGCAGGTAGCCTTGAAATGTTAGAGTTGGTAATAATTGAGGCAGGCTTCCATACCTTGAGACATCAAGCCGTTATCTGGCCCATGGCGTTATTATGTAATGGATCCGAAGCCATATTTGAATGTTCTTCGAGATAATTATTGAACCTCGTATACTTAACGCTAGCAATTCACTCTGTGATTAACTGTATAGTCGAAGCTGTCGAGTTCAACCATTTTGTTTTTCACAACACCTTTAGCTCCTAGAAGTTGCACCAGTACGAGCCATGTATCTGTCTCGAACCATGAACGTGAGTAAACACTTAATTTTTCCAATATAGTATCGCTGACAAACTTGGAAGTTATTTCAGCGTTCCGTCGGGGTCCCCTTGCTCCCGAAGACTCCCGATGTGTCTCTTGACGCTACTGGCCTTGTCGCTCTTGCGGATCTTACCACTATTCAACTACGGACAGTACTCACAGGCACGGCCGCACTCTTGGACACCTTAGTGCTTTGTCCTGGAATCCACATGCAGCAGGACTCAACTAGTCTCAACGGCGGCGAGTATCCAGCCTGCGGTGCCCTCACGACGGGGTTCGTCTTTCGCATTGAGAACCCCGCCACCGTGTACTACCTGCAGAAAATGGGTAGAACTGGCTGCTTAACGACGTTAGCCGTTTCTAAGGCCAACGAATCCGACGGATCTGGTCCTTGGTACGCGCGGGCTATTTCTCTCTTATTTTCATCTTCCAATACGCCGCTTATTCCAGCGTTGGCATACGGAGCAGCCGTGCTGTGGAGCATTGCCGTCATCCTTCTCATGGGCTTTTCGCACGACTGGTGGGGTCTCGCAGTTGTCCTGATGCTCATGGCTTCCCGACTATGTAACATTATCGTTATCCGTCGAAGGGCTAAGCCAGACTGGTTCGGTGCGTTGGAGCCTGGGAAAAAGGGCGATCTTTTGGTCCTGCTCAGTCAAGATCGCTGGGTCAGGATCAAGGGAGACGTGGACCACCTCAAAGCCGTAACGTCCGGGCAATGGCTTCGAGACCAACACATGATTAAAAGTTGGGCCACCGCCCTTGCTACCCTTGTAGTATATCTCGCTGCCGCCCTGGTGAGCAACGTGACGCAATTTGGGAAGATTCTTATATTAGCTCTTTTAGGCGGTTCAGTGGGACTGCTCGCGTTGACAAACTCCATGACAGAAACTCTTATGATGCACGGGTATGTTGTTAAACATGTTGAAACTAGTCAGAAATATGAAAGGCGGTTGCATCTTGCGGAGCAGCTCATAAAGGAGACTGGCCGTGACGATTGGGCGATTCAAATGGGTATGATCTCAAGGAAGACGAATTCTGAGGGCACGATGGAACAAAGGCCTGTCGTGATGTAGGAAAACATAACATTTCATTTGCAAGCTGAGCATGTTTTGAAATACTATTGATTATGACATAATACGTATGACTTGAAGCCCTGAAGCCAGTACTTGGATCAGGTGAAAGCCCCCCCTGTACCTGAGCTAAACAGCTAACCTAATAAGGGAAAAATCAACGGTAACGCGTCAAGGTATCCCCGACACCTGGTTTAGCTAAACTTAATAAAATATTTTTAAATAAAAAAATAAAAAAATAATAATTAAAAATTATAAAAAATTATAAAAAATAATATAAAATATATAAAATTATATATTATTAAAATTATTATTTATTTATAAAAATTTATTATAATATAAATTAATTATTTATTAATTTTTAATTAATTTATTATTAATTATTTATTAATTTTTAATTAATTAAACATTAATGGGATTTATTATGTAATCCTTGCTAGATTTGCTGTATTTAGTTAGCCGCAGCTAAAAATTAGCGCTTAAACGGTACATGGACTGCTATATAATACTACATACAAAGCTAAGTACTCTTTAAGTTTCAACCCCTCCGTCGCCCGCTCGAAAATTCTTCTATCTTTAATCAATTATTCCTCCACGAAACTGAATCGTATACTTTTATAAATTATATCATTTGAATTCTCATTGGGAGCTTTACTCAATAAAGCTTGTTGCACTTTGAAAGCTATTAATTCAGTCGAGTTATTTAGGTTTAAATCCTGAGCCAGCATTCTTACTGCGACAGCTCCCTTGAAGCCCCCCGAAGCCCCCCAAAGCCCCTCTAAAGCCCCCGAAACCACCGCGCCGACAAGAGCTCAGCTTTCAACTAATCTAGCTAATTCAATCCGAAGATAGAATACATGCAATTAATACCTCTAATAGTTTATTCAATTAGCTTTCGAGTGGTATACTTTTTTACTCGATTGAAGACGTTTTGGTTGAGGAATAATTGATTCAAGTCAAGAATTCGTTGTTGTGGGAGGGGCTTAGGGAATACTTAAAATTATATGGGGGTTTGTATGATGGATGATGTACCGCTTGATTCCGGATCTGCGGCACGCTAACCAAATTTAGAATTGCTTACTAAATATCAAATGAATTAATTATTAATTATCGATTAATTAATTATTAATTATTATTTAATAATAAATTAATTAATAAATTAACTTTATTAATTTATTTTATTATAAATTTAATAATTTTTTTATATAATTTATAATAATTTTATTTAATTTTTTTTTATTTTATTATATTTTTAAATTTAAACTTTAAAAATAAATTCTTTTTTTTTTATTATTAAGTTCAATTAAACGGGTGGGGTATAATCGCTGTTACTGCATCCAATCACTGACCTTTTCAATCCCTGCGCCCCACCGACAATTATTCCCATATTAGGTTAGATTTTTAGCTCAGGTACAGGGGTGACTTTCATGTGAGCTATGTACTCCCCTGAAGCTTAGTCAAAAAGCACCGATAGAGTGGATTACGGTATAAATACTAGCTCCATCCCGTTTATCGCATAACTAGGTACGTAAGATGGATTGTTGCCAAGAATTCATCCTGAACTTGGTTGCAATTGAGCCTTGTCGCGTTCCTAAACTTTTACAACTTTCGTAACTTTCCAACTTCCATTTCGCAATACCATTTTGGTGTATTCGCCATATTTTACCACCATGGCGTCGACGCCAATGGACCTCGATCTCCCCGACTCTTCATCTCCCGCCAATGGCACTCCGTCCACGTCGCTCAACATCACTCGTACTCTGGGTACGGGAGTGCCTAGTACCTTAACCACCACCGAAGTTATCGCGAATTATAGGCCTACTAAGGTAACATCCCACCATGCTGATTGCGAGGTCCAGAAATAGTGGCTTATACAAACTACAGCTATTTAAAGGCGGTGACCAGAAAGATGGACGCTCACAACATTACGTTCTCAGTCTCGACTATGATGACCCCGGCGAGCTCTTGATGACATCCGAGAGCAACGAGACAATCCAGATTTACAAGGTACGAGAGGGTAAACACGACAAGCAACTACTGAGCAAGAAATATGGAGCCAAGCTTGCGAAGTTCACCCACAATAGCTCGAGTATCATCTACGCAAGTACAAAACAAAATGGTTCGGATTACCAGAGACTAGGCGCTCTCCCTTTCTAATTGAAGATATGCTAATGCTAGGACTTGGGTAGATGCGATCCGATACTTGACAACCCATGACAATACCTTCTTACGATACTTTGAGGGCCATACTGCTGCGGTTACATGCTTAGCGATGCATCCTGGCCACGATGATTTTATCTCATGTAGCAAGGATAACACGATTCGGTTATGGAATGCTGGAACTAAAAATGAGACCGGGATGTTGTATCTCAACTTTCCATACCTTGCGGCTTGGGATCCGAGCGGACAAGTCTTCGCGGTAGGATCGCCTACCACAGGCTCCGTGTTGCTCTACGACCATCGCAACTTCGACAAGGCGCCTTTCGCAGAATTCGACGTCATGGAATCAGTCTCCCCCGTAACTACAAATAATACCCTGCAGGGCTGGACCAAGCTAGAATTCGCAAATGACGGACGCTCCATCTTGCTAGGCACGAAGGGCGAGGGTCATTTCCTCTTGGACTCGTTCAACGGCACCCTCAAGGCCTTCCTACATAAAGGCGAGGGCGGCACCAGCAGATTAGGTGCCGGGGAAGAGTATATGACCAATGGCGGCGGACCAAACGGGGGTCACGTCGAGGGTAGTGGTGACTGTTGCTTCACCCAAGATGGAAGATACGTCATCGGCGGCACGAAGAAGGGTGCTGTCGTGTGGGACACTCTAGGCCAGACTTCCGAAAATATTCTAGAACCGATCCACGTACTAGAGGACGAGAGGCCGGCCGCGGTAATCGCCATGAACCCTCGGTTCAACTTCTTCGCATCGGCGGACCAAGATTTGGTGTTTTGGTTACCGGATCCACATGCTTAGGGGGCAGACCCAGACAGATACCTAGTCTTGGTCCATGATATGATGCGATAGATATTTCACAATCATTACTGCCGCGGTAGGTGAGAAGTTGGAATCTGGCCTGTCACATCTATACAATACAGGAGGGGAATATTGCGGTTCACTACCTACGGAAGATACCCATTTGCATTGTTGGTGGCGTACAAAATGGCATCGTTTGATTGCTTGATTTCTCTAGAAATGGAATTCTGATTCGTATAATAATGTGCTTGAAAGTGAAGGGAGAAGAACATTTAATGAATAAGTCAAGCCTATTAAGTGAGATATGTAATTATCCATATTGAATTTAGGATGAGGCTGGAAGCTACCCCGCGGTCCTGCATAGAGCTCCCAAACTAATCCCTGTTTACGCCCCACGCTTACCGATAATCACCAAAACGTATTCGTTCGTTTAGTGGATAGCGCCAAAATTCAGGTCCAACTCCAACTCCAACTTCACGATCAACTTCGACAGCACGAGACCACGAGCCTGCTACTAGCGCTGTGGGGAAAACGACTACAACTATAAGATCGGGACATCGGCGAATATTATCACAAGCAACAAGCGCAAAACTCGGCGGCATAAGAAACAATGCCGTACTACGCAACGAGCCAGGAATGGCTGCACCAGTCATCGCTGCTCATCGAGGCGCGGCCAAGCACCGTACGTCTATTCCTCCCGGCGCCCCTCCCTCCCCTCCCCCCTTGAATCTCCTCAATTTTTAGACCAACACAACTAACCAACAGCCCCAGACACGCATCACAACCACATACGGCATCCTGAAACCCAAATCCCGCCGGATAAAAAAGGGCACCACCTCTACCACCGATCAACCCGCTTCTTCGACGACGGCAACGGCGCCCCGCCGCTCCCTAACCCTGAAGACGTACGACCCGCACTCGGGCGCGTGCCTCAAGTACCGCACGACCAAGGCGGCCGAGGTGTCGCGGCTGATCCTCAGCCTGGGGCAGCCGCTCGGCGCGCGCATGGCCGCGCTGCCGCTGCCCGAGGCCGCGGACGAGGTCATGTTCGACGTCGGCGCTACGCCTGCGGAGGAGAAGGGCGAGGCGGCGGTAAGCGGAAGTGCGGGTGCGAAGGTTGAGAGTAAGGGCGAGGGAAAGAGTGAAGGGAAGGCGCAGGGTGGAGGAAGTGGTGCTGGTGGAGGCGGGGGCAAGGGGAAGAAGAAGCGTGGGAAGAAATGAGTTGGAGACGTCAAGGGGGAAAGGAAAATGAAAGGGGGGAGTATGTGGTGGCTCTCTTTGATGGAAGGGATATTAAGGTTACGGTCGAGATCCTGAATTGTTAACTCTTTGTTGCGTATGATAGCAACATTACCTCTGTAAGGAACCTCCTTGAGCAAGAACCAGGCATTTTGGCATATAGCCATGAATACGAACAGGGGGTCGAGCCAAAGCCTACGGATATCTAAAACACATGACACCAAGTCAAAGTCACTGAATCAAGACTGCATAGGATATTCCTCATCGTGATTGCATTATATCACCAGCTGTCTTTCCAGCTTCAGCTAACTACATCCGCGTTCCATGCATCAAGTCGTTCCGCCTATCCATCATCTTATTGATCAATTGATTTATTCATTGCATGCCTCCTCCGTCGCGGTTCACCATCTTTCGATGGCCGAAAGTGTGACGACGAAAAAAGCGATCGCGAGCCCCAACGCCTGAACTCCTTCGGATGACCGTATGTATTCATTAATGTTGACATAGGAAAAGAAAACCCAACACTCCATATATGGTGGAGTTGTTGGATCCAACCGCGCGCCACGCAATTGCTCGCCGGTTCTATTGCATTATATATCCTCTAGCCTCTAGCTAGTGTCGCGAGGACGTGTATGAGGTGTGGGGCGCAGGCAAATATGGTACAAGAGGTAAGGGGGTATCGAGAACTGGTAAGAGAAAGGGGTATTTTATGCGATGAGCTTAGAAGTCATCGTCGAAGGTGAAGTCACCACCGTTCTCTCCCTGGCCCTCCGTCGCCGTAACATCGTCGTTGGAGGCGTTCTTCTTGGTGCTGGCCATGACACCAGCCTTCTGGTAGTCGCCGACGCGCTTCTCGAAGAAGTTAGTCTTGCCACCAAGGGAGATGTTCTCCATGAAGTCGAAGGGATTGGTAGAGCGGTAGACCTTCTCATTGCCAAGAGCAACCAGTAGACGGTCAGCGACGAACTCGATGTACTGCTTCATCAGGTTGGAGTTCATGCCAAGCAGAGCACAGGGCAGAGCCTCCGTTAGGAACTCTTGCTCAATAGCGACGGCGTCAACAATGATCTTCTCGATGACGTCCTTGCCGGGGCGGTTCTTGAGGTGCGTGAAGAGCAGGCAAGCGAAGTCGGTGTGAAGACCCTCGTCACGAGAGATAAGCTCGTTGGAGAAAGTCAGACCGGGCATAAGGCCACGCTTCTTGAGCCAGAAGATGGAGGCGAAAGCTCCGCTGAAGAAGATACCCTCGACAGCAGCGAAGGCAATTAGACGTTGAGCAAAGGTAGACTTCTTGTCAGCAATCCACTTGAGGGCCCAGTCGGCCTTTCGGCGGATGCAAGGAATAGTATCAATAGCATTGAAGAGATGGGTCTTCTGGGCAGGCTCCTTGATATAGGTGTCAATGAGCAGAGAGTATGTCTCGGAGTGGATGTTCTCCATCATGATCTGGAAACCGTAGAAGCATCGAGCCTCGGGGATCTGAACTTCACCGCTGAATCGCTCGACGAGGTTCTCGTTGACAATGCCATCGGAGGCAGCGAAGAAGGCAAGGATGTGAGAGACAAAGAACTTCTCGTCATCGTTCAGTCGGTTGTTCCAGTCGTGGAGATCCTTAGACAGATCGATCTCTTCAGCAGTCCAGAAGGATGCCTCGTGCTTCTTGTACATCTGCCAGATCTGTATCTCGATATTAGCTCATGTCGCGTCAAAAACCACTTTACGCGTGTTGGACGCGTCACTCACCTCATGGTACTTGATGGGGAACAGGACGAATCGCTGAGGGTTCTCTTGGAGAATGGGCTCATCAGCCTCCTCGGGCTTGATAGTCTCAGCAACAGCTACTTTCTCCTCCTTCGTGGCAATAGGCTTCTGGGACTCGATCTCGTTGGAGATAGCATCGACGCTGGCGTCGATGGGGGCGTTCTCCTTGCCGAAGTCAAGCTTCTTCATGGGAGACTCCATCTTTAAGGACTCGAAAGCGGAAGCAGTCTGTGTAGGATGACACGTTAGTACCAATTGACCATTTGCAGAATGTATGATGTCGACGAAAATTTTGAAAATCGGTGAACGACGTCACGTACCTTCTTGGAGGGGGTGAGCTCAGTAGACATTGTGAAGTGTAAGTTAGATAAAAGTATTGTAGTTGTAGGTTGCTGATTGACAATTGAGTTATGATAATTACCAAAGTCAATTGAACAATTACGCGTTAAGTGTAAAGATTGGTCTTGATTGATGGATGCAGAACAAAAACCGTGTAGAGAATTAGTCGGAACCAAGATCTTTTAAAAGGGCGTTTTACGCCAAGTCACGTGCACGGATCACTAGAAAAAGACGCGATTGTAGACGCGACTAAACACCCCGCCACATTTTTTCGCGCGTGAACAGGGGTTAGCTACCCACTTCACTACCACTTTGGTACCACTTTCCCAAAGGTACCCGAATACGTACCAATGAGACACGGACATCAATGGGATCTGAGGGAAACCGCCTAGCCAGCCCCAGCTCAATTTTTTGCAGTAGCGTACAGTATCTTTGTGAAAAAGTGCAGGAGGCTCGCAAATTCGGCCAACTCGGTCCCTTCCTGCCAAGCCAGCCCTGGCTTCAGGTCTTACAAACAGGGATTCATTAGCACCAACTAAAGTTATCAGATCACAGTCGTGAGATAAACAATGGATCAAAAAAGGAATGGATTGGATCCCTAGTTCTTAGCTGATTCAAGATCAGGTAATGATTACTTGTCCTGGTAGTCATCGTCGACTCTGAGCGGTTCAATCCCGGGCCTAATATCGGTCTTAAGTTCAAAATGTCGGACAGCGTCTTCGGACTACGAGCCATACACAGGTATACTTACCTATATGTCTAGGTACACTTCAAATACAGATGTACCATTGACGCCACAGTACATCATGAACTAGAATAAGATAACTCGGAAGGTTACGTTCTCGTCAATCCCGATAAATTGTCTGGGATATCTAACCATCTCAACCACTGTCTCGTGTTTAGCTACGAATCTTCCCGCCGTATCAATGTTTCTGGTATTTTGGTATCATTTGCATATAAACCCCTTGTCTTTGTTGCCGTTACACCTGAATGTGCCATGTCCCCCGCAATATGTGAATCTATCAAACTGATGGTATGGGTATTATGGATCCATGGCTCTGAAACACCCGCAATGATTAATAAGAAGACAAGCAAACCGACCGCCGATGCCACAGGTTGCCACCCAAAAAAGTCAAATAGTCAAACCCCATGTCCACGGTATGGCAGCATGACGCGTAACAGCCCCTCCAAGCACTTTACGCGACCTTATCCCATAAGTAACCCCACAGTATTCGGCTCTTAGTGGGTCCCCATCTCAACATCGCCTGGGCGGGATCGTTGGCTGCCTAGGCCAAAAAAGCCTCTACCGGAGCCTCGTCGATCGTCACGAACCCTTGCTTGACCCGGTCGTGGCGGTTGAGCGGGTGCGACACCACTTTCTTGCGGAGGATAATCTGCCGTGCGCTCTTGTGACTGAGCGTTGAACTGATCGAACTCGGCAGGGTCGCTGGGGTCGACAGCGGGTACCGGTTGATGGCTAGCGCGAAGATTCTTCTTGCCCTTCTTACGTAAGTAGTCCTCCAGCGCTATGGCATTGCGGGTGTTGGCGAGGATGAGAGTATCTGCGATATCTCCGACAAAGGGAACCAACCCGGCGATGAAATCAATGATTACCCAGATGTACATCGTAGCCCATATCTGAGTCGGGAGTCCTCCCTCTACTTGTTTAGCAGTATGGACGACCATCATCGCAAGGAGCGCATCCACAGCATCGCCAGCGCTGCCAATTCAACGTCCGTTAGCACATAATCATGACCCAAAATGAACGGGGCTACTCACAATGGCAAAATGCCAATAAGGCTACCCCATCCTAACTTCAACCCCATAAAACTACCAAAGCTCATATCCAGTCTGTATGCTCTTCTCTTCACCTTGGTCAAAACCTGGGCATCATGTTCCGAGAGACCAGGCGGCAAAGCCTTGCGGACTTTCTTAGTCTTCGTCTTCGATGGTCTACCGTCCAGTCTCGTCGCAGGAACTTGCTCGAAGTATGGGTCCTGTAGTATGTTGTGTTAGCGTGCTCCGTACTCTATATTATCGGGCGCAACGCATAAGTAGCGTTGATAGGAGCGCAGCATCACCTACCTTTAATCCAAATTGGTTGCCGGCCGTCTCCTTGAGAATTTTCTTTGCGATCATCGCCGCCATCTTGTCCGAGAGTTGGAGTAAGATGCGATTGACTGCCTAGCAGCAGACGGATTGAAAAATAAAAGGATAAGAAGGATAATAGGTAGGTGCTGAGGTATGCGAAGTAGTACTGTGTAGTTGAACAGATAAGCAAGCGATCGTCGTGCGTTTTAGCTCGAGAAAGTATTGATATTGGGTTATATTGGATTAAGCGCTGGGTTCGTTAAGCTAGTAGAGAGGGACAATTGGGCGGCCGCTTCCAATCACGCCTTCCTTCTGAAACATTCAGAATTCCTAACAAAGAGCTGGACGTGATAAGGAAGATAAATATAAAGAGATGAAAATTATAGTATCATTACCAACAGAATTTTATTCCTTAAAACCTGCACTGACAACTAATGACGAATGACATAAACACCGGTACTGTAACGGTTTTCAAGTTTTCGCCTTGATGATCGATCTGCATCAGTGCCAACTCCCTTTCGGCCAATTAGAAGCTACTATGCCTGAAGGACGAGCTAAATGAAACCTGAACCGAGCTCTCTTCGGCTCGGAATAACTTGTACGACCGAGCTAGCAGCCGAAAGGATTGGATGTCTCCTTTTCAATTTTTGAACTGCTAGTGTAGAAGTGAAATTGAGGCAGCCAACCGTGGAACTTGCGAGATTGTTGTGTGGTTGTATGGTTGCATGTATGATGTGCGAACAGCTCAGACGAATGATGATGTCAATTGTGTCAAGCTACAGACGCAACTAATGCATTACCTAAGGCATGACCAAGGCAATTAAGGTTAATTAGATCTGCCGCGTTTCATGGCTTGGAATCCCTGCTATGAATTGATGGATGATGTGGCTGTGTGGCTTTTATGGATACTAGTACCAACTGCTCAGCCACGCCGCCACAGCATCAATATCATGAATGTGGATTATGTAATTGCTATCTTCTACAACCCCTACGCTACATATTCTCGAGGCCTCCATATTGGACATCCATACATACACGCAGATATGATCCTCTGCGTCGTCAAAATCTAGTCAATCGCTTAGAAGATATATCTAAACTTTCCTAGTCCCTACAAATACCTCTCACAAGAGACACTTGAAACACCATACGAAGCTAATCACACATTATCCAATTATCCACCTCGAACGAGGTAATATACCAGCTCAACCACAGGTCTATTACATTAGCTATTGCTGAAATTATATATCGCTTAATCATTTGACTTCATGACTTCCTGCAATTTTGCGTCGCTTCTGGGGCTTTGTTTAGTCGCTGGCATGGGATACTTACCTACTGTACTTCCCTGTACAGTTGTACGCGTATCCTTTTTGAAGGTCCAATCCAATATTCCAACCCAATCCCTAGGTTATCCCGGCCCCTTTTAGACTTTAGTCCACAGATTCCCCCCTCGGTCTTTAATCACCATTCTGGATGATGCGAGGATAAAAAGACCCCCGATAACAATTGTTAATCCTGCCCAGAGCTGCCCCCATATATACCTCCCTCCGCTGGTATCGATGATGGCACCCATAGTAGGAGGGCCAGCCAAAGTAGCAAACCCGCAAAGCGCGAATACCATACCTATCCACGTACCCATCTTCCTGACGTCGTTAACGAAGCTACTAACGGCCGAGCTAAAGATCCCTTGAGCGCCTCCGTTTACAAACCCCATCACCACGGAATAGGCATACATATCTGATCGTGTATGCACACCTATCCAACCAAACGCCATGACCCCTAGCGCAATACAATTTATGCCGAATGTGTTGACAGGGCCGACATAGCGGTCAGCGATCACGCCGAAAATGGGTCGAGCCGGTATAGCAACCGCGTTCGTGACCAGGACGAAGTTGATCGATTCTTGGTTGCTCAGTCCGATGCTCTCACGGGCAAATGAGTTGATCTATAGAAAACCGTAACCATAATCAGTACACCATCCACAATCCGACACCAAAATGATACCATCGGGAACTCACGTATATTAACATCGTAAATAGGGAGAAATATATGAGGAACGCGCCGGCAGAGAACGTGGAATAAGGGAGGTTCCTGAAGGCATTCCAGTCGAAAATGGGAGCCGGTATTCTTCGCAGTTTCCGCGGCTTTAAGAGGAAGAATCCGATGACGGACAAGAAAATGCCTATGAACCCGCATATTCTGACCGCCCATCCAAAGCCTAACTTTGGTGTAAGGAATTGGACGAGAGCCGGGAACAGTATTGCGCCAGTGCTCGACCCGCATCCGTTCAGGGCGACGGCAAGTGACCGGTTCTTTTTGAAATATGTAGCGACATTGGCCGTCGCTGGCATGAACATTAAACCACCGCCAATTCCCGTGCAGAATCCTTGTGCGAGCAAGACCTGCCAGTACGTTGTTGCGAGACTGGTCATGAACATGCCGAACACGGTTACTAGGGCTCCGATGCCGTATAAAAGTCTCGGGTATCCGGCGTCGGAGAGCCGACCGGAGATCATACCGACCTCGAAGCAGAGAAAAATCTGTATCGAACCGACCCAGGCCACCTGAGAAGCCGGTAAATGCATGGACTGCTTATAATATAGTTGAAATACAGAAAACCCTGTTCCATAACCCCAGGATAACATATTGGCGATGTGACCTGGGACTATTTGAGACCAAGCTAAGAATCCGCCATCCGGTGGCTCTTCGACAGGTATCGCCGACGAAGTAGAGTACGTCGGTCTTATCTCCTCCCCCAGCAGGACAGAGGGAGGAGGGGGTGGTTCCCTAGGTTTATCGGCGGGTGGCTTATTCATGTTTGCGACTCCTGGCTGGGCTCAGGTAGGTATTATTTGGTAGTAAGGAGAACACAAAATCATGAATGTCCGAGGTTTATGACAATTAGATATACTGGGCAGCAACAAGACAGTTCACCACGTACGAAGCTTCCAATGCAGATGAAACCTTATGGAACGGGAAGGTTATATACATAAGTCATTCAACATATGCAACTGACAACGACGCAAAACTCAAATATCGGCCCAAAAGATGCCATTAAGGGGTTGTAATTCGGAACGCTCCGACATCGCTATTTCCCTTGCCGTCGCACATGCGGAATACATGAAGAGATATTGCAAACAACTCCACCAAAAGGGCGTCACAGTGAAGATAGGATAGAGGAGCAGGTAAGTAGGTGTGCAATAGAGGTCCGACCGTGCAACTTTTCGAGGTCCTGAGACCAGCAAAGGGATATTATTTCGGGGACCGGAACGGGAACGGAGCGCCGAAATGCCCCATCTCGCATCGATTAACACCCCTCTCGTCCTATCAAGGGACGGCGTGTTATATTAAGGTTGGCGATAGTCAAGGTCGCAATGGGGGTCATGATGGGACCTAGCTCTTTTTTACATATGCCAGAATGGACAGAATGGATAAATTTTGCATTGCGCTGGAGTAAGTCAGTAGTCAAAGAATCGATTCTGATTACGCGATTGCCGATTCGTCCGTGGTGCCTGCGCTGCGAGATACTACGAGGAGAATGAGAAAGCTCGGTCCGACGCAATGCTACGATTCCAGGTATGGTCAATCGCATTTGTCAAGGTTCCGCATCGTTACTTCGGTTGATCTGGATAGATCCTCGGTGGGAGTTGGGCTCGATCGATTTGGGAGACGAGTATCATCTGTGCTCCACTTCGTTTCTGATACACCGACGTGCTTTGAAGCTTCATTGGCAACTGATGCTTTCGCGGCTCCAGGCTCGTATCTTCCTGCGTCCTAATGCCGGAGGCTATCTTGTAATGGGAATGACGGGGAGTAGGGAAAGAAGGTACCGGTATTTGCTGATAGGGTGAAGGTGAGTTAGACCGCTTGATCCTATTTGAGAAGAGGTGAGATGCATTGACTTTTAGGCCTCTCGAGCTTTCGATTGTTCCCAATATTCCCAATAGAGTCGTTCCGCAGCCACATAGGAAAGATAACGAAATATGTTGCAATAAGGTATAGCCTATACATTTTGGAATGATTGGATGAAACTTTGAAGAATATATTGACAAATGGGTAAGTTCTTTCATGTAGAATGTTACTACCTACTGTAGGTACTAGTGTATGTAGGTAGGTACCCATGTATTGAAGGGCGGGTTTTTACGCTATTTGACGCTATCTTCTCGTGGGTTTAATGGGATGTTTGAGTGGGGTGCTATGTGAGTTTGGTATATCTTGCCCAATAAGCGGCGATTTGTCAACAGTCGCGTGGTCTAATGGTTATGATTTCTCGTTCACATTGATGTGTTCCCACTTACAAAGTCCCGAGAAGGTTCCGTGTTCGATCCACGGCGTGACTATTTCTTTTGCTTTTTCTGATGTTGAACCCGACGATTCTTTCAGATAGGTAATTCAAGAAGATTGTTTTTTTAAGGCCAATTGTTCAATGGTCATTCTTGTTTTATTGTCCATGTGATTGAATACGTCATTGGAACTTTACTTAACTTACTGGCTGTCAGGATGTTTAATAGTGAACCTTTCCAAAACAACATCGATTCACTTTGATAGAGGATAATACTACACTCAAAAGCCTCATATATGTACTATATGGAAACGATAACACATTCAGATAAGTCAACTCCTTTGTGATTCTTCCAGGTTGAGAGAGTGAATTATGACATACGCGACCACATATCAGTCATAGTGTACGTCCAATCCAATTGACATTTTCTTGTGGCTGAAATATCATACAATTAACTCCAGTCTATTATCAAGTCATCGATACATGATAAATAGCGCAGTCAGACCATCACATCCTCATCCCATACTTATTCGGATAAGAACGGACCGAAAGAGGAATGAAACAAAAGCGATGATCAATGCAGAAAGCCGTTTTAGATGTCAGTGACATGATAACTGCATTATGAGACTCGCTGTCATTCTCTTGCATCCATATAACCACACTAAAGAGATATATGAATGAGACACGCAGCGTCACTAGCAACGCCAGACGTCGGTCTTTCTCCAGATCGCCCGTCAGATACGAAATAGGCGCTGACAGATAGTATCCTAATCTACGAGCCAATTCCAGTGGCACATGTCACTCCGCATCTTCTCACGCCATTTTATAGCACTTTCGGCTCGTGGCAGGAAGGAAATGGGCTCGTGGGCGCGGCAATATCCGCGAGCATGTCGCCGTACGTCACAGTCGCCCCCGACTCGAGGGGACGGGGATAGGTTCTACGTTGATTACCGGATACAGAAAACTGCTGATGCCAAGTGAAGGAGAAGCCAAAGCAAGCTTTGGTAGATACCTACCTAGGTAAGAGACGTGGCTACGTGGCTGCATAGGCCCGGGGGCGCGTCAGAGATGTAAGTCCCTTCGACGAGGGGGAACAGCCTTGCATCACGCTCCTTCATCTCCGGCTTCCTCTACCACGGGGGAGCCGTGACGCCTTGGCCGACATACTACGACGGTTTCAGAAGCCCGTCGGGCATCTAGATGGGTCCTCCGGTCATCAGCTAGAACCTGGTATGGATGTAGGTAATTCGCCTAGCGGGGAAGAAGAAGAAGAAGAAGAAAAGAAAAGAAGGAATACGAGCAGCTGGATTACAAAGCGGTTTGGTCCGACGAGCTGGGCTCGTGACGAAGGTCCTGTAATGCGGGTAGCTGCTGTCCCACCCCCTCGACCAAACCCCTGCACCTAGCCGGCGACAGCTGGGGGCTTTCCAGCCAACAGGCGGCCTCAGACCGCCGGCCTCGTGCGTCTCCTGTGTAAGTAGATTGCGCAAGTGAGGTCGGTAGGGCAGATCAAGATCGCCTGATTCTCGCGCCGGCCAAGAGTCGCGGTCTCGTATAAAAAAAAGAACCGAATTAGAACATGGCCTGCAGGTACCTATGCTGGGGAAAGAAAAAGGGGGCGCTTTATTTTAGGGACGAGACGTGTTATATTGACGACCTTGGAACTTGTGTAGGTAACTTCAAATCCTGCGGGGAGAGAGGATCGAGGCGTAGTCGTGATTACGATGCGTCATTCGCGAGAGATAACAGATCTTGTAGTACGACGGCGCAACTAGTCTCGCTAGTTACGGACAGAAACCTCCTCCTTCACACCGCCGGGTTCTTGTTGGTTACTCGACCTTCTCCTCACTCTCGTGATATCGATTTAGAATTCGGTGATAGGTCATAAATAGGTCAAAAGGGCTTTTCGAACAGGGTCTATTTGGTTATTAGGACCCGATTTGGGAGGGACTGCGTTACCACTGTCGTCAATTGAGCTAACGAATCCGGCAATATCTTGGTTCTTTTTCGTTTCGTGGTGTCATGTGCTTACTGTTCTCCTTGATGTACTATCAAATTATCAATTTTGAGACGTCATATATTGCGCTTCTTTTTACTTTACATCAATACCTCGTGCTGAAAAGCCGGAAACCCCTTTTTATGCAGTCTCCTAATTTTAAGTCTAAGTTTTATTTTTTATTATAAATCACATCAGTAAAGCAGATTCAATCATAATTGATTGATCCGTGAGGTATGATATGAGAAAAGTGGTATGAGGAAGAAAAGTAGTAAGATAATTATGAGGTGAACGCGATGCTATGCTCGTCCAAGCTGAAATTTGCTAACATCGCGCAAAGAGTAGTGATGTCCTCCGAAGCTGAGTTCGTATAATGCTTTTCATGTAACACTAGTTACGACAAATTCCACGACGCCAGCTTATGTCGAAATGAAAAAAAAAAGTACGATAACCGCCGCTACTGCGGTGCGACCACATATAGTAAGTAGATCCTTCGTAAAACCTAAATATTCCTCCGCCGGTCTTAGGGATGGGATCAAGCATCCAATAGCGTCTCGTCGCTCTCCCAATCTTCCCACGTCGGCTTGTCATATCCATTAGGCCGTGTCGGTCTCACATGACCGATCTTAATTCCGTCCACCTGTAGCGACTCCTTTGTCCATGTCACTACTCCGCCATAAGCTTCGCTATATGCGCTTTGCATTGTATGGCTTGCAAATAGCGCCGGATGCAGATGTTTGACACTGGCTAAAGCTCGCTGGCTAACTTCGTCGACGGAATCGTTATGGCGCAGTTCGAAGAAACGAGGGTCGTGTTCGCGACGGAGTTGGTCTTTGACGTCGATCGGATACGTACCGAGGGATAAGAGGAAGATGTTATACTGTGATAGGCTAGTTCGGCAGATCCAGCTTCCTCCTTGTGTCGCCCTACGGTATATGCCGGTGAGAGCCGCGATAGTGCCGACGCATCCCGTACCGTAATCAGACATAGGAAAGGGCGGGACGACCGGTTCGTTAAGACCCATGAACCGGCCCTGCTCCCATGCCACGCCCGTAACGCAGTCGGCGATCTGCTGCCAACCTGGCCGGCCGGCCCACTCGGCGCCTATCTCGGTACCGCCAAAGCAGTCCTCTGCCACATAAACGATACCCTTGCCGCGTCGCGCTGCTTTTGCTGCAAGATCCTCGGGTCGATAACCGAGGTTAGCAATAACTCCCGGTCGGTACCCATCAATTATCACGTCTGCTGTCTCAAGGAGAGATTCAAAAATAGCGACGTCATGCGGGTTCTTGAGATGTAGGGATGTGGTGTGTTTGCCGGTGTTGACGTCCAATTGGAAGAATGGAACATCTGGTAACTGCGACGATGTAATCTTTAACACGGATGCGCCATGCGCTGCTAGGGATCGGCCGATAGTTGGCCCTGCAATCACCCGACACAGCTCAATAACACGAAGTCCCTGCAGACACTGACTTGGCCCATTTGTGGATTCTGTAAAGGGGACAGGTGGCGTATCCATGCCCAAAGACTTCACTGTAAATAGCGGAAGAGACGCCATCGCTCGGCCATGATTCGTCTTTTGATACTTCTCATTGGTAAGAACGGGGACACCTGCCTGCCGATATTCTCGATTCAGCCTTTCCAACTCGTCTCCTGAAAACCGTCTGACCGCCCCTTCTATGGTGTTAATACAATCGTGGTAATCTGTCAGACCGGGGAGAAATGCGGGAAGGCCAATCATTTCCAGAGTCGTGGTAGCCTCTAACGATCCGTGTATGTGATAGTATTCACCTCGATTCTTGGTCTCGTATAGGCCTGCTGACAGGCGGCGATATAAATTTGACTGCGCCTTGTTTAGGTCGGTGTCTTAGTATCTTGGTTAGCATAACTGTTTCTAAATTTACCTAGTGTGGATATACAAGACGAACCCGGGATTCGTTCCTTGGTCTTGGGGTTGCACTTATCCAAGCCGTCGATGTTGGTGATATAAGCAGACATTATTAATGAGGTCACACGTTCTAGGTCGACTTTGACTGCCCTTTCACGCTTCGCTCCCCGAACGTCCGTGATAGCTGCGGCAGCGCATCCCTCCAGCGCTTTAAGTGCCGCTACTGTTTCTTGTTCACGCAGGGGACACGGAAAGCATACTGTATCCCCTGCACGAGAATTTCTCAAGAACATAACGCGATCAGCGTATTTCAGGAACTCCTTTGGAAGCTCCGTCTTTGCGGCCCTCAAAAGTTGTCTCAAGGCATCCTTCGCACCTTCACCTACAGAGTGCTTTTTGAGTCCCACCAGACCACTAGGTGGCGATGTTTTTAGTTGTCTGATGGTCATGATGGTAAAAGTATGATAGGGTATAACGATATAAGTATGTCTGCACTAAGGTTGAAGAGAGGAATATAGGAGAGAGTGCGCCACATAGCGACTTAAAGTACTTAAAATAAAGATCTTTAGCAAATATGAACTACAAATGACAGTACGTATGCAGACATATTGTGATTCATCAGATTCGGAGCAATTCACCGAAATAGCCTGTCGGTGAGATCGTGACTCGGACATATATAAGTGATAAGAAAAAAAACTAGACTAAGAAGCAGCAAGCAAAACATGGCCGATCAGAAGGCCTGAAAGGGCTCGTCTAGCAAAATCATACATGTATGTAAGGGATAAAAACATGTCACTGAGGCTAATGGGCTGTTGTCATAGCCAATGTACTCGAGGTCAAACATGTGCCGGACTGTTTAAGGAGTGGTGAACTAAGGATAGCCAAGGCCAAGCGTATTAACACGTCAATTCTCGCAGTACACCCGAAGACGCGGGAGCCATTCTTGTGGATGTAAAACTGTAAGGCATATTCGCATGAAGATGCCAATATGACTTCGAAGAGTTGCCGGCGGCTGACCGAATCTAGTGGACGATCAGTATTCAAGTCGAGATAAGGAGAAAAAGTCTTGAGCGTGGATGACTCTAAGTCGTCTCCAGTGAACGAATTAGGCGGCTGGCAATGAATAGCCGCGAGCTAAGTTTAAAATACCCAATGCTACCGACGTCAACATGATGTCGGTAGATAAGGCAAGCCTATTCTGAATGCGGGCCGGCTCACGTCAATTGTGACGGGATGATGGGAATATGGTGCGAGTGATCTTGGAGAAATCTGATTCACAGGGTTGCGTGCATATTCCGAGTACCGACTTGATTTCCTATTCAGATTGTTTGCTGTCGAGAAATATCGAGCAGTTGGCAAATTAGCCACGAGATTCCTGGAGTCTTGGATGCGAGGGCCGGGTGCTTCATCCGAGAAATGCGAATCCATCTAGACCCTGTAAAACTGTAAAATCCTGATGGGTTGGTATCCAACGGTTTCCAGTGGCACGTCAGGTTTCAGAAAACTGACACTGGCAGCTTGTCTTAGATTACTTCTCTGGGACGTGAAGGCCGGTTCATAAACGGTGAAGAAGAGGTCTTAGGTAAGTTTTTGTAGTTGAGGATGATTGAGCCTCAAAAATGGAGAACCCGCCTTAGAGACCTTAGATAGTGGATCCTGGATATGCCCTATATGGGAAATGAGACGGAATACTTAATTCTACTTATCTGACTTACTAGTACGTGCTACAATACCGATAAATTCTTTCCTTGGCATGTACTCCATCGTACGGTACTCGACCCGTCCCATCTAACCCCTGGACCATGTAGCCATTTAGGTGCACTATCCGATGAGTTTAACTGCTAGGGCGAGACCTTCTTTGCCCCTAATACGAACTATATTTTGCGGAGTACGGAGTATTATGTACAACGTGCCTTACTTACACCCACCTACACGTGCAAAAGCCTAAAGTCTATCTAGATTCTACCTTGAGTTTAATAATAACGTTGAAGTTGACCGGGGACGAACACCAGGTCATACACAAATTATGAGTTTTGTCATAATCCAAAAGACCCTGGGTTCGATTTTATCTTACTCATCTCACTTGGAATCAGTAGGGAGTCCAATAATTGAAAATCCAACCCGAGACATTTGCTGTGTACTGTGGATACGGAGTTGACCAGTCACTTTTTTAATATCTTCTTCAACAGTCAGATCTCTGGTTAAAAAAAGGAATAACCCGGTTCTGGACCCTGTGATCTTCACATGGATCTCATCCAGATCTAAGTTCTGGGATATCAAGAAAAAGTCCGCACTCCTGGTATCGTCCAAGGTCCAACTATCTCGAGAAAGTCCACAGCCCACCTGTCGAAAGGAGGAATAAATATGCCGCTATCTCCCGCACCTTAAGGCGTGCTAAAACGCCACTTAACTGCCTAACGGAGTCTCACTTGATTGATCTACAGCCCAGCTACCCAATCACGGTTCTACTGGCTACCCAGCCCTGCCTCGATTTCTCATCGAAATCATGACCACAAAGCTCAATGTCGGTCGAGACCGCCCATTGTCCGGTGAAGGAGGAGGGCGCCGAGCCGGCCACTTGGAGTGTGCATGGCTTTTACGTTGGCTCCCCTTGAAGAAAAAAAAATCTACCTAACAAGCCGGCCCTTGCATTCTCTCCATTAAACCTTTTCCATGATAGCTCTTTTTCTGTTCATCTCCCGCTTCCGACACGTCCCGTTGTTCCCCAAAAGTCCTACGCCTTCTTCGTGTCTTCTTTCACTTAACTGGTGTTGTGACAGATCATTATAGCGCTCCAGTGAGAGCTAGCTGCTCGACACCTGGCCACAGTCTGTATACACTCGGCTATACTCTTCTCCACTTAGTTTCCGCCACCCACGCGTTTACAGCGACCCTACCTTTAGGCAGGTACCAGAATACCAGAATAGCAATAGCGCTCAACCCGTTCGTACCCCAGTGCAGATCGGTCTCTATACACTGCCGAGTGCACAAACGATTCCCGAGTCAATTCTTCGTATCATTCCACGACTCTGGACCTGAGCCCCCGTCTGCTTTCCGATAGGGCTGAGTCTGGATATTTGTCCGCATCCGAGACCGCCGCTGAAGTGCCGTAAGACCGGCGCCGCCCCCGAAGTCATTTGTTTTTTATTCTCTCCATTGTCCGACTTGTGTCTTGTCGTTCTGTGGCAAGGTGTCGGATGGCGGATGTGACCTAAACCTCTTGTGGCTCAAACCATCATGACACGACCTAAGGTTGATCCTGACAAGAGGCAACGTACTGCCCAGGCATGTGATTCATGTAAGCGTAGGAAACAAAAGGTCAGTCAATTGATATTTTCTTTTCTACTCCCTTCTTCCTCAACATTACTTCCCTTACATCGTCGGTGACTATCCTGTACCACCTCATACGTGAGATCGCCGACCTTTCGATGACGGAGGCGTGAGCTAGCAAGATAGACGACTTATCCACCAGGCAAGCCTGTCTCTTAGCGTCTCCCTCTTGAACAGTGTACAGCATGAGCAACGACGACGTGTGCTATGCTAATGTCTTCGGATGACTTCCCTGGGTCTCACAACGGTTGGCGTGGCCGTGTAGCCATTCGCGGACGGGATGTCTAAAGGCTATCATACGATTCAAACAAACGTCGAGTTTTGTGATTGCTATCCCTGCTAATCTGGATATTGTTGTAGTGCAATGGACTAAAACCATGTAGCACCTGTATGAAACGAAGCCTGGATTGTTTGTACACGCCAACGAGCCTTGAAACCGGGTCGCAGGAGCCTCTTGGGTCGCCGACCAAACGCCGACACGTCGAGAACTCGCCAAGGACAATCAAGTCTATCCTTGAGCCCAGCCAGACTCTCGCGACGCACGCTCCGTCTCTAGTTTCGTGGAATCAACCTACCGATAGGTCTGCAATGAGCCTAGCGGAAACCGAACCGCCCGAGTCAAGCCAGAAGAAGCTTGTGGGGACGGGTCGCTATTTTCTCGGCGGTAATGATCGCGATTTTGACTCCCGTTCTCGGGTTAGCAATGCTAGCGGGGTTGCGGACGAAGCTGAGATTGTGTCTTTACCCAGAATGCTGATGGACACAACGGGAAGGTTGCGTAAGTAAGACCACACAAATCACCTGCAAACGAACCGCCTGCCCTATCTTTTTCTAGACTCATCACTATGTTTCTTGTTTGGTACTTCATATGTATGCCTGAACTATGTTTACAAAGAGGGGCTGAAAAGAAGTGATAATAACCACCCCCTTTTATTACCGCGTTCAAGTTCCAGGCACATTTTTCTGAGATTAAGTACTCAGCGTACTAATGCAATCTAGTTTACGTGGGTGAATCAGCGAGTCTTTCCTATCTGCAGTTGATTCGTATGATCGTTGAAAGTGTCTCTGGGCCTTCAGAATTTACCCTTGATCCCCAGCGACACCATATACTGGAGAATACCATCCAGCTCCCTCGTGACATAAAGCCGACAGGGCTACTTCCCGATAGGAAGACGGCTGATATACTAGTGGATTCATTCTTCACAAACGTACGTTTATCCTGGATATGAAATATAGATTGACTCACCCAGCTACAGACATCGGGCCTTGTCGACATATTTAATAGAAAAGATTTTCTCCGATCTGTCGATGAGTGCTACAAAGAGCCTCTCAACACGAACCCACCCCTTATATGCATTCTAAACCTGGTGTTTGCTATCGGTTTAGCTATCGCTCGTCCAATAAATGGAACCGATGAGGCTACCATAATTCAAAAGTTGCACGCTGAGCCTACCAATCGTGCTGAATTATTCTATCGAAATGCCGAAAACATCTACCACCCGGTGTCGGGATTTGAGGATGCAGACTTCTGGTCAGTCCAAGCCCTCCTCTTAATGTCCCTCTATAAGTTGGTAGTTTCGAAGAGGAATGCATCATACTTCTACTATGGTATGTAATATTGTCCATCTCCCCCTTTTCTATCCTTGTCTGCGGTATCGGTTCTATTCGATCTCTATCATTGAACCTAACGAGCGCGCAGGTATGGCAGTGCGGTCCGCCTTCGCGATGGGACTCCACAGGGAGGAGAGCATGGTGATTTTCAGCGACTCGGAACGTCACATTCGGAGGAACGTATGGAGGACTTTATTCGTTCTCGATCGCTTCCTTGCGGCATGCCTTGGCCGCCCCATAAGCATACCAGAGGATGACTGCTCCGAGCATGCGCTAGAAGCGCCGATGAGGACCCGTACTGATGAATCCATGATGGGTGATGATGCACAAGCAACAAATTCGATAGCTTTGGATACTGCAGTAACGAGCTGTTACTGGATTGGATCTACGCTTAAGAAAGTTTACTCCAAGAGAAAGGTATCAACTCTTGTGGCGCAAGACATCGCGGATCACCTTGAGAACTGGGAGCGAGAACTACATCAGAGCCTACATTGCCAACGGATTAAGGACGGGCCAATCGATTTAGCGCAAGCTGTCGCCATCCTTCATGTAAACCTCCTGCATTGCCACTCTGTGTTGCTTCTCACGAGACCCTTCTTTTTATACCTCCTCAAGATGGGTTGCGATGACATATCTAGGAATATTCACAAAACGGCTCATGTTAGCTCAAGGTTAGAGAAATTCTCTCAGACCTGTGTCGAGGCCTCGCAGCGCACGATAATCATCGCCCGGTCCGCTTTAGAAGCTGGATATTTGCCTCAGTGTAACCCCTTTGTAATGTTAGATCTCCCTCCTGCCTCAGTGAAATTTGGAAGGAAACCCAACACTAATGCAGACCCCCTATTTTCCTAAACAGATATTTTGTCTTTGCAGCGGCACTCATCATTCTGAGCAACGAGTTTGCTTCATTATATCACAACCCTGATGCGGAAAATTCGATTCACAGTGTCCTAGGCATTCTCACGTACTGCGGAGAAAGGGACGCGCAGGCTAAAAGGGTCTACGACATAATCAATAGCTTCCACAAGGCCAATACGCATCGTCCTCCGACAACGAGGAAAATATATTTGCCCGGGAGGAAGATACCCACGATATCTACGCTGTCCCAGACATTTCCACATGACCCGATGTCGCCGTTTTTTCATCATGTTAAAGCCGAACGACAGGACCTGTTCGTCAACGAGCTACCCTCCATGAAGGAGCGGCAATTGAGCATGCCGAATATGCACTCAGAACCCGTTATGCCTCGTATGATGCCACCACCGCTCCAGCAACCCAGCCCCGAAGGGAGTGTGTCGTTGAATAGCGGAATTGCTGCAACCATGGCACCAGCAATAGAGACGCTCAGTGGCAGCGACAATGACTTCGACTTGGATATACTATGGCACGGCTGGGCGCCGCCGTCCGTCAGTAGTATGGGTCTTCCGCCCACATTACACCCGACCGAGCCCTTCGATGCGTATGGGCTTCATCACCCGCCAATGCCGCAGGGGAACGGCCTGAACCCTCACGTGCCGTCGTATCCGCCATCAGATTACAGATGATCACTGGAAAACGAACATAGACCATACTTCTGATCGAAGAAGCGGATGGTCTGGTATAATCGATGGGACACACATATCCGTATATAGGGGATCATTTCTTTGGCATATTAGGAAGTTCACTGTTCGGATGAGGATGGCGTTGGAATCTAGATGGAATAATCTACGCGCGCTACCTCGCTGGTGGGTTTCGGCGAAGGGATATACCTACGGACAAGGGAGTTTAGTGCGGCGCCACTTCAGGTATACATCTTCGGTTGTGTGTTTTTTTCTTTTACTGCGAGGTTGAGCAGGTCTCTTTTGTTCGGCTCCTAAGCAACGCATATTGTGGGTCATGGGATAATGAGATACCTCAGGGCAAGTTTAGCTATACTTTCATAGTTACCTATATATGATATCATTTACTTTACACATCTGCCTCTGTGGTTATGAGAAAACCGGCTTGAACAGACTTGACTATATGACATTGTTTGGTGGCTCAGTAGCACCTTACAAGGCGGTAATCTGCTCAGCTGAGAACTGGGTCTGGTCCACCAGGTCAGGTGGGCTATATTCAGGGGTTCTACAGACTTAACCAAGTTGAGGAGATAGTCTACGTAGGATGAGAGAGAGCACATTATTATAGGACAACACGTACGCGTTATCCTGCGTGGCGTACTTCTAATCACAGGCTTAACGCAGAGTCATGCGGGATAAAGTCCCATGGCCTAGGTTTCCTATTTTTCGGTGAAGCTATCTGCGCGTAAGTGAAATAACTAAAGTCGCCTTCCACGCCGAAAAGCGCGATCAGATTTCTCAATACCTAGCGAACCTTGGTCAACTTTGGGTGCGCGGTGTTCTTCCATAACGCTCAGGGGTGCATAGTTACACATGTCCTACTTTGTATAGGGGTCATTTCAAGAGCATTCACTTACGAAGCATTCATCTTAATGATTAGGTTACTTTTGATAGTTACATTGTAGGTACACGTTTACTGTGTGAATTTCTCGACATATATTCCTCCAGAATCATTTTTTGTCACTCTTGTTGTAGCTACAATGGATCTACTTCATGCGTGTGCCTACGGTACTACTGCATAGTACGGCGTCTATCAACCTGAGTAGACGAGTCTCAGCTACCTAATTCTACATACGGGGTGAGTATAACTGTGGAAGTCCCCAACTGGGACTAGAACGCGACCAAGGTCTTCATCGTCGTAGAATATGGCCAGTCTCGGATTTCCCCCCCTTTTTGTTGGTTCTCGGTCGAGGTTAATTTCTATAACTATCAAGGTAGGAAAGTGGTCTCGGCCAAGACTACACCTAGCGCAATCACATCTCCTAAATTACCTCGTCAGCGCTAGGTAATCGAATCGTCCAAGGACATGATCTCGTGTCCTGGTGGCGATGCTTATCTCCACAGAAGCGCGCGAATTGCCTGCCCCTGTCTGCGTTAGAGGGAAAAAGTACCCCAAGCAGGTTCAAGGTATATTCCCGCTTACTGGTTGGGAACTATCGATCAAACTAATTTATGACAGTCGCATCTGGGGATCGACCGGCCATCTCATTGGGGAACATCAGGAACCACGGAATAAGGAGGCTGGGGGAGGAAGGGGGAGGGGGTGATTCCGAGGATTGGAAATACCGGGGCTTTTGTCGTCGAGTCACATCTTCCCTCTTCACACGTAGCGGCGCGCTGGCAACCCCAGTACCCTGTACATCGACATGTGCGTCATGGATGTCGAGGATGCGAAAAAACGGGTAGTCGGTACCCTGTAGGCGGTAGGCGGTTGGCAACGAAGCAGGGCATGAGCTACATTTCAGGCTCCAGCGGCTAAGACAAGATTCTGCTCGACATGAAGTAGCGCAGCTGTGATGACGGGCGCGTCGATCGTCGTTTTCGTGCAGGCGTTGGGCACCCACTTCTATTCGTCGGCATCGGCCATCCCGTCTTCCCTCACCAGAAATCGAATCTGCTTTCGATAATAATTAGAAAAAAAAAGGCCTTGCCTGCCGACGGACGTAGTCGGGCGTTCACGCGCGGGACGTGCCGCCGTCACCGAGGTATCAGGTATCAGATCAGAGTTCTCCGTCGATCACCTCGACGCTCCCCTGGGGCGATGTTGGTAACGTCTCATACCTAATGTGACGTGTGATCACCAATTCTCAGATCATGTTCGGAGCCTCTCGCACGACATCTACCCCCTAAGAATATTGTAGTTGTATTCGTACTGTCCTGTCTTATCCCCCCAAACCTTCGACTCGCATATACCAATATACCGTATCATACATGGCCTACCTACATGCCTACATAACCAGCCGGCAGACCAACGGCGCCGAAAGTAATTGCTGCCTAACTACCGGCGCTGCCGGTACATACATACACTGGAACGTTCTGTATGTCGTCGAGATTCTGAACTTGCGGTGTAGAAAAGAAAGTCTTGGTATGACGAGTCGGGGAATATTCGTGGGGTGATAGAGGCGACGTGAAGTGAGGAGTAAGTCAATTAATATGAAGGCGAGAGGGAAAAAGAAGTTCCCTCTGTTGCAATTTGCTAGAGGTATGTACGTTGTATGTAGAGTAGATATGATAGCACTATACAAAACGGCGTTCCGTTTTATGTATGTCGCTTCGGATTCCCCGTTTTCTGCCCTTTCTCTCGTCACGGTGGTGAAAGGGGAACTTTTAACGACGGAAGATGTCGGTTTCGAATATGATTGTGACCGTAACTTGCTTCTGGACGGTCGGTATATAGGGATCGAATTTGGGGCGTCACGAATCCTACGTAACTCCTCATAGACACCGACGGGCCGCCCCGCTCGCAAACCTGGCCGCAAATGGGAGGTATACGTCGGTAGCGACTCCGAAATATCGGTTTTCTGTTTTTTTTTTTGTTTGTTTATTCGTAACGGACTGAGGTTCAGCAAGGCGGATTCAATTCATGTATATGGGATAAAATAGGGGCAAAGAATGTATTATCTAATCGGACCGACGTGAACTAACTAAACAGGCCAGACACTGCGACCAAAACCTCTTCGAGTCTTCGTAGCATATAAAATACGACTATGTAGTAAACTTGGAAGTTAGGTAAATTGAGATGGAAAGTAAACTTTGGCACTGGAGAGCGTTGCTGGTTTGTCCCTTAAACTGAGGATTAGCGGATCCCCAGGCCCTAAGATTTGGGTCTCCCTATAGCAGTGGCTCCAGCTTCTAATTCGCCCAAAAAATCCTCCGGCACTCGCTGATCTCGACTTAGCAACTCTTGGTACTGGGGCCCATCGTTGCCCTTTCCGGCCGTGCTCTGCTGGTTGGGGCAGGACGAGGCCCATAACTACGTTGCCGTCGATGGGTCGCAGCGGTTTCAGCTGTAGGTGAAATCATCGTATCTTCAACGCGACTATAAGTTCGTACATAGATAAAACAGACGAGGCTGGACCGTGCCTCCTAGCGGCAGAGACGTAGGCGGGGAGGAAGAGGCTACGCTACACTACATGCTGCGGAAACACATAAAGAGAAGAATGAAATAAAAAATAAAAAAATAGACCCAAAGAAGAGCATATACATCTGATGACTCACAGAGTGTTGGAATGAGACAAAGAGACCAAGGAGAAAGACAAATGGGAATCGCTAGCCTATCTAGTAGGAACACGCTGCAGTGCTACCTACGTACCAACCTCGCCAGCCCATCGTTAAACCCTCAGAGCGGGCGAAGGGGCCTTGCCATGTGGCCTGCCTCCCAGGCCCGAACCCTGATCTGCAAATAAATATATACTCTACATACGCATATATACACACATACAGCGTAGCGGGCTCTCGATTGGGCGCCAGACACGAGACGAAGGGGGTTGCTACCCGGGTAAGCTCCAGTGTGGGTACGGCACACACCTCTTTCTCACTTGCAGGGCATACATAACAAACACGCCGCGTTGTCAGACGTACAGGAGAGGCGGAGAGAGAGGAAAGGGAAGGGAAGGGAAGCGGTTCGTTCGAATAGAGTTTTGGCCAAGCAGAGACACGCAGACGCACCATGCATATATATAATGACGCGGATTTGATGTACGTGCTCTCGGCAGCGATACCGAGGGCCTTGCCTTGTCGCTGACGTATCCGTGCTTAGCCTATGTAGGTAAGGGTGATTTTTTTGGGTACGTACAGGGAGAGGGAGAAAAAAAACGAAAGGCAGATCACCGTCTGGGGATTGGGCGGACGCGCGCGAAGAGCAGAAAAATTAAAAAAAGAGAGGTAGGGATCCCAAACCAGGTTTCCCCTCGGTACGCCCTATCACGATACCGCATATACATCCTTTTTTTATGCACGTACGTGTTGGCCGGGGAACTTCCTCGTCGTAACTGGAGAGATTGCAGTTGAGCAAAATGTAGGAGAGATGTAAGCAAATAGTAGATACTACGACCCTACATGCTCGACCAACAGGAGTTATCGAGATCTGGAACAGGCGTAGCTCAGGCAAATCTGCGTCTCAGTCGCCTTCCTCTGGTAGCCATTAGGTAGTTTTTTATAACTCTGTAGGGTTGCACGCATTGGTTTGTTTACTCCCTACCCTATACGGCTCCAGATCCTACCCAGTCTCGCGACTCATCCGGATACGTCCATTGCGCCCACGGCATTCAGAATTCTGCTACTTCGGAAAAGTCCGTCTTGCGTCACAGCGTGAGGTTGTTTCGACTGCTGGATTTGGCTTTATTGGGATTCTCTGGTTGGACCTTTGCTGATCTGTTTGCTTTTATCCTCTAGTTTAGCCGCTTGCTATCATCCCAATTCGCTCCTCCTCAACCCCCCTTTCCTGAAATGGGAAATAATGCGATTCTGTACCGTTTCCTTTCACGACACGTCGAAATCGCCAACACCTCATTCTCTTCCCCCAATGTTTTAGACTCCATCGATCAAACCTCGCCTCCCTAGTACCTAGCGTAGTCGTAGTAATAGTAAGCTCATATGGCTTCCTAAACAAAAAATAACACCTTCCTCATATCTGTTCCTCGTTGTATACCAACTCGTATAGGACAAGACCGGTTGGGTATTTGAAGCATCCATAGTATAATGAACACAGAATAGTTTCTGCAGTCTGGTAATTCGCAATCTGTTATCGAATAAGAGACAAAAAAAAAAAAAAACCACCCGAGACGAAAACCAAACAACACCGTAACTCCTGCTTGTCTCTGACCGTAAACCCCCGAGACCTCAGATAGATATATATAAAAACCGCAAGCTCCAAAACCCAATTCCTGGCAAAACGACGGATCCGTGTATGTAGCGTGTAGATAGGACAAAGGAGAAATATGACGGAGGGGAGGCATTTGGTGCACAGATCGGTACTGGGGGCCCGTATAGCTGTGACTGGTAAAAAACAAACTGGATTCGTTTCCTGACACCTTAACCAAGTAAGCAACAATTCTGAAGCTTTTCCTTCCCGTCCGAAATGCCGGTTGCCCGAGCTATGCGAAAACTTCTAATGACCGTTTTTGTCCAATGCTCGGATGATGTATAGGACCCATATCCTCCATTACCGCAACTAGTGCGAGGAGTTAAAATTAAAATAAATATATGATAAATTATTTGCTTCTTAAAACGAAAGTAGAGCATTGAGAGGACCCTTCGAGCTAGAGGCATCGTACTTAACGATGGCTTGGATCGTGTGGTGCACTAGGTCGTGTTGCCCAGCCAGTCTCGTATGGCTCCCTCTTGTATGAAAAGTTTTGTACGGGAGTATTCGAGGTGGGTGGCCCAGTAGTCGGCGTTCCAGCCGGCTGATCCAATCGTAGAGGAGGTAACCGTGAAGTTCGAGCCATGGCCGAGGGCGTTCCGGGTTGCGATAGAGGAGCGTGGGTAGATTGTGGCATCGATGGCAAGCTAGTTTGAGGCCCGCCGTAGGATGGACCAAAATCTAGTTGAGGGTCTGTTCGGCGTCGGCGTGCCGCCCTCTCGCCCGTCACAGGATCAGTAGATCCGTAAGATGGCATCGGTAGCGAGGGTGGATTAGAGCCGAGCGGGCTTCTCTCTGCGAAAGACCCACCGCTTCTCGTCGAAATAGGACTTGGAGGTCCTTGATATGCGAACTCGCTGATCCCGGGGGTTCGGTAGACGATATCGCGCAGTCGATCTCGGTCGCTACGATACCTATCTCGCTCGCTTTCTGCCTCTTGTTGCCGTTTGAGAAGTTCACGGTTCTGGCTCTCTAGCTCCTGTATCCGCATCCCCTGTTGTAATTCCTTATCCTTTTTCCTAGCTCGGAATCGTGCGGAAGCACCCGCGTTCCGCTGTCGTTTCTCATCCGCCTGTTTTGAACCATTATACATGTCCAATGGCACGATTAGTGGTTCTCCACCGACATTCATCGCTGCATGTCCATCCATCCCCATCATACCACGAGCTCCTGAGTGGCCCTGACCTGGACCTCCAAGCACGCCTGGCCATCTCGAGTCCGCTGGGAGAGAAGATGGGAAACCTCGGTTCCCAGGAACTGCCGTTTGATACGGCGGAACTGGACCAAAAGAGTGAGGTCTAATTTGGTGACCGGGGCCACCCTGCGACTGTTGCGTTTCAGGCCCTGGGGCACTGTAATGACTGCTAGCGCTTGGGTGTGAGAGCGGGCGAGGCGGTGGTGTTGTCAACGGGGCTAGAGTAGTCGAGGGACCAACTCCAGAGTGATGGACTCTCCCGAATTGAGGAGCCAAAGGTTGGGGTCCACCAATTCGGGGAGACTGAATATGTTGCCCTGGTGTAGGAGGCTCGGCAGGATATCCTCGATTTGGCGCGGATGGACCGGGATAGTAATGGTGATGGTGAGGGGCGTTTGATGATGACATGTTGCCTGCAGCGCTGACTCGAGGTGATCTGGGGGTCAAGATTCGCCGAGTCCCTATAGAATGATGGGAATGGTGAGATTGGTGAGACTGGATGGAAGCAGGCGAGCCTCGCTCGCCTGGTGATTGTCCTAGAGGCTGACCTCCACCGGCGGCTGGATTTGCCTGCTGCTGGTTCATCATCCCATGTCCTTGGAACATGGGAGGTCGCGATGTGGTCGGACTGGACTCGAATGTGGTGCCCTGCAGATTCGGACTTTGGTGTAGAGGATGTCCACTGGATGGTCCTGATGCTACTGAGGAAGTGGTCCCAGTCGGCGATGGCTGTGTTTCTGTCGGATTCAAAATATTACGCACGCCAAAGCCCCTCTGGGGTAGAGACTGAGTCAATTCTCCATTAGTTCGGGAAATGACACTACTCTCCAAAAGCCCGTCGTTGGCTGGCAGATTGCCAGATCTTCGAGGATCGGTCAGATGCGAATTCGGTGAAGTAGTTGTGCCTGCTGGAGGAGACCTGGATATCCGAGGTGAGGCTGATCGTGACGCAGGGTCCCTCTGCGACATCTGATCCGGTTCCCCTACACGCAGGTGGTCCGGAAGACCCAGACATTGACCGCCTCTATCAGACGCGAATTGATACCGCTTGATTTCCGCTCTTTGTTCGTGGCTATCTAGTCTTGCCCCACCAGATTCGCCGTCCGCTTGCTCAATGATGCTTAGGCGATTTAGGTGAGACCCCACGTCCCCGTTGCTAATCGTGCGGGTAGACGGCTGTTGGGAGGGTTGGCGAACGTTCAGATTTTGGACCGCCACGACGACAGATTGGTCAACGGACTCTTGGTGTATGAATTACTAAGAAATGGTGAAAGTTCGTTGTCCGTTGCGCCCGTCACAAGAGTAGTTGCGCAAACAGGCAGAGTCCGAGATTTTCAAGTCGTCCTCCAGTATCCAAAGCGTATAGGCTATAATGATATATGTGACATTCGGGATAGCTCCTGGGTCTTGTTGAATGTTCGAACAATCCTGAAGCTATATGTGCGAAGTGGTCTTAATAGGTTCCTCCAGTCCGAGTCGAAGTTGTCCTCGAAAGGTCTTGTAGGAAATCCAGGTCCGGGTCAGAGGGCGTTAATCAAGGAGAAGTAAATGGCACTCGTGAAGGTTCTGGGAAATAAATCCAGACATGTGGCGGCTGGAGGAATTAGTGGCTGTATATCTGCTGTTGTCCAACGGGGACTGAGGAATAGAGAAAGGTGATTCGTAGCCAATGATGATATGCAGGAGACGGACCATTCACGACCCTGAAAGCAAGCCCTGCAATGATGAATGGCCAAATGCCCACCAACGCTAGAGCACTGGGGCCTGAATGGGCAGACAAACAGCTACAGTATGCTCGTAAGGAGATAGTGTATGCTTCTTCGGGATGGATACGTACAAGGAGGATGGTAGAAAAAGACTCGGCCAAAATAAGCGGGTAGGACTAGAGGTTGGTAGTGTCTACCGTGCTTGCGTCAATTCACCGACAGCTAAGCTATACGGATGCAGTAAGCTCAGCACTTGCCCGCTGGCGAAGTACTCCGGCGGCAGTGTGACTTTTTAGAGTGGAGGGAAGGGATGATGTCTGGATAGTCCAGGAGTAGGTTGAGAACTTGGACCAGTCGCCACGAGCAGTGCCGCGTCTATTAGACTTTCTTTTTCTCTTCTTTCCACACTCTTGGCGCGAGGAAATCCAAGCTTCCACGCCCGCTTCTTATCACCAGACACGTTAAAATCAGACAGGGCAGAAGGTATGTAGAAGGGGTGGAGCTATACATGGGGATGGGTTTGGCACGCTTGGGACGGCCAGCCGGGGTGCAGGAGGTTCAGGGGGGCCCATGTTCAGGCTCGCGTTGGTACTTAGCACCGGCAGGGCTTAGGACTTGACACCCATAGTTTGGGGGCAATATGAGCTAGGAATACCCCGTGCAGCCCGTAGTCATGTTCCTTTTTTAAGCAGTTTCAGCGAGCTGTGGGAATGATGAGGATCTCTAGACTAGGTACTCTGGCAAGGAATCTCTGTATGGCTCTTCGAACGCTCGAAGGCTTGACGAGCTGAGAAGCTAAGCAGCCCTATTGATGTCTGACACCTGCAGCTTTAGAAGACATGCGAAACATGAGGTGTCAACCGGGAACAACCCAGGAAGCTGACTGACGGAATTAACCCCAAGGCCCACTCGAGACTACGAGTATTGTAGATTGATAATGTTGATTTAACTTTTGGGACCAATACAGATACAGCCTCAGATCGTCCCGTGCAGATTCAAGGCTCTTACTTACCGACGCACTATTTAGCGGTCGCACTCGTTCCAGCCGATATGGGTGACATATACGGGACACAGGTCGGTGAGATTGGTCTACCTAGGACTTCGGTATTGCCTCTGCCAGTTTCATGAAAAATTGGAACAGCGGTGGGTGAGGGTTATCGTGGACCATAGGTGGTAGTGCCTGCTGCACGGCTCACCCAGATGTATCGTCAGCATGCTAGAAAATGGCAGAACTAGTGGTCTCTGCACCGCCAATAGGTCACGGCTCGTCACGAAGAGGATGGGTTCATTAATGGAGATCTCCGGTGGAGTCGTTCTGGTTGCTTAAGAGCTTAGAGGGCCGACTAGGTGGGCGGGTAAAGACTCCGCTTGTTCCAAACCGTTCTCTATCCAACTTTTGCTGGAAATGATCGACAAAGTTACCGTGACCACCGACCAGCCAAGAAAACGTCAGTCGGCCCCCCCAGGTCCAGAGTTGAGTTTTTAGTAAATGACCAAAGACCGGCAATAGGCGGTCACTCAAAAGAGCGAGCAAGCTTTAGCGGCATGGGCTGTACGTGTGCAATACCAGTGCCAACTGGTCAGGTATTGTTGGAACAATAGTACCCAGATTGCCAGAGTATCCTTCCTCTACGTAGTAGTCTGCTAGGACAACCAAGATCGTCTAGGAGATTGGCGGTCAGTACCGTAGCTCGTCGACCGGTGGTGACGAAGCGGAGGTCTCATTCCTGTAGCTCAGTAGACGTGCTAGACCGAGTTAGGATTAATGCCAGCCCAGCTAACAGGCTAGCAAAAGAGTGACGATAGTGTATTTATTTTATTTTATAAATATGCGAGACTAAGCAAGGCCACATCCATGATGAGATAATATGTAGATGTATGTATGTAGGTGTGTTGTATGTATGTCAGAATGAGTAGGGGGGAGAAGAGAAAAGCTAGGTTGTAAAAGGTAGGGAACAATAGCGGCATACTAGGCTAAGTATGTACAAATCGTTACTAGCGCAGGCCCACTATTCCAGCGATGTGTCGTTGTTTCTAGCTGGTCCACGCCCGCGGAAAGCGGGAAGGACCCTCCTTAACCGTCCTGTGCTTCCTAACTAGCGATATAGCTCCTACCCTATGGATCTGTGTACTACATATGTAAGTCAAACCTTAGCATACTCCTACGTAGTACATTTATTGGTATTAGTGTAGGCACGTAAAATCTGAAGGCAAGCACGGTAAAGGTAGATGGTGTATTCTATACTTCGTATACGCTTCCGTGGATGCGTAGATGTTTGTAGCGTGTACAATTGTTCAAAAGACCGGGATCGCTGACGATTGAACTAAATCACCCATTTCGATTACTACATGTACCCAGGTACTTATCGCGAAAGCTTCAAAATTCAATGTTCCATTGAACTCCTGCATCCTCCTAACTCTTCGCCGCTGACCTACATATACCCGGTCTCTCCAACCTCAGACCTACATATCCCATCATTAATTCATACATACATACTGATATTGATACAGTATATGAAAATGTATATGAGGTACACTAAGGTAGATCAATAGATCAGGTACCAACGAGCGGTCCGGTTAGCGGTTAGATTCCAGCCCAACCACGAGAGGCCATGTCTGCCATGTCTCATCGTCAATTACTATGTATGACCGAAGCCACCATGCTATGCCAGCCATGCCGGCCATGTCAGCATGACCAACAGGCCGCAGAAGGATCGCCGACACACGCAGACAGCTACTGTAGCTCCTGTTAGTCGGTCGTCTGCGGGGCGCAATGCGTTGACGCCTACTTGCTGATCTGACGAAGCAGACGAGATAAAAGAATTCGCTTTAAAAAGCTCGATATCCTAATAAAGGCATGCCAGCGGATTGGGAGCGTCTCCGTATCTGTGCATTAATTAGGCACAAGAACAACACAACATTGATGAGTTACCTGAGTTGCAACAGCTCATAGAAAAATCTGGAGCGTCACATCAACCTCCCGGACACGAGGACACCAGTTTCTCCTAGATTCAACCCCGGAACGGACTACGCTACTTTGTAGTTATTACTACTGCGTACTTATGAGTACTTGATACTTCACCAGTCTTTGCGGTAAGCCGGCCGGCAAGGGAGCCATATTTGTCACATTCAACTAGGTGGTCATGTCAGGGGTCTTTTCTTGGCATCTTGATGGATGCCCGAATACGCAAAGGCGTCACTGAAGGGAGTTCAGCATAACAAGAGGTACATATGACAAGTGCACAAGCGCCTACGCTTGCATCATTTGCATCACCGTATACCGGGACTCGGGCTCGCGGGCCACGGCATTTTTGGCCATGCATATGTGTCCTGTATCTATGATGTACGGGGACCTGCGAGTTCAGCGAATATCATGGGATAGTTCATGTTGCCGCCGTGTGATGAGGCCACCATCTGGACCCGGTCGACGTACATACATACATACACAACATACATATGGTAGCATGGCTGCATACGACTTTAACATCGGGTACGTACCTAAGCCCTGTTTGCTGCGGCCTACTATGCGGCCAAAGGAACACCACACAGATGAATCTCTCGCGCGAAATTAAAGCTTTCTGTTTGGCGGCCCGTAAGCGCAAGGATCTTTCTTCGTTGCTCTCAACCCAGCAGCCTGGATAGAAAGCCACGCCCTAAACCCTCTCCGGCCTAGTCCCGAGAGTGAAGCTGAGTGGCTTGTCCTGCGATTCCGAATCGGGCGAGACAGGGCAGTGCTTTTGAAACCTCGTGGCAACGGGAAACGTGGGTGTCCGGCCTTCGTCAATATCCGTCACGTATTATGACGAAGAGACAACCTCCAACCGGGGAAAAAGAAAGAAGAGGTGACTCGATAAGCAAGTCTGCAGATAACCATCACGATTTCACGCGATCACGCACTTCGATGGCCAATCTTTTTCGAGCCCGTCTAATCCATCGATACGTTGCATCCCCATTTCGAACCAATTTGAAGATTGATCAATCACATTGTCGTAATAGCGCTAGAGGCTCTCAATGATGACAGCGTACCAGGGAGCCGGCTTCCCCAGGGCGAAAAGGAAATAAGGCCTAGAAAATGAGAGAGACACAAGGTTGTAACTTCACATTTCGGTCGATCTTCGTCCCTGGTCTTAATTTGATTTTTTAATCTGCTGTCCCCTGGCCTTACACAGTGGTCGGAGAATATCACGGCCGCTCCGCTTTAAATGCAGGAACAAGGCCTGAGACATCGTGGCATCAGGTAATTTGCGTCTTCTATTGAGGTTATCTTGTCTCATTACACTAGGCTTCTGCAAAGAATGCTTTATTACACGTCATTTCGCCCTATCTTCAGCGATACCTTGTCGGAGTCGAGATTTACTCGAGGTACGTACTCCGTATAAGCCGGTTACGGAAGCCATAAGTACCGTACAGTACGCAAGAACGCCACTATTCGCGAACCTTGAACAGCCCACTCCTACCTAGACCTGCTTACTTCAATTATTACTAGCCGTGCTCCAGACATGGCTCCTATCATACACCACCAGCGGGAATAACGATGCCCTTGGCAGACGAGTTCGGGGTGATGAAATGATCATCGAATCCTACCAGTCATGCGGTTCCAGCCGCAACGGGTCGGATACCTACCACACAAGTGTGATGCAAAGCATACCTACCTATCGGAATCTAGTAACGACATGTTTAGTTCCTAAAACCGTACTGCCTAGGTAAGTACCAATCAGGAAATACATTCGTAGTCAGCCGATACACTCACCGTGCATAGACTCATAAACAATTGTAATATGCCTTTCAAGATATGAAGTTGCGTTGCGAGCAGCATTATTGACTATGCTAATTCATACTACGTAGATATATGGAATAATAATAATAATAATACCTCGGTACCGAGTGGTAGGTACCAACGGATTACGAAGACACCCACTAATAAGAATACAATAGCGTGGCATGCGCCCTCGCTTACGAGATGATGTTGAGAATAAAAATCAAAAGGTCATTTAAGTTACCTACCCAGCAGTCTGGGCTGGTCCCCTCTCTGCCGAGGAGTTCCGTATCTGGATCTGGAGATTGAATTGGGAGGGGGTCGTCCTCGCGTGTCCTCCCTTGGAGATTCCTCTAAGATTCTGGAAAAATGTGTCATGTATGGCATGCAGAGCATAGCTGCAGCTCATAATGGATTGGCTGCAGCCTGCAAGGCCGGGGAACAGGGATCAGAACATCACAGTACGGCTTTCATTGAAATATGGCTTCATAACCGGCTTGGCCCTAGCTCCCAGGGTTTTGCAATGTAACGTAAAAACGACTTGTCACTTTTCTCGCATATTTCCCTTCCATTCTTTAGGGACATGGGGTACGAGTTTCGCTAGTCTGACCGGTCGAAGGCTTGAAGAGCAGGAAGAGATGCAATACAGGTCCAGATGATCTCTATCCTAGGCGACATTGGCATCAGCGGTGAGCCACCAGTCTACTCCACGCAACCGGGTTTCCTCATACGCCCTTACGGAGTATCAGTACGGGAACATGTCACGACGATGTGTACCACGTAGTACTGATCGCAGCTTGCACGATTCCGCTCCCCTCGTGTCTCGTCGACACATGGCTAGCATGCCTTCTTACCCTCGAACCCCCACAGTTAAACGGCCTCTCATGTTACGGAGTACATCCAACTACGTGTACTCCCTATAATATCGTCATTATTATCGTCATCAGTGCCGATGCAGTGATACACAGATTGTCGAAGACAATCGTTACCGAACCTACTACGTACGCACGGGGATCCGTCCTCTCCTATGACTCTGAGCTATTATTACCATTATTACGAAGCCCTGGAGCTCAGACATATAATCGATCAATCACCGCCCCCCGAAAGGCCTGAATAAGGATTTGGAAGCTTTCAGCCAACCATAGTTGTGGCATCAGAGGCTAAGTGGATCCTTCTCGCGCGTCATTTATTACTTTTGGCTTCTAATAAACAGTGCCTATTACATAGCGCGCCTATCTCTTTTCCTTGTCTTCGATTTTTCTTTTTTCGCTTTCCTACGAGATGGGCAGGATGGGGTGTGTGGAACGAGATTCTGGAAGACTTACCCGCATCAGTCTATGATCATGTGGTTCGTCAGCCATGGCGGCTTTTACAGATGGCCGAGCGGAACGGCTCGAATCCACACATGCAAACATATCAACCTCTCTGTTTCAACGTCGAGTTGGTCAGTTCAGCTAAAATTGTCTTGGCTAGATCCATCGTTTCCGCCAGTCGGCAAAGTCCAGATCTCCAGAGTCTGTCGTCTTCGTGGATAATAAACGGCCGCTTGTTAGGTTCCGGATGGGGTGCATATTGCATGCACCCAACGCCTGAAGCTCTCGTGAACAGACTAGCGGACATACTGTCCCAAAATGATATCCGTTCCTTCACGATACCTACACCGACAAGGTTTTGCTCGCATACCTTGCCTCATTTTTTTTTCCTTACCTGCATCCATAATCCATTGTCCCCTCAATGAACCCCATTCCCTATCTACAACCAAATAGCTTCTTCCACGCGACCTAGTTGTCGTGGATCCTTGCGATTCGCAACAGGCGGTCACCAACCCGCAAGACGGGCCTTCTGAATGCGGATTCTACATAACTAATGACAACAACCGCTTCCCTATTCTGGGCGATTGCACCTTTTTAGAACCAGCCAGAAAAGTCTACGTGCGTAGACTGGGCCACATCGTGTGGTTGCATGTCAATTTTCTCTTTCTTTAAAGAAAAAAAATTTGCCGGCTGGGCTGCCGATTATCGCTTTCCTGCAGGCATTTATTATGACAAGTCGAATGCTTAATGTTCAGATGTCAAAAAACGAATGTTGGGTTTTCTCTACGTCTAAGTAGCGTGGATAGCGTCGGCTTCATGCAGCACAACGTTTGGAGTCGTTCGCGTGAAAGTCATCCCAAGCGAGCTGCACTCTAACCTCTTTAGACCATCTGCATCTCAACTTCATTCCGATCCCTAGTTCAAGAACGCGTCGTCTTTTTGGGTATCTACGCAGTTTTAAATATATTCATGTAGGTACATGACGTATTGGACGACGGGCCATATCCATCCGTCAAGCAGAGGAAAGGAATAGGTTGAAAGAAATAGCCGTAACGAAAGTAACTCAACACCGGCACGATTTGACCGAAAGCCCCTCGAAATTCAGATTCGTCAGATGTTTTAGGCCGTAGAGCAATTAGACGAGGAATCCGGCCTCTATTTTCGCGGCTATCAGGCCCGTGTCCCGTAAAACACGCGATGGTGTCTAAATTCTTAATATGACAAATATTTACTTTTTGCTTCCAACCGTTGTAGTTTATTCAAAAGAAGTTGGATGTTTCTCCTACCTAAGTAGTTCTCAAGGACATTGCGTTGTACAATACCTACACAGCCTTTACACTAATAGGTAGCAAATCTTCACGAACCACTATTTTTAAGGGGCAAACTAGCTACACTATTACAGATCCGAACCGAATTCCGCTGCAAACGCATCCACCGACCCGGCAGGAGCGAATCTCCAACTCCTCATTAAATTCCGAGACACGCAAATCATACAATTCTCCGTCAACCAACACGCAGCAAGCCACCCAAGCAAGGGAACCTCTATAATCCGGATCCTGAAAGTCCGAGCGCCCCAACGCAACAAGAAGATTAAGAAAAAGCAAGAGTAATACCCTCTCCTCAAAGCTTGGAAATGTCTAGCACCGCAGAGACCAACCCCTCTCTGCAGCAGTGGCGTGTGACGGAGCCGTACCTGAACCTGCACTGCGGGCTCGGCGAGGGCCCGTACTACGAGGCTGCAACGCACCACCTGCGCTTCGTCGACATCAAGAAAAAGCGCGTGCACATCGCCGACCTCTCCAAGTCCGAGCCCAAGTCCGCGGTTGAGACCATCCAGCTCAACACCCCGGTCACGGTCACAGCGGACATCGACGGAGTTGATCCTCGCGAGCGCATTGCCATCGGCGCCAAGTACGGCGTCGCGGTGCTGGACCGCCGTTCCGGAAAGTATGAGTACGTCTCACGCTTCAGCTCTGCGAGAGATGACGGTAGCGACGACGAGCGCATACGCAGCAATGATGGCGCTGTTGATCCTCACGGCCGCTTCTGGCTCGGGACCATGACCGACATCGGTCTAGACCTACGACCCGAAGGTGAGTTCTCTTTTCACTCTAGCCACTATCTATCGTGGTTTTAGTTTAGTTTCGAGCTTGCAGCCTCTTCAGTCTGGTATATATACTACGGCAGAAATTTAGGACTATTATTTCATGAACTCCCCCATTTCCCTCAAGCCTATAAAAACACATCACCTCCAACACTAGCGTTCACAGGCGCATAGCCAAGCCTAGCCGGCTACCTACCTCGCAACGGAGGGGCGGCGGGACGCCTAGCGGATCCCGCGCGCTTGCTCATTTCGCGCCTCGCGAATTATTAATTTATTTTTCCCCCTTCCACTTCCACTTCTTTCAAGGAAATATTTTCCGTCCTTTGTTTTCTAGAATCCATAAGTGGTCCCTGCATTACAACGACCGCTTAGGGCCGCCGGAAGGGGAAAGGAGCCCCGTGGACTATTGATTTCGTGTTTATTTCCGGCGGGCAACCCTGCTCCTCTCGCAATATGCCGGACCTAGCGCCCGGCAGCCGCGAACGTTTTTTTCCTCCAGCGGCCGCGCCGGGGAATTAAAAAATAAATAACTAGTTCCTGGTCGTTGTTGTCTTATATCGTTACAACGTCCGCTGCTACATTGTGCGGAAACCTGTCTACGTGGTAACGGACGTGCTAGTGCCCCTGATCCACACGGGATAGGACGTCAGAACGTAGTAGTATGGTCTAGCGTCCATATTACGATGCTATGTAAAATATATCACCTACATGACAACCCACATATACATATCATATTTCACGATAGTAGCAAAACAAAAAAGGGACAAAAGGACATGAGTGGGGTCGGATGATCTGCTAGGGCCACTACGCTGCGGAAGTCCAGCCGCGAGAAACAGCTTAGACTAGAAAGAGTTTAAAGGCCCAGACTTGGTTTACTTACGTCACATATATGTTGTAGGCTCTCTGTTCCTCTTCGACGGCCGCACGCGCGCGGCGCGCACGGTGCGGCACCCGGTCACGATCCCGAACTCGATCGGGTGGTCGCCGGACGGGCGGACGCTGTACTTCACGGACTCGGTGGCGCGCACCGTGTTCGCGCGGGACTACGACCGGGAGACCGGCGACGTGTCCGACGAGCGCGTCTTCTACCGGCACGACGGGCCGGGCGAGCCCGACGGCCACCGCGTCGACGTCGAGGGCAACCTGTGGCAGGCCGTCTACGGCGAGGGCCGCGTGCTCAAGATCTCGCCTGCGGGGAAGCTGGTCGGCGAGATCAGGCTGCCGACGAAGAACATCACATGCCCCCAGTTCGTCGGGACCGAGCTGTATATCACGACGGCGGGGATGGAGAAGGATGAGGGTACGGCTGAGGAGGTCGAGCTTAGCGGCGCGTTGTTCAAGGTCGATGTTGGTGTGAAGGGTTTGGAGCCGAACTTGTTCAAGTTGAACTAGGGTCATTAGTTCAGTACCTTGATTCTTTTTTTGGAGCAGCGATAGCATCGTTTAAAAGGACATCGAGGTTCGGCCGTTGGGTTGCTAAGATGGGAAACAGGAACCAGCATTGGACTTCATTTATACACCTACCTAGGTAACTTTCACGCTCGAGACTTACCTATGCGGTCGTTCATAGGTACACAAGGTCGACACAACCAAAATCAATAAAACGTTAGAACATTTTACTTCAGTTCTGAATTAGGTCTTCTTAGGCCTCAGCGCGTACATGCGTACGGGATACAGGTCTTCAGGGAACCCGTGCTGTAGTTCCGTCCTAACTATACTTAATCCCGCCTTCTCAAAAATCTGCCTGAACGTTTCGTCTTGTCTGATATAGAATTGTCAACCGAAACAGTCGTTGAAGATATAGTAAGGGGTACGAGTAAAACAGCACTCTTCAATATCAGGAGAAACTTACCTCGTAACACTACTATCCAGCTCATCAAACAAATCCCTCCCAGCCGTACTCAAGTTCTCCTTAACCACAATAACCCCTTTCGTCTTTCCGTCGTCGCCCACACTCAGCGCGGCGCCGCACCGCCTCAGGTACGCCGCGAGCTGCAGGTCGGTCAGGTGTCCGACGCACCACTGGTTCCACACCAGGTCGTACGTAGCGCCTTCCTCGGGGCGCCACTCCTCGAGCCCGACGTTGTAGATACGGCCGACGCCCGGCCGGCCCTCGAGCGCGGCCGTGAACTTGGCGATCGGCTCGACCACGTCGACCGTCTCGGCGACCTCCAGGAGCAGGCCTTGCGTTATGCGTCCGATCCTACGGGGCCCAACAACAACTCGCTTAGCCAACTATGCTCGTCTTTTTTTTGGGGCCCGCATATGCAAACCTGCGTTCATGACCGTTCCCAGTTTAATCCTGGGTAGGTTGGTTGCCTAGGTATAAATCCTGCTTGGGGGAGGCGTGGGGGGACGGGGGTTAAGGGCGCTTAGATCTGTGCCTTGTAGGAAGGAAGGGAGGATTCGAACGTAAAAATAGAACGGCACGTGCGGAACTGAATTGCGGATCTAAAGAAAAGGGGTTCGGAGGAGTATGTATAGAGATAACGGGGTAGAGCTAGGTATTTTCATGTATATCTAGGTAAAGAAGTAAAAAGATAGAAAATTCAATTAAATAGATAAAAACATACCCTGCACCGCCCTCAACTGCCCTCTTCACATTCTTCTGGCCCTTGGTGCGGCCAAGCCCGAGTTTGGCAAGAAAGCTCCCCGAGGTCCTTAAGTCGATGCGTGAGACGCCGGGGTAGCCGCCCAGCATGCCGTTAACGTCGGCGTCAATGCCCGACCAGTACCGGCGGCCGTCATCGGCGCTGATCAGCGAGTCCGGCACCGTAGAGGAGTTTCCAGAGCTCGACATCTCGTGTCCCATTTTCTTATTCTTTCCTTTATTAATTCTTCCGCAGTGTCATCCGCGGACTAAACGTCTAGGGAGACGAAACCAGTTGATAAGAGAAATTTTTGGTAACGTGGTCGAATATATGCCCAAAATTAGGTAGCAACGGATATTTTCATACGTTACTATGTGTTATTGGCAATCCATGGTGTATTGCAAACGGAATCAATCCGAGTCGTGTTTTTGTAATGGTGATGAGTTTCAAGAGAAAAGGGAGAGCCCTAATAGGTTTGAGGTTCTCTTGGTTATCACGTGTTTGGCGTCCTTTTTATAGTGGGAACTCTCCAGCAAGCTATCAATGTACCTACCAGTAAACACCCCTATACTTAGATCTGGTGTAACCCTACCCCCTTGAATGCGCAACTACCTAACTCCAACTTAACGTCGCAGTTCCTGACGTTTTCGATCCCGATTGCCTAATAAGGAATGTACCTACGCAAATCTAGGTACAAGCATCGTCATAGGTCATTGGATAAGGCTGAAATACCTTGTAGGAAGGTGTTTTGCATATTCAAACTCTGTAGGCAGCTTAGGTAATTATCAAGTACAGCTAACATGATCGCTAGTAGGTACATACATATAAAGGGGCAAAATCCGACCTGCCTGAAATTTTTCAAGATGCAAACAATGGATTACCAGTATTAAATTTAGTCTTGTGTATGAATTAGTTTTGTGAGTTTACCAATCGAGGAAACTATAAGTTTCGTGCTATCAACTACAATAAGTTGATTTAACATCAACCAATGGTCACCAGAGAAATATGTGTAGGTAGTTTTATCCAATTTATTGTTTGCCATCGAGTATACCAAATATCCTGTCAACTCAATTTATTCTAGATTTGGACTCATTGTGAAGTAATTAGTGGCGAGGATACCAGCCGGGCTCGTAGTGGTGGTGGTACCAGTCGTAGTCTGGCTTGTATGGTTTGTATGGCTTGTATCCCTCATCACCTCTCTTACTCTTGCCCCAACCATTACCATATCCTCCATTATATCCGCCGTAACCTCCACCATACCCGCCGTAGCCATTTCCCTCTGCTTGTGCATCTTCATCCATGTCCCGGCGGACCTTCGAATTATTAGTAATAAATTCGGAGGTTGGGGGTGGTAGTGGGTGTCAAGGTTATTCATGGCCAAGACACGCTGGGGTAATATATCTTTAAATTCAACAGCAACCCATAAATCGTGTGTGACACCGAGGGAAACATGAAAGAAGTTAATATGCATTGAAAACTTACTTTGGGGTGGTAGCCACCGTATCCACCATAGCCGCCGTAGCCATGGTGGTGGTACCAGTCTTCATTACCCTCTTGTCCGTCGGGTGATTTCTTTTCAACGTTCTAGAAACAAATTAGCTCGACGTCTTTCTAACCTATATAAAAACATTAACTAGACACTAACGTCAGAAGCCTCACGCTTGTTGACAGGTGCAACAGCTTCAAGTGAAGCTGGGGCAGCTAGGACCCCTGGGCCGACCAGTAGAGCAGCTGCTAATAGAGATTTGACTTGCATCGTTTCAAGATAGATATAAGGATAATGTAGAATGGTCCTAATGAAGATTCCCAACTCGATAATTTGATTTCGTAATGGTTCAATAAGTAATATGTTGGTGTGTTATAGAAAGAGGAAAACGAAGATTGGTTGTTGGAGGCCAAATAAGCATTCTTATACCCATTGTAGTCCTAGAGTAGAGGAGCGTGCGGTATAAGACTCGCCTCTTCGCGTCCATGGCCGAGATGTTTAAGTTCGTTATTGACGACAACGATATTCTGTCACCACGGCGTTATTCACATGTACATCGCTAAGTCCGGGACACCAATGCAGAAGGACCGTACCATTTACACCATATGACGCGACATTCATCTCAAGCTCATAGAGTTGATGATGGAATGAAGTCGATAACATCAACGGCATCTAGGGACGGTAGCCCCCGCATGTGGGACCGCCACATGGTCACATATCCCTACTCCGTACACTTAACCTGATCTTGGAGGCATCGTTTGCCGCCATCCCAACTGGGGGGATTCCCAAGAACATGGGAAGATACCAAGTCCAAGGTCGCGGGAAAGTAATAGGGGCATTCGACGGGGACGATTAATAATGCGAAACGAGGTTCGAATGATCCGTCGCATATTAAAGTTGACTAAGTCGTCGATTGAAAGCAATGTGAAATCATCACTGCTCTACCGCGAGGGAAACCCTGCGTCCAGGTAAACTCAAATATTGATTGGGATGTTCGTCCAGCTGGATCTCAGGTCACATCCAGAGAGCCGGGCTCCTCACATACATATTGTGACGTGAGTATGAGGATATAAGCTAAAGAACCGGCGAAGAGCAAGCGCGCATGACAATGAAAGTCGGCTTATAAATCACGGAATGATCTAGACTTTCCATCTTCGAGTCTCCAAGAGGCCAACTTAGCTCGAAACTTTGCTTGCCCGTTGATTCCTAATTTTTTACCGTCCACCGAGATCTCCAGCCTCGCTTCATGCCAATCACGAAGCAGTCGAATCATGTTGAAGTTTAGATCGGTGTTTTTATGAATAAGAAGAGGCTTAATGCAGTGAGCTCCCGTTAACAAGCAATGACTAATTGTAACCTAGCCAGGGATCACCTTTCGAATTGAGTCTATAAATCATTAATATATCTTTCTGAGAACAAAATACGCCACAAGGGTATCAATCCTGGCTCGAGAACGAGAAACCTGACAAGGGCATCGTCCTAACACGGCTGAAAAATACGGCGTGAGCCAACAATGACGTCTGCGCCAGAGGCAAGTCTTTTGCGTGCCAATATATCCGTCAAACCCCCATTAAATCGCCAATTTTTTGTCTTCGAGTTGCATATCTACAGGCGCTCCGTCCATCGGACGAGGAACCGTGGTGTCGGTCTTTGAATGCTTGAGACGTTGATTAGCCTATAGCACGTAGCCGTTGGCGCTGACACAATTCCATTCGCGGACACCCATTCCCTCTTCGAGCTCCACACACCACCAAAGCACTTCTTTAGCTTTGTCTGGCTGTCCACTGTCTTCATGCGCCCTAGCTAAGGCGAACCATGCGTCTGAGTAATTCCACCCTGTGCCCAATTTGGTAAGACCGGACAATAATCCATAAGCTCTATCTCTAGCAGCGAGCCGGTCAACGAGAGGCAAAGAAACGGCTTTGTAAGGAGGAGGAAGCTCATCCGCTGCAAGGCCGTTGGTTTTATGAAGAGGACTAGGTGTGTTGGACTCTAGTAAGTTACTTCCTAGACCCAAAGGTGTGGATGGCAGTGCTAGGATGTCTTCTGTTTTGTTAGGGTTGGCCTGGGACTCCTGAGGGCTAGAACTTGGTGGCATTAGATTCGTTGATTGCCCATCAGGTAGAGTGATGCTGGGAATTGCAGCAGGTGGCAAAAGCGTTTCGTTATAGATGTCAAGAAGAATGTTGGACAACCCAACCGTAGCCGACGGATGATCTGGGTAGTGCATTAAAGCTTCCTCAAAGTGATCCCTTGCTACGTCATGTGCGTTTTCGTCAAGGGCAAGATAGCCCAACTATGCCATGTTAGCGAGCGTCGTCTGAATGGATATTCGACCTTCATACCTCACTCTGCACATCACCCCAAAGTTCCTCGACGGCTTTCTTTCCGCCCCAACCAGGATCCCGCAGGGTAACAGAGCCGCTGGTGTCTTTGGCCACCTCGCTTTCTAGGTTGTCTACCAAGTTTACCGCCTCGTCGATTGCTCCCTTTGCATCGCCAAACATCTTGGCACGGCGGTAGAATGTAGCAATCATTAACCACACTTTAACGAGCACAGTTTGCCTCTGACGTTTGATTTGGTCTTTCGCAAATTGCACTACGGGTAGCGAGCTAGGCGACGAGAGCGGACTGAGACCTAGGCTATCGGAAGCAGACCCTCTGGTCGAAGAAGCGGAAGAATCAAATCGAAGTAGTCCACGGCCCTTCGAAAAAGATTGCTGCCTAGCTACGTCACCTTTGCTACTCCATGTGAAAAAGTCTGCTCGTTCCTGTGCTATTCCATCTGCCGCAGGGGTGTAGAAGTCTTCACCATCCACATTTGTTGGGGCATGGGATGCACTTGCATTGCTGGTGGTTCGCTTCGGCTGAGCGCTTGGCTCTCGCTTTCTTAAGCTGTTCCGTCTCCCCGAGTCACTACGTCGTGAGCGAACACTCGACGACCTCCTAGACCGTCGCGAATCACCAGTCTCGCCATTAACCTGTATGGTTGGGGCTGTTGTAGCGGTGGTAGAAACGCTGACAGCCGTCTGCGTAGTTTGAGGCCTCTCAGGCACGATAGTGGCTTTGCCGCTTTCTCCCGTGCCCACCCGAGCGAGGCCGCGAGGAGGGGTCTTCTCTGACCTGCTACCGAAGATACCAGTACGCATAGTTCTGATTGTACCAGCTGAGCTTTTGGGGACCTCCACCGGGGCCTTTTGAGTCGTAGCTGGTGCTCTCGGTTGGGAGTCGCTGAATAGCCTCGCGTATAGCACTAATAACTCGTGGCTTGCATTTACTGCAACCTCCGGTCCTTCTAATAGTTCTAGAAGAGCAAGTTGGGTCATTTTCACTTCAATCATCCCTTCTTTTTCAAGATCGTCCATTTCGTCGACGAGTCCCCTTGATTGGGTCTTTTCATCCCTAGCTTCCGCCTCGTTGAGGTGTTCGCTGCGGAATGTGCCTTGTAGATTTTGTGAACCGAACAGAACGGTTGGGTCATCGAACTGCTCAAATGCTCCCTCGCAGGCCCTAGCAGCCATTATAAAATCCTGTCTAGCGCTAAGGAGGAGAGCAAGGAGGTGCCACAATGGTATTAACGAGCGCTCTCGCCAGTATGAACCATGCTCAGCTTGTTCCACGGTTTTCTTATTAGACATAAGTGCCGCTTTAACAATATCGATGGCTGCGGCCAGCTCTCTTTGCTCGGCCAATAACAGACCGAGAGTGAATAGAGTTCTAACATCCGTGGGGTTCCCGTTCTCAGGCGATAGCGACTTTTGAAAGCTTCGAATGGCCTTTGCCTGATATTCTGTTCGTACAGATGCATCAAAAGTTGCTCGAGACCACTGTGCTTGTGAGACACCGATTGCCTGCCATGATAAGGCATAGACCCGGGACGATATTCTTGGATGTAGGATAACACCATCTCCGTCTTCTTCATCTAGTGTAGTGATATTATCCTGGGAATTAGGGAGTGGCGCCGGTAACTTTTGCAACATTCCTTCTAATTCAACCCCGAGACTATGCGCCTTTTCGGCAGCATCTTTGAAGCCATATTTGCAGAGAGCAGTGATCGCTTGAGAAATAATTTCCAAGACTGTCGCATCGTCATCAAGACTGGGCTCCGGATGACCGGTCTTATCAACTCGAGCCTTTCCCTTCTTGACTATCTCCAGGTAGGAATCGAAAGCATGGAAAGCTAGATCAAACTCAGCAACTGAAAGATGAACCGTAAATAGGTATCGTAATATTGCCGTAGAATGATATGTTTTCGTAGCCGCTCGGTAAAGGATATCCAAAATCCCACGACTGAGACCTTCTTTACCACCAGGCCCAAGGTCTTGTTCATGCCAGTCGCGTCCATTTAGGACGCTCCAGTTTTTCATTACCGCCGCAACGAAGTCTTCCACTTCCTGCCTTTGTTCTTCGGCTCGTGGGAAAGACGTTTCGTGGAGAAGCAATCCTTCGTAGGCTATTTCGACCTTCTTTAACTCGGCCCGAAGCTGATTATAAGCTGATGCTTCATTGGTGACATCCACGAAGCCCGTTGGAAACGGCAAGTCTTGCTGTAGGATGCCCGAGATGGCAGCGTAATATTCGTTCCACACTCTCCTTCTCGGTACGGCCCCACGAAAACCATAACCACCGACAAGAGCGGAGCCTTGGGCCTTAGAAACTTCCCAGTATTTTGCCCATGATCGAAATGGTGCCAGTGAATTAGGGTCCTCGAGAGTTTTTTCGCCTTTTTCTAGGGCCTGAGATTGCAACATGCAGAATTCGGTCAAAAACAGCTCAGCCCAAAAACGCAACTGCTTGCGACCCTTCTCGCCTGACCATACATACGACAACGAAGCCAGTGCAGATTCGAAGACAGCAAGTGCAGCAACCCTCTCATTATTCCGTGCAAGGCAATTTGCCTTCAGATATGCAGCCTTGATAGAACACACTCTTGTCCACTCTGAAATGCCAGTCGGTTGATCTTGGCCTAGTTCGTTCTCCAGATTCTGTGGTAAGCGAACAGAGGCCTCAGCATAATCGCCGACAGTCCAATGAATCCATCCAAGACAGACTTGAGCTTGATATTTGTCTTCGGTTACTGATGATCCGGCCTCAATCGCACCGAGTAACTTAGGCACGAATTGCGCGACGTCCAGGTCTGTTGGGGAGACGGCGGTAGCAGGCCTTGAGCCGGGGCGCTGCTTCTGAGAAGCTTTGATGATAGCATATTCGGTCTCGGCAGTCGTCGTTAGGCCTACAGATCAGACGGGATATTAGAAGTAGCTTTGGTAAAAGCAAGGTGGGTTAGAATCATACATAACCTATCGGTGGCATGTTTTCGGACCTTTCGTACCAATTCTGGCACATCATCCCATTTCCCATCACATCTTGCGTCTTCCAATCTTGCCAAGTATTGCGCTACCTTGCTCGATCTCTATTACGTGTTCGGTGAGTAACTACATTGGCATGATATTAGGTGGATAGGGGATACCTACACTCATCCTGAGGATTGCTCTCCTGATACGAACCTACGAACCAACGGAGGCTTATGAAGGTCTGAGCAATCGAGCTACTGATCAGTAGGGCTCTCGAATATCATCCCGGACGGGCGCGTTGAATGTTATAGAATTGTCGGTGTCATGCCAGAGCGTTGCAAGAATGGCCAGGATTAGGTTGTATTAAAAGTAAACGGTCCTAAGCGTCGTCACGCCCGCCAAATAATAAACTTCTTGGCGAAACAGGGGAAACTATGTCATGGCCTCGTTAAATACAATTCGATTCGCCTAATTCGTATAATATGTAACGACAAGGTATGGCTCCGCAGGTCCTAGATGGCCCGCGATAAATGCATAGGTCCACTAAAAAGTTAATCGATAGTGAAAAGTTCATGAAGCCTTCATTCTATTTCTCATTATAATATCTTCGGTTCCGAAAATTATCAACTCTACAATCGAGGTCTCAATTTAAGTCCTCTGGTCTCATATAAGATATGCCCTATCATCTTATACCGAGGATAACTTTCCCTAAACTTGGATACAGATCCAATTGATCACCTGAGATCTGAGAAGACTTACACGAAGTCTTTAGAGCTATAAACCGTCCAATAGGATTGCAGCACGGAAGAATCATTGGCGAAAGGTCTTCTTTATATTCCAATTCATTGACGAATTCTGAGCTGCGGAGAGCCTGGTTAGGAAGAAGTCGTCTTAAACCATGGCATTTGCCTCTCTCCCGCCCGAACTACGCAGTCTTTGCCGAAGACTGACGGCGACTAAAGTAGAACAACTTCCATCTCTGCTGCCTTCCCTTCTTAAGGATTTATTGCGTTGCCAAGAACCTCTTTCAAGACCTCAGGAGGCGAAGACTTCTGAGAGCTCTTCCGAATCAACTGTGCTCGTACACAAGTTGAAGACACAAATATCTGCGCTATTGAATAGCAGAAATGTCCAAGGCCGCTTTGTTGGAGTTGCACTAGTAAAATGTGTAATAGAGACTGGCGGCTGGGAATGTCTTCGGACATCTGAGTTGTGGGTCCGCGGAATATTATCTATCCTTCAGGTAAGGTCCTTATCTTATAATGCTATTAGAAACATTACTCATGGAAAGTAGAGAAAAGATCCTGCCGTTGTTAAGGATCTGTGTATTGTAACCCTGGTCAAGATATACACCTTAATGCATGCGTATCCGACTTTGGTACGAGAGATCGTCACACCAACCCTTCCTACATTTGCGACGGCTTGTCTTCAGGTTTTAAAACCACCTGCATCTAGCAAAGCTGCCAAGATACCTAACAGTCTCGTCGAGCACATCTTCGAGGCTTTTTCTACGATAATCCCGTTGTATCCAACTACTTTGCGCCAGTTTGCGTCTAAATTCAGAGTTGAGACACGGCCATATATTGCGCCGACCATCTCAGATGGCACAATAACACCCGCATCTTTGCAGGCAAGTAGTCGACGTCTGGCAATAAGACTACATATGACGGCTGTGAAGGGTGGCGACTCGTCTGAATGGGCGAAGCATCTGGATGGACTCATCAAGACGTTCCATTCTACAGCTGACCAAGTCTTCCGAGCCGTCCAAGAGAGTTGGGAGCCAACGTCTGGTCACGTACTCGGTTCCGTGCTTCAACAGGCAGCCTTTGATAATGAACCTCAAGGTGGTAGTACCAACTTAGAGCAGTTGCCATTGTGGGTTGGCATCTACGCGGGTAGTGAAAGGATGATTGCCTTACTGGATTTCGTTGGGGAGTACCTTCGCTGCCGCACCAAAACAGCCGTTACTATCCCAGTCAGTTCAATTGTTGATATCATTACACGAATATCTTCAATCTTACCACCAAGTCAAGGGGGGGAGAAGTCAACGTCGATTCAAATGAATCCGGCTGTTGGTAGAGAAGAGAAAGACGAATTATGGACGGTATTTTCGGACATTCAGCTTGCGGCAATAAATTTATTGCATACCGTGGCACGGCGTTTAGGAAGAAATTTTATGCCAGTAGCTCAGGAATCACTTGAGCAGCTCATTCGAATGTTTGAATCAAGCTATCGTCTACCTGAAATTCGAAAAGCGACATTCCTCTTCACAAAAGACATACTTCAGCTCTGCGGACCAACGATGGCAAAACTTGCCGTTGAGAGCATAAGTCTCGTCGCCAAAGCGTGCTGTCGTGACCTCTTAGGATCCGCAGGTCATCTCAAGCGTCCTAGACAACCAGCTTCTGCTGCTCAGGTCGGCCAAAAACAAAAATCCATCAGCCAGAATGCAGACGCGTTCCTCAGTACCAAAGCTGAAGATGAGTCTATTTCAACTACCCTAAGCGCAGACCACATTTCCGCAGCAGCTGAGCTCTTGACCACTCTTTTTAGCCATGTGCCGCAGCAGCATCTTCCTTCCTCCCTTCGAGCCCAAATGCTCAGAACGGCCATCCTATGTCAGAACAGAGATGCGCAGGTAGCGAGCGTGCTACATCCAGCACGAGACAAAAGCGGGCGGACACCGCAGGTCATATTACCCTATCTCGTTCAGCAATTTCCTCGCGACGAGAGCGTAGAAATCCTACGTTTCAATTTCCGACCTATGGCAACCGGATCCAGAAACGATTTTATGGATGTGGACGATACGTCTGCCGCAGATGACCCGGAGGAGCAACCCCCAAGCAATGGTCCGTCATTCAATCAGCCATTCGCCTCTCGGTTCACGGGGTTCCACGAGTTTCCAGGCTCCAATGCTTCCGAGGCACCCCGAAGTCATTCTCCCCCGCGAGCTATCGAGACAGCAGTAAAGGCCCCCAACCCGTTCGTTCCCAAGCCCTCATCAGAATTAGCCACCGTATCCGAGGAGGAACACGCTGCTACTTCCACGGTTCAACCGTCGCCGCCGATATTACCTTTAAAACGAAAGAACGAGAGCGAGGATATTGCCGCGTCAAAACGAATCGAGATCAGCAAAGCGACAGCTATCAGCGCCCCAGTGCCTACCGCGCACAGCCACGCTGCTCCCGCGGCAAGCAGCGCCGCAGCCGCAGCCCCTAACGCGGACGACGAGGATAGCGATGACGAGAGCGTCCACCTAAACATGGACCTTGATTCAGACGAGGATTTAGATGACGACGACGGAGAAGAGATTTAGGGGGGGTCCGGCGAATAGGAGTTCGAACCGATAATTTGCGCATGCGGCGTCGCATTCGATAACTTGGCGAGCCCGCCGCCTTGTTCCGGATAAATAGATCTCACACCTGGAAAGGGGGACTACGATATGTCGTTGGAGAGAAACTTGGCCAGACGTTAATTGAATAATTGCCCTATCGCGCAGATGCAAGGCACGTAGGTCGTTTCGATGTAAATATATATATTGCACAAGGAGTGACCGCGTAAGCTGTCGTATATTTAACTTCGTGGGGGTTCCGTGGATATGTAAGGGGTACGTCACGCGAGCAGCTTGGAAGGCGGAATGGAGTCTCGACTCCGTTGTTTATTTCGAGATAGGCGCTTCCTAGGAGTTTTATGTGCGAATATATTGTGTTAGCCAGGCTTTCAGAGCTTTGAAGCTTGAAATGTGTGATATCTCATGAGATATACTCTATCTAAACGAATTCGCGGTGAGCTAATTGTTGACCTAGATCATTCGGTAGACTGAATATGAGCGCCCAACCACTCAGAATCAGGATACATTATATAATATAGTGCAAGACGGGCCGGGCAGCCTTCGATGCTTGATTTGCGCAGTTGTTTGGTACGGATACCAAGATGTCTCCCAAGACCACAATAACGGAAATGACTCCTGACAAATAGGAAAGTCCGCAAGATCTTGTGACGATTTAGCCACGTGTAATTATATAGATACTTAGATATTTTTTTAAGATGTGAGTTATCATTGGGGGGTATATAATCCGAGCGAAATGTAACGTAAGAACGAGTTTTGATCTTTGGGCTCCGTCCAAGCTTCGTCAAGGGCGAGGCTTCTAGAACAAACCGAGCCACGTTTCCAGTAAAATGCAATGCATCCCATGCTTTCGTATGCCATGCTCCCATGCATGCTTCCACATGGGAAGCCATCTACTTCCCGTCTTCCCCTGTACGTGAACCACAACCAACGCCATTTACTCGATGCACGATGCAGCCACCCGCCCTTTCATCCCTGGTTTACCAGTTTACCAGTTTCCCCCCTTTCCACCAAGCACGTGGTTCAACTAATGCATTTACTACGTAGGTTGTGCTAGTCCCTCAACCACGCTCGCCGCTTCTCTTCTTTCTTCGCCCGGCGTTTCTCTTTAAACTGCTTGAGTTCGGCCTTCGTCGGCTTCTTGCCCGACCGCTCTGCCTTTAAGCTGCGGCCGTCGTGAGAGTTGGCCGCGGCATCGACGTCGAAGAAGGCGTTCATTTGCCGCCGCGACTTCGCCTCATCGTTGTGCCGCTCCGTAGTCTGATCCGAGGCCTGCCAGCGCCCCGTGAACCGATTAAATGTGCCCATGGCCGCGTACGCCGCCGACGGATCTAAGGCGACCCCATCTTGGTCGGTTTTCTTCTCATCTGTTTGGGCGTACCACGCATTCGGGTCATAGTCACCGTGGATTGCTGGGTTGTAGCCTCCGGCGGGCGGTTTCTCGTTTTTCGGAGGCTCGGGGGCGCTAGAATCGGTGGCGGCGGCAGGTTGCGACGTCGAATTATTCGTTGCTAATCGGGGGTTTTCCCAAGTAGTCTGATTGGTGAATCGATTGTGAAAGAAGTAGGCTTGGCTCGTCGCATCCCAGTGGAAGTCCCAACCATCATCTTCGGTCGCTGGTGGTGGCTCGTTGGGTAGCGGTGGAGCGCCAGACTCGGCGGCTGCAGAGTCAGCAGAAGGGACGGGCGAAGCCTCGCCAGATTCTTGCGATTGAGGCGATTGAGGAGATTTCGACAGTGATTCTAGCGCAGCGCTATTTGTGTTGTTTAGAGACTTCTCTTCGTCCGATTTCTCCTGATTCACATCTTGAGACTTCGGTTGAGCATCAGCCGACAGGGATTCGTTGCGATCCTTGGGCTGATCGGCAGCAACATCGGACGAACTAGGTGACGTAGGCTGCGCCGACATGATTTGCGACCAGAATAAATATTTGGAGCCTTTGTCTATTGAGCTATTGAGAATGTTATTAGGAATCGCTACGGCTGAGTCGATAAATGGGAGTCGAAAGGATACATTCTGACTAGAGAGTCACGGCTAATTCGGCTTTTAAAAGGGGGTTACCGTTAATTGAATCGATTCTGAGACGGAGCCAAGTCTGAAAATTGTAATAGGAATGATGCATCGTAAAGCTCCTTACCAGCTGATGTGAGTTCTCTTTCTGGAATTCTGTTATCGGTTATCGGAACGGCAAATCATCGGCCAAATCGGTGTCATTATATGTACCTAGGTATTTATGGCCTGGAATTACGTTTATCCTAGGACCTAGAGATATCCCGGCCTCTCACGTGCGCGTTCAATACCTATGATCAGCGATCTACAGATCCGTCCCGATGTTCGTGCTAACCCGGCTACGGAAAAGTAAACTGTTACATTCGAAGGTTTAGTAGCAACATTAGTCACAACTCACTATTAGGAAACTTGCAGCAATATTTGCAATAATACGTTTGATCAGGTTTGATCTATCTTTGTCTTTGAGCTACATATGTACAAGGTACTTCCATAAGTCAATGGGGGTAATTATTACTCAATTATGTCATTGTGTATTTTAACGTTCAATGTGGCCTGATAGTTTATGTAAGGACTGATGTGTGGGAATTCTAACCTCTCATACCCCTAACCTTGAGGACTCTATATTTATAATGACTGGAATCAAGTTGACCCAGAACTGCGGTACTCCAGTTTGACAACTAACTAAGCTGAGTCCGGTGCTTCACTTCCGATCAAATGAGGATTCTAAACTCCAACTAACTACTTCGAGTCTGTCCCAGGCCATGGCTTCAGACTAATGCAAGGGTAGGTACGTACCTAGGTATTTTAAGTTGTGGCAGCTTGTAGCTAACCTTGAGCCTCCAGTACCTGTAGCCTCCTCTTATTTCAACTGGACACATGCAATCAGTACCTCAACATTATGATATGCATATTCTCTATATGCTTTCACACTTTGTACGCCTCTTCTTCTATAAACGGACATAAGCGAAGTGCATGAAAAGCCACGACACTCAGAAGCGACCAGCCAATCTACCCCATTCGCTGGATTTTGGTGGCTTAAGATGGCGGTTCATTAATTCCCACTGCTGTACGACATGCATATATTGGCCCTCACATAAACGAGTTAGGCCTCCCGTTCCACTTTAGTGCTCAAAGCCCTTCTTGGCTTTCTCTTTTACAATGGCGAATCCGCCAAAGCAAGCTGCCAAATGGACGCGCTATATCTGTCGGCCGAATGCTACTCCAAGGAACCGTTGGTAAACGATGTTCGTGGGTATCGTGGGTGGCTCACCGCAATGCAACTGATACCTCACGATACCACCTGAACACCAGGTCAAGCTCTGCTGTCGCACACGGACGCTGTCAAAGATATCCTATTCCCTGTCCCCTGTTTCCTATATTACTACTTGTGATCCTTCGCTCCATTCATTCTGTAAGGGTTTTGAGGGCGTCAAAATTGACTTCACTTGAAGCCTAATATGAGCACACAGTTTCACATTCCCAGTTTAGTAAACTAAGTGTTCTTCTCTATCTCCAGAGAGGCTGTTGGCGTCATAGGCGTAACTCGAGCTAGTGGCTCCTTGTTTCTTGTGGTGGCCCCAGAGTTCGAATTCAAAATACCTAACAAAACAACAACTTTCTCTCCAACAACATGACACAGCGTCGCATTCGTACTATTTATCCACGGAGGAACCTTGCGGTTATTGTCAAGACATACATAGGCTAGAATACAACTAGCCCGGCGAGCCTCGTGTGCATTGATAACATATTCTGCTGATCCAGCATTCCTTTCCTCATTTAGCCCTGCCCTGCTACCTTCGACCATACTCACACCATTGACCATAGCACTGTTTTCACGGATTCCTCTTCCGCAGCGAGTCGTAATCACAGCCTCCTATTCGGCCCTGCACACATATCTCAAACTCTTGGATGACCTTATCCCTGTGTCCGTGTCTCGTGGAGCGCGTTGCTTTCTTTGAAGGAGTTATAGTTCAGTCGATAGGTACATAATTTGTGACTCCATCCCCCTTCTCCTTCAGCCCGATTTTCCCGCTTCTAGTTTTTCTACCTCGCTATTGGGTCGGATCCATTATGTTTTTCTCACATATACGAGATCTCAACCGCACGTGATCATCAACACCAGACCACCCTTTCCAAATCGAACCTAGCTCCTTTGAAGTCGGCGCATATACACGCATATAATACTCGGCACATCTGTGTTCAACAGCTGAATAAGTTGAGGTTGTACCACACGTGAGCTAGGATTAAGAGACGCCGGGATGGTTCACCTACGGCTCCTCGGACCACTCGTGGTCGTCTCCAGCTTAGTTCCGTTAGCCTTGGCCGATTACCCCGAGGTCAACGGCGATCAGTGTAACTGCTATCTCACCAACGGAAGCAGCGGTCACTACTTCACAACTCACAAGTTCTTCGATTTCCGGGACATGTCAGATGTCGCTGGGGTACCGGCTCTCATCACCGATCCCGATGAGAGTGCCCAAGCGGGCGTGACCAGCGAGTACTTCTCTTCCAGCGACTGGTCAGACTATTGGACTTTGCAAAGTTGGAATAACTCTGCCTCGTTAAAAAGCGATGACAGTGATGCTTCCGTCTTAATGATTCATTCGCTCAACAACGTCTATATTGAGGAGAACGGAGACGACGATGCCAATTCAAAAACATTCTTAACCCTACGGACGGCGCGTCTAAAGGACTACCAGTCATCATGCGAATTTGAGTCTACTATTCGTGACTACCACTTCCTATCAGTCAGAATGTACGCGAGAACATTAGGTGCGCCGGGTGCCGTGACCGCAATGTTTACATACAAGGATCCGGGTGACGATACAAAATTATCGGCGGTACAAGAATCGGATCTGGAAATCAGGACAATCGACCCACCCGATCATATTCAATATACAAATCAGCCTTCATATACTTCCAAGGGCCTCGAAGTTCAGGAAGCTACTCGTAACGTCACTATCCCCAATAAAAGAGACTGGACGAATTGGGCAGTTTATCGAATGGATTGGAGCCCTGACAACACGACTTGGTACATAGACGGCGATCAAGTCGCCTCCATCTCCTTTCAGACCCCCCATGATCCCAGTATGGTCCTATTCAACGCGTGGTCGGAGTAAGTATTCATCCATAAAATTATGTATATAAAGAAACGAGTTGCTGACGTTACCCAGTGGTGGATCTTGGACTGGTAACATGAGCGTGGCGACGGAAGCCCGTCTTCAGGTCCAATGGATCGAGCTCGTCTATAACACGACCGGCGGGTCTTCGCAAAAGCGCGATCTGATCGACCTGGCCGGATACTTCGAAAAGAGAGGTGATGATTCCTGCGCCAATATATGCAGCATCGACAAGACGACGAAGACGGGAACCGTGGTTTTATTACAAGGTGGCGCATCAAGAATGCTAGACCAAGGTGGGGTTTTCGGCGGAATTTGCTTTTGGGTTTCTATATTAGCTATGGCGTTGGCCTTCTGGTAGATGGCGGCTAAGCCTGGGATCTTATAAAAAGTTATCGGAGTTTGGGATTGTCCTCCTTTATACCCTAGACGCCCATACTCTAGAATTTAGAGTTATGATAGGTTGTTTATATCAGAATGTACATTCACTTCAACAATGTTACTCCCATGGACTGCGCATATCTTTGTGATCATTTAGAACCGTTGGCTTTAATTTAATCATGTAACCTCTCTAGGATGTACCTGGACATAACCCATACAACTGCCACCGGGCAGTGACTGTTAGAAGTCCTTCCAACCTCACCACCGCCCCCGTTAGTACCAAGACATGCATCCAGTTATGGCTCTGGCCGAGTAAGTCGAATGTACCAGGAAACCACCGCTCAGGTATTCTCATAGCATACACCGCAGCTCCAGTAAAGTTAATAAGAGCAAGTCCGAGAAACGACCACAATTCCATCGCGTGCTCTAGTTCTTCTCTCCCGAACCTGAATAACCCATGGACGACGGGAGCAAAAAGGCTTGCTCCGAGGAAGCAATACATCAGAAATCGGGTGGTCCTATACGCCGGCTTCCTAAACTCGGGGCGCAGCGTGAAGATACCACAACCTAGCGCAGTACTGGACAGGATGGCGAAGTAGGTATTGCGAAGGAACCCGTCGCAATAAAAGGCGAAGTAAGTGCCAGAAATCCCAGTTCCCCACATCACAAGCACTATGCCTAAGTGATCGAGTTCGTTGCCAAATTTATGCATCTCCTGACTGTGGTCGGAGAATGTATGGAATATCGTTGACAGAATGAAGCAGGCCGTCACACTGAAATTGTAGACACTTAATGCGATGATATCTTGGGTCTTGGTCTCCCCGCTATTCACACCCATTTCGAAATATCGATATAATACTTGTGCGAAGAATATGGCACCGAGGAGATGTGACCAGATGTTTGCTACCCCATACATTAAATCGATATTTCGTAGGCGATTTGGCATATAACTTGTCTCTTACCTGACTCATTATGAATAGCAAAGAGACTCGCGAGAGATTTCAGGTAAGAATATGATGCGTGTCTGTTGTAAAACGAGATACATTTAGGTACATAGTTTAGGCATAATTGAACATATGCTCTTACCTGTAGCTAGTAAGAATGAAGTCATTGTCCCTAGATGAGAGAGATGAGCTATGTGAACGACGACGGTGTAACACGACTTTTACCTCTGCCACGGCACTATAGCTCGTCAGGAAATATACTATGTAAATTCATAGAAAACACTTACAAGTATCTTTCCAGGTAAGAAGGCCAAGTCGGCCAATTGGTTTGACTCTCGGAGACATAAGTACCTATTGGAGTACCAAAAGCCAAAAGAACTCACTCGAAGGACTATTGCCAGCGGATTGGAAGATGGTAGATATGCAAAGTGATGAGGCTTTGCGCATAACTCGTATGAAAATTGGTGGTTACACGGCGTCTCAGCTTCGGTGTGCCATCACGGACCCAACAAGTCAGGTCACTTCCTATACAGGTTAGCAGAGCGGCAACCTGTGCTTATAATTGGTCGTATCAACCATGCGGAGCGGGGGATGGGATGTTGTGCACCTAAACGTCCAATAGGATATGTAGGATTATGACGAAGGCGTTGACACCTTCAGACCGACAAGCAGCGCACTTTCTTAACATCAGACTATACCCTAGCCTCACTACCTACAGCCTTCGCAAGACTCAAGGATCGCATAGCCAGTGTCCCTTGACGAATATCATAGAGTATCTCAAACGGCTTCATATTATATAGCGTCGACGACGTATCATGTATGTCGCATATACCAATCGTGGGTGTAATTATTTTGGCTGCCAATTCGCTCGCCAACGGTACTCAACCAGTCCGTGATGTCCAGAAACTGGCAGAGAGGAACTGCTACATTAATCCACTCTTCACTATTGACCTTAGGCAACGCCAAACTAGGTTGAAAGAGTTCTGTCGGTGATAGGTATCAGATGTTAGCTGTGTCGCGGAGTGGAAAATAGGGGCAAGATGCTCACTGGTATACAGATGATATTGATTATATGAACGCCCGAACCTCTGTCAAATCTACTTTGGGAGGAAGCCCCTTTTACGTACCCTTCTGGTAGCACTCTGGTGGGAGCCTCCAGACGGCCTCGTGCGATAGCCCCTGACAGGTTCCAGCCTGATGTTCGCTGAATTATATATAACTGGAGTCTATGCCCCTAATGTTGCTGTACTCACAACATAGGGCAGTGGTGTTTTACTCAGCTCTTGCAGTAACTTGTCGAGCAGGTCATGGAAATACCACCAAATCCAGAGCGTATGGGGTGCACACTACCATGGAGAGTGGAACATAGATTTTTCGTCTAGACTAAAAGTGGCCGTTCGAGTTGGAATCGATCTTATAACGGACAGTCACCGAAAATAAACCTTCATGGCGTGGGGCCACATAAGAAACCCGAGACGAGCTTTGAAATCCATCCTCAAACGTTATACAAGTATCTCGCGTCACGCGTCACGCGTCGTGCGTCACCGTGCCTGTTGTCAGTCTGCCAGGTGGTCAATCCGCCAGGCACCAGCTCCGAAGTCAAGGTTAAATAGCACAATACAGTCACGAAATTTCAACCGGCGACATTGACACCAGGGCCTGAACACACAGAGTGGCCGACTGGTTAGTGTCACAGACACCACATCGAACCTGCCTTAACGGCCGTGCCTGCAATGGCTGGCCTAGGGTTCGATTCCCAGACATTGCACACCCGTCTGGGCCTTGAAAAAGGGTGGCAAAGAAATACCCAATAGCGGGGGCGCAGTAGCTAGGAGCCGGTTTACAGATCCTAGGCTGGGCCTTGAAGAGGTTTCTCTTTTTATCCTTTTTCCTTTATTCAGCGATTTTTTATTATTTTTTTACACGGCGCAGGGAGAGTGACCTATTTATTTCCATACTACATTATACCACAATGTCTCATATCCTCTATAATAAATTCAGCAGGGTTTCTGTTGCATATAGATTGACGTTGCAGCCGTAGTGACATGCATAAACACACCCCTGTCCATCAAGTCCAATAAGACTATGCGTTCTACGGAAACCACCTCCCATCTGCCTCCGAAGATTGCCTATTCCGGCAATGGCGATGCTTCGTTTCAGATCGTCGCAAGGATGTTAAGCTTATTTCCGACTCCGCAGCCCCGGATGCGAGGTTGACATCCGGGTAAAAAGGGCTGGCCTACCGTGGCCACATGAGCTTCTCGACCTCCTCAGCCAGGGGAAAGGTATGGATATATAAATGATCAGCAGTGCATCGTTTCGTCTATCGGTTGCTAAGAATTACTAGCCATTCCACCCACCGGCCCGACTCGAAGTATCGGCATCTCTGCAATAGAAGATCAGCAAAATGAAGGTCTCAACGCCCCTACTCTTCCTCCCTAGCGTCCTCGCAGCCCCGTCCGGAGACATCGAGGCCCGCCAGTCCTGCGCCAAGGTCCACGTCTTCGGCGCGCGCGAGTCGACCGTCCCGCAGGGCTACGGCTCGTCGCAGGCCATGATCCAGTTGATCCAGGGGGCGTACCCGGGCACGACTTCCGAAGCCATCGTGTGTAAGTCTACCCACCTACCTATCTATCTACCCCCTTATATATATATAAGGCGTAATAGCAACCAAGCCAGACGCTAACCTCTTGATTTCCTCCAGACCCCGCGGCAGGCGGCGACGCCTACGGCTCCTCAGTAACGGCCGGCATCAGCGCGGTCGTGAACCAGGTCTCCGCATACGCGAAGCAGTGCCCGGACAGCGCGCTCGTGATGGTGGGGTACTCGCAGGGCGGCCAGATCACGGACGACGCCTTCTGCGGGGGGCCGGACGGCAGCAGCATGAGCAGCAGCGCCTCGCCGCTTCCCGCGGACGTGGGCGAGCACGTGAAAGCCATCATCCTCATGGGCGACCCGCGCAACGTGCCCGGCCTGGCTTACAACGTGGGGACGGCGAAGGCTGGCGGCGTATGTTTTCTTTCTCCCTCTTCCCCTCCACCCCAGCCTCCCTGCCCTTTTCCATTTTCACTTCAATCCTTCGAAGTTCCTATTTCTGTTGATAACTGACGTGTGGTTTTCGCTTAGTTCGCCGCGCGCCCCTCGGGATACACGTGCCCCGTCTACGCGGATCGCATCAAGTCGTACTGCGACGCCGAAGACCCGTACTGCTCCAACGGCAACGACGCGCAGCACCACCAGCAGTATGTCCAGATATACGGGCAGCAGGCATTGGCTTTCGTCAAGGAGAAGGTAGGATCCGTATAAAAAGGTGGTTTCCTGCGCTAAATACTTGATCGAGCGGCCGATATCTGGTTATCCTTCGGGATCCTGTATATAGCATTGATAACGGAAGTAATACCAAATCATTGAGATTCTTTGTAGTTCGAAATTGTAACACGGAGAAATATTAGTGCATGACATGAATGTTACTAGGTGACTAGGCTGTGCCAAGTAGATATGGATGTCCTCAAGCTAGAGAACTTGCGTCAATCACGTCAGCTTATAAGGGGATGGAAGGTATGAATGATAGCTTCGCTGAACTGAAGCAGCGGAACGGGGATAAATTTTCCTTCGTCCATATATATTGCACTATCCATAAGTAGAACACATCTGTACAATGTTTAAACAATTGCTAATAATATCGTCTATCACTGCTTCCATGTCAACATTACAGGCTCTATAGTTACAATGTTCTATTCCCTCGATTTTTCTTTTTCTCATAAGACAAGGCTTCCTGGATTTGCTTCCAGCACGGCCTTTACTTTTTGTAGAAATGCCTTGGCTCTTAATTCCTCGGACTTCGGCACGGTGAGACTGAGCGAGCTGAAGCTACCGTTAACATTAAGGGGAGAACTTGTCTTCGGCGCTTTTGGCGTCGGCTTCGCTGGGCCTGCTAGGAAATCGATAATGTCGACCTTGGATTTCGGCTTGGGCGCGACGCCGGTGAAGGACGGCGATGGCACGGCAGTAATTTGTGGGTTGTAGTGGCCTCGAGACCCTTTCTTACCCACTTTACTTAACCCTAAAACATCGTTGAAGAGCTCGTCAGCCGTTGGCTTGTAATTTGCCGGCAATGGTAGGTTATCGTTGGCTATTTCCGCGGCCCTCTCAACGAAAACGGACAGTGGAATGAAGGTGTCGAATGTGTCCTCGACCTTTTTCTGTGCTTGTATCACCGACTTTAGAAGTATAGGTAATGATACGACCAAGTCTTCCGGAATAGGGGCTTCTGGCGCTGCAGCCTTCTCCGCCTTCTTCGGTGCCTCTTTAGGAGCGGCGATCTTGATGTTGGAGAGATCGAGGTGCGAGTTATGGTCAAAGCGCGCCTTGATCTCTTCTGGCCTGCTAGAAGACACGCTACCGAGATAGGCGAGCACATCGCCCTTGAGCAGTCGTCCAGCAGGGCCGGTGGGCATTATCTCGCTGACAACCGACTCATCTAACTTGTGCTCCTTTATTAAGTGCTCGACCGACGGGTAGAGAGGGTATTTCTGCGGAGGTGCCTTCTGGCCAGTCTTCTTGGGTCCACTAGCTTGTTTCTCAGGTGCACCTCCCTGAGAGGCCTGTTGCGGCGACGGTTCCTCCTTCTTGGCTTCTTTCTGTGCGGGCTTCTCGTCGGCGGGAATTTCTAATGTGCTAAGGTCGTCTCCTGATTCGGCAACGACGCCAATTCGACTGCCAACCTGGACATTTTTGCTTCCGTCGCCTTGCATTATTTTAAATAAAATTCCATCGTCTTGCGCCTCAACGTCCATAGTCGCCTTATCGGTTTCAATCTCGAGCAGAACATCGCCGGCGGAAAACGAATCTCCCTCTTTGAGCTTCCAGCTTGCGATATTTCCTTCAGTCATGGTCGGCGATAGGGCGGGCATAGTGAAGTTTTGCGCCGCGAACGAAGCAGCGGATGTGCGAAAACCTGGGCGCCCAACATTAGCCAAGCCAAAAACCTCAATTGAGCTTGGAGAGCAAAATAGCAAAATACCTCGAGTTGCGGCATCCTGGGCAACCCGTCGGCTTGCGAGCCGTGTCGATAGACGGGTGGCCGTCGCAAAAGATGCCATTGTTCGCTTTCGCTTTCGGAGTAGAAAAGTGAAGCTCAACTGAGCTTTTTTTTCCTTCTCGTCAAGGCCCAATTCGGAGCTTATGAACAATTGCAACGGTCAAGCTTGTTGGGGATTCTCCGGCCTCAACCGAATAATCGATTAATATCGGAAATAGAAGGGACGCTGTAAAGTTTTGCCGCTTCCAGCTCCGACAACTGCCCGGACCTCCACAGAGCAGTGGCAGGGATAATAATTCTTATTCAGTGGGCCCACTCACTCGCGATACATTATCGATAAGGTCTCCACCAAAGCTCTATCAATTTATTTCAAGTCTATAGTACGTAGATCTAATACGTGATTCTATAGTCGCAAGACCATGATATCGTGACTATTCTTTTGGCCAGACCAACTGGCTCAGTTATTTCCATTTGAAATTCTAGGACACAATGGCTACGTTGGCTCCGATATGTCGGGGCTGTTCCCGACCTATAATATTATTTCGCAACTCGGGCTTCCAATCTATCAAACCATATAATCAGACGACCCGAGTCGCGCAATGGCCACAGCCAAATTGCGCTCGAGTAATTCGTCGAGCATTTGCGACGAAAGTGAAGATAGCCCCGCCAGCAAGTAGAACATCCGTCCGCAAAATCCCTCCCGCGACGAAAGTTCCGCCACCAGATAGGGCGTTCGTCGATAAAAACCAATCCAACTCCCCAAAGTCAGCATTAGGGAAGAAACCAGCCAATACTTTTTCCGGCCCTGTGAATCAGCCCGTTGTGTCGCCGCCACCTCCAATAAAGCATTCTGAAGCTCCACAGCTGAACTTTGCGCAGAGCCTTGCGAGCAACGACACGCCAACGACCCTATATGAAGTGGAGCCTCAGAAGATGTTCTTATTCTCTAGCTACACGGCCGGCTTCTTTTGCATAGCTGGCGCTGCCGTCAATATCATATTGAACGTGTATAACCTCCCGGAAGGAATGCACTTTCTCGTCCCCGTAGCTTTTGGCGCGATGGGGATAGGAATGGCTATTATCGGTACTAGGTACGCCCTGATGCCTTCGGGCGTTGTACGGTCTATCAAAGTGTTACCGGCTCGATCCGTCAAGAACTCGGACCCGGCTGCAAAGGCAGCTTCATCGACAGACCCACCAGTCCGGCTCCAGGTCGAAGTACGGCGTAGCATACCCTTCATGTATAAGCGCTTCGAAGTTGACCCGAAAGATATTTCTATGGTCGCGAGGTTATATAATCTCACAGAAGATAATCCTCCAGAAGACACTCTCCTACCTCGTAATAGCATGTTCAAACACTTCCGTCGTGGAATAACGGGGGAGGGCTTCGCACCTATCTTCATTAACGATGTTCAGTATAAGTTGGATATCATAGCAGCCTACGTGCTAGATGAAGGGCGGGCTTTAGATAGGATCGTGAGAATCAAGAAGAGTCCCATTGTAGAGCGCCTTCTCGCTGAGAAAAAGGGGCGCTAAATTGCCACTTCAGAGGATATAAGATTCTATGATCGATCTTGATTTCCGCCAAGCGCATTACTGCAGATCAGGAATCTTCGAAGAAGTTGAATTTGAAATGCCTTCATCGACCTTCTCCAGAGGTTACCTTCGATAGGTTTAAGTGGGCCGACTGGTTAATCCTATGTCGACACCAAAACTCCAGAAGATGTGTACCTCTCAAGTTATCTTACTTGATGGTCACTGAAACCCTCAGGCCCAAAATAGCCAGGAGAAGAGCCATTTCGGATAATATCGGGATGGAAATCGGGGGGAATCGAATCGAGCAAATTTTATCCCTATAGGGATGATTCTTATGAAAAGGGATTTCACTCAGGTTCGATAGTACATATAGCCACGAGGCATCATGTATAAAGGAATACTATATATTTACCTCATTTCATCTTCCTCTTCTAAGCCTAGGAGACATTTCGGTTCACAAGATGAAAGTGCTCGTTCTAGGAATGCCCCGCACAGGCACTCAATGTGTGTTCATCCGTTACCCCTTAATCACCAACCAAAAGAGACAATCAAGCTTACCATCAAGTATAATACATAGCCCTCGCGGATGCTCTTGAGCGACTAGGCATCTCGCCCGTGTATCACATGCGGGAGGTAGGCAAGAACAAGCACCAGGCCTTCTGGATCGAAGCTCTCGATGCCAAGTTCGAAGGCAGGGGAGAACCTTTCAACCGTGAAAAGTTCGATCAGATCCTTAGACCTTATGAGGTGCGTTGTCCTCAAGTTCCTGAAGTTAGACTGAGGCTTCGTATCACCTGGACTATGCATACTCAGTAGACTTCCAACCAAACCAAAGAGTTCAATACATGGAATGTTTCTTACAGAGCTCACGTCTCTAGGCCCTGGCCGACTACCCAGCCGCCATCTTCCCTGAGGAGCTCATGGCCGCGTATCCAGAAGCATCCGTCATCCTCTCAGTACGGCGCTCCGAGGACGAATGGCTAGTTTCGATGGAGTCGACTCTCGTATGTGATGCCTAGCGACATTTCTCTTCTAACCCCTTTGTTCACAACCCAACTCGTATGGAAGTCGAAAATCCCGCTCCTATCACACACTTAAACCCATTACAACCCTCATATCCCTCCCTCTTTTCTCCTCCATTAGATAACTACCTTCCCTACCCTTCCTACCCTTCCTACCCTTCCTACCCTTCCAAGGTAAACCAACAAAATACCTAACTAACACAACCCCCTAACCCCCCATCCAGTGGCACGCCCACACCCACGCCCCGTCCCCCAACCCCTCGCCCATGGCCGGCTTATCCGAGAAATACCACCGCCACTGCTGGGCCAACGACCTGCCCGGCCGCGGCCGCGCCGCGTACCGCGCCCACAACGCGCTCGTGCGCCGGCTCGCGCGGGACCCGGACCAGCAGAAGAAGTACCTCGAGTACGCGCCGGGAGACGGGTGGGCGCCGCTCTGCGCGTTCCTGGGCGTGGAGGAGGAGAGGCGGCCCGGGGCAGATGAGCCGTTTCCGAGGAGTGATGATTGGGTTGGGTATAAGAGGGAAGTGATGAAAGAGAAGGAGAGGGGACAGGAGGGGGGAGAGGGCGGGGGGGGGCCGAGAAGGGTGAGAATGGTAGGTAGATTGCGATAATCCGTAGGAAAAGGGAAGGTCGGGATGCGTGTAAGAACTACCTAGTTGTTAGATTCTGGACGGCGGAGCTTGTGGTTCTTGGAGGCGATTTAGGGGGTAAGGGGATACTCTTTAGCTCTCTACATCAAGGCTGCGGTGAAGAGGAGGGTAGGTGGATGACTCGACAATAATTCGACTTCAGCTCATCTAAACGGATTGTCCATTTTACTGTACGATGATATGGTATACGGAAATATGTGATATCCATATATGACTATCAGGCTGAGCTATTTTCTAGGACGCCCTAGAACTGCCCATGGTAATATTTATCCTATCCCAATAATTCTTACCGCCATTACTTGTTCAAATCGATCTACTTTTGGATAGGAATTCAGAGTTTAGTTTTAAACGAGCAGCCGCTCTTAAATTTCATATATAATACCTATCTATGTATGTTTATCTTCAAGATAAGACGAAATTTCAATGACTAGGCACTATAGAAGAAGCTAAACATAGGATTTTTGTGATGGAGTTGTCTATGAAGTTTCCTGTTAACTTGTTCTAGACCACCCATGACTCATTAGAGACCTTCATTATCAAAGCTCATACATTCTCCGGAGATAATATCATCGCGCTGGTAAGTTCCCGGTCCAATGTTCACAATTATTTCGTGGTCTCATTATAAGTTCATATAATACACTAAATTAGAAACATGTGCTTTATCTAATACATGACCGCAGCCACATTAGCTCAGACCCTGAATCGCTGACCCTCCCGTATGGCTCCCGCACGATTAGTCAGGGTCAGCTTCAACGGGAAAACGGCACCATGTGCCTCCAAGCTTAGAAGACCATAGGTAGTCAGCTTCGGAAAATGATCGTTCCTCTCGCTGGAGAAATACATAAATTTCAGATAACAGTCGTGTGATCTAGGGTCCCGCTGTCAACCGGACGAGAAGACTAACAAACAGCTTTTTCCTAGCAAACAGGTCTAAATTAAACCGAACGCCTACATATCCCCTTAATCACCTCACTAGGCGAACGCTTGCTATATGGCGTATACGCCACTTTTATTATTCTCTGCTAGTACCTGACTAGAGAGATGCTTTTTTTGCAATTGCGCTTGAGGCTACTAACAGCTTCCGTTGGCGCATTCTGATGTGGTGGGGTTAAAATATCTAAGGAGACGGGCTGTGCAAGCCATCTAGACTCAAGTCCATAATTCCAAATCGATGGGAAGTCCGATCTTCTGCGATAGCGGCCAGTACCAAGAAGCGCCTCAGAATATGGCAGATACATGAAAGCGCGACAATGCCCCTCGAACCTGTTCGATTCCGCATCGCGGTAAATCGGCATCTATGCTTGGACCGCGAGTCGTAACACAAGGGAATATAATTCTCCAGTCGGTTCGTGGCGCTGGAGAGCTAGTTAACGGACAGAAAAGCCTCATCAGATCCCGGGTATCAGATAACAGCTGGATTGCTCTGTAGCACAAAGTGCTTGCATTGCGTCCGGTTTCAGAAACAACCAACACCGCGGGGCTTCTGAAAAGCTACTCGACGAGCTGCCCAATCCCAAGCAAACATTCGTCACCCGAACTTAGGACGATGACGCTGGTTAATCCAGTAAATAACCTTGAAAGACACGTGTATGCAGAGCCGCTGCGGGACATCGCGATGATGCTCAAAAAGTCTGAGAATGACAAGTATCTGGGGTAGCACCCAAAGTTAGCAACACCCGTCAGATAGATGTTCCTATACATAAACGCCCGTGATACTGTAAATTGATGGGGTTGTCAGCACAGATAAACCCAACTGTTTGGTATCACTTGACCCTTGGGCTTCTTTTTGTGATAAAAACTGATTGCCGATGACATTTATAGACGTCTGTCCCACCAGGATGGTACGAAGATCACGCGACATCATCTTGCCTTGAATTCATGTAAGAGAAGAAGATAAGTATCAAAATGGGCTGATATGCCCAGAAAAAAAATCCAAATTGGGGCGTCTTGACAAGTTGCCAACTCACACATCGCCGTTGACCGGACCTATCACTACCTCCTTGATGCTAATAAGACGGCACCCTACATCAAAAGCCGGCGTTCTAACATAATTGTAGGAGTCGTAGCACGGGGTTCTTGCTCGGTAACTTGCCGACGATAGCCTGCTGTGGAGGGTCCGATGCTCGATAGCGGATTCAGGGCGCCACGCTTCGGTGTGTAACAAATGAGAAAATTTTGGCAGATCTGAATGTTCGCCGTGAAGTTTTCGAGATGATCAGATCATCAGGACGGTTACCCTTACAATGAACATTCAACGCGAACCTCAGCACATTTTAAGGCCGTATAATCCAGCTGGGTAAACAACTTAGCTCTGACCTACCTGAATGGTCTAAAACCGAAGTGCTGCCTCTGATTGTAAAGCCCCGGACCTAAGTTGAAACAGACTAAATCGAGATTGAAGAAAACTGCCTAGGCTTCTTGGCGCCTAAGAGTGTAGTCAAGGTCGGCACAAGTACTATGTCGTACAACAACCGGCCATGATGAAATGTTATGTATTTCGTAACACGACATATCTTCTGTGTTGCCGGCGCCGGCGACTCAGGAGGTGAAGAAAAGTCCAAGGCTGCCAAACACACCCATGACTATGGTCAGCCGTGCATGTAATGCTCGTTCTGAGTGGTCAGATGATTCCCCACGCGATCGAACTTGAGATCCAAGTGGTGATCCTTGTTGCCCCTCATTTTTGCCATTGCCTTTGGGGTTTGCCTCATTAGCCGATATGTATGTACGAAGGGATTAGGGATTGGACCGACTATCGCCTATCGTATCGGCAGGGATGTTGGCTTGATGTCGGTTTAGGTTTTATTTTCTGAAGCGACCCTCTCTGCATTACATACGACCTTACGACGCACAATCCAATGGCACCAATAGGGAAGTGGTATCAGAATTTTAACGTCTTCACCGCAAGATAGATATATCTGCGACGGCACGGCGAGGGCATAGACGAAAGAGAGAGATCGACACGGGTATCGGGATCTCTAAGCATCAACTTACCTGCGGCATCTGGATCCCATCGCGTTGCAGAAAATAATAGATTATGGAGAGGCTTTGGCAGGATTCGCTAGCAGGGGTTGAGTGAATGCAAGTGAGTGAATCAATGCTCGTGGAATCGATGAACATGCAAGTTCGAGAAATGGATGCTGCAAGTGCAATCTGCGGAAGAAAATTTGATCGAGAGAAGTTGATGTTCGGCGAGGCGGTGAGCGTCGAATTGGCGTATGGTTATCCGAGAATACAAGATGCGACATTGTTTGGAACGACGAAGCGCCAGGCTCTCTAGCTGCGAGGCAAGGCAGTCAAGGCAGGTCATCCGTTTGGCCGTCAGGGTTCCAAGGTTCCATCCCAGTATCGGATATCGTTGGGGGTATCATGAACGATGAACCGCATCGGTGTGTCCTTTGACTGGTCAGTTGATCTAAGGTGTCGTTGGTTGAGAAATGTGGAAAGTGGGCAAAATGTCCAAGGTGGGGGGAAACGATGAAAATGATGGAATTTAGAAAAAAAAAGGAGGGGGAGGGGTTCAGGAATGGTCCTCAGGATAAGGGACGAGATACAAAAGATACACAAGATACACAGGATACCCCAGTCTTTTTTAGATTTCTATTTTTGCCCTAGTCACTTGGTGTGGTTCGAACGACGTAAGGGTGCAGATCTAAGTACAAGATAAAGCCTACTAGCGGTGGTCCGTGCGAGCTTCAAATTGTAGAACAACCGCAGGTAGCGCCCGATAGTGTCCTCGGTTTCGTTATCATCTTAAGATGTCCTCAAAGTTCTAGAAAACGAAAGACATTCTCCAAGCTTCAATATGCGGATTCGCATTAATGACCATATATATTGTGGCTTGATGTCGAATACCCAATTCTGCTGATTCTAGATCGCGATGCTACTGCTAATGCTTCTATTAAAATCTAGACGTCATGCCGTGCTCGCTGCAACTCTGGAAGTCGTTCACCAATGAGGCCTTCGCAACTACGCTCTCCGCGCGGTTGAGGTGCATTCCGGCACAGCCCACGGACCACATATAGTGAGTCTCTTGACGCATAGTATGAGCGGACAATAGTACGAGAAAATTCTCCTCGATACTATGCAGAATATACGTCTTATAATCTGCAGGTGCAGTGGTATTGAATATGGTAACACAACAGTCTGATTAAGGACGTTACCATTCTGGGGATTCCGGCATTAAGACATTGGATGGTGTACTCATATTAGAAGGCTAGCTAGTCCTAGCCTTGGCCGGCACTATCTTGTTAGCTGCCAACCCCAGACACTGCTCAGACAAGCCTCTCAGATCTTTAAGGTCGCCCATACCGTTCTTGTGATAGGCGCAGAGCGATTGCGTCGTCCACCGCCTTCTCGCACTTTCTTTTTTATCCATCTCCGAACTGAGGTTCCTGCAGTGCACCCGATTTAGCGACAGCAGGCAGGATAGAGACAACATGGCTTTTTGATGCTCTACTAGAACTAGTGTCGTCGAACTAGTATCGTTTAGGGTGAACTAAACGTCTCACCAGACCCGTGATGACGAAGGGTATCAAAACTGAGGCTGACGAGTTGGAAATGTGCACTTATCACGTATTCTCAAATCGTTATCCCACGTGAAACTAGATGTTGATTAGTGTATGGCGTATAAGTGTTGGGATCCTATCGTCAGCAAGGTCTCCCCCGAGCGCCAGGAATTGCGGCGGCGCTACGAGCTAAAGCGGTGTGAGACATCAAGTAAGAATATGAAAAAAAAAAGTTGGCTGTCGCCTCCAAGGAAAACAGACGAGCACGTTGTGAAGCGGTGTGACCATGAGATATCCGTTAGGTTTTCTGTAGCGCTTCTCAAAAGGATGATTGAAGTTGCCGAGAGACATCCATAATCTATACTCAGGTAGTCTTTAAAGATGGAGGTGTGGAATCTTAGAAGTACAGTACAACCGTCGTCGTCGGTAGCACACATCCCACGGATTGTGGCACACCAACAGGGTTCTCTACATTAACTAGCATATCCAAGGATGTCGATGAAGGGATACAAACTGCACATCATACTTGATGCCAAACAGAAAAGATCTATCGATTGCCCTCATGTAGAGATTACCTATTCTACCCAGACTGAATCAGGTCATGTCGCACTAGAGGCGGAGCGGCACGACATATTACTAAACACTCGCTTCGGGACTGAGGTTGCTGAACATCATTACCGTGAGAGAGCAAGTCGATAGACGGAAGGGGATCGTTCTAGTTTTCTTCTTTCGAACGAGCAATCAAGCCTCCCCCGCCGACTTTACCCCTCTCGTCGATTATCCCCAGCCCTTAAATTCGACGGGAGATAGACAAACCAACCAACCGGTCCATACGATGAGCACGCCACTCGGGAAGTCATTCACATTATCTGAAACGTATGCATAAAAAACAGCCACGCGTTTGTGGTGATCTTGTGGTGATCATGTTCGTATGTAATCGTACGTAGTACGGTAGTATAGAGAGTAAAGTGAGTGGGGCCGAAAGCCATGCCGCGGGGTCGTTTCGAAAGCAGAATGACATTATACTAAGCCACCACACCTATGAGCGGTTCACGATGCGATCGTGGTTATAGTCCGGTGGAGTCCATGACATAATTGCTTCCCAAGCTCGGGGAGAGCGCACGCTTGGTAAAGAGGGGTCCTCGGGATCTAGAAGGTACTTCATACTTGGACATGCCAACTTTGGCGTAGGATAGATAGCTATAGATAGCTAATCTTATTACTTTAGTTAGGTGGTGCTTGATATATGAAGAATGCAAGGCTTGGATGACAGCCAATCATCTGACGGCATTGTTATAAACGACGTCTATACTATGTAGGCGAACAGTGATCATCTCGGGTCGTCGGCGGCAACGTGATTCTCTGAGGGGGTATTGTTGGCAATGTTGAGAGTAAAGGGGGCGAGCGAGTGAATGGGCAGATTATATGGAGCGACACTAAAGATCAGCGGACAACTAGCCTGATGCCAATTTATGAGTGTCAAGAGGTCCTCGAAGTAGAAATGAGTTGCTAGCAACATGAAGTTATTCTAGAGTATGTATACACAGATAAATTTTGACTTAGCCATAGTGGTGAGTATGTGCCATATACTTATATGAGTCAGTATACCTAGGAAGGAGGTGAGGCTATTCAGACACATAATGTAGGAGTTGATAGAAGTTCGGAAACGGAATGGCCTCGTAGCACGAAGCATCCATGGATATTCTTAGGCGATTAAGAAGTTGCACAGACAGTAAATGGCCTATGCTTCTCCTTTGTACAGTACCAAGGCTAGCGGAAGTAAACGGGTTGGGCTTTTGACGATCAGATATGAAGGATGCGAGATGAAGGAATGACAAGGGTCCCATGAAAGGACCCTGATATCTGAAAGTGGGCAAATTCACTTCGGAGGGACTAAGGGATCTACCTAAGGGACTTTATTACCTAAGCTCGCCTAACGTTGCCCAAGGGTTTCAAGGTCTCCAAAGGAATTCGGAGCGCTGACCTAACAAATATATCACCCTGACCTTGGGCAGAGGTTGCGACCGACAACCCTGATAATACACAATGTACCTAAGTAGTATGTATAGTAAGTCTAATGTCCGAGAGAGGCGCTTCGTTAAAGAAAGTAAACAAAGCACAGTATCATAGTAAACAAATAATATATAAAAAATATAAGGGGTACGGCTGCAACACGATGGAGTGCGATAGGTTAGAAATTTTAGAAAGGATAACCTAATTTTACTTGTACTGCATGTCACGGAGGTATATGTGAGACCTGTTGGATATGATATGCATGTATGATTGGGGAGTGATTGAATGCGTAAAAGTGGCTGTTAAAAGCACATTCAGACTGCAGACTTAGAGTTGATTGACTAGATTGATCCGTGGTAGATATATTGCGATTAGGTGGTCTTTGTTCAAAAGAGTCAAATTTTGTTTATTGTTTCCTTGTCCTAACAAAGTCAATCAAAATGAGATTGAAATATATCTCATCTTAGAATTGAAGTTGTCGTCGACAGGTGCGAAAAATTCGCTGTGCTACCAAAGTCACTGATGCCAAAAGTTAGAGTTTCCACGATATTGACAGGGGCCAATTAGAGTATCCAATAATTAGAACCCATACCCTTGACGGAGTCTCGAGCACCTGGGTTAACCTGGCTATGTTCGGTGCATGGGGGCGCATCCCTGGTTCGTCGATACGCTCTGACGCTTTGGCTCTTGTTGCTGGGCATCGACGACTTTATTCCGCAACTTTCTATGGATCTCATTTCATTCGTGATTGTATCCATTCTGCCATTCGTGTTGTCGACGCTTGTTTTGCACAGTACACAGTAGTTATTACATAGTACCGTCTATCATCGCCAACGAGAGCTGAGTGCACTCGGACAATTGTTAGAGCAGTAATATTATTTGTTCGGATTAAGAGCAGGTCTCTTCCCCTTATTCCCCTTGAGGACTCCTAGGCACTCCTTTAAAATGATTGATCGGTGCATACCTATGGAAAGGAATCCCATACATATGTAAGCCATGCATGATTGTCTCGTAGCGATGATCGATATCCTGGCTCGGTCGATCAATGAACGGACATTCCGTACGCGGTTAGGCTACCTCAACTACCAAACGGCGAAGGACGGATGCTGTGGTGCAACTAACTTGTATTGAGATTGTATTTCAGGTCGCAATTCATGTATTGCAAGAACGGGTATGGAATGTCAATGGTACTTTGATTGTACAGACTTCACATTTTCCATCGTCTTCTCCTTTTCGTGCAGAATATTAATAGTCAAGCTTAATGCAGACATCGCCCCGTAAAGCGTAATGCAGCTGTCAAACGGGCAACATTAAGACCGAAGAAGAGAGAAGAAAAAAGCTGTGGTTGGCCATCACACATTGGCTGAAAGGCTGATCAGATCAAGTGTGACCTGTTGACTGGTCAAAAGGGCATTAAGTGAAATGAATCCACGCCCATCTGACACTGGCGCCAAATCTTGTCTGAGCCGCGCCGGTCGACGAGAAGTTGCGGAACTTCGTTCTCCAAATGTTTGTGAACGGTTGTAGAAAGATAGTGGGGTGATTTGGTGGGCAAGGCCGCTGTATCACTCGCTGATAGATGTTAGAGATGCTAGAAACACGCACTAAGATTCTCATAGCGCAGCATCCGTGAGAGAGCTAGGAGTACCTATACCCAGCACGTAATTTTGCCCCAATTCGCTTGTTCAGGTGGACACAAGGTATCCACACTTGACCGAGAACACCCCAGCAGTCGCTACCCACCATACCAATTGTGGACGGGCGCGCAATGGGCTTGGCATTTTGCATGTGGGCTGAGTGGGTACTTGTAGGGAAAGTGAAAGTGCTGGTAAGTCAAGAAAGTTACAAGGAAGAAGCACGGAAGGTGCGAGGCAAGTGGGTAGTTTCTTTGGCCTACATCCACGATTGTCAAGTACATCCATACATGGGCATGGATGCTACTTGTAGCACCAGTAGCACGCAGTGCACTAGCATGTACTATGTACCAGTAGTACCAGCAGTACCCCATTGACCACCAATTTTAATATTTTGGTATATCTCTTGACATCTCCCCGACCATCGCGCCAAACTTCCTACTCCCTCCTTTAGCACTTTGTTCGACACCCTCTTCAACCTGGGTGCAGTGCCGAAAAAGTCGAGGGTTAGGAGATAGCTTTGCCGTTAGCTATCGACTCTTCTTTTTCTCGTCTCCAGTCTCATCTCATTACTCCCCTCCAGAGACTTGGATCACATCCTCCCTTTCTTGCTCTCTTTTAATAATAATAATCATAGTGTTTTCACACATTCCTGAGACGACCTCATTTTTCGTCTCGAGGGGGAATTTTATGTTTATAATAAAGAGGTACGTATGTATACTATCATATACAATTTCCCTTCCTACTTACATCCTACATTTTACATCCGCCCTCTCTTGAACACATATCCTGCCCGAAGATGCCTTGTCCACATCATGTTGCTTTGTATTTGCCTGGACTGTGACGCACATCTTTTTGACCGAAGTTGCCTTGGTATCTTGGCCTCTGGTATACTTACTCATCCGTGCCGTGCTATTCTCTCCGTGACTCGATGCGCGAATCTCTTCGTTCTGTCAAAGTGGCTTAACTACACTTTGCTGGTTTCCACGTGGAAATATGGTATCGAGATAACGAGTCAATAACCTTGAATTTCCCCTACGAGTCATTAGCATTTCCTTCTTCACTACACCACCTGTTTCACAGCCAGTTAGCTGCCTGACCCGCGGACATTGTAGATAGACTACTAGCACGCTTAGAATAAACTCACGTTTCAACTACCGGGACTAACACTACTCACTACAGTCTAAAAAGTTGTTGGGCTAGAGAGGCTCTTCGCAAAGACCTCTTCTAAATATAAGAATCGGACGACCCGAGATCTTAGGAGACCTTCGGCAGTCTTCCGAGATAAAAAACCGAGTTGTATCACAAATTCCTACCTCAAACTAACCCCCATGTCTCCCCAACGATAAAAAGGAAAGATGGATTCAGAAGACGGGGAGCTGTACATCAAGGTATGCTGATATCCAGTTGTATAATTGTCAAGATGCTGGGCTAATATTCAAAAGCGCCTGGCCGTCTATGTGCGAACGCACGAGAAGGCGCTGGCCAACGCCTTACAATTTCGAAGGTCGCCTGGCCCTCGGCATGGCCCTAGTCAAAGTGTTTCCTCGATACAGGTCCCGAATTCGCCGACTGCTTTGCCGGAACGTCCTGCTACCTCCGCCTCAGCCTCGGGCCCTCTCGCAGCTGCTTTATCACTCGGCTCGTTAAGTTTAACATCTAATAGTATTAAATCAGCGAGGCTGAGTCTTACGCCGCACCATCTATTCTACTTGTTGTCTCGCTTCGAAGAGTTGGGAATACATGTTGGGCCTATGAAAGTACGTTTGGAAAACCTACATGATACTTCGGCTGCGGCCAACTACGTATCATTCTTGAGTTCGTCTCAGCATACCAAGAGTCGAAGTTCCGATGCGATATCGATCCGTTCCGTATCCAGCATTCGAAGCGTTGTTTCAGGGATGTCTGCCCTGTGGAATGGCTTCGGAATAGGGTCAAGCATATCTGCCGCTCGGATGGAACGACAAAAAGCTGCTCTTCAAGCGGACATGAAGTACCTTTATTCAGCATTCACTAAGATACCATGCCTTCGACTCGCACCGGACTGGCGGACGAAGCTGATAAAAGGATATGAAGAATTCCCTTTTGACTCGGCAGTGCCACTATACGTTTTTAAGAACCTCCAGTCATTGGAGGTAAACGGTGTCGACTTCAGGCAGTTCTTTGGTTGGGACCGGGTGGCGGACCAGATTAGATCTCTGACCCTCAAGCGCGCCAACATCGAAGATCCCGCCGATATATTGATTGATATTGTATTAGATGATATGGACAAAAGGCGACGTCGCTCTGCGAAGGCGCAATCATCGCCTACCGGTACATACTCGCGCGCATCCCATCCGAGACGGAGTCCTACGGCCCCCTATGGGGGATCACATGGGTCTGGCAGTATGCTACCGCCGGAACTCCCGGGGCGTAGATACTCAGTTGCAGATATTCTTGTAGGGTCGATGAGCACCGAATCGACTGAAAGTACGTCGGCTCAGGATTCCCGCCGCCCGTCCGTCTCTAGGATCGAAACCGACGAGCCAAGGTCTAATAAATCCTCACGACCCAGGAGTCACTCTCCCAACCGCCCCGCCACTTCTCGTAACCACACGACCACTTCGAGAGGCTCTCATAAGGTTAAGCGTTCTGGATCCGGTAGTTCGCAATCAAGCTTATCCGACTCGTGGCATAACCCGAGGAATAGTGCTTCCAACCTACTGGCTATGGGTATAATCCCGCCCTCCAAGTGGCGATTTTTGAAACATCTAAGCTTAGCAGACAATTCTCTAACAGTAATACCCGCGGCCAGCCTTTCTCCCTTGGCCAACACCCTAGCTTCCCTGGATCTTTCTACAAACCTCTTCACGCAAATCCCTGATAGCCTAGCAACTCTCACCGCACTCCGTGCTCTGAACCTCTCACACTGCATGATAGATTCTCTCCACTCCCTGCTTCGCAATCCTCTACCAGCTATCAGTGCCTTAAACCTCCGAGCCAACCGCCTCCAATCGATCGCGGGGATCGAAAAGCTCTATCCGCTTGAAAGATTAGACCTAAGAGATAACCGTCTGACTGATCCAATGGAGCTCGCTCGCCTAACCGGAATTCCAGATATTCACGAAATATATGTCGAAGGCAATCCCTTTACTCGGTCTCATCGAGACTACAGAATCACCATCTTCAATCTTTTCCGCAAGACCCCTGGGTATACAGAAGATATAGTCATTGATGGTTCTGGACCGTCCATGTCTGAAAGGAGGTATCTCGTAGACCGCGTTGCTGTACCCGCCGCTGTCCCTGTAGTGAAGCCTCTCGTCCCGGAAATGCCCGCGGTAGATGTGAGCAAGCCAGCTATCATCCATGAGACTCCAAGAGAGCCTGCAGTCCTGCGCAAGGAGAGACCATCACGTCCTACCCCTAAGGCAGTCGCTAGCGAGATCAACACAACATCCACACGACGTCGACGTACCCCAAAACGTAGGATAGTTGATCTTGCTACTAACGATCGAGTTGGAGATACCCAACACCAAACAGCCAGCGTCGATAAGACTGTTGTTCCTGAACCCTCCCCAACAGTAATTGAGTCGGAAAATAGTTACCGTGTCTCTCAGCCTCCAGAGACACGGGACGTACCTGTCAGGGCGCTCTCCGATACAAAGCCTAACCGCACTTCCGACCCACCAGAGGTGCCGCGTATTAATACTAGTGCTGTCTTGCAGCCTCCGGTGTCCTTCATTAATCCAGAGACACCGGATATGTGGAAGGAAGCTCAAGATTGGAATGTCGGTGGCGAAATCTACCGACAAAAAATTGAAGAGCTACGAAACAAGGTTGGCAATGGTTATCTGAGCGTCCTTAACGAGGAGAGCTGGGAGTCATCTCGTCCGACATACGTTCCCGGAGACTTTAGTCCCACCTCAACGATACGGCCCAGCCCTGTTACACGTACTCCGAGTGCTCAGGCAATTCCTAGCGCTGGCTCTATGTGCTGACCAGAACATTCGTATGAATAGTCGTACTTTTCTTTCCGCCTTAGAAGCAGCCTTCTTTGGCATTATCACATACCCCTATCGTCGCTGTGGTTTTCGATATACCATTACCCATTGCAGGGTGTCAGTTTAGTCATGCCTGATGTCTTACGGAGCATAGCGTTTCGGCGTTCAACGGAAGGAATTCATGGTCTTTTGCATTGATCAGGTCTGTGATACCACCGCAGCTTAGGTTGTTTTTCAATGTTTCCTCGATACCGCGGGGGCGGTGGAGAGGATACTCTTTTATGAGTTCCGTCGATGCATAGGAAGAGGGACGCAGGTTCACTTGTAAAGAAAGATATTTCAGATCGAGTAAACCTTTAGACCGAACGCCTGAGATTGGAATGGATTAAGAGCATGGTTTTATGATATGGCTTGTTTTTCTCCTCTTTATATCCCTGTCCGCGATTCTTGATGGTTCATTTTTTGGTAGGCGTTTCGAGGTTAAGAGAAGCCGGATCCCATCGGCTGAGGAGGGTTTTTCGTTGTTCATATTTTTCCTGGACTCTTCCTCTTCATCCTCTTTTCCCCCTTCTCTGGCTCCTCTCTCATCGTGGTGGGGTCTCTCGGCATGGGAGTGCGCGTCCGTTTCTGCATTTCGAAAACCGGGGGGTGGCGGTTCATGATAAAGGGAGGGGTGGAGCGGATGGGGATGGTTAATGAAAAAACGTGCTTTTCCCGGCTGTCTTCCTGAAGATACTATCTCTACAACTTGCATTGTGACTGTTACTGTGACGTATGTTCCAAGTTGGTTATCGGTTATATTTCTCCATGCGTAGTTTGCAATCGGTACTGTAATGTCCTAAAATTGGAATCTCGTAGGGATTCATTATTACATACCTATGTATCCAGCGAATGCCCACACCACATCTTATCGGACGTGGTCATAAGAAATATGGGTAAGCTACCTACCGATTTGATGAATAGGTAAGATAGTTATAAGGTGGCCGCAGCGCAATAACATAGCATGTAGAGTATTGGGGCCTGCGAGCAGGTAGTTAGGGGTAGGTATCAATTCTTTGCCACGCACACCCATGTACGTACGGTGACTGTGTGTGAGGCTGCTAGGTACCCAAGATCCTGCGACATTGTATAGATGCTCATCGTAGGTAACTAGCGATGCTTCCCGGGGTAAGCAACGTAATGTGAGTCCACTGTTGCTGCGCCGCCAGGCTTCGTTGCTCAAGTGTCTTGACACGGCAGCTCACTACTCGCAACATGTGCCACACTGGATTATCATTAAATTTCAAGGACCCTAGAGTACTGTCACATATTTACAAGTTGCTCCGAATATGTCTGCGCCTCTAGTGGTGAACTTGAGGGTTAATGGTATAAAACAACAGCACCACAAATAAGTCGCACATTTGACCCCCAGGAAGATCATGCCAGAGTACTCGAATTGAATCTCCTACGAATATGTCAGGCAGCAAAGAGGAAGACCTTGAGGCTAGTTGATTGAGATATCTAGCCCCGCTAGGGGAGCGAGGGAGACCTAAGACGCCGTGGGTACCTGTGCAGCATATGGAGCCGCCTAACCGTCGTATATGAGGTCGACATGTTATGAATTTCCGCTGATTAAACTCAGAAGTACATATGTAAAATGTGATAGATGTACGGATCCTGTTCATCTAACCATGCAAGCTTATGTCCAACGCCACGCATTTAAAAGTCCGCATTCAATAGGGGAGTAAACTAAAGCTTTATATATACGAAGACATTCCTTGTTTCTGTGACGGCCTTAATAATAGTGTCTCGAGGGACAACTGCGTCCAATGATGAAGGCTGCTGAGATTAGTCCAAATAGTATGGCGTAGGTACTTCGGGTTCGTCATGTTGCGAGGTAGAAAGGTACTTGTTGCGCGAGATGTCCCCTTTAAAACAAGAATTGTGGAAGTTTTTATCAGATCTAATTTTGATCCAGTCCAGTTATCTAGCATGAAGCATCTAAGCTCATCATAGTGAAGGGGTAAGATATGCCCGCTGAGCCCCGTGCGACGTGCACCCAGTGTGTGATGGTTCCGATAGGACGGATACGTGATTATAATGAAGCCATCCTCCTAGAAGTAGACATGTATAGCTTTGACGACACTTGTAAGTAGGTCTATTGATCGTCGGTTTCCCCAGTCATATGCTTGGCACCCAATCTCATCGTGGAAAAGCCGTGTACATAGACCATATCATATCGGCTTATGGTAATGGTGGTAGGAAGCTAACGGGCTAAAAGCTGACCACAAATATGTGGTTTACAACATCCATTATAACTTGGCTTTGTGCGATGAGATGATGGACATATTATTCAACTACTTACTTATTCCTAAGGTTGAACTATTCTTTAATCCTAGATCTATTATTTACCAGGTCCCCAGGGGCTTCGTAAGCTGATGCGACCTGGATAACGTACAACGACGACTCGGGTTTCGGCGATCATAACAAGTACTCGGCGTCGGTTCGTTTATAAGTAGTCGGCTTGGAGAAGTGCACCACCAGAGAAGCTGTCCCGTGACAACAGCCCCTTATGACTGGTTTCTTCATGGAAATTGATTTGAGGGGAATCGGCGAAGAGAATTTCCTTTAGACGCAACTAATTTGCTCCCCAAGCTCCGCGAGTGACAACACATGGCTCTTCGCTTTTTACCGAGTCGCCTATCTCATCGGTCGGGCGTGAGAAGGTAAGCATCCAGATGCTCTCTGCAAAGTCAGTAAAATTATGCATAGCACTTAAATGTAGCAACACTTACGTACATATATTAACAATAAAAGGAAGGAAGATGTTATACGCAGAATCTGATTAGACGCAAACAGGATAGACCCTAGGTCTAAGAGGAACTTTTGAGGACTCCACATTTGGGATTGTCGCGGGATCGCTTCGACAAGACCGTCGTAGCAAATTTTTTATACCAACCAGATACCTACAATAATTCTTATGACCCTGAAAGAAAGCCTAAGCACATCGTAATATGATAATATTATATAATATAATTTTATGGACAGTGATCACATGCGCGCTGTATGTATAGGATGCCGTCTTGTCGAGTAGGATGAGAAAAAAAATCGGAAGCTGTGTAAAGGGGGATATTTTCGCAGATCCTGAACTGCCTTTCCGTGCAGCTTCTCTCGCACCAATGCAAAACTCTATCATAAGAAATCGTTGTCGCTGTCGGTGGGAAAGACCCAAACTTCTTAAACACGCTGGTCTCGATGATATATGTCCAAAAATGAGTTTCATTAAACATTCGCCCTATTGCACGGTACATGAAAATTTGGGCAAATATAATCAGCATAACTCCTTAACCAGAAGTTTTGAGAATAAAATGCAGCGAATCCTTGATGATTAACAAGGACGAGAGATGAGTATGCATCGTGACCTCATATAGCAGGTAGCATGCGGCGTGGGCCGTAAGCCCAACGTAGCCGCCGGTCTCGAGGCCGATATTCTGCCCAACGGAGCGCATCTCGGTTTGCGGACCCAATGGGTTCCTAGAAAGCAAAAGGCAATATTAATCACTTCTATAGACTAGTGAGTTAGCGGGATCTCGAAAAACAATTCCCACTAGAGCAATCCAAAGGATTGATTTCCTAGGTAATTAGATTGAGTTGACCAATAAGCGAAATCTGGTCAGTATAGTCAAGATCGACCGCCTAAGGCTCAAGATAGATCTCATATAGGCACTCAACCATTGCGATCTTGCCATATAGGTAAGCACCAAGGGCTGGGCTGAAGCGCAGGTTGGATTGGTTTGATGGCGCGATTGCTTAGGATGACGAAAGGGGCCAAGCTACCACGAAGGGGTATGGGAATGCATGCAGACCCGGTATGACGGCATTTGCGAAATGTTTGATGGGGGAAAGGTCTAGATCGTCAGGAACAGCATTTGGAAACAAGGGCGCTACCGAATTAGCAGATTGGCTATGACTTGGTAAACTCGGTGTTCGCCCGGTAGGGCTGAATCTAGAATCTAGAAATAGAAAGCTACCCCTTGGTCTGATGGGCCAATGTGTGAGACCCCACCCCTTTTTGGAATGTGTGTCTGTGTCTGATTGGTGCGCAGAATTGTAGATGTCTTCTCGAGGAGGACAATGCCTGACTAGTTATTTTGTCGAACAGTAGCAGATCTCCTGTTCCTTTCGCAAACAATTTCATGACCCAATTGATAAGAAGATTGATAGTGGAAAACAGATATTTAAAAATATCAACATATATGAGTCATTCTTCTTAGGTATTTGTACCTTACAGGTCGAGTCATCGCAACGGTAGGTGTGGTTTGCGATGGTTAAATATATTTCAAAGATTGAAAGCGCACATGACATAGACCCATCTGAGCGAACAGTGATAAAAGTGGAGACCACATACGCAATATTACTGGCCGATCCAAACATTCGGGGATGTTACGACTAAGAATGGTCCGGGGTGGGGAGGGGCTATCTTACGCTTATGTAATTGTGGCGCGTTAAACTTTTCCTTTTAGGGGCTAGGGCCGACTTCTCCAGCCGACTTCAACAGCGCGTCCTGACTACTTTTCGACCTTTCTCAACCACTTCTCCTCAACCTCGACTGTAGAAAACGATAATTTTCGTCGAGCAAAAAGCACCCCGATCTTCCCAGTGTTTTTGCGAACCATTTGCCATATCGGAGTGATACTTCTCAAATGCCTGTTTGCCGACTTGATCCGCATGATAATCCCCCTCGCCTGCTACTTGCGACGCGCTGATTAGGGCCACCTTATCACCATATTATTCACTCTATAAATCATCCGAATACCCGAGGAACGATGGCGCCTAGCCCGAGGACACCAAGGCAATCTGCCCTCTCACGCCCGCGCGGCCGACCGAAAGGTTCTATTAACACTGTGCGACGCGTCCGAGACGGCAGCATCGTAGCCGCCACTGAGCCGCCCTCGAAGCGACGACGATATACGACTAATGGTCCTGGAAGTGCCAGTCGATTCGCTGATCAGGCAGGCAACGAAAATGGTGATTCAGCCATCGCGACGACTAGCCGCTCGAGAGCGCGCCACAGTTCTCAGAACGGTGCGGCATCCCCCGCTATCTACCCCAGGCGCGAACGAAGCACCCGAACCCGGCACACAACCCGAATTCAGCCAGACGACGAGATGCAGATTAGTTCTGCAGCCGCAGTAGCTGCCGTCGTACAGAGCGAGGGATACAAACCCAGAGAAGAGCGCGGGTGGGAAGAATTCCACCCGAACCTTGATATAGATGGCACTTTCATGATGTTTCATGCCGAAGATGTCGATGGAACCGCCAAGCCAGTTCCAGAGACACCATCAGCTAAGATAACTGGCATGGATAATAACGATGTTGGTACTCCGTCGAAGGATCCCAATGCCGCGGCTGCTTCTCTCTTGAGTGCACCCAATGCCACGGTCAACACTGCTGTAACTCCAAGTGCCCCATCTACAACTCCAAGACGACGTGGTGGTCGACTACCACGAGGAGAGTCCCTATACGCCATCCGTGGGGATCAACAGATTCCCCCAAATACACCAACCCCGCTTCCCATCCACGGTCAGAATAACAAGGAGAAACTCGATCTTAAGCAGCCGTCGTATCGGAAAACGGACCGCATATTGCTTTTTGAGAGCAAGACGTTCGGTCAGGCTCGATATGTCGACAAGGCAATGATGAATGTCGGATACCAAGAGAGCGATAACTTCATTCGACCGGATAGGAAATTGATCAAGGCGAGTGATGCAAACATCGAAGATGAAGCGGATCAGGCCGCTATTGTCAAAATCGATGCGGAGCCGATGCCTCAGCCAACTAACAGTTTAGGCCGCGTCGAATATGACATGGATGAACAAGATGATATGTGGCTAGAGGCGTATAATACGCATAGAAAGTCGCAGGGCTGGAATCCGGTCACTCGTGAGGTTTTCGAGATCACCATCACGAAGATTGAGAAGGAGTGGCACGCGTTGGAAAAGAGAATTCCAAAGCCCAATCCAAAACCGCCACAGACTCATCGACCTCGATCTAGTTCAGCTGCGGCTGTTAATGGCGAGCCGCAAGCGGGCGAAGAACAGGATAGCAAGTGCGCAATTTGCGACGATGGAGATTGCGAGAACACGAACGCAATTGTGTTTTGTGACGGATGTGATCTTGCGGTCCACCAAGAGTGCTATGGAGTTCCATTTATTCCGGAGGGTCAATGGCTTTGTCGGAAGTGCCAGCTTATTGGCCGTGGTATCCCGGTCAGTTCCTCTAGTCCCGCTCTATTCGAGAACCCCCGTGCTAACATCACCCAGACTTGCATTTTCTGCCCCAACTCTGATGGTGCTTTCAAACAGACGAATTCCTCGAAATGGGCACATTTGCTCTGCGCCATGTGGATTCCAGAGGTGACATTGGGCAACCACACCTTTATGGAGCCGGTCATGGACGTGGATAAGGTCCCGAAGAGCCGCTGGAAGTTAACCTGTTACATCTGCAACCAGCAGATGGGTGCCTGCATACAATGTGGTAACAAAGTATGCTATCAGGCCTTCCATGTGACATGTGCCCGACGAGCCCGTCTGTTCCTGAAAATGAAGAATAGCTCGGGAGCTTTGGATGTTCTTGATGGGAGCACGAATCTGAAAGCGCTTTGCGATAAACATTGTCCTTCCGAATATGCCAAGGAAAACGACGTAGTTCGGGCTACTAAGAGGGCCAAGAAGTTCTACAAGAAGACGATGAAGGATCGCATATGGGCTAATAGTCAGGCCAAAGCCATGACTATTGCGGCGTCGCACCGGAATGCGATAACTGAACATCCACCGGACGAATCCCAAATGACCGGGGCTAAACTTTCAGCCGTCCTTGGGGATAAGAAAGGACAGGCTGGAAAATCAATATGGAAGCTACCGTCCGGAGCTCCTGTGATACCCCAGGCCGTTTTCGAGAATGTTGAAGCTTCTCTGCAGCGCTTCAACTTCCTTAAGCGTAAGGAATTCGCGAGCGATGCTTGTCGCTATTGGACGTTGAAGCGTGAGATGCGTCGTGGTGCTGCACTACTCAAGCGCTTACAGCTGCAAATGGAATCATTTTCTTCTATGGAGCTCACTCGACGTAACTTCGCAGCCATGGGTCCTTCCGGTAAGGCTCGGCTGTCAAGACGAATCGAATTTGCACATACCCTCATCGAGGATCTAGAGCAGCTCAAGGCCCTATCGGAGTCAATAGTCCGGAGAGAGCAGAGCAAACTCGAAGCTGCAGAGATGGAACAAGAATTCGTCGATACGTGCTACTTTCCTGTTCATAAGATGCTTCCTCCTATCGTGGAGAAAGCTATTGCGTAAGTCGACGAGAAGGCGGCAATAGTTATCACGATGCTAACTATATCATTAGGCTAGATAAGAACCTTTTCCACGAAGGCCTTCTGAAGCTTTCCAACCGAATAGATGAACGATTCTACACTACGACCTTGACTTTTACTCATGACCTCTGCGAGGTAATCAATGTCGGGATCAACACTGAACCTAAGCCTCAGTCTGAGTCACAACAGAAAACTGGTCTTATCGTCCCAACCGTGTCCAAGTCTGACTTTTCTGATTTTCGAGATCGGAAGAAGCTGGGTAAAAGAATTCTTAAGTCGATTCAACCACAGCTGGAGACGGCACTTCGTCTCGAGTCAGAAGCAGCCCACAAGTCATTTGAAACGATGCGACAAGAACTAGAGTCCATGATGGAAGCTAGCCTAGAATTACGGCAGCAATTCCTTAATCAGGGCAGCGGGGAATCTGAGCGAAGTAGAGATGTTATCATGGTTGATTCGTCGGCCCCAGAGATCACTGTTGGCGGCGAAGCGGACGGTCCTGCTGCCATTGGGGAAACCTCGGGGGATGTGCCTATGACTGGAATGAGTATTGCAGGTGGTAATGGCAATATCGAAGTCAACACATCTGGCTTGGATGGAGACGAGATGGATGGCGTTGAATCGACCACCAAAACCTTGTCTTTTCGAGAAGCGCCAGTAACCGAAAGCAAACCAGAAGCACTGTCAGTTGATGGCGCACAAGCGATAGACACTCCACCAGCGACAAATGGTTATGTGGGCGCAGCGCCTTCATTGCAACCCGCGCCTCCTACACCTCCTCAATCCAACGGGAGTTTAGGACACCAACCCACCGATCCGCTCACTGATGGCGGAGTTGTGTGGTATCTACATGACTTCGAACCCGAGGGCACCTCCGCTATTCAGGAGCAGTGGCAGGGAAGAGATGCTGTCCGCAGCCTTAGCGAGGAGCTCTCCGAGATTGATGAAGATGAGCTGAAGGGCCTCGGCGTCGAGATCAACGAGGATAGTATCACGGCATCTCCGGCAAACACCACCGAGACGGCAGAGCCAGCCCCTACCGGAATCGTCAGTCCTACGAAGAAGACGACGACTAAAGCAAGGAAACGTAAGGCGCCTGCTAGAAGACGGTAATGCGGAGGGCTCTTAATAATGTATTCATAAATCGTACTCTAATTCGCACTTTCTGACTTTTTTTTTAATCCTCCCATATACTGTACTTACAGACTCAAGAACCGGCTCAGGCCGGGTTCGCTCAAGTTTATTCTATCGGCTATTGTTTTTTACGCAGCACAATTCACGAGACGGGTTCTAGGGAGGTCGAATGGCTATATACTTCGGAGTTAGAAGGAGTCGGCGCGACTTTTCACCAGACTTGCAAGTCTTGTTAATTGAGAGGCTATTTGCTAGGTATGAAAGGCGTAAGGGAAACGGTCGGGTTATCGGTGTGCGTGCGTGCGTATGGTCACTCTTATCTGAGGTTCTTCCGGGCTCGTCGCTTAGTTCATTACGGCGGCTTTTACTATGTGTGTTGTGAGAGGAGCCCTTCTAAGAGACTTAGTTCAAGTTCCTAGATTCTTAACAATCGGTTCCTTATTCATGGGAGTTTTTATCTCGAAGTAACTAGGAGTGATGTGACTAGATGAGGTGGCTTAGCAAGTGAATGCATGCTTTACTCGTAGGCGTAAGTGGTTTCCATACAAAAATGGCTACAACCTAGCAGGTGCTGTAAGAACCAGTGACGACCCAGTCACGCTACGTGGGCTCAAGCTACATCGCGGCTACAAGTCGAAATCGATCGGGGGAGGGAAGTTATGCTAGATACAGACAATGCGAGACGAGCGTTTAATAGGGGTCATCCAAGCTGGTGTGGGCAAATAGATATCGTAGATGGTGATGTAAACTTATCGCTCCCAGTACCAGACCGTCAGGAATCTACCTATCAAATAGCCTATTTTTGACTCGCATGTAAATAAGGATATACATTGACTAGGATTTCGACCTGTGAATGGCGTTTCCTCTGTACAGAGTTACATTAACACCACAGCTTTATGTGTGAGCCTTCAAAGACATCCACTCCAAGGTAAGTAAGTTCCTACATACCTAGAGTTCCTACCCAGAGTTCCTAGACCAATAGGTGTTTCACATCTTTGAAAGAGGTACCTACCTAGGTAGGCAGGTAGTTAGGTAGAGGTAGTTCCTTCCTTAAGGTGCCAGTGTGAATATTTTGGCCAGAGCTAAAGTTTGCAATCATCCTATCTGTACTCGTAGGTACATAAGCTATAAACTATTATTAGGAAGTTTTTTGCATCTCCCGGTGTAGTGCCGTATATCTGGAGCGGTACAAAGGTCTCGTGGTCTAAAGGCTATGATTTCTCGTTTACAGTGGACTCTTACTTCTGTAAGTCCCGAGAAGGTTCCGTGTTCGATCCACGGCGTGACCAATTTTTTTCTTGCCTATGTATGTAGAATGTTGTTTGGGAATTGAGAGACGTAGTAATTCTATAATTTAATAAGGCTGGTTACGTTCGGCGAATAGCATGATAGGTATATTTACAAGGGAACAGAAGGGAGATGTAAGAGATATTCTATGAGGAGCACATCAAGTGTACCCTCACAAGTTGATGAGATGGAAGTAGCAGCAACTACATATTACTTCGTAACCTCTTAACTTCTGTCTCATATATCGGGTATGATACCGGGTTTGCATAAAGCAGGTTAGACCCCCATTAAGAGTTGGACGGGAAGCAGAATATATCACCCCTACCTTTAGCAATTAATACATACCTATATAGATATAATACTATGGACCACAATTTGGTAACAGTAACTGTTCTCTAGGATATATGGTGAGACGAAAAAGCAAAAATAAGAATCATGATCCCGGAGAGGATTGAACTCTCAACCTTCGCATTTACACAATATCTCCTATAAATGATAATATTAGTACGACGCTCTAACCAATCGAGCTATGGGACCCTCATAGGCGATGCGGTACGCCTTGTAGGTGAGCTACGCAGTGTATAGCCACCTATAACTACGATACCTATGGGAGTAGATGGTGATTGAATTAAGTCATTTGCCTACCTCCCCCTCCCTTAAGCATCTTTCATACAAGAATAGAGGTGGATGTTTGCTTGGAATGACGGTTCATGATGTTAAATGGCAAGCTAGAGCAGCATTTTCCAATGATTGCTCGCTAACTTTGCCTCTGCTGTGAGTTTCAGAATTGAGGTAGAAAGGCGGGACTTCGTGGTTATTAGAAGGCCTTTTCATTCTTTCTGTAACCCCTTGAGAACCTATCAGAGAATAACTCCTACCTCCGAGAGATAGGTGGTGGAAGAATATCTATCACGGAAGCTCCATGAAAGAAAGGGGTCACCGCCTAGGGGGCTACATCGACATAGGTAATGGGCACTTTCGTTTGTACATGTTTCATAGACAATAGGAGGCACGCATTAACATTCACTCGAAATGTAAAATATATATGTGAATAGGTACATACAGTAAATTTCATCTTAGATAGTCGGGTATTATAAACGAACCTAGTATTATGTCCACTAAGGGAGAGGCTGTAGGCGCATAATCTAGGCAAGTTAACAGGGCCTCGATGAAGTATTATCTAAAACTAAAACAAGCAAGAGAAACTAGAGAAGCCTACTGCATACTTCAATGCGACGATTGACCTAATAATAAAGAAATATTTCCAATCAATTAGGGAAAACGCTGCCCATCGCAAGGCTTAAGTATGTTGATGCTTCCCCCTTGGTGACTAATAGAAGTTTAGGTAGGTATGTGTCTCTCTCCTACATCCGTTATTATTGGGATTGGCCCGACAATACTGCTCCCAAAAGAGTCGGAGAATCCTTAAAATCGTCCTTTGGAAATCCTCACTGACGTACTGTACGGACACTTCTCTCCAAGATACCATTAAACCCTAACTCATGTCACATAGTCCCTTCATGTGCTGATTGTCAAAGCCCTTGAAAATTCAATCATATTGTTTCTTATTAGCACTAGCACCTATGATAGTGATTTGGCCGCTCTACTGGTTCCCATACGGTACCTGCTCCTCGAGTAGATATAGGTGGTTCTCATATGGCAGGAGTACGGTCGATGCTATTTCCGTCAGCGAGACCATCTCCATCGCCATTCGAAACGGAATATCGAAGAAGGGTTTGACATTGAGAACGTCACTCCGCGCCTTGATAACCAGGCATCCCTTAACATTGAACATCCAGAATACACAGGTGTGTGTTTCATCATAGAACAGGTAGCTAGGCAGGTAAGAGGAATGAGATAATAAATTTCATTTCCAGGCATCAAGCACCCCCTTCTTTCATTGAAACAGCTGGTCTTTCTGGCCCAAAATGATCATGACATATTTGTGGGAGGCCCGCTCTGGATGCTTGGAGAAGCTTTGGTACTCGTACCGGAATGACCGGATCCCCTAGACGGAGGTACATCGGGTTCTGTTCTGATCGCTCAGTTTCCCCCCAATTCGCAAGCTCTAGCTGGAGTAAGTTTAGTCCTCATTCGAAAGAATACTCGGAATGGTCATATGTCACAGTGTGATGACCGATTCAGTCTCTTACCGAAGACTAGAGCGTGATATTATGAGACATGATGTTTGGTTTGGTTCGCTAGACGCCGGAAAAGAGGTGTTATTCATAGTCGCGCTCTAAACTATGCATCTCAGGTAGGTATAGACAGTGGCAGAAAGGCTACTTCTTGGTAGGGCTATGAGGATCGCCGCCTCGACCTGTTTTGGCGACCTTGCTAACATGTTTTCCACATGTCGGTGAGTGGAACTAGGCGGCGGCATATCCCAACGCATACCTTATTAGGTATTTGGCATTATAAGGGTTGTTGGTGGATAATCTTCGTCCACTATCTCTCGAGAGTGGAGGATAGGAAAATATTTATTAGGTAGGGAACCGTGACTTACGGAGTTTAAGCGAATGTTTAATTTCATTTGCTGATATCTTCTATCTTGACGCGGCGGTTGTACTAGGCATGACAAGACGGAAGATGGTGAATTATCGATAGCCGAAATTGATTCGCTTCTGCGAGCATTTATTAAATCCCCAGACGGTAGGGAACCTACAACGTGTCATCCAGTAACCCTAGGTTGGCATACTGTAGATGTAAGTTCCAATGTTCCAACTACATCTGGCTGATCCCTAAGATGGGAAAGTGACATCAAACCCATTCTCGGCGACTTCTAAGGGTTGATAAACTTCATGTCATCGTAGTGATGACACGCTTCTAACCGGGGAAATGGGAGCGGTTGAGTCGAATTTTACGTTACCCGGTCTGCCGGTTCTCCGTTACCTCGGTTGGGTGCTGATTTGCGAGAATTACAACTCGGTTTGCTTCGCGGGTAAGTATGTCATTGATTAGCACCTTGTCTTCTCTGCGCAATATCTGTGTAAAGTCCCTCTATCGCGGCTCGGTGTCTAAGAGGTTGCTTCATCAAAAAGCTGACGTCACCGTGGCACTTCCGACTCGGATTCAAGATGTCTGTGCACATTCGGTGATAGCTGAGTCATCATACTGGTTAGGGACATGACCAATCAACAATACCGTGACGAACCTACAACGGTAACATACCTAGGTACTTAAGGCTGACGGTATCTTGCGTCCGGGCCGTAATCATGTGACCTGATCGTGGGAAAGCTTCTTAAGTGACCAAGTTGTAGCAGTCAAATATAGCAACGCGTCGTGCTGTGAAGGTGTTGGTTCTCGAACTCAGCTACAATATGCACACACTGCGGGCTCGCCGTAGGCGTAGCTTGAAAGTGGTAACAAACTGAATACCTAGTTACGGCTGTGGGCTGTTGTACGAGCGATTCTCCTCGCTTATAAATCAGCCACCACTTGACGACAGCGCTGCAAGTAATGCTGTAGTTTGCGATATGTCCTGGTGGCGGTTTCGGTTCCAGACGAGGCAGCCGGTGCGGAATATTAGTTAGCCACAGGTGGCCGAGAGGATGAATGAGATAATATAGTTGGCGTCGTTGAGGGGGTTTGATTCTATAATCCCTTATCCCTAATAGACAAGAAACGAAGAACAAGAAGCGAGAAACACAGAGCCGAATGGCTGGTACGGCCCAAAATGTTGACCCGCCATACTTCCACAAAGGGGTTCAAATCGCCGAACCGAAACATAGACGTTGTGTCTGGGAAACGACCTCGCCAATGTCAGCAAGGCAATGAACTGGGGCACCGTTAAAACCTACGAATTACTTACTTCGACGTTTGCTGTTGGGATTAGATATCTTTTGCCCACCTGCTTATACGGGTATCCACGCAACCACGTCATTAACCCCTGAATGCATGCACGAATTGACCGAAAGCTGTTTATACCTCCTAAAAATTTGAAATTGCAGCGTGGTGGTCGTAGTCGATGCTGCGGCCGACTTGGGAAGGAGAAACGAAAAGAGATTCTTACATAGAACTCAATAGGCATCATCAAAGTGCCGTACGGCTGTTGTCCTTGGCAGTTTGAAGTTTAGCCAAACCGTCAAATCTGGGGGAAAATCATACCTCCGCCAGCTATGCAGTAACGTTGCGTACATATCATAGAAGCCGTGATGCTTCGGTGCACGATCTCTAATGACAAAAATGACAAGATTGATATAAGTTAAACGAGACACCACTGGAGTGGGTTAAGAAAATCGCGGGTATACCGAAGGCTTCTTAAGTGGGAGACAAAGCGGTGCCTAGTCTTGTCTGCGGGAGGTGACAAGCCCCCTTTTCCGAACACCGTGTTGAACTCCCGGTGGGCAACCAAAAACTTAATAAATGCGTGGCTCTATGGAATAACCGCCAGATAAGCGTCTGAAACTTTTAAACGACATGAAGCTAGTAGTTTGTAAGAGAAGGTATAAAAGACGGATTAATGGGAGACGCGGCGACGCGTGTCTGGAGTATACCTGAAGATCTGAACTTTTTAGTATCACAAGCTAATCTTCTTCTCATTCAAGAACGTAAAATAGGCGATATGTATGAGTATGGAGTGAATGTAAAATGAGCCAGTCAAACGAAGCGGAGTGAGACCAAGGGAATGAGACCAAAGGTTTAGGCATTGCCATACGTATGTAGGTAAGGTAGGGTTGGAACACAAGTCGGCTCGTGGGAGGTGGGAGGGTTAGGTTAGGGTATCGTGACTAAATAGATAGGTTGGGGGCTCGGGCATACTGAAGAAAAGGATCGCTCGGAGTTGCAATGACAAGAGACAGAATAGAGAGAAGGGAAATTGGGGCAATATATAAAGTCTGGGAAACGTTGGAGTTGGTTTAATATTAAATGGTTGACGAGAGAGTTAGGTTCAGAATGTTTGATATTGAATGCACTGCACTGCACCTGCCAGCAGTTTACGACGCTAAGGTACCCTGGACGGTACTAGTGAGGTGGTACCTTTTGAGATAGCGCCTAGGAGCGCAGACATTCGATCAAATGTACCGGGCGGTTGCCGGGTATGCGTCCAGCGTCGAACCTGGTTGGACACATAATATGTAGCCGTACCTTTCAGATTGTACCTTCCTTGCTTTTCAGCGCGTTGGTAATTGCTATTTAAGATAGATACCCAAGTACCATTGGGTACGGATTTCTCGATTGTCCCTAGCGCATTTAGCTTGCACCGCCTCAAACTCGCCAATCAGAATCTCAAATCTGAAACCCCACCTGCTCACCTGCCTAGCACTCTAGCATTCTTTCTTCCCTTAGACCTACAAGATACGACCGTATTGACACTCGAGCCCCCCTTAGTCTGGCCGGTCTGTTCCTTCTCCCAGACGTCTCCCAGCTGGGTTCAGCAGCTCTAGTTCGTTTAGTCCTCTAAATTCCCTGAAAGTTTAGGTATTTCAGGTATCGAAGAGCACCAGGGCATTTTCATACACGCCCAAGACTTTTTTTTTCAATGCTGCTAGATGCACTCCACTTTCAGGACTCTAACAATAGTAGACTCTGCTGCTGGCGGATTTGATTGAGCCGGATTGGATTCTTCTGACGTTTCCATCGGCTTTGACCCTTTTTCATCTCCTTCCCTCTCTTCCAATTTTTTTTCTTGTCCAGACCACCCCGCGACAACGGCGACGCATTCCGTTACATTTATTTTTTCCCCAACGACGAATTCTAGTTGCCTATTGTATTTTTGCGGTCTGCATAAACTACTTACGGTGACCTGCGAGAGAGGACAATTCTTGTTCTCCTTCACATTCACATTCACATTTTACATCCACGACTGAGAAAAAAAGACGATCCGGTTTTCCGCATTGTTTTGAAACTCGCACCGCCAACGCCCCGTCAAGACACCTGTTGGTTCGGGTAGTCTCCATTATCGTACGGTACCTATACTTTTTTCACAATCGCCTCCGGCTGTCAATTAGAACACCTGGAGTTGCGCGCTTTGTGCAATTGTACCAACAAAAATAAACAGGCCGTGCAGCCATTATTACGACACTCCTCGACAATTTATCCATCGCGACGAACGACATTTATTGTCAACTCCCTCTTCCTAAATCCTTCCCATCACAAGACGCCACCCCTCTTCATCTTCCTACGACCTTTGATACGCACCACTGGCGAAGCATCGCGTCCACCTAAAACAGGACCGATTAATAACAATACGGGTATTTTGAATTACGACTCCTCCCCTTCACCAGAACGGCACAACGACGACTCAAAATAGAAAATTACCTATCCTCTATTTTCATCCGGCCGACCGACTTCGATTCCTCTACGAAGCATCAACGGGACTATTTTTCGCAGCCACGCAAGGCGCATAACAAGTAGGAGACGAAGCACTCTCGGTTTCATATCGAGATTGCAAAAAAAGATTTTGATAGCAAAGTAAAGGATCACCACCGGACTCTTTGTACCTGAATTTAGCAGGGATTTTTAAGCTTTCTCTTTAGAAAGCTCCGTCACTGGTTGGGATCACTTCATCGTGAGTTTTTTCCTCTCCCTTTTTTGGGGTTTTGGTTTTTGATAATCCACCGCGGCCCCTCTTCCCCACTCTCCTTGTCGTCACCTCAGCTCTAACCCGTCGTATTTCTGTACCTGCTGTACCTTCTCTACCAAGATCTCCCCATCTTATCGACCCCAAACCGTCTAGTTTCCTCCCTCTTTGTTCCATGTCTCAATAATTATCCTTGTTTGCTAATACATCGAGGTACGAGTAGGCCTAGGAAGTGCATCATTCTCTAATATCGGGCTCCACCGTATTTCCCTAGATCCCGGTCCTCTACAACCCTAGGGCCCTGATCTCTCACAACTTCGAGTTTCGCGGCCAACTACCTGGCAGGTCAGGAACCTACAATGGCGGACCAGCACGACGTTGACTTAGACTCTATCATCGACCGCCTCCTGGAGGTGCGCGGTAGCAGACCTGGAAAGCAAGTCCAGCTTTTGGAGACCGAGATCCGATATCTCTGCACGAAAGCTAGAGAGATCTTCATCAGCCAGCCAATCTTACTCGAGCTGGAAGCTCCTATTAAGGTATGCAAATCCCCTGCCCATAATACAATGGACCCTCCATTTGGTGGAAATCGAAATCGAGCCACTGACATTTTTTGCTTTTTTTTCCTACTCTCCAGATCTGCGGTGATATCCACGGTCAATACTATGACCTCCTACGCCTCTTCGAATATGGTGGCTTCCCACCAGAGGCAAACTATCTCTTCCTCGGCGACTACGTAGATCGTGGCAAGCAGTCGCTCGAGACTATCTGCCTTCTACTCGCATACAAGATCAAGTACCCCGAGAACTTCTTCATCCTAAGAGGTAACCACGAGTGTGCGTCCATCAACCGTATCTATGGTTTCTACGACGAATGCAAGCGCCGTTACAACATCAAGCTGTGGAAGACATTCACCGACTGCTTCAACTGCCTGCCCATCGCTGCTATTATTGACGAGAAGATCTTCACTATGCACGGCGGCCTAAGTCCGGATCTCAACTCGATGGAGCAGATCCGTCGAGTCATGCGCCCTACCGACGTAAGATATCACCCTCCCCGACCGATATCGTTTTTGTTCTGCCAGCACTGGCTCGAGTTAATACTAACTTAATCGCATCAGATTCCCGACTGTGGCCTGCTCTGCGATCTATTATGGTCCGATCCCGATAAGGACATCACAGGCTGGAGCGAGAACGATCGTGGCGTGTCATTCACCTTCGGTCCCGACGTTGTTTCTCGGTTCCTACAAAAACACGACATGGATCTGATCTGTCGTGCTCACCAGGTTGTGGAAGACGGTTACGAGTTCTTCTCGAAGCGACAGCTAGTTACCCTGTTCAGCGCGCCCAATTACTGCGGTGAATTCGACAACGCTGGTGCTATGATGAGTGTCGACGAGAGCCTGTTATGTTCCTTCCAGGTTTGTTTCCCCCTACCTCCTACATCGTATGTGCGGCATTGAACTCTCGACTAACGGTGCTCCGCTTCATAGATTCTCAAACCTGCTGAGAAGAAACAAAAGTACGTCCATGGCGGCCTCGGAGGCAGCGGTTTCGCATCTCCAAGAAAGCAATCATCCAAGTCTTGAGCAGAAAGAGTATTCATACCGACTTCCTCGTCTTCTAGGTTCGGCCGCAACCGATAAATTGCTACGTATGCACACCTCACCCGGTACTCGAGTCTCGATTTTGTCCTCGCCCAACGATCCCCATTGGAATCTTGCTTGCGCCTTCAGCCGGCACCCACGGCACCAAAAACCCTCCGACCGCCAACGGGCGTTTTGATAATGCTGCCTCTCGAGTACAACTTTTATGACCCACCGCTTCCTCCGCGAACCACACATGTCCTTGTGACCTCACTTTACCTCAGAACGGATGACACACAGAAGAGATGATGGATGGTTGTTGTTATTACACGAGAAAAGAAATAAAATCAGGTTTTTTCATTTGGAATGGTCTCCACGAGTGTCCCCAGCCCGCTTCAGCGTGGCCATGGTGACAGGGGAGAAAGTCTAGACAGTTAATTTTGTTTCCCCGAGACGTGAAACTTACGAATTCATGCAATGATCTGCTCTCACGGTTCGTGCTTTGCTGCTTTGCCTTGTTTAGTTGTCAAGTGAATTGATACGGCTAATAAACTTTTATGTTGCTTTCTGGATTTCCTCCAATACGCTGGTACTAACAACTAAAAGAGCCTCGCGAATGACGTCAACCTTTGGTAACCTTGTATCCATTGCCTTTCTATGCATAATAATGATTGTGTAGGTGGGTAGACACTATATATGCCATTGAACTTCAAATATGATGTTAGACTCTGCTAACAAAGTACCTAGTCTACGTGTAGAAATGATACAATTAGGGGAAGAGAAGTTCGTTGTATTGGAGATGTCAAGGGGGAGCTCAAGACGTATAGTATTAACTCAGAATGTTTGGTTTAAAGACGGTGTTGCCATATTCTACGGTATACCCGGCAGCTATATTTTACTTAGATCCTACCATCATCACCTAAACCGCAATACTCTTGACACCCCTGATTTCGTACAGTGGAATAGGTAGCTATCCGTGTACTAATTTATCCAGGCGCCCACTCAAGTACAGCTAAGTAGCTTCTCGACAACATCTAGGCCACGAGGGGCCATACCATCTTACGGGTCTACCTGTTAGCTAGCTAGCCTTCCCTCTTATACGACAGCAACGACCATGGAGGTGGGGGCGGGGAGATAACCGATTCGAACTCATACGTAGGATAGGTAGTTCCAACTTCACAGCTCTCTCTTTCTCTCTCTTCCACTCGCACACTCATTTACAATCCTCGCACCCGCCCTCTATCTTCGCGTTCGTCGCCGCGCTCTCCGTCCCCGGCCGGCACGCCCCGCCAATGTTCTCGTCCGGGTGCGTGTTCAGGCCCAGCGCGTTGTCCTTCTCGATCTTGGCGAGGCTGACGCGCCGCTGCTCTTTCGCCCGCGCTTCTTCTTCCTGCGCGGACCGGGCTGCTTCTGCGGCGCCGTAGCTCGACGGACTGGTATGATGATGAGGTTGTTGCGATTGGGGGTGCGCGGTGGAGGGGAAGGTGGACGAGGATGTGGATGAGGGGGCCGAGGGGGCGGCGGGGGTAGGGACAGCGGCGTGGTGGTAATCCTTGTCCACGTGCCCTAGGTTCCGCCCCGGCTCGATCGCGTCCCGGACTCGCCGCTTCAGCTCTTTGGTCTCCGGGAACCCGCCGTCGGTCTTGCGGTCCCAGAGCACGCGCTTCTGGATCGCGGGCTTGGGGTCCGACGAAGTGGGTGAGGTGGAAGTGGAGGTGGGGGAGGGGCTAGGCTGCGCGAAGACGATCTCGACGACGAAGGTCCCGCCCGTCGAGGGCTGCAGCGCTACTTCGCCGAGGGAGGTCGAGAAGGTCGAGAGGAGCTCCTGCGCGAACTGAAGGTGTTTTTAGCGGCACGTGTTAGCCGAGATGTTAGAAAAAAGCAAAATTGTACGTAGATTGGATTGGGTAGATAGTAAGCTAAGCTTAGGAACCTGGTAAACGGGGAGGATAAGAACGGATGGCGGGGTTCGTGGGGTTTTCTCTGCCCGTGGTGGCTGATGTGATATGTCACTAGGAGCAAAGACAAGGTCTCGGGAACGACGAATCCCGGGAGGAATGACCACAGAGGGGATTGGGAATGGAAGACGACGAGAGGTTATAATACGAGCCTTCTTGGTTTCTCCCAAGATATAGACGGGCTGACGGGCTAAGACTTACGTAGGCGGCTCTAAGCATCCATTTACATTGCGTACAGAAGCGGATGGTGACACGGGGCAACGGATATGGAGAGTCCGGGACTGTGGGGGCCGAAGCCGCGATCGACGTCTCTGCCATGATTAGAAAATATGACCTTGGAAATAGCGGCCTTATACCGTTTTGGAAGTGTAGATATGCTTTTCGGATCGTGACTGCAAAGAGTTCACTAGACGTGGGGTGCTATGACGACGTTGGAAGCGAAGTACATGGATACATACACACGGCGCAATTGAACTTTGAACGATAAGTGAGCTAAGATAAGATCAATCCGAGCTTTGCGACTTGCTGTTCAAACTTTCGCGACTACCAGGGAATGAGGGGCCAACCTGGGCATTGAGTTAACCGTGTCGTTAACGCTGATTGGGCGATACTTTCCAAGCCTACGGTTCGCAACGGCCTTCAGCTCTGGCACCTACCCGTTTGGAATATACAGCGCCGCATTAATGCCTCTAGATCTTTTCCAAACTTTTTTATTTTTAATTTTATTTCCATACATACAGCTAACCCTTTGTTTCATTCTTAATGCCTCACATCCACCTCGAAGATCCTTCTTCAGATATAATATTAGGGAGTCAAAGAGGCGACCACTAAAACCTAGATCTGCTCGCAGATTATAATCGCGAGACCTGCGATGTTACATCGACGCCTTGTATCTTCGGAACCGAATAGGTGATTTGCCGTCTCTGCGGCACGCTAAATCCGTAAGCAATCGCCTGCAGATTTTAGCACCCCAAAAGTCCAGAGACAATTTTCAATGAGCGAACCATACTGGGTAGGTCAGCAGCCTTCTGGTCAGACCGCTAGTTTACCTGCACGGTGAAAGTTGGAGGCCGTAAACTTATGAACTAAGTCAGATATGAACGGATGGGAGAATGATAAGGGTCCAAAAGGGAGAGATGGAAGGATCCTTCAATGCTAGCCTCATTACCCGCGATCTACATCTAGGATCGCGGAGAGTGATATTAGGTAGTTACTGACATACGGAGCCAAATGAATTATTCTTAACATGAAACTTGAACACAAAACACAACATCGGAAGCCAGGTGGGAAGATCACTCGTGCTGTTGAATGCGAGTCTTATCAATGAATAGACGGACTGTAATTGGTAATCGTAACAAGGAAATGTTGTCATTCATCGAGTACCGACAGAGTCGACAAAGGAAAGCGGAAGAACAATACAGTCATGAACGAACAAATATTACATGTTGACGAGCTTCTTCCCTGGACTCCGTTTCTTCCCCATAGTGGACTGCCCTGTCCAGAAAACCAACCAACACATGTGCGTATTGAAGTATTGTCGGTTGTTGTATTATCGTAACACGGCCGATAGTCATCGAGCCTCGGGTATTGTAGTAGTAGTAGTAATGTAGTAGTAATAGCTTTTTCGATTTCCATCCCCCATTTTGCTGTTGTCTTTCCCTTCAAAAGCTCCCGTTCTCAGCAATGTGCGTATGAAAAATTAAGTTCCGCGCGGGAAGTCGATGAACGAAGCAAAAGGCTGCCCATCGCTGAAATCAGGTTCCCCAAAGTTTACAAGCCTCATCGCAACGTAAATCCCACAGAACACGTTATTACACTCGATATAGGCTGAGTAGTGCGCTCCTCGAGCAGGCCTTTGCTAGCTTGTGGTATTCGCAATTTACATTACCAAGCAGCATCCACCATTCTGAGGAGGCGCGTACGGATCTTCGCCCCGGGGGACAGCTCCCCATACCGACGGAACCATGTAATCCCTCGTGCTGTTGCAGTATGCGATGATGCTGCGCGATGTGTTAATTAGACCATCCACGATTAACTTTGGTTATTGTTTGCTTCTTCTCACCTCCTAGCTGCCTGCGACACGGGAATTCGCTCTCGTTCCAGGTCTTCTCGTAGCCTGCTGTTCAGTTCGGTGAGGCGTCGTAACTTCAGATCGGCCATAGATTGCTTGTTTTTCTTGATCTGCGACGGATCGCCAACATCCCGAGAAGTGTATTGAGGCATGTCGATGGCTGCGTTGGGAGAATCGATGGAGTCGAGGGTTCCTGATCGAGTTTCTACGGGTTGTGGCTGTGTGCTTGGACCACTTGCAGCGCCTCCCTCAGTCTGAGAATCGTGAATCTCTATCGAAGACATAACCTCAGTCAGTATAAAAAGCTCCTAAGAGTCATGTCTCATTGGCGATTGATCGGCTCGCGAGCTGTAGAGATTGGTATATTCTCGTTCGCGTTCTCGCAACTCCCATTACCCCCTATCGGAAGGGAGGGATGCAAGGAGGAGCTAAGCCAATTTCCAATTCGTCCGTATCGGGGATCAGGGAATCGGGAACTATTTCAATCGAGACAGTTGGCGATGAGGAGGCGGAAAAAAAGACTTACAAACCAAGGCGATCTTAAGAAGAAAAGGTTTTAGAGATTAATAAACTTCGAATGGCGACGAAGGGGGCGCGACGTCAGGACGTGGTTGGTTCGTCGAGTAAGAAGACGTGAAGGAGAGACCATGGGCTGGAAGCTGGGGAATAAGGTAAAAAGAAGAGTTGGCTGGGCGAGTTAAGGTTAGTACATACGAAAATCGAATGTACTAAAGCACGGCGTAGCACTGGGCAAAGTCCTATCTCCTTCTCGATTGGCTAGAAGGATTAGAATATGGGGTTCTTTCCAGGGCTCTTCTTGCAGGCTGGGAAATTGGGAAATTGGGACCCGTTTCGAAGGATGGTTCGCTAAAGGGAATAAATTTTGGAGCATTGGCCACGGGAGTTCGATGAATCAATTGAGCTCTTTCCCTGGTTGTTTTGGCTGTTTTCTTCACTAAACTTTAATGACAGCGGCCCTTCAGCGCTCTAGGTTCTTTGTCAGGACTCAGGAGGTACCTCCGTACTATGTACCACATATCCACCCGGGGCATCTTACGTGTAGGTCTCGCTGCAAATGGAAAGCTTCCAAGCAAGGCTTACCTTACACATGCATATTAAAATCTCTGTTATTCATTGATAGCGGGTCCTTATTTTAAAATCCCCTAAATAAGGCAGGATAATTATTCTCTGAACAATCCAAAATGATCATTTCGCGTTGGTAAGATTTTTTCACAATGACGGGTATTGGGCATTATGCGTGGGAAGTCGAACCAATACTCTCTATGCATCACTTGGGCTCCAACATTTGAAGTAGAGGGACTCTTCTGCTGTACCCCCTAATTCGGGGACTATCTGACTGCTACCTCACGGACTCGTTATCCAGGCAATCGGGAAGCTTTGTTTTTTTTATCAGAAGCACTGACGTGAGAATGTTTATGTTCAAGTGAGTTGAATAATTATGTCCAATAAGTCCAATGGTCGAGTAACGACTATAGTTGTTGCTCATTAGTCTACTAAGGTATGCATGCCGAATTGCTTAGGTGTTTAAAAGGATTCAATTCGATTGTAGTATCAACGTGTGGTTGACAAAATTTGATAGTGACTTGTAACATAGAACTAGATGGATTGTATACCCGTGACATCAAATATAGGTATATTGATATTAGGTAGGCATGTCATTCCATACACATCATTACATCCATGATGGCGAATATCAATGAAAATGAATTGAATCCTAATTCCTAGCTTTAAGCATAACCTTAAACAACCCTTACACCTGGCAACGTCGGTTCGTTGCGAGACAAAGATTAGGTAAGCACGATAATAATTTGGTACGTGCACGCGACGGGAGGAACGGATTTACGCACCATCCCTAAGAACTTAGGCATCCACCCGCCCGTTCTACCCTCCAAACAAAAAAATCATGTGACTGCGAAAATTAGCCCGTGCCCCTCGCCTTCCTAAACCCACACAACTAAGTGGCACAAATCTAAAATCTTCACATCATCAGACTTCCTTCGCGGTTTTTTTCTATCCCAACGTCACCCGGCCGCTTCAATCTCCTCAAGCCATTTTTATCAAGGAGATTGCCCAAGATGCCGCCCCCTCCGCATCAGAAGCCTGAGAACGTTCTCAAGCGCGCTCAGGAGCTCATCGGTGTCAATCAGGCTCCTGCCGCCCTCAATCTTCTTCATGACCACATTACCTCCAAACGTTCGCGAAATGTCCCCATCGTATCCTTGGAGCCTGTGATGCTCCTCTTAGTCGAATTATCTGTCGAACAGAAAAAAGGCAAGCTAGCCAAGGATGCGCTCTACTCATACAAAAACATCGCCCAGAACACCAACATCAGCACTATCGAACTCGTACTGAAGAAGTTTATCGAGTTGGCCGCGGAAAAGGTTACAGAGGCACAGAAGAGGGCGGACGAATTGCAGTCAAGCATAGAGGCGACTGCGACGGAGAATATCGATGACTTGGAGGCTAGTGAGACGCCTGAGTCCATCCTGCTGGCCACAGTTTCCGGCGAACAATCCAGAGATCGTACCGAGCGTGCGGTCGTCACACCATGGCTCAAGTTCCTTTGGGAAGCCTACCGGACTGTCCTCGATATCCTGCGAAATAATGCGAGATTGGAAACACTCTATCAGAGCACGGCCATGCAAGCATTCGACTTTTGCCTCAAGTATCAGCGAAAGACAGAGTTCCGACGACTCTGTGAACTCCTACGTAATCATGTTCAGACCGCTGCCAAATACTCGAGCCAGATGCATGCCATCAACCTTAACGACCCGGACACCCTACAACGACATCTAGAGACCCGCTTTCAGCAATTGAATGTCGCCGTTGAGCTTGAACTCTGGCAAGAAGCATTCCGAAGCGTTGAGGATATCCATACCCTCCTCAACCTTAGCAAGCGTCCCCCCAAGAACATTATGATGGCCAACTACTACGAGAAACTTACTCGTATCTTCCTTGTTGGCGAGAACTACTTGTTCCACGCCGCTGCATGGTCTCGATACTATACTCTCCTCCGACAGTCAGCGGCTGTCGTGGCCACCGGCCAGAGCAAGAAGTCTGATAACCCATCCGCCACGGACGCCGATCTTCAAAAGGCCGCCTCCTTTGTTCTTCTATCAGCTCTCTCGATTCCTGTCATTAGCACTTCGCGATCGCGGGGTGCCATGGTCGACTTCGACGAAGCCAAGAAGAACAAAAATTCGCGTCTTACTCACCTCCTAGGCATGTCTACCGCGCCTACTCGTGCTGGCCTATTCCGCGATGCGCTCTCCAAGTCACTCCTAAAGCGTGCACGCTCGGAGATTAGAGATCTTTACAACATTCTCGAGGTTGATTTTCACCCCCTCTCTATCTGCCAGAAAATATCTCCTATTTTGACCAAGATTGGTACCGATTCCGAAATGGAGAAGTACATTTTACCTCTCCAACAAGTCATTCTAACTCGACTCTTCCAACAACTATCTCAAGTATATGAGTCTGTTGACTTAGCATTCGTGGAGAGTCTTGCGAAGTTCCCAGATCCCTTCCAAATCTCTCGTGGAACTATTGAGAAGTTCATTATGAACGGTAACAAGAAGGGAGATCTTTCTATCCGTATGGATCATGCTACTGGAGTCCTCAACTTTGACAAGGATGTATTCGCATCCTCGAAGGCTGTCCATGCCGGATCGGCGGCTGGTTCTGCCGAAAGCCCGGGTGGATCTGTGCAACGCCTCCAAAGCACGCCGTCAGAGATCGTTCGTTCCCAACTTAGCCGGCTTACAACTACTCTGTACACTACTTGTTTCTACGTCGATCCATCTCTCCGACAACGTCAGCTAGAGGCCCAGCAAGCTGCGCTAACCAGAGCCAAGGCTGGTGCTGAGCAGGAACAACGTGAGACTCTAGCTCGTAAGGAGATCATCCAGAAGCGGAAGGAAGAGGCTTCTGAGCTCCAGGCGAAGAGAGAGAAGGAGAAGGCGAGACAGAAGCGCCTGCAAGAGCAAGCATTGGCTGAGGCTGAGGAACGACGACTCGCTCAGGAGCAAAAGGAGCGTGAGGAGAAGCGCCTCAAAGATGAGAGAGACCGTGTTCGCAGAGAGGAGCTCAAGAAGCAGATCGCTGATCTCAAGATTGGACCGAATGCCCTTGACATTGATCTCGAGAACATTGACGACCTTGATAGCAACCGACTTCGTGCCATGAAACTTGCTCAGCTCGAGCGAGAGAAGAACGATATCAATGAAAAGCTTCGCATTACCGGAAAGCGCATTGATCACCTTGAGCGTGCTTTCAGGAAAGAGGAAGTCAAGAAGCTTGCTGACGATTACGCCAAACAACGCGAGCGTGACTTAGCCGCGTATGAGAAAATGAAAGAACAGACTCTCAGGGAATCAAAGGAGAAACACAAGGAGAGCGTCGAATTGAAACATCGTCTGAGCCGTCTCATGCCACAGTATGAGTTGTTCAGGAAGTCTCTACACGACCGTCGTCGTGACGAGTTCGAGAAGCGTCAACGTGACGCGGAGAGAGAGCTAGAGAAGCAAATCACAGCTCGCAAGAAGGAATACCGTGAACGCAAGTTGCGGGAGAAACGGGAGCGGGAAGAAAAGGAGAGGGCTCTGCGAGAGGCAGAGGAACGTGCCGAACGAGAGAAGAAAGAGCAAGAACAGCGCGCCGAAGAGAAGCGTCTAGAGTTAGCCCGACTAAAGGAGAAGCGAGAAAAAGAGCGCCAAGAAACTCTCGAGAAGGTTGCCCTCCAGCAGAGACGAGAAGAAGAGGCAATGGCCAGAAGACAGACCGAGAAAGAAAAGGAACGCGTGCCAGCTAGACGGGAAGCAATTCCTATGGATCGTACGGCTTCAGGCTCCAACGATCGACCTGCTGGACCACCTCGTCTCAACCTTGCCGGTGCCAAGCCCTCCTGGCGTGATCGCGAGGCATCAAAGACTGCCGCTGCCCCCGCCGCTGCTGCCAGCAGCAATGGTCCACCCAGCCGTTCAAGTACTCCCATGGAGCGCACTGATTCCAACGAGCGGGCCTCGGGACCGCCACGTCTCAACCTTCCGGGAGCCAAGTCCTCCTGGCGTGACCGTGAGGCTGCTAAGGCAGCTCAAGGTTCTTCTAGTGGCGCGGGTGGTCCCAGGGATACCAGGGACTCCAGGGACTCCAGGGAGCCCAGGGAGCCCCGACGGGATTCCCGAGACAGAGATAGTGCACCGGCACCGGCACCGGCACAGGCCTCCGCTGAGACCCTGAAGCCCTCAGGTGCTCCTGGCAAGTGGGTACCTCGACGTCTCCGAGAGAGTCAAGGCTAGAGGCATTGAAGGACCGGCGTTTCGGGGGGTTTGGGTTTAGTACGTGACTCGCGTGTAACTTAGTGAAACACGGGAAGAAATAAAATGCTGTTAATTTGCCACTACAGCCAGAGTCACAAAGCTGAGTCGTTAGTTGCTAAAATTCTACTTGTCTATGCTTTCACCTGCACGTATTGTGAAGAAGCTATAGGCTACTAAATCTATGTACAGAAAGACCTCTCTGGATTCAGGGGATGATGATCGTGACTAGCCAACAATACCATCTCCGGCCTTCCCGCACTACCACGCAGCCCCAACTCGAGTCCTTACACATAAGCTCGTAGTTCATGTCTAATGTAATGATCGCTTTCTTCAGCCTAACCATCATACTGACAAGGTCGACAATCTTACTATTTCGAGGTATTCGTCGTTGACAGCCGCTTCGTATTTGAAGCTCCACCACAACTCTTCCATGGCCTTTGCAATTTCGGATGTGGCGTACAGTCTCGCGAATACCTGATAAAACTCTGAGTCCCTGGTGCTTTTGGTTCAATAGGCGATGGTGATTTAGCAGGAAGTTTTCGTGGGGAAGGGGGCCGCGGCATTTAGGGCGTATATTACGTTCGAACTGCTGTCGGAAAACGTAGCCATCCAAGTCGTCGTCCCATCGATATTCGAATTAGCTGGCCGTGTATATGCAGCTAATCAACATGGATCTGTGACATCCTTCTCGATCTTATGAACTTACTTATATTTCGTCTTCGAAATATCCGCACACTCTCGCCCCCATCATCTCCACGATGTACTAGGCAACACAGGGGTCCCATTGTTCGAGTACCGCAGCAACGAGTCGGCGCTGAGCTCCACGGGCCGCTCTTCCGTCGGTAATTCCTTGATGGGGTCGAACCCGGATAACGTGTACTCAGTCGGGAGCTCGTTCAAGGGCTTGCCTTCCAACTGCGGCTTATCCGCCGTGATCACCTCGTTGGCCGAATTACTGGGATCGGGGCTACCGTCGCCGTCTTCTCGCTGTCCCGACGGCGCGGCCTCGTCTTTCTTCCGGTTGGAGTGGTTCCGGCCAAGTCGGAAAGCGAGGAGTAGAAGGCCCCCCGTGGTCGAGACTACGGCGACAACACCGCCCACGGCTATCCCGGCTATGGCCCCCGCGCTTAGACCGCCGCCGCCAACGCTTGAGGTTGGGGCTGACGCGTTCGCTGAAGTCTCCGCTTCTCCCGTGGCTGCAACGTTTGTTGAAGAGGAGGAAGTTGGTGTGCTAGTAGTAGTACTTGCTGCCGTCATGCTCGCTCCTCCCAAGCCACCACCACCCCATCCAAAACTTGGTATCGCGGTGGCCTCTGGAGACACCGAGACCCCGGCGGCGCCGCAATACTTGATGAATCCCGACCGGAGTTCGTCTAAACACACGATAATTTAGCTTTTGAGACATCGCAGGATCGATGATATTCAAAATTTTTAAATCTTTTAAATTTTTCACGGCCTAGCGGAAAACTTACTTGCGACCCCCTCCGTCGAGTTATTACAGGCTGCCGAGGCGCAGGGCACCGAGCCCACACCGATAGTCCGCATGTTATTGCACAGACACTGCGAGTCTTCCGGCCCGGTGCAGGTCCCGTTGAGAGACTTCAGGATGCAGTCTTGCGCGCAGTCCGGCATGTACGTCACGAGGCTCGGCGTGGCGATGACGAGAGCTAAAGACACGAAGACGGGAAGGAGGAGGAAGAGGAGCAGTCGTAGGGACGCCATCGTGCTGCACTGGTTTTCGTCGCGTTTTCGTCAGGGCCCAATACGGCATACACCACTACGTCTTGTGGCGTTTTTGTCTAGAGGACATAGGTTAAAATCTCGAGATCGACAGATAGGAGACGAAAAAAAGAGAGAGAGCTTTTCATGGGAGAAGGGGGGGGAACACGCAGGGCTGGGCTAGGCAGGGCTCTCCGCCCGGTAAGGCTCTCCCCGGAGGATCATATAGCATCTCGATTGCGGGCAAGATTAAAGGAACGGCAAATAGATGATCTGATATGAGCCGCACTAGAAAGAGAAAAAAAAATCTGAGGTCGTAGTTAACCATCGGTTCGTCCGTTGTGGTAACGCCTGACTAGGGGTGGAAGATTACTGGGCTGCGGTGATCTACCGATTGGAAAGGGGGCGGAAGGAGCGTAGTATAGACGGGACACTACGCCGCTCTCATGCGGCGGCTGCTTGTTACCATATTCCTATTCCGGAAAAGGTGGATAGGACAGAGCCCGGTTCGGTATCGGAGGCGTAATGAGTTCAGGATATTTTTTGCATGTCTTCTTCAGGATGCGCCCTGCCGTACGCCGGATCCGAAAAGAGCGATAGGCATGAGGATACCATGATACTACTGGCTCCTTCAGTATGTCATTTCAGTGAAGGGGCAAACATTGAAGGGAGCCTGCCGCTTTTCAGGTCACTGGGGTTGCAATGAGACTGCAAGGAGGTGGGGTCTGCAGCACTACTATTTATATTGCTGGGGAGGTTGCAGAGTACTGTAGTAATAGCTGTCATATATCCTTGACCTGGCATGGATTTGCTTCCATGACCGGGCCCGGAATGTATTGGAGATATATGTGACCGGTCAGGTCCTTTGATCGGCCGGCCGAAAGAGGGACCTATCCGACGGCACCGAAGAGCCAACTCATATCCGGTAGCGGTTGATGAAACTTCGATATATATAGTTGTATCATTTGACTACCTATCTACGCCATCATTTGAAATTGCTAGTCAACAGTCTCGTTCTATTTTCCTCCATAGGATGGTACTTGTACTCGAGATCACAAATTTGATAATTATATTCAAGGACTTAATTATCGTCGTTTGAAAAGAAGCTTCCATAGACTTGGCTACGCAAATATGCTAGTTATCAACCCGCTCTCAATATAGACAAGTGTACCATGACAAAATGTACAAGAATTAGTGAAAGTTTTAATATGTGTCTTGTGTGTAACATTCTTAGAGACTATTTTGATGATATCGTGACTACGACATGTTTGTTCATCAAGATCCTTGACAGCATATGACTTGACTTTTGTGATACGAATAAACTAACTGTGATGCTTATTGAATGAAGATTGCATACAACTTAAACTTGGAAGTGACACAGCTGTCAAACTCAGCAACATTGGATTGAATATGACCCTGGGTTTCACGGCAAACTTGTTTCTATCAAAACTGTGTGATTATACATGACATGGATAACAAACAGTTGTTTTATTAGATATACAAGCGTTTTTTATGATGTTTGACTATTATAGAGTAAGTGATGCTTTGGTTCGTTGACTAGTAGGTAGCAATGACATTAGACGATGAGTTAGCCGCCTCTCTATTCACGTACACGTATGTAGTAATTGCCCAAGCAAGTGATGGGCATGTCTGAATAAACGTTGTAAAATACCATGGTTCGTTAGAATTTCTATTTAATCAAGTTTTTTTTAACATTCACATCGTCCCTCGCAAAATTGTCAACTTAACTTTAGTGATCACTACCCGTATCCTAACTACTAATTGTAGAATCATCGTTCTTCTGTTATAAAATGGCACCTCTAACTGACGAGGAAATCTCGGAATTCATTGTACACGAGGTAAAGCCAACTACAATACTCGTGCTCTTAACAAGTTGCCAGGGTCAGTAAAAATCTTCGACGCTCTTGGATAGTAGATATTAGGAATTTGGAAGAGATGATCAGTAATAGAGAGAAAAAGGAGTAACTAATGAACTGTATCTAGGAACATGGCCTGATACAGGATTTGGTGGTGTCCTCAAGAGATCCTACCCAGGCGCCTACGGTCGATACCAAGCCCTTTGCGCCGAACACGTTGACGTAGATGGACGTCCCAACGACGATCTAGCGGGATCCTGTCATATAAGTATGGTGCCCATTGGCGATATACCTTTTCTTGTTGAAACCCACCCCTGGCTTTAAGAGAACCAGGCGTTGGGAAGTTTCCCAGGTCAATATGATGATAAAATTCCTAACTACATGTTTTAGTTCCACCCCTTTCTGTCGACCATGTTAGCAAACCGGTTCCGCCCGTCTATATTGCTTGTATATTCTCCAGCTTCGGGGACGGTCATCGAAATTGGTTCGACAAGTCAAAGCCAGGCCGGAGCCCAAAAGCCTTGATTCGAGCGCAGACCGCCAACGCTTTTCAACAAATGAGACAGCAACTCAGGGAAATGGTATTATATCGTGCTCAGGAGGCAGGCCGCTTGGCTGTACCAGAGAAAATAGAAGAGATACCGCAGAAGCTGGACTGGAAGGATACGGGCAAGAACGTGAAAGTTTGCTTGCATAAATTTAACGGCAAGGACTTTCAAATGGATTGGGAAGAGGTGGAGACTATCATTAAGAATAACTTCTTCGACTGGGAAGGCGAGTGGCTTTTCCTCAAGAAGCGCTCTGAACAACACTCCAAACCCAGTCCCAGTCCCAGTTCTGGACACCGCTCTAGTCCGAGTCCTGTGCGGAGCTCTGGCCGTCATTTCAGCCACCACTCTCCGCACCGCCCTAGCTACGCCTCTCGTAACACTGGACACAGCTCTAGCCACCATCACATGTAACCCCCCTGGCGACCTAGGGAAAGATTGCGATATTGATACATAGGTACCTAGATAATCACAATATAACAAATATTTCAACGTGATATTGAATCTTTAGATTTTGGAAGTTAGAGAAATCTACCCATTTTTGTCATAAGATACAGTAGATTCCGGGTAGTCGATAAACCGTCTACAGTAAAGTTCACAGATGACTTATGAATATCATGTGCCTAGGTGTAATTGATATCGAAGTTAAAAATATGCATACTACGTGTATGGTGTCCCCACCTCCTATTGCTAATGTAATCAAGGTCGTTATTTCTCTACGATTAGTCGATAACTTTAAATAGACGGATGTCAACTGTCTATTGTGGGGCAAGTCAACTTCCTCTCTCAATCTTGTATTGACCAATACATAGAACTCTCATGTGTGCGAGCATTGGGCCTGGACTGCTCGAGGTGCTGCCCGCTTGCTAATGACGTGCCATTCTCACTTATCAAAACTCCAAAGACCTTGACGCTTTCAACGTTGCCGTCTGATATATACCGCCTAGCTAATTGAAAGAAGAGGACTATTGCGAACATCGACACCTAGCATTGACTCGACTAAATTGAAGAACAATTAGAAAGGAAAAGGCTGCTCGGTTTAGGGCACAAGTGGCCTTGCCATTCCCTAGCCTAGAAGACCCGGAGGTCCGGGTTCTATCAAGGCTATTGGATCGCCGGGTTAGAATTCACTTGAACGGAAACGGCTTGCTTAGCCTTACATTAATATTTCCGCCCTGGTGTGAAGACTTGCAGCTACATGGAACATAACAGTCCGTCAACAAGCCGGCGTTAGAATGTCTAGGAGGTCAACGACTCGCACGATTCCCTCACCTGCCGGCCGAATCAGCTCCCGCCGTGGGTATGCATGTCTTAGACGCGGTGAGACTTAAATGCCTATCTCACGTAAGCTGACAACATGGACAAGACAGTAGTGTCTATTATTGCGACTTAAGCGGGAATAGTTGAGTAACACAAACCAATGCCGTGTTCGAATGCAACTTCAACTCAAATTCTGTTGTCAGGAACTCTACTAACGAGACCCCCCTAACATTAAGAACATAGATAGCTAGGTACCGGTCCATCTCACGAAGTGCTGCAGATAAGGACATGGGTATGTATGAAGCGAAGTAGTTCGATGCTAACTACGTTCCTCATAGTTAAAAGAATAAATATCAACAAAGTATATATATCCTAACGCAAGGCACGACAACCTTCAAATACCCGCCACGCTGGACGCCCGGACGCCACCCTTTAATGCTATGCCATGTGAAAGCCCTCTTTTCTATGGCTGGCTGTCTTCGGCCGCTTGCCAATTTCATCGAATATCATTAGGTTTATTATATTAGTCCGCGGAGATCTTCGTGCCTCTACTATTTTTCAACAAAGGGAATCATCCTCCTGTTCCGTGTTGGTGCGTGTACCCGTGTTCGTGATATGGGCTGTACGTCATCGGGCTCACAGTAGGCGTCGTAGGTGTTCTCTGAGGAGGGTACACCACCTCGGCCGGCAGCTCGACGGCGTACGTAGGGATAGGTGAGGTCGGCTCGTCATGCCCTAGTTCTGCCGCCAGGAGTGGAACGTCGGATGTGCGTTTGTAGCTGGTGTCGTCGGCCTTCCCATGGCTATAACTGTCCGCTGGAAGTTCCTTCCACTCTTGATGCGAGTCCCCTAGCTCCGCAGCCCCAAACTGCGTGTTGTGGTGCGCATACGCAACAGCTGGCGATGCCATTGACGAAACGAAGCTCTGGTTACCGGCCATGTTGCTGTTCGAAAGCTCGACATCGTGATTTGTCGTGTGTACCGATGGAGGGGGAGGGGTTTGTGACCGCCGCTTTCGTGAGTACGCCCACACGAACCACGCTAGGAGCCCCAACCCGACGGTACCGAAGCCGATACCAGCGCCCAAACCGATTTTTGCGCCTGTAGAGATGGCGCTCTGTGCTCCGGGGGTCAAACTTGCCGTCGCTTCAGGTGAGCCCGACGACGTCGACGTTGGCGACGTGGATGACGTTGACGCAGTGGCTGCCGCAGCCTGTGATAGAAACGCGTCCTTAGACACAGCGATGGTCACGCCGGTGCCCTGGCAGTTATTTTCCATGGTATCATAGACGGCATTTAGATCGCTCGGGCTGTTCTTCGCGACACACGTGGCTGTGTTATAAATGAAATTCCCCTTATTCTTACACAGGCACTCATTCATCTCCTGCCCCGTTTCCCCCGAACATTGCGTCTGGTTTGCCGCGTCGGTGAGGCATTGTTGCGAGTCTTCAGGGTATGCCGAAAAGTCGTTTTGGAGTTGGGCCGCTGAACCTCGTGCCTGGATGGTGATGCTGAGGAGCAGCGAGGTCGGCAGCGCCAGGAACTTCATGCCGGGTTGCCCTCGTGGAGGTAAACGATAGTAGGGTAACACTTAGGTCTTCGGGAGATGGGCTCACGTCTAGAGGCAGTTTACGGTCTGAAGGTATCCGAGTTTGTAGTACATTCGCCCTCGGTGGTGAGTTGCCACTTAGACCCGGAAGATTTACGGTTACGGATGAAGAAAAAGAAAGGAGAAAAAGGAAAAAACCGTGCACGAACTTGCCCAGAGGGCCCATCACAGTCTGGAAGGGTACATTATGTAATTTGCTTTTGATCAGCCTCATGGGTCTCCGGTCCAATGATGAACAGGATCCTCGCATGATCGAAACGGCGCCCCTGGCCTAGCAGAAGTCCAGGCCTGGAACACTAGGGCGGTCAACGTTCTGGGAAATCCTAGGCAGCACATAAATTCCTCAGTGTTATGGAACTTAATGCCAAGTTTCTATAATCTGGTCGTGTTATGCCGGTATAAATTCATCTACGAGTTCTCGTGGCGGATTTCGCTTCAGACGCGCTTATCGAGCGAAGATGTGATAGTATGTAATCCCAACTCCACGGTTGAGGGAGCCGGCTGTGCCCATAAGCCCAATATGACAATATCCTTCTGCCGTGTCTGGGGTTCCTCGTACGCTAGATCGTTGTTAATTTGTCGATGCTACGACAGGGGGCAGTGCCGGGCACCAATGAAAACGCGCTAATACCTGGTCGTTAGAGATTTGCACGCTTGGGCCATGCCACCATCGCAGTTTCGATGTATGCAAAATGTGGGTTGTCGTTCATTAGCCCTTTCATTTCTTCATCTCTTTCATTTTATGTACATACAAGCCCATACTACTAGGTAATATCCTAGCTACGTAGGTGCCGGGAACAGAAAATTCCGCAATACGAAGTAGCCTACTTGCCCTAGCCCCCTCGCCCCCCCGTCGATCATTACCATCGTTGCGGACGGTTGGAAGGGGGACGGGGGGGAAGAACGTTGAACGTATGTAGGAAAAAGGAAGAGAAAAGAAAAATAAACTCGTACACGTGTATCTACATACACACTAAAGTCTCGCGTGTCCTCGTACATACAAATGCCGTGTTCTCCGCCCGTCGCCGTGCCCGTTGGCTTCCCAACACTAATAACACCAACGCCAACACTAAAATCAAACAACACTAACAGACGTATCTAACGGGCTGCCACGCGCTCTTATTTGTCGTCATTATTGTTGCCTTTTCTTCTTGCTTATCTGCTCCGATTTACAACACGATTCGGATTATTTTTTTCGATAAAGAAAAAAGAACGGCGCGCCCGCGCCGCTGGCGGGTGCCAACGGGTCCCTCTTTCCCACCGCTAGGGCTGGGTGTTGGCTTGGTCGGTTGTGATTTGTCCCTCGGTTAAGCGTGTGTTTAGATGTCTTGGCTAGGACGAAAAAACACGCGAAGTCCGATAATTTAAATGCGATCTGCCGCCGCCCATTGGGTCATGTAAGAATCCTATCTGACGTCGTTGATCGTATTGATGCACCGTCGTCGTCATCTATCTCCTAACGTGCATTGTGGCCTATGCACTATTGGGATAAGAGATAGCATTGAAGTACATAAGGTTGTGTTATGAAGGAAACCTGTGAGACAGTCTATGTTAGGTAAAAGGGATCTTTTTCGAAACTGCTGTCTGATCACTTTTTTCGCATATGAAGTGTTGCTTTTCGAAGAATGCGTCACTTCTTGAGGATAAGAGGGCCCTCTTTGGTGGTTGCTACACTAGCTTCAGGGGTATCATCGAATCATACAAAGTATCGCACGATCTCTCAAGTGATGTTGTTTTGTTTAGGAACACTGTCAAACGTTCCGGTCATAATGTATATACCTGCAACTGGGGAGTATCTAGTCGTAACACGCATTCCTGCCCGCCTTCTCTCAACCCCTCTTCGCGGCACCGGCATCCGCAAATCAGAACAAATACGCCATTGGAAGAGCAAATCCATGGAGTTGGAATCCAACATGAAAAGCTTCCGTTCACATTGCCAGCCAATCGAAGAGCCAATAAACTCCATCCATGAAGCCAGGTGATGATATACGTGAGTATTTGCCTGTTTTTTTCAAGCCGTCCTCGTCAATTCCGTAACAAAAAAAAAGAAGAGAGCCCATAATTATGGGAATAAGAATCATTTGGGTATGAGTAAACTCGACGTCGCTGAAACCGATGTCTTGATATCGTAGAAGGACAAGGAAACGTAGCGAAGATGTAATGGCGAGTGAATTTACGGCAATGATGTGTTGACTAATTGGTTAATGGCCTCCCAAGTCATCCCCATTGATCCCGTTAGTGGGGAGCCTATCCGGAGATTCTTGGGCACTCTTAACGCCGTTAACTTGTGTAATTTGTGGTGACTTAGTGGAAGGAGACAAGTTCTCGCTAGCGTAATCTAGAGGCTCATTCGATATCATGCTCCGAGGAGTTAGGTGAGCAGCGTTTTGCATCGCCAGCTTCTGTTCATCGTTAAGAAGGTGAACTAGACCTTGCTCGAAGCATAGGCGCGCATAGTCGGGGTCGTCCGGAGTGACTGCAACAAGGCCCCTCCGAGGGACACGGTGCTCCGGAAACGGGGTTTTGCTCGGTTGATATCGTCCCGGCTTGTCTTCGCCTACCAGCTGCCCGTTGATATAATGCTTGGATCTTGGCGCAAATCCTCCTCGACTTTCAGCATCCGGATCCTGCTTCCACTTTGCCGGAGTAGAAAAAGTTGCTAAAGCCGATTCACTTTCCGGGAGTTCGCAGTAGCAGATTGACAATTTGACATTGCGAAGGTGAGGTATGGTGGGTACAATATAGAGGAAGTCCGATTCCTTTCGCTGGTCAGTTTCACTACAACGAGATTGATTAGACTAGGGAATCTGGTAAACTTACTTTGACAAAGAACATGTTGTCCATCTCGAAGAAAAGTTTTGCCGCCTCACCACGAAGCTTTTCAAGCCTCCTATAACCGACTGTGCGAGGATCGCCTCCGTAATAATCAGGCAATTGTTCACCTAGGTGGTAGATTTTGCTTTGCGTTAGAGAGTATCTATCTTGTTCAAGACGCCAAATAACTCTCTTCGCTATTTGCGATACTGGAAGACGCTCCCACGCAGTGTCTAGAAATTGATTAGCTACGGTCACCCCTGGAATATATTTTTCAACTCACATCTGGAGAGTTGCGTATCTTTCTCGCCTAGAAGAAGGGCAACTTGTGTATTGAGTAACCACTGCTCACGTCCGTCCGGGTTGCCAGTTGCCGATGGATTGATCGTGTCGTACCGAACCCCTAACGCCTTCGAAAACAGTTCAGCAATCTCCTTCTGCTTCGGGTCTGGACACCCATCGAGCCATCGTAACAAGGGAGGCAACTTGGATAGGCGAATCCTCTCCAACTCTTCCTGGTGAGCTCGGTGTATCTCGGCTTCGCGTGCAGCCCGCTCCGCGCGTTTACGCTCTCGCTCCTCCTCCTCTCGTAGGCGTCGAGCTTCCTCTTCGGCAGCTTCTTTCTCTCGGCGAATTCTTGCTTCTTCCTGTCGCTTGCGTTCTTCCTCTTTTCGTTTCGTTTCAGCTTCCTGTGCTTTCCTTTCTCGTTCCTTTCGTTCCTGTTCTTCTTTCTGCTTCCGTTTCTGCTCTTCCAGACGTGCTTTTTCCTCCTCCTCTTTGCGCTTCTTCTCTTCTATCTCTAGGCGAATCCGCTCTTCTTCTTCAAGCCGCTTCTTCTCAGCCTCTTGTCTCTTAGCTTCCGCTTCTTCCTTTTTCTTCTTCTCGGCTTCTTGCTTCTTCAATTCGGCCTCTTGCTGCTGTCGCTCGGCTTCTTTCTTTGCCTCTTCAGCAGCAGCCGCCTCTGCTTCCGCTTGTCGTCGCTTAGCTTCTTTGCGTTCTCGTTCAATTTGAGCCTCGTTGTGATCAGCGGTATGTGATTGGGGCGCATCGCGCATCTCGACATCAACGTCCTCAGAGGCCACAGTAATGCTCTTGTCTGAGTCCTTGCGGTCACGGTTCGCTTTCTTAGTTTTGGAAGGTTCCTTGCGATCAGCTTCCATGGGCCGCTGCCGTTTAGCGGAATCACGTGATACGTCACGTTTTTGCTGTCGGTTCTCCGGAGAAGAAGTATGTAATTGGCGTCTTTCTTTGCTCTCCGGGTCGAGCTTTCGCCGTTTGATAGGAGCCTCGCTATCATTATCTCCTAACCCGTGCCGAGGCGGTGTGACACTGGATCGATGTCTCTTAGCCGAGCCTTCTCCCATCGACAATCTATCGTTTGACTCGTCACGCCTAATGGCCTTTGTCCGGTCATGGTACTTCTCCGAAAGTCGATCAGGTCGCTTTTCATGTCCATCATCATTCTTTGAGTCACCTCGGTCGGTGGTAGAGTTATTCGATGCCATGCTTGCACGTCGCTGTTTCTCTCGATGTCCCTTCAGATCTTTGCCTGAGATGAGTTTCCTTCGAGGCTTTACGGCTTCAGTGTCAGAAGAGCCACCAGCAAGGTCCGAGTCACCCAATTTTGACTTGGTCGGCTGTTGTTTGGCTACGTGTGGAGAGGCTTCTCGATCAGATGTAGTCATGTGTGACGCTCGTTCATCCTTCTTCGGACGACCAGGCCCCCGCTTGGGCGAAGTTTGTTCGTCGTGATTACCAAAAGAAAGCGAACGTCTCTTTTCCTTAGGACTACCCGAAACTTTAGTTGAGCTAGGCTTTTTCTTAGCGTCATGATCACGCGACGGGCTCGATTGTCGGCGTTTAAGTTGTGTTTTGGTATCTAAGTTAGATTCATTGCGATTAGCGCGCCGGGATTCGTGGTCGATCTCACGATCACGGTCTCGCTTTCCAGGAGACTTCGTCTTAGTACCCTTAGGTGCCTTCTTGAATTCATCGTAAGCATTCTTCAGAAGATGTTCCTCATCCTTCCACAGAGGCCCCTCTCGACGTCTAGCTATCTCGTAATACGTCTGTCCCTTAATCCGACGTGTCGGATCGAAATTAGATGCGTTGAGCAAGAGCTTAATAACCTCGATATTCTCTCCACCAATAGCAGCCAGCATCGGCGTACCATATTCGTTTGGAAGGCTAGGAATTGGACGCGGATCCGCATTGGCACCTCCTAGGGCGAGAAGAAGCTCAACAACAAAACTATGGCCACCACGAGCCGCGTTAACCAAAGCTTCAGGATCGTCACAGCGTTCCTTGACTTGAAGTACACGGGTCACCGTCTCATTGTCACCTCGTGCTGCGGCTTGTCTGAGCGTCTTGTCATCGAGGTTCATATACAGTAGGTGGTTACTGGTCTTAGTCGATCGCACTGCGCCACCGCGGCGTTGTGCTGCTAACGAACTACTGCCTGGCGCGGTGGGTGAACGACGGGGACTCTCGGGTCCGTGGGACGAAAGAGTATCTGGTAAGTCGTGAGGTTGATGGTCTTCAGACGTTCTGCGCAGTTCTCCAACTCTCTCTTTCGCTTCCCTCAGAGCGGCCCGAATCTCTTCTGCGTTGTCCAAATCATCGGGTACTTTCTCAAGCGGCTCGTGTCCTTCAGCATCGGCCTTGCGGGGATTTACACCAGCTTTCAACAATAGCTTAACAACACCCAAGTGTCCATTTTCTACAGCATCCAGCAATGGTGTCTCTTTGTCGCTATTCCGACAATCTAGATTGCATCCCGCGTCGATTAGAAGTTGGACAATTTGCTCGTGTCCGTTGAGCGATGCGACCTGGAGTGGTGTATTGCCCGCGTAGTCAGCAAAGTTCAAATCTTCTGGCCGTTCTGTCAGTCGTTTCTTAGCAACATCATATTCGCCTTTCGCACAAGCCTTGGCCAGCAAAGTCTGGCCGTGATTGTCAACGTGCTTCTTGTGGGCCGGCATCCTCGCCGGTGATATTGTTGATTCACCGGTAACAGGAGTGGCGATGCTCCTCAACTTCGAGCTACGGGGATGGGGGCTTCCACTAGCGGAAGAATCGTCAGAATGATAATCGGTGGACTGAAGCGGAGCAGGGACGCGTCTCTTCTTGGTGCTAAAACCGTTCGAAGATTGAGACGGAAGTTGAGTGGAAAGGCTTCGCCGATGAGTTCGGCTGTGTGGTGAGAGCGAGCGATTTCGAGACGTGGAGTGTTTATCGTGGGGCAACCTGGCAGATGCAGATTTGGGGTCCTTTTCCCTCGCGCCAGCAAGATGTTCGAGGCTCGTATCTGAGATGCGTGGGCGACGAATTTTACGTGACTCGCTTTCATCATCGGATTCAGCTTTGGGTGCCTTACGTTTACCTGGTAGCAACCTGTCTACAGATTTCGACTTGTTTTTTATGAGATCTTTTGAGGATCTTGATTTGGATGACTCTGACCCAGACTCAGAAGGGACGTCGCCAGATCTGCGACGCCTATGGAGTTGGTCGTGGTTGCTGCGACGATGGGGAGGCGGAGACGCGGGTGCAGAACTGAGCCCACTCGAAGCATCTTTATTGCGTGGTTGCTTCTCCTTCGTGAAGAGCCGTTTTTTCTTCTCCAGTGAGGAAGCAGCAGCATCAGGAGTCACACCATTGCGATCGCCATCTCTACCATCTTTGCCGTCCTTCAAGCTCTTCCTCGATGGCGGTAGCACGTCGATCTCGCCATCGCTCTTGTCTTCGTGCTTGATCACCTTGCGTGGTTTCGACGGAGAGATGCCATCTTTCCCTGGAAGGACGACTGTCTCAGCATCTGAGTGCTGGTTAACCTCAACATCATCGTCCTGCGCACTAATGGCCGTCGTCGCAGGCCGTGACTCTTTGGATGAAGAAGGGGTTTTTGCGGTCAAAGGATGTTTAACGTTATTTGTCGTGGTGCTATTCGCTGTCACCGTTGGCTTCGGATCATCAGACTCAGCAACTCCCCGCTTTGGAGAAGCAACCGTTTTCGTGTTTGCGGACTCGACAGCATTCTGCGCATCCATAGCATTCAATTCATATACCGAAATATAATACAGTGCACCATGATGGCCACTCGTGGGTGACTATAAGGAAGAAGGTTCGTGGTTGAAACGCTATACAGACTTGGCGGACACCTAGGTATAGGCTACTCTACGACGAGACGATACGGTACGAGTACGAATTTAATGGTCGGTCGCGGGTCAAACAGCTTGGGTGGGTGAGCTGAACGGGATGTGAAAGGCGAGTTCGGACGGGCTTGGATTGGATCTTGTGGACACTAGGCGGGATTCAAACAAATCGAGTGTTTGCTAATATATCGCTTATGAACAGAAGTTATTGCGAATAATAACCACAGTCAATTGTGAATAATTTTGAATTTTGGAGTAGGAAATTATTTGCAAAAATTGAATGACACGGTAAAGGTTGGAAGGATGCAGCAAGCAAAGCACAGTTTAAGGGAAAATACGCTAGCTAACGAGAGCAAGAGCAATAACAATCCACGGATCCTAGTAGTAATAGATAGGCAGATGGGCAGGGCAGGCAATGGCAAAGCGCATAACGAAGGGAACTACACTGAAGACTTTTGGCCCAGCAGCCCAGGTGGAAAAGGAAGGCCAGACTGCCAGTCTGCCAGTCTGCCTACCTACACAAAAAGGAAAGAGAATCGGTACGAGGATACTCGATGGAGGCTATGCTCAAGATAGACTAGCGCAGCTTGTTAGTGTGGTGACACTAGGACTGTTTTCCCTGCGAAGCCAGTGACGATCAATTTCAAAGATCAGTCTAGCAGGCCGTGAAGGCATTTGATTGGTTGAAAGATTGGATACGGATGGGTCGGGTGGCCGGTATTTCCGCAAATTTGCAGAGTGAGCAGGAGTGAGCCAGTAAGAAAGCGAGTGAGATGAGGGCCTAAAGTTTTCTCTTCGCCCCCGACAGCGGCTACCCCTGCTTGTTTTGCCCTACTTGCACTCAATTATGCTTTATTGTCTTCAATGTTGTCTGCCTATCCTAGTGGTGCAGCTGTGCAGCTACCTGTACTACCTATGCAGAGCGTACGGCGCACTTGCTCAATGTTGTTTTCCGCCCCTCATTCCCCATTTCTTTCCAAGCTTTTCTTTGCTACGACTCGTCCAAATTTTCTCTCTTATTCCCTTAACAGGGCTCCATTATTGATTGTTACTAAATAAACTGCACATCTCCTGTAAGTCTTGTCTTTTTCAACCCGAGATTCTCTCTGGCTCACGGATTGTTTGGCAATCAGCAAAGCAGCCTGACCATCCTACGATCTGACCACTCCTCTCCTTTTTAAACGGATTGCTCAACCCACCTTCTCTTCTGATAAGGCATCCCGCGCTGATCGGCTTTCCCAGGTCCATGAACCAACCCTTCCATTCCATTTATCTCAAACGAGTTCGAAATTATTGATTGCGCAGTCCTAGCCTTATGTATTGTTCTATGGATTGATTACACGTGCGATCGCTTTTTCGCTTTTCGCCTTCGATGGCAAATCGCATCATATTAATATTCTAACTGATCCTTTACAGCAAAGGTTTGCATTAGGCATCCCCCAAGCTAACGCACAATTCGCCAGTTAATTCGCCAGTTCTCAACAGTATTACAAGTTCTGTAGCTCAGATCTTGCAGTCGAAACCCACCGAACTTGTCGGTGACCACTCATCATCTCATCATGGTTGGAGACTTAATGGATTCCACCTCCACTAACCTGACCCTCCCCGAATCTCTCGAGCAAGTCCGAATCACAACTTTACCCCCAGCGGCATACTACATCTCGGATTTTATCGCGCAAGATGAAGAGGATGCTATTCTAGAAAAAGTGCGGTCATAATCACTGTTTAATATGATGCTCGTTATGCCGGCCGCCTGACTATCCTGCAGATAGCCTCCGCGCCGAAGCCGCGTTGGAAGCAACTCACTCATCGACGACTGCAAACCTGGCCGTCCGATTTAGTAAATAACAAGTTGATGGACGTTCCGTTGCCGGCCTGGCTGAACGATCCGATTGTGCCGCGCTTAAAATCCATCCCACTTTCGAAAACCCTCGACTCATCCGACATATTTTCCTTCAGTCCTCATCAAAAACCGAATCATGTTCTAATCAATGGTACGTATGGATGCATATCTGCTTGGAACAGGATGTATCCTCTTTTTCTAGTGGATCATCATTCTCATCTTCACCGTTGCTATTATGTTCTCCGAGAAAGTAATGCTTTAGCCATAAGGTTTCATAATCTAGCTTAGGAGATTAATGCATAGCCAGAATATCCTCCTGGCATTGGAATTATGCCTCACAAGGTAAGAAGATAGAGTCTGGGATAGTCGTGATGAACTGCTCATCCTGCCACAGGACGGAGCTGCGTATCACCCCGTTGTGTGTACTGTGAGCCTTGGTGCTAGCCTCTGTCTCAACATCTACAAATCCAAGGACGATGGTAGTCTAGATCCTAAGCCAGCGTGGAGAATATTGCAAGAGCCTCGAAGCTTACTCATTACCACCTCTGACCTGTACACGGAGTTCCTACACGGTATCGAAGATATTACAGAGGATGTTGAGCTTTCGAGGGGCACGATTGCTAATTGGGAACTTCTCCGTTCGCCCGACGATTTTGCAGACGGCTGTAACATACGGAAGACCCGTACCAGCCTTACATATCGAGACGTGATGAAAGTGTCGAAGATCGGAGGCAAGCTTGGACTGTTCCAGAAAAAGTGATACTCAAGCATACTCGATGTTTAAAATACACCGGGTATCATTCTCCATTTTCCTTGCACCTTTTCGAGACCGAACATTTCACCATACCATTTTTTTGTGCCTTTGGCGGTGACACCAAGATTAACCGCGACAAACAACACAGCGCACATCAGTGTCCTGTTGTACAACTGGTCCTTGGGCGCTGCAACTATTGCTAGAGAAAGATATAGTGTGCATTCGCATGTATAATGCGGGCATACCAAGTATCGGAACAGACCGTCCTCTGGTAGCGAATACTTTTTCAGTCGAGATAGATAGCTATGGCATCTGTATTGCATAAACCACGAGGCGAGGAACATCGAGACACCAATTACCGTTTTAAAGGATGGTGTCTCGTTATGAAAAGACCTCTCGAAGGACTGGATTGACCCTATGCCTACTTTTTAGAACATTGCAAAGCAGAAAGATCTCATAGTACCTACTAGATCCCTCAATCCAAACGGCAATGCTTGTGCAGAAGTAAAACGCAGCTCCCAACAACCAATGAATAACCCACATTTTAGATGATGAAGGTCGGAGGATGGCTACGTTTTCATAAAGACGTCTAGCACCTTGAAAGCTCATCAAGAACCACGCAAGGATAACCTGGCTGATCGCCATTGACGACTCCTCGCTCGAAGCTTGATTCCTAACGATGAATTCCATGATCGATCCATGCTGGAGAAACTGGACTGCCCAGAAGATGGAGCATGATATTGAAAGAATGTAGAAGTGAATGAACCATGAGTGAGGGACTTTGCCAACGGACGTCAGCCGGCTAATGGCGCCGATGAGAAACCCATTCCCGGCTCTCTCGTCTTTACCATTCCCGACTGAACTTCGAGCGCCGTACTGGGTGAGCAAGCTTTGTACCGAGTCGGGAGTTGCCGCGATAGCCAACACAGTTGCGGCCGCAAGGACGTAGAAGAGTTGACAGCATGCCGCCGGACTGATATCGGTGGCGTAGGCGAGCAGATCCGATGCTTGCATTTTGAAGCAAGGGAATTCTCTATGCTCGAAGTTGACAACGCGGTGAATGAAGAAGCATGTGACGAAGTGTACATGTAGGTAGGTAATTTTGCAAACCTTTTTCGTTAGTGCTGTTTATCTACTTTAATACGATATTCCATTTACAGATATTTATATAAACAGTATAATCAATTATACAGATCTACAATCGCTCACATCCCAAGTGATATCATTTCATACAAGCAACAAACAACAGCCACTTATGTAACTACGGGATAGATTCAGTCTCTGACGTGGTTTATAAGTTCATTGCTAGCTAGGGTACGGGACCTGTGTACATTCAATCACCGTCGCTTTCTGGATCTTATATTCCGCTTCTAGCTCGCATTCTCACCCTTTTTTTTGGCGGGCGAAATCAGTTTCAGGTATAGACTACCGGGGGTTAAATCACTCCTGCCGTGCGAACGAGGAACATAAAGGCATTGGTACCTACCTAGTGAAGATTATCGTCGAGTTCTGAACCCAAATCAAAGTCTTCAGTCATTGAACCTCTTCTGATATCTAAACTCACTCCCTGGATAGGTAAGTGAATTGCGAAGAATCGTGATCTAGAGCTCTTCCCAAAAAGCTTATTGATGAATAGTTGATGAAGCAGGTCAGTTATTTGAGCACATTGCCTGTGTCTACATGATGCTAGCCCATGGTCTTCTATTGAATAAGTGCGAGCCTTCTTGTTAGCTAGTGAAGAGTTTACACATAGTAGGCTAATCTGTGGTATAGTGGTGTTGGTGAACGTTGAAGCGGCGTCAACCTTGGGATATGATTCTTCAAAGTATCAGGGAAGTTGTATATTTTCGCTAGAACTGTTTAGTCGGCCAATGTCTTCGCATGAGACCATTGTAGTTGACTAAACGATGACACATTATTCCGTCCGATCAAAATCAGCAACTCATAAATATGGCTTTTCATCCCTACCCAACTCAACTTCACACGATCTATCATCTTATTTCCTCATATATCCCACGAGTTCGAAGCCAAGGTGCTTTTGTATGGAATAAAACGATAACCCAATATCTGGTGGAAACTTGATGAAGCCTATGAGGAGTGGGACATGTCCATTCGCCAAGCTGAAATATACCTATCGTGTTGTCGTCAGTTTTATCCTGGAGCATAACGATGGCCAAGGCCTTGGATACAAAGAGGGCTGATCAGAAATTATGAGGCTTCCAGCAAAGATAATCCGTGAACTATGCGTGTTATTACACATTACTAACCGTATCAGATGGTGTTCAGTTTTCATGATGAGAAAGCTCATTACGAGGTGGCCACGACGCGATAAAGAGCATCATCGATATATATACAGGGAAGTTCTTAGTCCATCTCTCCCAATTGACAAGCACCCCGTCTTAAATCCAATAGTTATGAGAAACTGGAGTTCTTGTATGCTCAGATGGCCATCATCTTCAGCTATACACGTTAATCTTTTCATTGAATAGGTTCGCTCGCTGAGAAAGAAGACCAGGGGTCCATCTCTGTCGGAGGTCGCCCCTTAACCGCGGATACAACGACATAGTTATACACACCAACACGTCGACGAACATCCTATCAGAACTGTCTTGGGCCTTTACCACAGAGGAATAGGGGTACAACGCTCTTACTTATGTACATATGGCGCGGCTCTCATACTAGCATAACGATGCCATGGAAGGTGAAGGCGACGCTCGTCGACCTTTTCAGAACCTTTCCAAAGAGGAACATATCATTCCGAGCGCGTCGAAATCAGAAGGTCGGTTCAGGTTATTCTCCGAGCTTTCCAGGCCAGTGAACGTGCTCCTAGGCATAGACCAAAAGATCGTCGGTGCCATATACTAGGTGTTCGCGTACGCCGCCTTAGTACACCTTGATTTTGATCCTCCTTGGTAGCTGCTCCTAGAAAGCCTAGAGTACTGGCCTGTTGGGTCTCAGGCTTGGATAGTAGCTTACGGGCCTCGACTGGGGACGTTTCTGCGTGTCCTGGGAGCCGAGGAAAAGAAAATGGCGGTTACGATTCTAGCTGAGAAAGTTCACTGTCTATCCTTGACCGATAATAGAACAATAACACGCGGATACCACTACATCAGCGTATTCAGGAGGGCTGGGAGAAGTGAACATAGACAATTGACCACAAGGCTAGGAAGAGTCGAGCCTTTGATTTCGTTTAGAGTGAATTCTTAAACGAGAGTTCGGGCTGTATGAGGATTAGGAATATAGAACCAAACTGGAATTCTTTTCTGGGACGTAGAGAAAGATGACGTATTCATTCATGGAGCAGTTTGATGGTCATCCCGCATGGTGTGATTACAAGACGGGATAATCTGGGGCATGATCATGCCTTTTATTTACTTACCAATGCTATTGGTGACAGACCACTATGATAAGGCAGCTTGGTACGTCCAATCCCCTCACCTTCTTTAAGATCTTTACTTTGGAATTACCTTAGGGCAATACCTTACAAGGTCTGATGAAATATATGAGAGTCTGTTAGGTGTAGCTGGTAGCAAACATAATTTAAATATAATATAGTTAAAGCATATTACATCTGCAATGAACATTCAATGACTAATTTGAGTATCTCGACGGCTCTATCTATTCAGTGTGAGAGAATTATTAGAACGTGATAAGCTCTACTTATGGATATTATTACCCTGTGGTGTGTACATTGTGAAGTACTAATAGATGTATGTATAGATTCAAGATAAGTATAACCAAGGCATTGTAATGATCCATGAACTCTTATCGAAAATTGAAAAATATATTTATATTAGGAAAGGAGTCATGGAAACTTAGATAAGGAAATTTTCGCCAATTCCACAAGCGGGAAGAAGGCATTGGCTGTATTTTCATTATGTTTCCTCGCGCCCCAAACTGGATTAAGGGGCTAGTGATAATCACTAATATAATGTGGTATATGAGCTGGTGGTTTTACTATCACTGAAACCAAGCGAAGTAGGATATAATATTGTAGAGTTTCATGAAATTGAATCCGGATATGTAGGATGGGATATTTCTGCTGGCGGTCTTCTTTCTCCATTTTGTCATGCCTCATGTCTAATCTTGCAGTGGTTTGCAGGAGCCTTCATATTGTACACCCGTAATACTACCAAGATTTTGCAATCCACATTTTGCAGGATCATGTTCTGGGAATAATGTTTCCTTGATATAGTAGGATCAATGAGAGTCCCCGCCATGGCTTTCGTCGACTAACATATTTAACGCTAATAAACGCCTTTCTGTAAGACAACCGATATCTACCTCCTTACATGATAGACTAGGGCCTAGAGGGATACATAGTACCTCCCTTGCGTTACCATGCATCTGTAAGTACTTTTTATCAACTCCCGACGTTTTCAACTGATTTCATGACTTGTAGATGTTGCCAAGTTATAATCCCTTTATATCGGTTGTTTGCCTGTTGACATCAGACTTTGCATTCGAGTTATCTTGGCTTACGCCTTACACTTTATGTTTGATAGAAACGATATGTCTTGAACTACGTATGTGGAAAGGACTGGTGATAGCAAGCTATGTTAAAATGTGTTGGGGATTCAACTTGTCACAATCCATACACTCTGTGTGACTCTGTGACGCCTCAATAAGAATCAAGTGACCAATATATATATATTATCACCGCCCATAAGCTTGACAGGATCTTCTTGGCCGTGGCTGGTGGCTTTCAATGTTACATGTGTACGGCTGACATCGGGTCAACGCTTCACTAGCGGGTAGTGAGCCTACCCCTTATCTTTGAGCTGTGTACTCTTAAAGATATTCTTGAATATTGGTATAAATTTATCAGAAAGTCACGTATATAGGGAGGTCCTAAAGCATAAGGCTAGGTTACGAGGCGGTTAATCTTATCAAGGTACAAGATGTGGATGGATGTCCTCTTTGACTAGGGGATGACATAGGTAGTTCCTTATTCGTCTAGGCCACCGGCAATATGTATAGTATAGAACTGTCTTAGTACCTACATTAACGTTCAAGCCACTTGCGAGAACAGGTAAGACATTGCATAGAACTAAGACACGGAATAGACGTTTGATTATTCTTATATTCTTATATCTCGGTAATCATCTATGGAAGGATTGCAGATATGGGGGCGCTCGGGGAAAGTACGGCAAATAGTGGGGGTTGACATCACCGGCAAAAATTGACGATTCTTCAATTTGCCCCGCTAATTCTTTACGCTTCGAAATTCATCAACGCCAACTTCGTCTCAAGAGAGACCGAGAAGAAATCTCACATCTATCCCGAAACTTGCTAAGTGACATCCTGGTAAATCTATCAAGATGTCGACGACGGTAGACAAGGTAAGTCGTCTAATATTAAGTGAGTGAGTAAGCCACTAACCTATTCGCAGATTAAGGAGATCGAGTCCGAAGTAAGTGGGTTTGGATTCGGATTCTTTGATAGTCTATGGACGCAAGACGTACTAAACGCTATATCTAATAGATGGCTCGGACTCAAAAGAACAAGGCGACGTCGTTTCACTTAGGCCAACTAAAAGCAAAGTTGGCGAAACTGAAGCGAGAGCTCTTGACCCCTTCATCGAGTGGCGGAGGCGGTGGAGGTGCTGGTTTCGACGTTGCCAGAACTGGTGTCGCCAGTATTGGTTTTATCGGCTTCCCTTCCGTCGGGAAGAGTACTCTCATGAGTAGATTGACTGGCCAGCACTCGGAAGCCGCGGCGTACGAATTCACTACTTTGACCTCTGTCCCTGGACAAGTAATGTATAATGGTATGGCAATCAGACCTTTCCCCCCCTATCTCCACTCTCTTGAGGGCCTCTCGGGTAGTTTCTTTTTATTGTGGATGACTTCTCTAACGCCGTCTCGTGTAGGAGCTCCTTTACAAATGATTGACCTTCCGGGTATCATCGAGGGAGCCAAGGATGGAAGAGGTCGCGGTCGACAGGTGATTGCTGTCGCTAAAACTTGCCACTTGATCTTCATCGTATTGGATGTAAACAAACCCTTGACGGATAAGCGGGTTATCGAAACAGAATTAGAAGGATTCGGCATTCGTATCAATAAGGAGCCGCCGAATATCACCTTCAAGAAGAAGGACAAGGGTGGACTTAATATTACAAGTACCGTACCACTAACCCACATCGACCATGACGAAATCAGAGCCGTAATGGCCGAGTACCGTATCAACTCAGCAGA